CAACATTCTTGGACCGCTGAATTCGGTTGAGATGACTTCTGTCAATATAGCTGGCGCATATTCCACCGTTTGTATTGAGCTCGAGGTTCGAAACCTTGCGATCAATACCGTGCTCACGTCTTCCCTTATCAGCGACCTCGAGAACAATGAACCTGCGTTACTCAATCCAACGGCTCCAGGAGATCAACAAACTATTTCGGACGGATCAGGTGTTTTGTATTCAGACACCGTGTTTTCTACTGCGGGTATACTTGTATTACGGGATATGGTGAAATCTTGGTGGAATGAAGCCTGTAAGGGCAATGGCATGGCGGACGTAATGGTCCAGCACCTGATTCGATGGGTGGAGAGCGCCGATTGCTGTTTATATGACCACGCACTGCATCAGTACATGCAGATGATCCTAAAAAAGGCTTTGCAACAGCTTATCATGGCCTTCAAACGAGTTGGGTCGAACGTTATTTACGCAAACCCGAACAGGCTGATTCTTCAGACCACAAAAACCGAGGTTGGAAATGCCTACGCTTACAGCAAATATATTCTTCAATCTATCAAGGAAAAGCCATTGTTCCACTTCCTTGACATTGATATCAGGGAGTATTGGGATTACTTGATATGGTATGATCAGTTCAATTACGGAGGCAAAGCATGTCAGGAGGTTGTGGAGGCCGATAAGCAAGAGCTGGAAGCCATCATGAACTGGCAGATTTGCAGGTTTTTACCCACTCCCCTGCAGTCTGTTTTCGTAGACTGGATTGTGGAGTACGTCGAGTTAATGCATGGACTCAAGAAGCCTGCTCCGGTGAATGGTGGAGCCGATGGAACTCCTCGGCAGACACAGCTTCCATTCCGACCTGAAGACGAGAGCGAGAGCGTCGAGATAACTTCTGTGTTGAGCCAATCGTTCTCCAAAGCACTGAAAAAACAGGTAGCTGGCTTGATTCGTCGACAGCGTGACGAGATGCTGCACCCTGAACTTGCCTCCGACTATGATTTCCCTGTACTCCCCGGAGCAATGCCTCCGAAGCATGAACGTAACCCAACCCTAGAGTTGGTTAAATATCTCATGCAGGTCCTTGGACTGTCTAAATACACAGCATTGGAAGTGAGGCTTCTCCGCAGAGATCTCCTTGCCCTATTCGACATCCGCGAGTTTAGTGATGAAGGAAAGTTCGAAAGCCCAGGCTCAAGCCTAGTTCTGTCACAGATAATATGCCACAATTGTACTATGGCCCGGGATTTGGATCTCTGCCGTGACCCCGAATTGCTTCCTGAGAGTGGAACGGAGCATAAGGTGTCGACAACTCTTCCTCCATGGACTTGCCCTTACTGCTCTACTGAGTACGATCGGCTATTTCTCGAAGAGAGGATTATTGGCGAGGTTCAAGGCCTTGTGCTGGAGTGGCAAGCACAAGACCTCAAATGCGCAAAATGTGCTGGTATAATGATTAATCCATTTATGGAACACTGTTCATGCAGCGGTGAGTGGGTTGAGACTATCGACAGGCGTGCCACGGAGAAAAGGCTTCGGGTATACAAAAGCATAGCAGATTTTTACGGTTTCAAGATGTTGTCTATGGTTACGAAAGGCGTTTTGGAAGGCATATGAGCGGGATGGTCATGATATCCATGATACTCAATAATATTAGATATTCGATCTAGAGCGTGGCTGGCACTAGTAATGGGTTTGTTGCATGAGTTGTGTTTACGTATTTAGGTGCTGGCGTTCACGGAGGCAAGGAGATGTGGAAGGGGGGTTTTTTTTTTTTTTAACCATTTGCCTTTAGTTCTCACCCCTGCATCTCTCGTCACATTCAAGGTATATCACTGGGCCGTACGGAGTATATATGTACGTTGTATAAGGTAGATATCGAGAGTCGTCTCCTTTTCCCCTTCTTAGCCTGTCCAAGGCTTGTCGCAAAATCGCGTGGGGCAAACTCCGCCGCGACAACTTCCAACTTGTCGAACCACTTCGAGTCCACCAACCCTTAACAGCTCGGCTTTACCTTATACTCTACTGTTATTCGACTGCGCATTCCGCGATTTTCTTGAAGCTGTACACAGATTCTTGTCTTTATTATTGGTTTTGCTTGTGGGATTATTATACTCTTGGTTTGCTCGTTAACTAACTTACCCCGCCTGCGACCACACCTCCCCCTTAAACTACTCCATCGCTGGGAAGTCGAGTACCAGGCGAGGATCAAATCTCACAGATTATAAAACCTCTATAAATCGAACATTCAGCTCTCGTTTCCCCCTTACGCCGTACTCTCAGCAAGTTTCAATCGACATCCTGGCCCAATGGCTGCTCACGGCCATCCAGAGGCAAGCAGGCCTAAAACTGAAGTCCAGCCATGCAGATATAAAACAGGGAAGACACTGGGAGCTGGGTCTTATTCTGTCGTGAAAGAGTGTGTCCACATTGATACTGGCCGGTATTACGCTGCAAAGGTTATCAATAAACGATTGATGACTGGGCGAGAGCACATGGTACGCATTCGTTCACGACGAGCAATACCGTTCTTTGGCTCTATTCCCAGAGGGCTGACTGGATCATTAACCAAAGGTTCGAAATGAGATAGCCGTACTGAAGAGGGTGTCTATGGGTCACCAGAATATTCTTACCCTGGTGGACTATTTTGAGACTATGAACAACCGTACGTACGCTATCAAAACTTAATGGCAGAGTACCATTCTTAACTCAATAATGTGCATAGTGTACCTCGTCACAGACCTAGCCTTGGGAGGAGAACTGTTCGATAGAATTTGCCGAAAAGGAAGCTACTACGAGTCTGATGCAGCTGACCTTATCCGTGCAACATTATCCGCAGTAGCATACCTTCACGACCATGGAATCGTCCACAGGGACTTGAAACCAGAGAATCTCCTGTTTCGTACTCCAGAAGATAATGCCGACCTTCTAATCGCCGATTTTGGACTTTCGAGGATAATGGATGAAGAGCAGTTCCATGTCTTGACAACCACGTGCGGTACCCCAGGGTACATGGCTCCAGAAATTTTCAAAAAGAGCGGACATGGAAAGCCTGTGTAAGAACAGAATATCTTCTCTAATATGTTAAGTTCAGAATGCTAACGTGTCACTATTTGCAGGGATATCTGGGCTATTGGAGTTATCACTTACTTCCTACTCTGTGGTTATATGCCTTTTGACCGTGACTCCAACGTCGAAGAGATGCAGGCCATTTTGGTAGCAGATTACTCATTCACTCCAGAAGACTACTGGCGCAATGTATCTCCCACTGCGTGCGAGTTCATTAATCGATGCCTTACCACCGACCCCCTTGCTCGTATTACCTCTCATGAAGCCCTGCAGCACCCTTGGATTAACCCTCCATCCGATCCATTGAACCCCGAAGCTGCTACAAATACTGGTACTGGTGAGGACCTCCTACCAGTTGTCAAGAAGAACTTCAATGCCCGGCGTACATTGCACAAGGCTATTGATACCGTTCGTGCTATCAACAAGTTGAGAGAAGGCGGCGGCCTGATGATGGATGGTGCGATGAGCATTGATCCCAGGCCAGAAAGAGTTAATGGCGATCAGGTTACGCCCGAGAACGGCGGCCACGATGGCCATATGGAGATTGATAGTAGGGGAAACGCTAGGGGCCAGACTGAGCAACAGATTAAGGAACAAGAGAAGAGAGTTAAAAACATGGTTACAGGGTTGTGGAATCAGTCTGCTGCTGGACGGCGGTGAAATAACAATGGTATTAATTCTTTTTTTCTTTTCTAATCTTTATGCAGGGTTACACACAACTAGGTGACAAATATCCCTCAGAATTGTTATTGAGCTGTTATTGGATAAGAAGAATCGGTCTTAACTGACTACAAGTCTAAAACGCCCAAGGTTCTTAGTAGCTTGTAACCCGCAATGTATGATCAAAAGATCAAGTTGAGTTCCATATGCTGCTGGTTGAAATGATTTGTTCTTATGAAATTCGATTCCTAGAGACGGTATTATGCATATCCAAACAAGCAATATACAGTTAGTTAACCAAATTGTTGTTCTCACAGGTTAATAACGAGATAATTTGGAAGTTAGGGAAACGCAAAGTTAGAACAACGCTCAAGCCCACTGAAATCAGCCCCTAAGTCAACTACAAGGGGCTTGGAATTGGCAGCGTATCTAGCTATTGCTGTAGTGGAGGAGTTAGAGAAAACATGTTGTATTGGCATTCAATGATATTGTAGAACGCGCCTACACAAAAATTGATATGAAGTTGAAGAGGCTACAAGTAACACGGTCAAAAGCTGTTGCGGCTCAAGCCAGGAGCCCAAATTGACCATCACGTGATGTTTCGCATTTTCTTACTTTCGAGTTTAAATCGACAGCAGCGAGCGGCAGGACGATGGTTGTTAGTATTCCTTGCACATTGGCTGGTCACCATACTGCATTGGAAGCCTCGAGCGGTCAATATCCCATTCAACAATACCTAAATCTTTGACAGAGCTGGATCATCCCGAGCCGGCGGGCGTAGTGCCATACCCTACCCCTGATGCTCAAAGACTGACCACAACTACCCCGGATGCAGTCAGCAGTTGCTATTTATGCAGTCACTGGGTCAGAAAGGCTCTAGTTCCCTTTTGGATTACGGTGTATGCCGCCTGGTTCACCTTATAATGATACCCATAACTTCCTCTAACCGTGAAAAATCGCATGAGCTTTTGTTTTCGGTGCAAATAATTGACAAGCCCTAGAGCTCTACCTTCTTGCGGATTCATTCCCCATAGTTTGTTACTCTCTATTATCTGCTGCTTCTTACACGGAGGCAGGAGTTAGCCTAGCAAACTTCAGTACTCTCAAACCGCAATTATGACTTATGGTCTCAAGGAGTGGTCTTAACATTCACAGAGAATGTAGATAATTATACGCCGTACTACTATATTCTAAGGTACGGACCCACGCCTACACTCCTGCTTTAACTGTCATACCATATTGGGAAGTATTGATTCATCTGGCTATCGAAAAATCAGGATTAATGAGGGGTTAACACCCTCTGACTCTGTTCAATTAGACACATATCGCCTATATACATTCGATATCTAGCAGCTGAGTTTTCCACACTTGCGGCAAGAGGTTCTGACACCATAGTCGCAGGCCTTGCCGGTACTCTTAGCACACTCGAAGACGTGACCGTTAGTGCAGGCAGGGTTGACTCTCTCGTTACCGCAGAACTGTCCCTGAATTCCGTTGCAAAGACAGTTGCTTGGGCGGCAGGCCCTCTTGTCAAGCTATAAACACCCACCCATTTGTTAGTAAAACCCAATGGCATATCTTGGAGCACCTTGCTTACAGGACTTTCGGCACCAGTGGCCGCTGCAAGGCAGGCGGGCACAAAGGCAACAAGGGCGAAGACAGTAGTGAGCTATAATGAAACCAAGTCAGTATGTGGAATATAATCACCAGGAAAGATGAAGTTCACCTTCATGTTTTCTGATCAAAGGGATATTGTTGGGTTCAAATTGTGGGGCTGTTCGATTTTTGTGTTGTTGGTCTGGTGAAAAGCAGATGAACTGGGGAAACGTGCTCCTTTATATATTTCACTTCGGGTCATCTACATTTCTTTTTGTCCTACTATTCGTCTTTGACCACGGTCCGGGTTATACGGGTATCATGCCGTCTCTCATGCCGTTGGGAGTACCAGGAAGCCCACTCATTGGTATTTTCCACTCAACAAACAGCCAAGTATCACACTCTCGGCAAGAAGCTAAAGCTTGGGTGATAGCCGGTAGATCCCTGCCGTTACTTATCACTATTAAATCTCGTATAGCCTGCTTGCTCCCAACTTCATATGCACGCTGCCTTGCAAACACGAGAACAAGTATTAATGTTGGCGTAGGACGCCTGAATTCCGCTCTGCAAGGAGACATGCAGGCGGGATATCACAGCAACGGACGGTGCGATGGGTTAGATTCAGGAGGCGTTATGATTGAAGGATTCGAAAATGCACGCCGAATGGAGATCTTGCTTCGTATACTCCCGTGCGCTTTGTTTGGCATTTTCCTTCTCCGGACTAGAAGATGAATACTCCGTATATCTTCATCGCTGACCTGACCAGCCAGATATTGCGGAGTTTTCTAATATTAGAATTTGTACGCGGTAATTCTCTCCAGGTCTCCTGACGATCCACTTTTCTCGTTTTCATAGCGTTCTGCGCTGGACGTTGCTATTTCTGAATAGTTTCAGATGTCTCCGGAGAATCTCCGGTGGGCGTTTTTCGCATAATTTATGGGCTCTTTGTCTTCAGAATCATCAGCAAGGAGGAGGGAGGGGGGGGGGGGGGGGGGGGGGGGTTTTTTTTTTTTTAAAAAAAAGGGGAAATACGGAGTATGAACTACAATACCCCATAGACCGGCAGTTGAGGCTCAAGGCTGAACATAGTTTCATTGACCTAGTTAGCTGGCAAGTAACTAGTTATAGAGGCCCACGGCGATCGTTCGTATTTTGCTGGTAATATTACCAGTGAAGGGTCATCAAAAATGTTTGCCCAGCAATCAATAGGCCCTGTTTTCTCATTTTATGAAGATGGCTCAAGCCTTTCAGCTCTCCCTACCAGGTCGCTACGACACTCAACAAATTGCACTGTACGGAGTAAGTGAAGCACATCCCAGTCATGTGTTTTTTGTCTGCCTTGCTGCAGAGAGCGGTAACTAGTCTGCTGGCCCACTGGATAGTTATAAATAGCTTCATATCGAGTAGGTAGATTAAGTACCACACGGAGAAGAATACCTATCTGGGGGAAGAAGGTGAGATTAAAAGTATCCCAAGCTTTCAAAATAACCCCTCACACGACACCATCGAGAGAACGAGAGAATATGAAATTATGTGTCGGTTATGCCTGCAATCGATTGGCTGACGTTTCTTATGCCACGGTTAGTATATTAGGGTGAATGTAACGGCAGAGAGCTGGTGCTGGACCGGTTTACAAGAGATTCTACTGAGTACTCCGTACGTGGCGTTGATTCCTGGAGATTTGTGGTAAGCGACAACGAATTTTTTGCTTGGCCAGATGTCGCCCAATATAAAACTTACGTGAACCATTACGAGTCGGGTCTATGAAAGAGTGAGTCCGTGGCTGGAATATAAAATCTTATTGCCATATGGTTAGGATAAAGTCATAAACGTATATCGTTGTCCTGTGAAGGCACCCTCTCATCGCCTCCTAACGTGACGCCTCTAAGGTAGCTAAATGTTCAGGAGAAGATTCAACCCACTTTCTCCACTCTTGCCATTCGGAATATGATGCACTGGCTCTAAGACCCTGGTATCTGACAGTCTTGAATTCAGACATGGCTTCCCAGGGCCTGTCTGGGTTCCCACCGCTCGAGCTCCCGGACCGGAGGAACCGACGAGTGACACTACCAGCACTCGAGGCTCCTTCCCAGCCAGCCTTTCTCATTAGGCTCTCAACGGTCTCTTCCTTCGTCCACCCCTGGTCGACAGCAACGTCTGGAAGATAGGTGGCTCCATATCGTCTGCCTCTGTGAACAAACGATATGCGGATCCCATGCGTCCCTAGCTCCCAGTCAAGCGCATGAGAACAAGTCTCAAAGTTTGAGAGAAGAGTAAGGGAGCAGGAAAGTGAGGGAAGAAGCTGTAATGGTATCGGGGAAAATCTAGTGTCTCCAAATGCCCTAAATGGTTGTGAGTTAGCATGTTATATTTTTAAGCAGACTTTCCTTGTACGTGGTTCCATACGATGTCAACGCATATGATTTCAGACCAGAGCTAAGCTCCTGGGCATCAAAAGTGCCAATACAGCCTCGGAGGGACTTGTAACCACTCCTGGAGACTGTGTTCCAAGTCACAAAGAGTGGGTATGATGCATCTGGAGGGGTACTCCGAAGGGTCTCGCTGTAACTCGGTTTGAGCGGAGAAAAGATAGATGAAGTATTAGGGCTAGGGCTAGTAGATATAGAAGTATTGCTCGTCAGTGCGGAGCGAGAAGAACTGGTAGACAGTGCTGGTGGTGTTGAGGTCGATACACTGGAGGAACCCGACGAAGCCGCGCTTTGAAGACGGCGAATACTAGGTGGCTGTAAGGTGCTCGAGAATGGTTGTTCTTTGTCCATATCATCCTGCGGCTCTTGACCACTAGTGTCTACAGGAGGTTCAACAGAAGCTCCCACTTCCAAGTCTTCATTGTCTGCTGCACGTAAAGTAAGAGCCTTTGCAGTTTCAAAATCTGTCCATAACTCTTCTACTACAGAGAGCTTTGGAGGTTTACCGCCATCAAAAGAGGCTGCTAGCGTTTCGAAGCAAAAATAGCATTGTGCAGGAGTAGCCATATTTGAGGAGCCTTGTCTTTTAAGGACGCTGAGTAGGACTGATATATAAATGATTCGGCAATCAACAGACAGGAGGAGATTATATCATGTCAACAGATGCAGACAATAGGGATGCCTGGCCACCAGATGATTGCGGGCTGAGCAAGAGCGGAAGAGAGGGCGCTTTCCCCGGGGTTTTAGCTTGTACTTGCAGTGTTTCCCGGCGTGATCCCCGCAAGAGAGCTTCGGTTGTATCCTGCCCTCCTTTATAGTTGAAGAGCCGCTGGTGCTGCAGCCTGTGCAATTATTATGGCGGGATCAAGGCAAAAGTGGACGTTGAGAAAGAGTTGAAGTTGGAAAAGTCTTTTTGCAACAAGAGGACAGACGTCATGAGTTGCGCTTAGTCATCATGTCTTGGCGCTGGTCGCATGAGCCTGGCTTGCGGCTAGCTGCCTAACAACACCACGTCCGGCGAGTGTATTGGCTGGGCCACCATCAGTAGCGGTATGGGCTGGGACAAATCACTGGCCAGGGAGGGTGAATATGGCGCGGGAAGACACATAGCAGGTTCTACACCTACGGGCGGAGTAAAACTGCCATTAGTATGCTATTTCCACTCACGTTGGCACGGAAGCTCGGCATGAAAAATAGCCTGTAGGCATTCAGTCTTCACCTGGGAGTCATCAGAGTCGATTTAAGGAGTTGCTTGAGCTAGGATTTGGACATCACGCCCTTCATAGGTTTTGCTTCCACTGACTGCTAACTATACGGGGTATTTATATCGATCTAGGCAGTGGGAAACCAGACAAGCATTTGCGCAAGTTTGAAAACTGGCGAGAATTCAATATTAAGCCGTTAGAAAGCTGAACAGCTACCCAAATATATATGCGGCGTTAGATCCAAGTCTCAAGGGTATGTGTTGCACTTTTTTGAAAAGGCGCCCTCGTCATTATACCATATCATTGTATACTGTTGTTTTGGGTACTAAACAAGAGGGCCTATATGATTGACTGCAATATAGTGGACCCTATACTAGCAGACATGGATCACCACTTACATCGAAGCGGAAAGACTGGCGATTGGGTGGGGAGCTTGTTGGGTAGGAATATGCCTACTTTCATGCAAGTTTTCTTCATACATAGAATCTTATCCACAGCTGCGAACAAATGCTTGTGTCTTTTATCCGGGTCTCCAGCCACATTCTACCAAGTATTAGCATAAAACATGGAATACGAATGGCCATTTATTGGCTGGCATTCGACCACTTCGGGCTTATCAATACCCCGCTGTCAGGGAATTCACCGCCTGGCAAAGCGATACATGCAGCATGTCCGGCAGTTGTACAGCCTGTGGGTGGGAACATGAGCCACATGGGTAGCTATTCAAAATTCAGGGTATTTGAGATGCGTATGGGTATTAAGGCAAGCATTTTCTGCAGAAGAGAGTACTCATATCGGAGGTTGAAGGGATAGCAGTAGGAAACCGTGTGTAGAGCCTCAAGGAGATTTGATGCCGGGCTTAGGTTTCCATGTTGTTGGGAAACGATTGATAGGCCCTCCAGCCATCAATCTTTGCAAGAGCAATCGCAGGGTTATCCACTTACACATAAGCGCTCATATCATTTCCGGTCACCTTTGGGTATTTTCATCCCCATCATACCCAACATGTTGCTCCCAGGACCAGACGAGCCACCCTGACTTCCGAGGCTCTCGAGTAGATTTCTTGCCAGGTTGATGTCGACTTCGTTCTCGTCAAGATCATATTCATCATCACTCTCTTCTTGATGGACGCTACCAACCCCATTGCCCCTTATAGGAGTCTTTCCCTTGGCAGCCTTCTTGGACTTGAATTGATCAAAAAACCCGGCTTGCCGTAACTCCGCTTCCATCTTCTTAGACATGTCTTCGATTTCGCCTGAATCATCGTTACCATCACTGGATCCCCCGTCAAGGTCTTGAATGCGTTTGGGCCTAAACGAAGACCCCTTATTCGAGGCAGTTGGCATGCCCATCATCTCCTTCATCATCCTTGAAAACTCCTCATCATCAAATGAAGCCTCCTTGTCCTCACCGTCGCTACTGAACTCCTCGTCAGTGTCACCATCACTGTCATCTGATCCCAATTCGTTAATAAGCCCTGCTCCATCGTAACCGGCGGTGTCATCATTTAGAAATTCCTCAAACTTTGAGACTATTCTCTGCAAATTCTCTTGTGCAGCTTTATCGCCGAAGTCACCAATCCTTTTTGCCTTTTCCCCGCTACCTCTTCCTTTTAGCTCACTTTCAAGGTCTTCGAAGCTAATGTCAAGCCACGATTCATCATCATTAACCATATCCCAAGTTTTTATTTCCGTATCCGTAGGAAGAGCCTCTTCTCCTGTGTCAACATCTTCGAGAATAAGTTTCATTTCTCGTACGTATTGCTTATCACGGTTCTGGGGGTCAGACAAGAGCATTTCAAAGCCGCAAGCTAATTTCATTCCCATATCAGCACGCTCAGAATCCTTTGAGTTTTTGGTCGCGGGAACACGGCCCTTCCATTTTGCTGGTGGTGGAAAATCCTGACTTTTTAACTGGGCAAACCCAACCTTTGTGAACTTGACACTGACTGTGACAAAATCTGTAGGTTCAAATACTAAATTACTTGGATCTTTACCCTGCAACGGCCGAAGTGAGATGGGATCCCGGAGATAAAAGGCTTCTATAGCCGAAGATATATACCCTGGCCTGGTCCGTAGTAAATGCGCGATCTTTCGCGGAATGGTAACCAGAGAAGAATGCAGGTTATTCTCAATTTGGTTTGGGTAGTTCCGGAGTCTATAAAAGGCCTCCTCCTCGATTGTGGGCGACCGCATCAACCGTTTGGACTCGGTGGTAATGATGTCCCTCGCGTCGCGGAAAGTCAGCGTTCCAGCGTTGCCTTTCTTTTTTGCTGTAGTAGTTGTGGGCGTTCCAGGCTTAATGATGACTAGCTCTCCCTTGTTGATCCAGACCTGAATCAAGGATTAGCATGTATGGATATACAAGTTCTTTTAGAAGTTGACGCTGTTTGCCTTACCCGGTTATCTGCTATTTCAGGCTCTAACCAAGCAGGCAATGCTGCCGCGGCCTCTACTAGTAAGAATTCACCATCACTGTCTGTTACCTTCACCCAGAGATTATCAAACTTTCGTGAAACCTCACGCAGGAGGTATACGATGACCCATTCATCTTCGATTGAATCTCCATATTCGGTTCTTCCGCGAAGTAAATGTATGCCTAGACGATTAACATACCGGTTAGCACGGTATAGCAATTTGTGTTAAACCGCAGGAGAGGAATAAAACGAAATTACCATCTTCCTTTGTAAGCTCCAGCTTGAAATTATCTCTCTGCCATATGTAGTTCTGCAAATACTGTTTGACTAATCCCGACGCGTACTTCTGCACTTCAATCAGAGAATTTCGGGTTGAGTCTGTTGAGTCCACATCTCCAGTGGAAGCGCTGGTCCCCAGAATCCAGTACAGGGAATACTCCACACAGTCATCCGGGAGCTGAGGTTTAGGGATGGGTCTGAACGTAGACCGGAACCACGCAATGTCTTCTTCAGTAGGACCGGCCATACCTCGTACTCCCTCTGCTCGAGTCGTTTTCGAGTCTCTTGTGTGTCTATTCCATCTCGTATTTTTTCTTATAATTTTTGGCCGCTTTTCTTTTTTTTTTTATATATTTTAGAGTTTTGATGACCTCATCGCAGCATCCGGCATTACATAAATCCATGAGTGGGGCGCTAACCCCGAAAGAGCTATATGTAAACAACGTCACAAACACGCCAAAAAATTCACGGTTCGGCTTTTGATCCCTTTTTCGACTCCACGATGGTGTTCCAACTTGGTTATCTTTAATATAAGATCAAGTATCGCGTGGCGGACCGGCTAACGATTTACAGGTCTGAGCGCGCTACTTAGTGCCTCGAGCTGTCAACATGGCATTTCCCTACATCGACACTCCACGCACCGAGGTGGATGGAAACGCGACCTTTGTCACCCAGGGACAGCGAAGTGCAACACGCCATAACCTTTCTGCACTGGACTCAGTTGAAAATTCGTTTGTATCGCCAACGAGAGATCACGATATATTGCGTGAAAATTCCGATTCGCGCAATCGACAACGCAGAGTCTCGCTTCGGACCCCTCGAGCAAGCCAAATTCTTAAATCAGCCAGACTCGATAAACGAACATTGCCAAATTCAGCATTGCCCAAGGGGGAGTTTACTCCGCTCATGAATAGCGTTACGAAGAATAACTTCTTGCGGACTGGTGGTGATCGCGCTCGAGGTGTGCCGGCCACGCCCGCGCTATCGAAAATAGATGAAAGCAATATATACGAAGGAGCTTCCATTAATAGCTCCGCCTATGATGCGACTCCCGTGCCTCAGGGCGCACCAAGTAGCGGCCACAGTACCCCATTACCTACCCTTCCCCAAAGGGATGGCGCGGGTGGGGTAATTTGTGATGGACAGAATATGACTTTGAGGGAACAAGAAAATGTACGGGTTCTCATCTTGCCCTTTCCAAGAACTTAGACGGCTACTATGTAGGTGGAATAATCTGTACTAACCCTTCTTCTTTACAGATTATCAACAAGTTTGATAAAGAGAATTTTGGACTCAAGTTGAAAATACATTATTTGGAGGAACAGCTAAGGAAGGCCGGGCCTGAGTTGAACCAAGCCGCCCTGAAAGAAAATACGGAACTCAAAGTGTCAAAGCTTACAGTACAAAGAGATTTACATCGATGCAAAAAGAGCCTTCTCCATGCTGAACGTGACTTGGAATCCTGTCAGCTGCAGCTCCAGGAGCTCCGTGCGAAGCTGACTTCGAAACAGTCTGATAGCACAGCCCAGGAAACAATAAAATGGATGCGTCAAGAAATGGAGTCCAAAGACGCGGATATAGCAGATCTTCAGGAACAATTAAGATCAACGGAATCCAAACAGGCGGAGGAGGCTGCCAATCTAAGGGAAGAAATCAATGAGTTGGAATATACCATTCGAGAGAAAGACAGGCGTATTGAGGAAAAGGAGGAAGAAATTGACAATCTACAATCTAAACATGCTGATGAAAACGCCAATATGGCTGACTTGGAGACAGAGCTTGAAGATGCCCGAAACAAAATTGAAGATCTTCAGGATAGCCTTGAGCGGGCAAGGACTGAGACCGAAAATGCCGAAACGGCTTGCGAGCAAGCTCTCCAGGAAAAGGAACAAGCTGTCGAAGACTTGAGAGAACTTCAAGACGAGATGGCAAATAAATCCATTTCTGCGTCAGGGCTGACTCGTCAATTGGAGGAGAGAGCAAATAAACTAGAGTCAGAGCTTACCACTGTTCGACAGCAATATGCCACTCTTCAAGAAAAACTGGACGATAAAGCACAGTTTGAACACCGCTTACAGGAGCAAATCAAGGATCTGAGACAAGAGCACTCATCAACAGAACGCGAACTGATCTTCCTTCAGAAAGAACATGCCAATTGTCAAGGAAATATTGAGGATAAAATGCATTCTGAAAATAGATTGCAAGAGCGGATTGAAGATCTTAAGCAAGAGCTTTCATCAGCCAAATCTGATCTGCAGCATGAGCTTGAGCAGGCTCGTCACGAGAAAGCAATTGCAATTCGTGACCAGAAGTCCACTTTAGCTCGCCTTCAGGCTCTTGAGGATGAATTACAACAGAAAGGAGAAACTAAGACCCTTCTGCAAACCAGGCACGATGCTTTGACAAACGAATCAAAAGCCCTTCAGGGAGATCTGGATCGAGCAAAGAGGGCTATTGCCCAGCTGGAAGAAGACGCAGCAGCTGAACGACAAGAATCGCTGAATACGTTGGAAGAAATGAGACACCGCCACAAAGATGAGATTGATCGACTGAATTTGCAGATTACTACACTTCGTCGTGAGGTAGACAAGAAGGATTCGTTATTCAATTCGGACTTGGACAAGTGGGAAAACATCAAGCGATCACTAGAATTGGAACGGGACCGGGCACTGCAGCAAGCTGAGGCACATAAACGAACAGTTGACAGTCTTCAGCAAATGGAAACGACAAAATCTGGGCGGGAGAAGAGATTGCAGGATATCATTGACAGCGAGAAACAACGACGTCTCCGGCAGGAAGAACTCCTCACTCGTCAGATAAAAGAGCTCAATGATGACATTTCATCTAGGAGGGAGGCATCCGAAACCCAACGATCTGAGCTACTCTCCCTGAAGGAACAGCTCAGAGTCAGCCGGCGTGAAGAACAAACCCTCAAGGAAAAACTTCAGGGTTTGGAAGACGAAATTATAGTTCTGCAGGCCAGCTTGGAAGAAGAGCAACAGTATGCTTTGGCTCAACGGAAGGCTGGCAGCTTAGACACCGGCAGTCACCTACAGAGTATAGCACAGGAGAAGCAGGCCCTTGGAGAACAGCTATCTGCCACGAAATCGGAGCTCAATGAACTCCGAGTCACCCTTTCTGAGGTAGAAGCTGAGAGAGATGGCCTCCAAGATGAACTTGCTCAATATGACCATATCGGCGATGCAACTCGAGTAGATCATGAAAAACTCGAGCTGAAGAAGGCGAAGTTACGTCTAGAGCGAGACGTTATTCGGCTAAACACCGAGAAAAGTTCATTGCAGGAAGCCAAAGATGCCCTTCAGAATGAGGTGGACAATGAGCTTGTCCGTGCTGCGGCAGAGGAGGAGCGCCTCGCTGCAGAAATCAGCCGATTACAAGACAAGTTATATATGGCTGATGATAAGAAAGATCGCGAGCTTCTCTCATATAGGAGCAAGACTACTCGACTTGAAGCCCGCCTCAAGGACCTTGAAGCTCTTCTTCATAACTCTGTGCCATCGGAGCCTGTGTCTCCCCCGGAACATGCTGATGCGTCCATATTCCGCCAATGCCTAGCCGAAACTCGGGAGCGTGAGAGAATTATCCTCCAGCGAGAATCAAACTTGAAATCAAGTATTCGACTGCTTAAGTCTCGTATCACTGATTTGGAGAAAGAGAACCATGATCTTCAGATTGCGAAATATGAAGGCAGCTCTCCGATTCCCTCTTCCCCCGCTTCACGGCTCCAGGAAGAATTACGAAATCTCCGTGCTCAGAATATTGAAGCTCACAAAGCCTTGAAAGAACTAAAGGCCAAAAACCGTGAACTTGAACAGCAAAGGTATTCTGCCAACGAGGAGAGCCAGAATTTTAGTGAAGTACTTGATCTTTCTACCCTCGATCCAGAATCCATCGCGGCCAAGTTATCCAAACGTGAAGCCCGCATTCATGAGCTCGAAGTTGACCTCCAACGAATACGCGGAGAGCGATCTACTGCTCTTAAGAATCTCAACGCAGCAGATCGTAGGATACGGTTACTGCAAGACCGCCATCCTAAAGCTATTCAAGATATGTTGAAGCAATTGGAAAAACAGAAGAGTCGACATGACAGAGAATTGGAGGTTCTGCGAATGGAGCTTCTCTGGAATCAAGTACGTTTGATCCGAGCAGAGCAGTTCCGTAGGGACCTTGCCTGGTACAAGGAAGTATCGCAGTACAGAGAACAAGAGAGGATTAGAACTACTTGGTATGTGTTTTCCTTTCACCGGCAGTGATATGATAGTTCTAAACTAACATTGTTTGAACAGTGCCCAAATAGAGCGCCAGATGATAGCTAATATGGGTATAGTGGTATCTGAAGCCACCGAGCAACTGAGTCCTATCCAGAAATTCAGAGCTGGTATTTCAGTCGCACTGTTCATCGCCCGAGCAAAGAGAGTGACAATTGAATGGAAGAAGAACTCACAAATAGGAGACCTGGTCAAGAGAGCCAAGAAAGACCAGCACAGAAAACACGGAAGAGTACTACAGAGATGAGGTACATATCGCAGAAGAATTCTTTGTCAACGATTATGGATCTTTTTGCTGTTTCTCTGGGCCGTATTGATTACATACTTCTCTATTGTTGATTAGGTTGATAGCGTTCATTTCCTCGGCAAGAGGAGGCAAAATCCGGGGTTTGGCTCCGGCGTTTGGGTATAGGAATCTGTTTATATGAGGCAATAGGCTGCGTTGTTTGGCAAGTTGTATATCAAAACTGGCTATGAGTTATATTTGCGGCTGAATCTGATAATTGGTTCATTACTCCGTTCGCTAATACGACAATGACTGGGGTAACTAGGAAGTCTTTCAACATGATGTCCTAAGTGTAAGGGAAAATACGCCCGTAAGGAGAGCGCAATAAATAACTGGAGGTTGTTGTGAACGCGAGGCAGTAGGAACCTAAGCGCCCTCGCTTCCAAACAATGCCGTCCACTCTGCACTTTTGGCAAGGTCTTCGGGGCTAACAGTCGGTCGAGATCCCTTGACAGCCTTAACAAAGTCTTTGAGAACAAGCGGAGGCTCAAGGAGCTCATCTTGGTTTACATCCACCCAGGTCATTTCCATGGCCCCCTGATCGCCTGGAGAGCACGGAGTAACTTTTTGCACTCCATCCACCATTACCTATATATAATGATTAGCCATGAAAGATGTGAAAGAAACTAAATCGTTGGTTAGGGGGATCTCACGCACCTTTTTATAATGAGTGGCAGATTGGATCTTGCGAATAGGTTGCATAAGTGCGTCCTGAACCGCAATGTTTATATCACTTCCCGAATATCCTTCGGTCAGTTCCGCGAGAGTTCGGTAATCAGGCACCGTTAGCTCGCACGGTGTACTGCCTATACTTATTTTGAACATTTTCATCCGTGCAGCCATATCTGGAAGACTTATATAGACCCTTCGCTGGAAACGGCGCCGAATTGCCGAGTCTAGCTGCCAGGGAATATTCGTCGCTCCAAGGATCAACACTCCGCTTGAGTCCTTGCCGACACCGTCCATTTGGACAAGCAGCTCTGTTTTGATGCGACGTGACGCATCTGGTTCTCCTTCGCCACGGGTACCACAAAGGGCATCTATCTCGTCGATAAAAACGATGGCAGGTTTATTTTCTCGAGCCATATTGAAGAGTTGCTTAACGAGCCTAGGTATCATTACGTATTAGTGAGTGTTTATTGCATAAAATCTGAGATCATGTCTGGGAACTAACCTCTCACTCTCTCCCATCCACTTCGAGACGAGGTCACTACTGCTCACGCTGAAAAATGTGCTCTTTGCCTCTGTGGCCACTGCTTTGGCCAGATAGGATTTACCTGTCCCAGGTGGCCCATAAAGCAAAATTCCTTTCCAAGGTTGGCGGTTCCCTGTAAAGAGTGACGGGAATTTAATGGGTAGTATGACGGCTTCTTGGAGAGCTTCTTTCGCGCCTTGCAGACCAGCAACGTCTTCCCACCTTACGTTGGGCTTGTCCGTTAATATAGCCCCTGCCAAAGCTCCGCGAAGCTTTTTCGACTCGGCGTCCTCATCGTCATTGTCACCTTTGCTAGAAATGGAGAAATCCACGTTAGAAATCAATTTTAAGCTGATACTGGAGATACGGAATCCAAACTCACCCTCCTTTCCCACTGCCATGTGCAATCTTCCCATTTGCCCCAACTGCACTGGGTTTCTTCCTATTATCAAGTCCCGCAAGGTGGTTCTTTAATTTCTCTGCCCTCTCCATGTACTCTCCGGTCTTTGCCCGGATCATCTCCTTCGACTTGGGGGTTTTCTCCCATTTTAGAGCGAGCATGAACAGCTCGAGGGCCGAGTAGTATGTCTGGTATGCCTTCTCATAGTCGCCCGCATTATCAAGTTCAATCGCGCTCTTCACGGTGTCGATCGCCCGGCCGAGGAAATCGGTGTTGCTCATGGTGTCCACTCTTCTAGGTGTGTAGTCTGACAAAAAGAAAACAAAGAAAAGATCGCAGCACTGCTCAGTCCGTTGGCAACGCTGTCAAAACAGCCTTGAATGAGGGGGGAGGATCGATAGGCGTTTGGCGTTGGGTCCAAAAAGGCGGTACTTCGAGAAGGGCAATGAGAGGGAAACCGGGGGGGTCTTTTTTTAGAGTATCTCTGGGGTAGTATGCATATCGTTGATCTCTGCAAGAAGAAACGATCGTCTGTACGTCTGGAGGTGAAAAGTGGCAGCCTAAATCCGCAAAATATCGATGTTGCCTCCGTTGTTGTTTGGACTGACCCCAGCTTCGACTTTCAGGCCCTTTTTTCTTTTTGGGTTGCTGGGCGAGCGACTCAGAGATCCGCGATTAGATAAGAAAACGGCCAACCGGGCGACGACGACACCGCAGGCACATTCAAGACTTGCAAGCCCCTTAAGCGCTGACGAAGACCGATTTTAAACATGGCAGACGCCCAGAAGCAGCTTCAGGCTCTCAGTGAAGAGTATCAGAAGCTTCAGACCGGTCAGCCATTTGCGACTATACCTCCCCCAAGGTGGATGGTTAATTAGGACTCCCTCCCCGCTAACATCTGCCCCTCGGTATTTACAGAGCTCGAAGAAGCTATCGCAGCTCGAGAAAAGCTTGAAGCCCAGCAGCAGGAGAATACGAGTGTACAGAAGGTGAGAAGCTATGCTGTGTTAATTGGAAAGATGCCATTGCTGATGGTTGGACGCTGGCTAGGAGTTCAAAACGCTCGACGATGATGCAAACATATATAAACTCGTTGGACCAGTGCTTTTGAAGCAGGATAAGACAGAGGCCGTTATGGCTGTCGAAGGCCGCCTGGATTTTATAGAGAAGGAAATGTACGGTGAAGACGTTTTACGAAGCAGGTGTGGCTATCCTTGACTGCGATGCTGATTATTCTATCGACAGCAAACGAATCGAGAAGCAGATCACCGAGATACAGGAGAAGAGTGACAATAAGAGGGGAGAGGTATGTTGCTTGCATTTCTTTTCTCAGGCTTTTCTGGGACCATGGCTCACCTCTATAAATAGATCATTCAGCTACAGTCGCAATTGCAGCAACCACAGCCCGGTGGAGCTCCCGTAGCCGCTCGAGAATAATCACAGTTATGCATTTGATAGATTCAGAGTAACGATGATTATTCCAATTACCTACCGCCAAACTACTCAGATGCCTAGGAGATGAATACTGAGTCCTACGAATGAGAGTCTAGAAAACATATCCAAGTCTCTCTATCGGCAATAGGAAATAGGCCAAGGCCGTCAATATACCCATAGCCAAGCACTGGCTAGATAGAAACCGTCATTGAAAGCGGCGACAAGCCCTGCTCTTGCTAGCCAGATCTAGCACTATTAACTATTGACCAGAAAAGTCATATAATCAAAAAAGACATAATCAATATTTCTCTTCTCTCTTCAGAACACGCGAGCTTGAATCCTACGCACTCTAGGACATCATTCTATGAATGCATCAACTTGTTCTTCCTATATTTACAACCTTATCCAAACGACCTCCATTTTACACACTCTAATTCTAGAGATAGGTATTTACTATCTATCCTTCTATGCCTTGACAAGCAAGCTAGTGCCGTCCATTTCCTCTGGCTGCTCAATACCCATGGCCGCAAGAACTGTGGGAGCAACGTCACCAAGAACACCCCCTGATTTCTTCAAACTCCAGCCTTCAGGAGCGTTTGCCATGACGAATGGAACAAAGTTAGTGGTATGAGAAGTCTTAGGTGTTCCATCTGCGTTCTTCATCTCCTCGGCGTTTCTAGAAAGAAACATTAGTTTGATGATACCACAGTGGACAGGCTCCTACATGTGAAAAACACTCACCCGTGATCAGCAGTGACGAATAGGATGTATCCATGTTTCTTGCAGGCTTCATAGACGCATCCGATGGCAGCATCGGTGGCAGCCACACCCTTAATGGCGGCTTCATAGACACCGGTATGGCCAACCATGTCTGGCGGAGCAAAGTTGTTCATCAAGAATTCGTACTTGCCGTCGGCGATTCTTTCCGCAAGCTTCTCTCCAACTGGCTTTGCGCTCATCTTAGGGTCGAGATCATAAGTTGCAACCTTGGGAGAGGGTATCATCTCTCTGTCTTCGCCTTCGAATTGCTTCTCAACACCTCCGTTGAAGAAGAAGGTGACGTGGGCATACTTCTCAGTCTCAGCAATGTGGCATTGCTTAAGCTGCTTCTTGCTCAACCACTCGGCAAGGACGTTACCCATATGTTGGGGGGCAAAAGCAATTGGGAAGGTATAGTCGGTCTTGTATCTGGTCATGGTGGTGATAGAAATGCTCTTGGGGTAAGGGAAGTCTGGCTTTGGAGACCGATCCACATCTCCCAGGAGCTGTGTGATTTCTCTGACACGGTCTGAGCGGTAGTTGAAGAAGAAGAGGGTATCATTGTCTGTGTTTACCAAAATTAGCGACCTGGTTGAACCTCAGAACCCTGCGGAGTGTTGGCAGAGTTGCTTACCTTGGACTCTGCGTTCCTGGCCACCGAAGATGATTGGCTTTAAGAACTCATCATTTTCACCCTTATCGTACCTCTCCTTGATCGTCTTGACAGCATCGTGGCTCTCCTCACCCTCCCCGGTGACAATACCCTTCATGGCGACCTCGATGCGGTCCCATCGCTTATCACGGTCCATGGCATAGTATCGGCCAACGACGGTAGCTAGTTCACCTACACCTAGCTCTTGGGTCTTCTGCAGCAGTTTTTCCATGTATCCCGCTGCACTCTTTGGGTCTGTATCTCTTCCATCGCCGAAGAAGTGGATGAAGACCTTTGGCACGCCCATATCCTTTGCTACCTGAAGCAAGCCAAACAGATGGTTGATGTGAGAATGCACTCCACCATCGGAGATAAGACCAAGCAGATGGAGTCTTCCGTTTCCATTCTTTGCATTCTCGAACGACTTGACGATGTTCTCGACTTTGCCCAGTTGGCCCTTCTTCAAGGTCTGGTCAATGCGGACAACGTCCTGCCACACAACTCGTCCGGCACCGATGTTCAGGTGGCCGACTTCACTGTTGCCCATGAGGCCCTCCGGAAGGCCAACGGCAGTGGAAGAGGCATCAATCTCGGTGTATCCCTGGGCGGTCTTGGATCCCTCCTGAGCGAAGCCAGACATCACCGGGGTCTCAGCAGCGGCAATGGCATCACCATCCTTGGGGGAATCGGGGCCTGGAATTCCCCAGCCATCGATAACAACTAGATACTAAGTCAGTATATAAATCCTACCGATAGACATTATCACCTAGAAGTGCCCATCTATAGAGCGTCCCTCTGAGCATCAACAAACGGAGAAGATATTCAACGTACTCAACACCGCCTTGTTTTCTACCTTCGCCATGGTTAATAGAAGTGAACAGACACAATTGAGTGACGGTAGATCGATCAGCCAGAGCTATCAGCCTGTACCAGCGCAAGAGGTGCAGGAATCTCCAGAGCAATGGCGGGGGACGGCGAGAGTGATGGAGGGGCTTTTTCGCTGCGTTCCGGAACATCGTTTCTTCTTCCGCGCGCGAGTCCAGAAGAAGAAAAGAAAAAAATCCAACCGCAACGACGTCATTATTTCTCCAAATTCCCGCAAGAACACTCAACAAGCCAGGGGCCGTTGGACAGAGATACCAGAGCAAGCACCCTTGCATATCTCTTCCCGAATAAACAAGGAGAGACAACACTGCATAATATCATAATATTAACGATAATAATATAATGTCCGTCCAGCCGTCGCCGTCACGCGCAACGCCATCGCGAAAGACCCCCGGCGTCTCCTCCACGCATCCAAACACGCCGTCCATCCAACAGCCACAGGGACAATCACAATCACAGCAAGACGAAGCAATAATAATCAGCTCCTTCGATCCAACAGCCGCGCCTCCGTTTCCTCCTCCACAGACATTTGACATTCTCCCGCCCCTCCACGCCCTGCTGGCACGTCTCCTATCAAACCAGTCATCCAGCTTCGCTACCGGCCAACCGGGGGAGCCGGGCCTGTCTCAATCTACGGAGCAGACTCCCGGCGGCGGGATCGCGTCGTTGGACGGGCTGGATCCAAAATCATTGCTTACAGGAGCCAGTGCGGTGAAGATACGCATTCAAAAGGCGAGGAATGCAGTTGAGGAGATGCCGGATATTGAGCGGACGATTGCTGAGCAGGAAGAGGAGATAGTGATGTTGGAAAAAAGGATTGGGAGGCTGAGAGGTGTTTTGGATAATTTCAGAGGGAGAAGTGAGAAGCTTGCGGGCGGATTGTGATTGCCATTCTTTCAATTTGCGGTTTAAGGACGGCGGACTGTACGATAGACGAGCAGTGTTATGATACCAATTTCTTTTCTCCCTTTTCGATTTACCAGACAGTGAACTTTTGGGTGATTGATGGTCAAAAAGTCATGCATTAAATGTGAGCTAGGGCTTCAGACCAGGACAGCCGGTGATGAGACACGGTTGCCATCGAGATAGTTGAATGTACAAATATATAAACAAAAACAAAAAAGGAAAACCAGCATGAACTAAGCAGAAAGTTGATATCATCCCACCGAAAACACCATGGATTGCTTGTTGAAGATCCATAACACATATTTTGACCGGTCATCGCTCCCAAAAAAAAAAAAAAATCGTGATTGCACATAAAGGTTGAAAATTCATCGCTTTTTTTTTACCCACTTTTTTTTTCTTTCTGTTTCCGTTCGAAGCAATGCACCGGCTCATGAGATCAAAGGGAAGGGGAATAAAGGAGGAAAAGAGGTCAGAGAGGTTAGGGTATATAAGTCGACTTAGACTGGAAGAGGGAAGGTGTTGGCCCATTCGGCAATCTCCTTTCTGAGTTCAACGATCTCCTTGACCGAGTCATTGGCAACCTTGGCCTTGAAGTCCTTGAGCTTGTTGGCCTCCTTGGGCAGCTTGCTCTGGACATCCTTGCAGATTTTAATGGCGGTGTCAATGTAGCGGGTGATGCGCTTGAAGTCTTCCTCGCCCATACCACGAGAAGTCATGGCTGGAGCACCAATTCTGAGACCACAGGGGGTCAAGGCAGACTTGTCTCCGGGGATGGAGTTCTTGTTGCAGGTGATGTTGATCTGCTCGAGAACCGCCTCGACACGGGCACCGTCGAGGCCTCTGGGCCGCAGGTCGAGGAGAACCATGTGGCTGTCGGTTCCATTGGCGACGAGAGTGTGGCCGAGCTTCTTGAGCTCCTCCTCGACGGCCTTGGCATTCTTCAGGACTTGTTCCTGGTACTGCTTGAACTCGGGGGTATCGACCTGCTTGAGGGCAACAGCCAAAGCAGTGATGGTGTGGTTGTGAGGACCACCTTGGTGACCGGGGAAGACAGAAAAGTTGATTGGGTTCTCGAGGTCGTACATGATCTCCTTGCCAGACTTATCAGTGCTTCGGACTCCCTTGCGGAAGAAGATCATGGCTCCACGGGGTCCACGGAGAGACTTGTGGGTCGTGGTAGTGACAACATCAGCGTGCTCAAATGGAGATGGAATAACTCCAGCAGCAATGAGACCGGAGATGTGAGCCATGTCGACAATGAGATAAGCACCGACAGCATCGGCAATCTTTCTCATTCTAGCGTAGTCAATGAGACGGCAGTAGGCAGAGGTACCAGCAACAAGACATTTTGGTCTGTAGAGCTTAGCATTGGACTCGAGGAGGTCATAGTCAATGATGCCAGTCTCAAGATTGACCTGGTATGGGAACGTCTCAAAGTAGGTAGAGACAGCAGAGATCCTGCCATTTCACAAGATGGTTAGCAATTGCGCTTTGTCGACTCGTCAACTTGATTGGATATCTGTATCACGTACTTCTTAGTGGGAGTCTGGTAACCGTGGCTCAGATGGCCACCGTGGGGCAAGTCCAAGCCCATAAGTCTGTCATGGGGTCTCATCAAAGCCTGGTAGACCTGCAAGTTGGCAGGGCTTCCACTAAGGCACTGGACATTTACACCCCATTTCTCGGGGTCGAGATTGAAAGCCTTGAGGGCTCTTCGCTGGCAGGTCAGCTCGAGTTCGTCGATATGCTGGTTTCCGCCGTAGTAACGAGCTCCGGGGTATCCCTCAGAGTACTTGTTCGACATTGGAGAGCCCAGAGCGTCGAAGACAGCCCGCGAGGTCACATTCTCAGAGGCAATGAGCAGGATGGACTCCCGTTGGCGCTTGATCTCTTTCTCCTGTAGTGTCTCTGTCAGTAACCGCCCTACGGTAACTCGCCCAGCCAGCAGCAACCACAGGCCCCCAGAGGCAGCAGATAACAAAAATAAGCAGACGTACCATGATCTCAGCGATCTCGGGGTCAGAGTCAACGAGTGACTTTTCCATTTGCTGTTCGACAGTAGTTAGAATCGTAGTTCGCAGCCGTTTCGCTGGAGGGGTAGGTCAGCTCCGACTTACCTCGCGATGAGCCTGGGAGAGAGCGTAGGTAGACATGGCGACGAGACTTCAGCAGCGTAGATCTCAGGGTCAATTCCTTGATTGCAAAAACGCAACGATGCAGCAGCTGCTCTGTATCTTTTGGGGATTTGTTTGTTGATGAAAAGAAAGAAGCGAAGTTTCGGCGGTTGGTTTTTTCTCCTCCTCTTTTTTTTTTTCTGCGGGACTAAAAAGTTCGGTGGGGTTTTTGGTTGGTCGCTCTCTTTTTTTTTCGTTTCTTCCTGCTCTGGCCGTCGATGAAATAAATTCGCCGGAGTCGGAGCTTGCCAGGGCTAGAATTTGGTCATTATTGAAGATTATTTGCGCCCTTTGCGAGTATAGCCGTTGGGCTGATAGGCGGCGGAAGATAGAAGGACTAGTTATGGAAAAGTCGGAGATCTGGGGGACCGGAGAAATGGAGCATGGGATGGGCTTTTGGTATCCTTCTATATCTACATTATTATTTTTGATAGGCTCGGTTGATTTATGCCGACTGTTTCTTCTTCTTCCTCTTCTCTTCCTTGCGGGCTCTTCTCTCTTCCTCAGTCTCGTCTCTGTGTTTCTTGCTGCTCTTCTTCTGCACTTCGGGGCTGTCTTCTTTGCCCTTCTTCGCCTTCTTCTGCTTCTTTTTCTCGCCGTCTTCTCGGATCGGTAGGCTCTTCTTCGTATTTGAGCCTTCGTCTTCCTCTTCCTCGTCCGGCACAAGCACGGCGTCCTGTTTCCGCTTCTTATGCTTCTCCTTGCGATCTATGTCGGCTCCCTTGGGCATTTTGAACTGCTTAGCCGCTGGGCCCGGCTCCTCATCACTCCAGCCGATTGTTTCTGGGAGCTGGTCTGCCGAACCAAAGGGTTTGTAGCGCATCTGTAAATGTTGAGGCTGCTTTGGCGGTTTCTTCGTCAACGCCGATATGTCGATCGATCCATTGGCATGAAAACTATCTCCCTGCGGAATTTTGACGACCTGCTCTAGATGGTACGTTCGAGACACCGGAACCTTGTGTCTACGGTAGACATTGCCATTCTTGTCTGGCACAAGTAGTGATTTCTGCTTCTCAGAGCTCCCCAATTGGTTTTCTTGTAGCTTGTAGGCCGTTCCCTTGTGTGTTAGGACCGGCTCTCCGCTTGTGATTGCGTCCATGGCAAGGCTCTCTATCGATGACACCGGAATGCCAATGGGGGTTGTTATATGCCATAGTTGCTTTCCGTCGAGGTTAGATAGTAACTGTGATATGTCGCTAGGTTGGGTGGATGACTTCTGCATGAACTGGAATCCCTGCGGAGGCTTGTATGCTTTCGTTGGTACCGGGTCGACCGTATTTCTATATGGTAAGAGGTTAGTTAAGAGAGCACATCGATGTAAGGAGCTTCCATGCAGGCCAATTGCATACTCTTCTTGTATCGTTACTCTCTTCTTGGTAGAAGGTGGAGGCGGTGGTGTCTGTTCTTCAGAGGATTCATCTTCCGAGCTGGAGTCACTCGTTTCTTCGGCTGTTTCCTCTGTTGATTCAACGGGCTCCTTGCTTTTCTTCTGCTTCTGCTCCAGCTCCTCTGGGGACGTTGATTCCTCCTCACTCTCTGAAGAACTCGAGCTGTCCGAGACCGTCTCTTTGCTCAAGGGCGCCGCCTTCATCTTGTAATTTGCACAGCCGATTCGAAGCTTCCTATACCGAGTTTTCGTAGAATCGCACGCTTCTCAGCCAGAATTGGAACCACCGTCTCTGCAAAAAAAATACACAGGAGACGCTTCAAGTCTTTATTTTGTTCTAATATAAACAAAACAGTGATATCTCTGGTATTTTCATCATCATCTTCTTCTTGTCTTTTTTATTTTTTCATTTAAAACTTTTTTTCCTTTTGCGCCGAGCACGGGCCACATCCAACACTGATAAGATAAAAAAAAAAAAAAAAAAAAACGAACGAAAAGAAAAGAAACAAAATTCAGTTGACAGCGAGAGATGGAAGAAGATAACACTCGTTTAGCACTTGTTGGTCCCTGGAGTCATAAGGGAGGCTAGCCCAGACGATGAAGCGAAGGGCGACAGAACAATTGCAGCCGCGTAGGTTGGGATTCTCCTGATTTTCAATATGGACTTCAATTGCTAACCACTTCTACTGCCTAGCTCTCAGCGCTGTTGCTGCTCAAAGGGCTCGTCAAGCCAACGCTACGACCGAGAGAGCGCCTGCACCTGTGTGCTCGGGGGAAAGCTCATCGTCACAGGAATTAGATGCATCGCCGACTCCGATACCCCCTAACCAGGCCAAGATTCTCCAAAACCGTGCGCCCGGTGTCCGCAATGCCGTTCCAGGGAGAGCCGGTCAACGCGCGGGAGCGATAACGAACGGCAGTAGAAGGGAGCCTACGCAGCCAGAGAACAAGAGAGAGAGGTGAATCTATATCTAGTCAGTCATGTTGAAACACAGTTGCTAATAGGAAGTGCTAGGAATGCGCCTGGACCAGCTCAGGAGGGATTCATTCTGTCAAGGACCACCTTCACTCCAGATGATATCGTATACGCTAGAGATGACGCTCTCTGTCTACGGTTACGAGTCGGGGAGGTATGCTTGCTTGCACCTTTAATCAGTAAAAAGCACAAATTTCACTAATTGACAAGCAGTCACTGGCGATTATCGGCCGTTATGATCTCTGGGTAAAGCGAGGGGTAGTGAGCGTGATGGGAGCAAAGCTGTACCCGTGTGATCGTTTATACAGAGTCTATGCCCCGTCTACACACTCACTGCCTATTTTAAAGTCCATCTCGGGCCTGAATGGGTTTTCAGAATTCGAGCTTATTTCGGTGGACGATGGCCTGCCTGAGCTCGCGAAGGTATCGAACCTGTTCCATCGCATATGGAATGGCTCCATGGCGATATCGCCTCGATGCATGTTGACTCTCAGCAAGGAGGGTGCCTCGTTTTCACTCGTAAGCTTCCTTAGTTCTCTTAGGTATGACGATAGTGGGCATGCTAATTGACGAAAAATTTATTTATGGTAGATGGGTTCGTCTGTGGAAGATCCCTTCAAGCGCCATATTCGGCCACTGCATCTAGATAAGAAATGGAGTTCGATGATCCAGCGTCTATCCCAGCGCGGTAGGGATCTAAACGTTCTCACCTGCGGTCCAGGAGGGTCGGGGAAATCAACATTCAACAGATACCTGCTCAATCACCTACTCAGTCTCCAACCAGAGAAAGCAGATAACAAGGCGCGACACGGCGATGGCGTCCTATTCCTTGATCTGGATCCCGGGCAACCAGAGTATTCACCGATAGGCCATGTCTATCTAGCGCATATCCGGTCGCCTACACTAGGACCGCCTCTGTCGCACCCAGTCTTATGCCCAGAGGACGGCTCAATCATCCGAGTACATCATATCGGCAGCAGCTCTCCCAAGGACGACTCGAAGCACTATGTTCAATGCACTATGAACCTTCTACGGTACTACCATACAAGTATGCATGAAACTTACTCGCGGTGTCCGCTAATAATTAACTACCCCGGGTGGATCTTTGGGCAGGGCCTAGAGATTCTAACCAGATTTCTGGAGGCGCTTAGGCTATCTGATGTAGTATATATGAGCGAAACTGGACCGGAAGAAGTGGCTGGGCCCCTGAAGTCTGTGGCAAGTCAATCTCGCATCCCGTTCTGGACACTGCCCTCGCAGCCAACAGAGTATGCAACGCGCTCTCGTGGCCAGCTACGCCAGATGCAGATGCTATCTTACTTTCACATGCAAGAGAGTCGACATCCGACCAACGCATTCGTGTATGAGGAGCGAAGTTCGACCAGCGTGCACTGGTCTGCGACTCCTCTGTGCCATACGCGTGCGGTGAAAGTGAACTATTCGGGCAGCAGCCAAGGCATTCTTGGTGTGATGATAGCTGGTTTCCCTTACGATAAGGAGCATATACTCGATCTATTGGATGGGGCTATAGTGGCCGTCGTGGCAATCGAACATGCCGACGCCTTTAAACCAGTTCCCGATGACGTCGAGTCCATCGATATGCTCTTCCGAGCAGAAGAGGATAGTGGATTCGAAGACGCGGCTGAAGAAGTCGAAGGTGATACAGAAGAAGCAACATTGCCAGCAGCAGCAGCAGCGACAAAACGACAGGCCTTAGCCGAGAGACTACAGCCACATCTACACCGCACCAAGGAGGACATCCCTTATCTGTTCAGCGGCAACGGAACATGCGCGCATCTGAACCCACAGCACTCACACTCGCTTGGTCTAGCCCTGGTCCGGGGCATCGACACCTCCAGCCAGGCTTTGGAGCTTATCATGCCCATAAGATCTGCGGCTGTGCGTGATGCGTTGGAGCGAGGACATCAAATCGTGCTTGTGCGAGGCCATCTCGATAATCCTGACTGGGCCTTGACGGAGGAGTACTTTGCCGCTAAGTGGGCGCACAAACACCTTCCTGCACAGCTGCAGAAGATGCAGAGCGAGGGGAGGAGCCGAAGAGAGCGGGAGATCTATCAGGAACGGCTGAAGCAGAGGCTGTACAGGGCAGTGCGGGTGCCGTGGGTACAGCCTGAGAAGACAAAGAGTGGGAATCTGGAGAAGAACCAGAAGACGAGGGCCATCTGGAAGCTAAGAAGAGACGACGAGGCCGGGGACGAAGACGAGGATTCGGGCGGAAGCGAGCGGGAGTGGTGATCGTGTCTGGCCCCCCTTTGCGCTGATTGTTCCATATAGTACAACTTTGGTTGGTTTAACTACTGGGTTTTGGTTTGGTTACCTTTTGGTTGGCGGTTGGTTCGTCCATTCACAGCCAGATAAATTAAAGCGATTGATAGGCGATGAATGCACATCTATAACCTATATAAGATATACATAAGACTTACGACTACAAACAAGGCATCGTCCAACCTTGGTCACGAACACGAGCCAGCATCCAACATCAACATGCTACCCATGGGCGATAACGGGATCGAAGCATGTGTTGTATCCCTGGGATAGCAATAGCAGGGCCCCAAACAGGCGAGTCGATGCTAATAATGTACGGAGGTAATGCTGGCGATGCTTCGGTCCGCCAGGTCGGACAGCCAACGGGAGCAGACCATGTCATCGAGGCTGAACGCATTTTTTTTAACTACACGGCCAGAGCACAAACACCTGCACTGCATGGTACATATACACAGACTCCGCATGTACACATGCATCGACATCGTTACTCCGAACACAGGCCAACTGCATCATGTAAGTCAGGACGAGAGCGCGAGTAAATCGTGCATGATGAGGTCAATCTCAACGCAGCTATCCAGACACCCATGTCCAGGCTAGACGGAACGGTTCGTCGCGTCCAGGGATGAAACACACCGCAGTTGTCTGGAGTACGGAGTACTCCGTTTGAAGATATGGCTAATCTACGGTTAATCTACGTAAGTGTCCGTTTGCCCCCTACTCCGTAAACATAAAGAGGGTATCGTTAATATCGGGGTTGAAGTATATATGCTTGTTCAGGGGAGACCTGGCAATAGCCGAAAAGGCGAGGTACTTCATAATAAGCCACGCAGACCGGATCGAGGGCTTGCAAGGGAGCGGTGATAAAATATAAAATAAACGAAACGGAAGAAGGATCCGAGGGATAACTATGAAGTAATAGTTGGACTTGGTGAAGAAGAAAAAAAAGCAAAAGGGGGATGTACAGATGCCCGGAGACGCATCACAAAGCCGCAGTCGACGGTTGATGTACACGGTACACGACGCACGATTCACGGTTTACGAGGCCAGCGAAAGGGAGAACGAGAAAAGAGAAGACGACGACGACAACGATGGAGTACTGCTCTGATAGCTCACATTCCCGCGGCACTCCCGTGCTTTCCGCCTGCAGCTAAATGGTACTATCGCACTATGGAAGTATGGTCCCTGGAACCAAGCCGGATATACGACAGGCTGTTGAGATGTGTGATCTGTACCATCGACCCCAAGCGATTGGAACATCACATTTTGGCTTTCCCCATGGGGCAGAACAGCAGAGCAAGGGCGAGAGAAGGGCGAGAGAAGGAAGAAGAAGAAACGAAACGAATCCCTCCCCCTTTCATCCGGCGTGTTTCTCTCGTTTCTTTTTCCTTCAAAACGGGCCTTGTATTACGATGGCCTGTCTGCCCTGTATGACGATTTATGACTCAAGGACGAAGGACGAAGAAGGAGAAAAAGAGAAAAAGAGAAAAAGAGAAAAAGAGAAAAAGCAGAGGAGGCAAGGGTCAAGGGTTCGGCTGTTTTGCTTTTTCTCCCTTTCCACCCTCCCTTGTCCTGTCTGTGAATAACCGCCATGCGAGGATGAGAGAGATGGATGCCCAATGAAGGCAGAGAGATGCCGGTGCCATGCATCGTTATCCTCACACAAGTATAGAACCTTGTGTGCATGCATGGATGGGAATCCTGTACGTATGTATGTACGTATGTATGGAGTATGGATGTACTAATGTGAGGTGACGGGTTTCCCGGTCGACGGCAGGCGAGGGACTGGAACACGACAGCGACTGGACCAACGAGACGAAGGATGTTATAAAGAGCGGTGAACGGCTGGTCCATGGACGAATGGGATCGTCGTCCGGGGAATTTATTTATATGGAGGGGAAGGGGGAGTAAGGTATACTTCGTTGCTGTTGGTGACCAGCAGAAAACGAGAGGATGGTCCCCCTTGAGCCGCAGCGACCGAACGGCAGAGAAGCGAAAGACGACAACGGGGGGTCAACGGAGAGACGGAAAAGAAGACAAAAAGAAGAGACGAAGAAGAGACGAAGAAAGAGCGAAGAAACCAAGGGGGGAACGGGAACAAGGGCGTGTTTGTGCGTGCAACCCTAACCCATGTCATCTTCCGTCTTTTGGGTTCTTTAACGGCGATTGTCCGTACATACATAAGTACAGACTTACATACATAACATAACGTGCATACAGATATATCGACATCAACGTCAACTTCGACTTCAGCATCAAAAACCCTCATGCACGGCATGCCACTTCGGCTCGGTCCTGTGCCTTGATCTGTGCATGTCATCGCCATCTGGACCAGCTCCAGCTTTTGCCACTGAGAGAGACGAAGAAGACGAAGACGAGCAGCGAACAGGAGGGAACAACTGCTCGCGTGTCCCCTATCTTGCCGCAGCCCACTTGGAGTGCAACGGTATCCCACAATGCTGACGAGGCGAGGCAATGGAGTGCCCCCTTTTTCTCGTGGGTGGCCATGTCTGGGGCCGCCGTTGAAGGAGGAGGAGGAGGGAGGACTCTAATTCTACTAGAGCCCGTCCATCTCCGTGAGGTCCGAGGCAGCTGCCTAAGGGGCAGAAGCGTGAAACGCTGGTCTGGAGAGGGCGTTCTGGCTGCTTTATCTGACCAGCCCCTTGGGCAGCAGCGGCTGATGATGGCTGTCCCTGTCTCTGTCTCTGCTTCTTGGTCTTCTCTTTCTCCTCCTCCTTTTCCTCCTTGCCATCCCTTTGCTCCTTGCTGTCTATCCTCCCTTTACTCCTTGACTATCGACTACTATCGTCGTCGTCGTCGCCATCTCGAATCTTCAACTTTTTCCTCGCATGTAACCCTGCTTATGTAAGAGGTCCAGGCCTTGGCGATGACCCAGGACCTCGGGAAGTCACGTGTGATGTAACATCGATACCAAAAATACGCTGACATAAAATACACGCTGTAAGTACGGGCTTTCTTATAGATCAGCTTTTATAGGCCGACAGGAAGAATAATATCATCAATCTATTATTGCTACGATAAAAAAGGAAGAAGAAGAAGAAGAAGAAGAAGAAGAAGAAGAAGAAGAAGAAGAAGCATGTAGGTCGAGTGGGAAGAGAGACAAGCCAGAAAAACCTGGAGAGTTGCGTGATCGGGGTGTGTAAGGATGCCCCTTGGTGGCCGAGTCGATAATAAGGCGCCCTTGCTACGACCAGACCCGCAGACTTAGGAAGAAGACGAAGGAGAAGACGAGGGAGAAGCGTCTTTTTAACGGTGCCCAAGGATAAAAATAAATAGATAAAGACGAGTAAAAGGCCGCATGGGCTGCTACAGTACTCTTTAACGAGACTCACTCTCACAAAGAACCATATCATCTACTTCAGACTGCCATCTCCGGCCGACGTCGCAGCCGAGCAGGACGGCGTCGCACGAGCAGGCGACGAAGGGCCTTCGAAGGGAGATAAAAGGGTAAAAGTCCCGAGGGACAAGCAGTAAAGCGAGAGAGACGAGACGCAGAAAGCCGCCGCAGCAGACGCAGAAGACGCAGAGCCAGCAGCCAAAAGAGACGCAGAAAGAAGCAAAGAAGAATTGAAACCCTTTCGTCACTTTGCTTTTTCGGTGGCTTCGTTGCTTCTTCTGCTCGTTTTCTTTTCTTTTTTAATCTTATTCTACTCCACAGCGCGGTCTTTTTGCTGGTGTTGGCTGTTGGCCTTGCCTGGTCGTCGTTCGTATCTCTTGGGCCGTACCTCAGGTCGAGCTGCCCATAATATATACAAGACCAGCCAGCCAGCCAGCCAGCGCCGCCTTCGCCTTGACATCACCAACAGCCAAAACTCCCTTCACCTTCCCTTCCCTCGCGGAAGCATGTCTCTTCGCGCCAGAGTGCTCACTCTCGCCTGACATTCACCATGGACTTCATCGTGGGTGCTCCTGAAGCTGCTACTTGTCACTTGTCATGTATGATGTATGTACTGACATTCTACTCCTCAGCTCTCCCTCACGCACTTCTGCGAAGTGCATGGCCCGACGTCCATCCTCTGCTCGCAGATACTGCCCGCCCATTGCCGGCAGTGCACCCCCGACTCGCCTTCCTCCTCGCCAAACGGATCACCCTCGTCCTCGGGCTCGTCCTCGTCCTCGGGCTCGCTGCATGTCAGGGACAGAGATGCGCCTGGCGCGGCCAGCACGGCAGCGGCCGATGTGCTGACCTCTTCCTCTTCGCCGTCATCCGATCGTTGCATCACCACTTCGGCCATCGAGCCACTCGCCACCCCACCTGCCTCTGCGCCCGTTACGGCGCCGCGGATAGAAGACCACCCCTGGTTCACGGCTGAGAAGCCGGCCAGGGCTGCGAATGGCAGCTACAGCAATGGCAATAATAGCAATAGCAATAGCAATAGCGGTACTGGCGGCGCTGTTGGTGGGGGGCTGAAGAAGGCCGCCGCCGGTGCTAGGTTTGGCGGTGCTGCCGGCGACAGAGACACCTGTGCCAGCTGTCGTCTCAAACTGCCCGAGGACGTCAGCAAACAGCTGCCTGTCGATGGCAATGGATCAGTCGAGGACCGTGGCCTTCACAGCAGTCCTGTCCTGCGGTCACGCGAAGTCGTCTTTGCCTGCCGCGGCAGCCATGCAGATCACTACGTGAACAACAACAACAACAGCAATAGCAGCAACAACAGCAACAATGGCCACAGCAATTACTACGATGACGATGATGATGATGGATCACATACCTGCTCGACCTCCGTTTCTTCTTCCCACCACCACCACCACCACAACAACAACAACGGGAGCAGCAGCAATAATTACTACTCTCCCGTGTCAGTGCACTCGTCCTACTCTTCCTCAGATTCCTCCTGCCACACCCACGTAGTCACCTATCTCTCTATGCGCGGGCCCGCAAAGCCAGAAGACTACGCTCTACTCCGCCGTGCCTCCATCCGCACTCTCTCCTGCGAATTGCTTCCCCGCGGCCTCTCTTCTGGCCCGCTCTCCTTTGGCGATCCCTCTGCAGGATATACCATAGCCTATGTCTTCCGTCTCCCAGACCCCATGGCCCGCGGCAAGCGTCGAAGTTACGCCCTCGTTGCTCTCGCCGGCAAGGACGCCGGACGCACCTTTAGAGCCAGCCCCCTCATCTGGCGCACCTTTGGTCGCATTGCCAATAACATCGTCAGTGCCGCAGAGAAGTTCCAGGAATCAGAAAAGATCCGAGAATACGGCCCTTCGCCTGTCCACCCATCATCATCTACCACCACCACTACTACTTCTACTATTTCATCTGCTGCGGCATCTACCGCCTCCGCCCGCGAATATACTCCTATCTCGTCTTTCCTGACCGGCCGGGCTCTCGATCCAGACGGCCAGCCAAGACGGGCAGGCCAGGTCCGGGCCCGAAATCTGATCGAAATCGTTGGCAACGAATACATCTTTGCTGAGTTACATGCTCAATTCGTGGCCCTGCTACAGCAGCTCAGTGCCATGTTTGCTTCTCCGTCGGACAATGCTCACGGCGCTCATATGCCGGACTCGGCCTCTGCCTATTACGAAGACTACGCCAACACGACTACTTCTTCTCGCTCTTCTTCTGACCGACTACGAGGAGGGAGTGGCAGTACCGGTATCACCTCTGCCGGCAGTGATCGCAGTCTGTCCCAGCAGTTCTCAGGCTTGAACATGTCCACCTTTGTTCCAAAGCCAATTCCCATCTCCCAGCGCAGAAGGATGGTGGCATAAGCAGCCAGCCAGCCATCCCTCGACGCTACCTTTGTTCTGGCGGCGGCGGTGATGGTGGTTGTCTTGTCTAGTTCGTGTTGCTCTGCCCAGTTGCTACCCCAGTCCCTCACCCCTCACTCCGCATCCTTCCTCGGCCGACTATCCCTATCCTTAACTCTTTCCGCCCTGTCTTGCCCTGTCAGGCTTCGTTTCATCCAGGCCTGACTCGCAACAAGGTATCCTTTGCTTTTTTCACCCCTTCTGATTCCCTCGTCCTTTCCCTGCTTCCGACTTGCATGCTTTGCTTCGTCACCGCTGCCACCCGGCCGGGCTCTGCTATCCAATCTGTTCATCGGCCAAAGTTATCTGCCCCATGCACGATGGATGGGTGGCCGATGCGATGGCCGATCTGAATTCAAATCACGCTACTCCCAACAACTACTTACTTTGTTACCCCGAACATGGTCTGGTCTGGCATGGTCTGGCCCGCCAGCATCAAATCAACCGCTCCCCATCACGCATTCACCACCGACAGACCGCTTTACGACGTTACGAACAAACCCGATCGATACCAGGCATACCCAACCCATAGACTTACTTTACTATCCCATCATTAATCCCTCAGGCAAAGCAAGCAAAACATACTATCACCACCACCGCCGCCGCCACTATCATCCCCGCCATTTCCCATGCTTATTCTTATTCCTCCTTGCTTGCTTTGCTTCAACTCTTGCTCGCTTGCTTCGCCGAAAAGTCCAATCGCTTGCTCACCCAAAAGCAAAAGAGCTCGACTCGGATCGTACTCTTATTTCTTTTCTTTTTCTTTTTCCTTTCTTCACAACTTGCTGCTCCCCGCCTTTGCTCTGTCTCGTCCTGTCAACTCTGCTTCTTGCGCAACCTCACTATCCCGACCCGACCCGACCCGCCCATCAAACGCTCTCCGCAATGCAACGAGTCCAACGGCTTTTTTTTTTTTTTACTTTCTAATTTGCCTTTTCCTCTTTTTTTCCTTTACAGTTCATTTAGACGGGGCACTATCGGTCAAGGGCTGGTGTACGGGTTTCGATACCCCTTCTGGCTTTTTTTTCTCTTCCTCTTTCTTATTCTCCTTGTTGTCATTCCTATAACTATCATCTCCTTTGCTTCAGTCATCATATTCAGGGTGTTATTTTTCACGGACCAACGAAACTCGGAACTCGGCACTCGGACTCGGACCGTTTCTTTTCTTTTCTTTGCTGTTCTGTGTTTTGCTCTGTTATTGCTTTGCTTTGCGTTCCAACCGATAGATTTCTTTTGCTCTCACGCTGAACTTCCCTTTCGACTGTTTTTTTTTTTCTTTCTTCTTTTCACGGCTCCATGGACCGGCAACGTTCCTCGGCCTAATTCTTGATATCCCATTTTCCTTTCACCTGCCGCTATTCTTTCCACTTTTTCTTTTCTGTCAGGGCCGGGACCCAGCTCCGTTTTCTCTTCCTCACTGGTACTGTTACCTTTTTTTTTTTCACTTTCTCTCTCCACCGTTGCATCGCTTCGTGCCGTGTGTCGTGTGTCGAGCGCCTTTTTCCCCAATTCCACTTTTTTTTTACTGTACTTCGACTACTCTATTTAATAAATTAACTCCGCTTGTGCTCCTCCGGGTGCCAATAAATATTTTAATCCCGCTGTCTACTTGTGTCTCTCCGTCTGATGTCGTAGTTGTACATTTTGCTGGCAGTCAAAATGGCGATTGAATAACACTTTGAATAACACCGAAAAAAAACTTCTTTTCAGTCCTCACGTGATGCTACTTTCTTCGCCGAGGCACCGACCATGCTCGGATTTGATGCAGGCAGACAGGGCGCAGGCAAAAAGGCAGGCACAAGGAGTAAAACATATCTAGTTTATGCAATTGGCTGCTCGTCACGGCCTGACCAGCTCCTGCGCTGCCTCAATGGCTCTTCGTCTCTGCGCTTTTTCTACTTCGTGAACTTTCAGCATGGCTGCACTTAGTAAGCTATGACTAAGCGGCTCGGATAAACATGCCAAAAAGGGACACAAAGCCACAGTCGAAAGCACAAAAATTATCAAAAGCGAAAACATCGTCGTTCGTTCGTTTTAGCATCCGCGCTACATGCAGTAATCTACTCTACAACGACTCTAACACCACGCCGATCCTACGTCTAATCCTTGATAATCTTGCTTAATACAGTCTGAACTACCCGCACGACTGGATTAATACCCATTTTACTTGTCCCCTGGACGCGAGGGAGGGAGACAGCACCACGGATTAGAACATACATACACACCCGCGGGGCAGAATAATTCACAATGTCGACGGGCTTCGATAAATGCAAGACGCGTCCACCGCATATGGATGCCATATTAAACGGACTCGACAGATACAACCCAGAGACCACCACTGTTTTTCAAGATTATGTCGTACAGCAGTGTGAGGACAGGACATTTGATTGCTATGCCAACCTAGCCCTGCTGAAACTGTACGTTGATCTTGTTCCCTAATTCTTTTTTACTGGTTTTCGCTATTTCGCTGCCTTGCCCTCGTTGAAATGATTAACTACCTATAAACGTTTCCTATTAACACGACTATGCCATTGGTATATGTGGGGAGAACTTTTAATATGATATTCAACCCAGAAAAATTTCACGCTTCCTTCATACTATTACAATTGATACGGCTCAGTAACTGACCAAAAATTAACAGCTACCAATTCAACCCACACCTTCTCAACATCGAAACAACAACAAACATCCTCGTCAAGGCTCTAACCGTCTTCCCATCTCCCGCCTTCTCCCTTTCCCTCTCCCTCCTACCTGCCTACACCCAACCATTCCACAATTCCGCTCCCGCCCAGGGCCCCTCCGCAACTCTTCCCATCCAAACAGCAGACTTCGTCGAATCAGTGCAGAAGCTAGCTCGTCTCTCCACCCTGCTCGAATCAGCACAGTACTCCCTCTTCTGGTCAACCCTAAACTCAGATGACCTCTACGCGGACCTTATCGCCGACGTAGCTGGGTTCGAAGAGTTGATTCGCGTGCGTATTGCGGTGGAAGTTGGAAAAGCTTTCCGTGAAATCAGCGCAGAGATGCTTATGGATTGGCTTGACGTTAAGGGATTGGATACCTTGGAGAAGTTTGTTGTAGATGTTTGTGGATGGGAGGTTGATAAGAGCGGTGCTTCGGGTGCGAATGATGCGAAGAACGTCACTGTGCGTGTTCCGCGGAATAAGGAGAATGAAGCCAGGGGTGAAGTTAAGGGTGAGAAGGTCGGCATTGAGATGTTTGGAAGGGTTATTCGGAGGGGTTTCGAGCAGCCTGCTTGATTGTTCTCTTTTGACATTTGTTTTCCTATTTCTTTTAACCCCCTTGCATTCATCTCTTCGATAGATACGATACCTGCGTGGTACTGGGTTTGGCATTTTGCCCATGTTACGTCTTTTAATGGCTTTATTCTAACGGCTGGACGAGAACCAAACAAAAAAGAATCAAAAACGAATTATGCCTTTCAACTTGCTGTCTATCTTCTGGTTTCTTTATCCAACTGCTCTATTCATTTAGGCTGTAACCTCTCCTCCCACTGTACACCTACCCATTCTTCTCTCCAGCCAGCCTCCCCTACGATCTCTGGTGCACAGTCTGCCGCACAAACGCCTAAGATGATGGTTCCCCATTCCATGCCCAAATCGTCCTTGGGTCCAAGCCCAATTCCTTCCATGCCCTCTTCAAGCATGGCGATAGCATGCGGTACGAGCTGGAGCTCAAATACACGTTCTGAACCACATGTCTCACACCGTGGTATCTTGCTACTGCCTTTCCTCCCGCTAACTTGCACCTTCATGTTCGACTGCGCTTGACTTGTAGTCTCTGAAGCAAATAGCTTCCCTACCTCGTCACTCGTGGAGTAAAGCAGTGGGGTTCCTCGGAATTCATATCTCAGTACTTGTTCCGGGTTATGCTCCAGACGTGTCGAGAACCGAATAAACGACTTATCCATAGATGATTCAAATAGTTCCTTTTCCGTCTCCTTTACACCAATTGACGAAGAACCGTCATTCTCTGCCTCGAGGGTATCTATCTTTACATTGGAAGGCACCGGGGCCTCCGTCTTGGAAAGTGCTTCATATTCAGCGTCAAAGAAGTAATGGGGGTAAGGCGGTGGAAAAGCAGACTGATCTGGCCAGGGAGCCTGCGGCCCATCTACGGGCTTAGAAGACTGTGCTGAAATGCTGGCCTTTTGCGCAAATGTCTCGGGAAGAGATTCCCCCGCAGGTTCTGGCGAGGTCGTCATCTCATCATCCGGTTTCTGCGGTACCACTGCTGCAAGCGATGATGTAGGGGGTAGAGAAGCGAAGGGGTTGACAGGGCTGTTTCCACCACCAATCGAGGATGTCGAGAAAGGATTCGAGCTTCCCAATGCACCGGAAGGGGATTTTACTCCAAATAGATCAGCTCCTAGATCTCGTTTGGGTTTATTCTGCGCTTCTTCTTTCTGCTTCTCAAATACTTTCTCCCTCTCTTCGACGGTCTTGTGCCTCTTCACTGCGCGTAGAGCTCGTATGCTCCCCTTTTTGCGACTGCACGTCCGCCTCACGCAACCGAATATATATAGCCATCTCTCGTCGTGCGCAAAGTGTTCTGGTAGATCGCCATTGAGCTGCAGGAGAAGCGGCATCGGGTCATTGCAGACCTTGCATACAGCAAAATTGCCTGGTGGAGGGGTCGCGGGGTCAAGCCATGTCTGATAAGAACAAAGCTGATGTTAGTATTGAAAGGAATTATGGGTGCAAAATTCTGACATTTAACTCTCAATGTCTTCAAGTAGCCATCCTCAGAGGTAAATAGCCATATGTGGTATCGAAATTGTAAGAAGAAAAGTATACTCACTGGCCATCCACCTAAGTGACTGATAGCATCGCTGAGTTCTTCCTTTGAAGCATATCCAAGAAGAACTCCAGTTTCTGTGTAGTCATCCAACTCCTCATCTATGCCGGATGAGTCACTATCGTATGAATCCATGTTTTTACTCTCGTGCCAAAAGGTATTGTTCGTTCCTCTCTGTCGCTTCTTTAAAACTTGTTCAAAATATTTCTTTTGCAACCAAAAATTGTTTATCAGTGATACACGTGATCCTTATCTAAGTTGGTTACTAAGCTACTATTCTTGGCTAACTTTAGCTATAAACTTAGTTACTCATCAACTAAATACGTAGCGTGCTTTATTTGGATTTATGCTCAACCTCGCATCACCGAAACATCACGATCAACGGGCCTAAACTCATTGATCTTGATATAGCCCAGACGGATGTACTGGTGACCCTGTCTACAGTCATTCCAGTGTTGATTTGTTTCTCTACGTCTCTCAACGTGTTCGAGCATCTTGATATGTGCATGTCAACCCTCCTCATCCTTATGGTGCAGTCAAGGATACCCTAAGATCCTGGACGCAAGTGTCAAATACACCTAACCTCACTTGAGCTCTTCGACTATTATATCGGCAATAATCTACAAAAGCCAGGGTACTTCTCAGGTATTCTAAACCGGGTTCAAAGGAAAATGTGAGCATTCATCTGGAAAGTGCCTTGAGGTGTATTGCCTATAGGAAGCTCCAGGAGAGGAATACTCCACTGAGAGACGAGAAAGCATGAACAACTAGTTAATACTCAGGCAGTTAACCAGGTAGGCCCCAGCATTTGGTAAGCAACTAACTGCTAGAGGGAAGATATGAAATTAATATAGAATGGAATAAGAAGGACTAGAGTATTTTAGGGCCCAATCATCTAGAGGTGAATTTCGACGTATGGCGGAAAATCGAAGCATTCTCCAACGTCAAACCAGTCCCCTTTTTCTTTATCCTCTGCATGTCGATAGAAGTCTTTCCCTCCCTCGATACCCTCGGCACCCACTGTCCAGACTCCCTTCTCCACCAACTCTTTCCAAAATATGAGCAGAGTCCTTAGACTTGTATGGTGGTCGTCGTACAACGGGCATTCTGGGCTCTGGAATAGACCTGTACGGTTTTGCATATAGAACATACGACGCGCTGTAGGAAACTTGTTTAGCTCATATGGAAGAACTAGACGGATGGAATCTGCCCAGTCCTCCTCCGGGAGGATCCAGAGCCCAGCAACCTCCCCTTCCACTGGCTCCTCAAATGGGAATAGAATGATAGGACTGTGGTGCACTGCACCGCGGATCTCCTGGTATGGTGTAGCATATATCATAGTCTCATCCCGGTCCCTTTTCATGGGAATTGGTGGTGGCGGGGTACGATAATCGTAGACAGTTAGTCCAGGAGCAATGTATTTGAAAGACGGTTTCAATGCGCGCACTAGAAATCCACGAGTAAACCCGCGTATGGATGACGGTATTTTGTCCTCTGCAGCTAGTCGTTCCGGTTCGGACTGGGTATCTTGTTTGGAAGAATGGTCAGGAAGACGTGTAGTGATGGTATTAACCAGGTCTTCCCATGCAGCGAGAGTATCGTTCAGAGTGGAATCTGTCCAGGGAACGGCTTTCCACCCAGACTCCAATGTACTCCTGAACTCATTGTCGCGAATAACTGGCACATATTTTCCAATCTCGGCCATACAATTGAGCTTAAGCAACACATCCTCCAACGTATACCAGCGTCTGGTATCCTCGATGTCGTAATGGCAAGAAAAGCTGGGTATATATCGAACGAGAAGATCGTCTAAATCCATAACTAAGCCCAACCGATGCGGGACAGAGGCCATGTTGGTTGAGAATAGACAGATGCAGTCATAACCCTCATCTTTCAAAACTCCTAGCCCTAGATCATCATCTATACCCGTTGGTGACATTATTGACTTGTAATTATAGATTAGTACGTCGTGATAGGGAGCAGAGCCATCTTTTCGAACGACTATTTCAATCTGTTCGAGGAATTTAATCAGAGGCTCGCTGAATCTTTCGCGGCATTTTTCGACCTTAGGATCTGTCTTCCATACTTCAAACCAGTTGGTCTGAAGGGACTCCCCTTCTTGCTCTCGATTGCTGCCATCAAAGCCAATTCGGATAAGGCGGTTGTATAGCATCGCGCAAAGGGTGGGGTCAAACTTTTCTTCTGCTTCATTCTCCTCCTTCTCATCATCCTCTTTGTCCTGTTCCTTATCCTCCTTATCCTCCTTAACCTTTAGCAGGGAGTCTGTCATTTTTTGGATGCTCTGCCAAATTCCAGTTTCGATAACTATTTGTCGAGAGATCGTCCGGTAGATGATGGTTGGTGACTTGGGATGCCCTCCATCCAGTCGGTAGTTAACTAATAGGTAGCTAGGTAATTAAAACTTAACAAGGGTCTATGGCTAGTTAGTCACCGTTGGGCGTCTTGCTCTTATAGGGCTATGTATGGCAAGTTAAAACATACTACTAATCCGATGTAATACATATACACATTTGAATTCCACCCTAACAAATTCATTATATCCACAAATCTGGATAGAGGACCGTAGTATATAAAGCGATTGATTGTATCTTAGGCCCCTTGGCACGCCCCAGAATAGCATCTCCCGTGTGAGCAGTAGTCGGTTCCATCTCCACAATATCCCTCCATATTACAACATGCGCCGAATTGAGTGCCGGCACATGTCTTGTTTCCTGCAAAGCTTGGTCCGCATGAACCGTCGATACTCGCTTCACCAATGTTCGTATCACAGGCACCCGAATGACAATTCCCTGCTGCGCAGAATTCCGGCGTACTCCCGCAGTATCCATAAATAGAGCAGCATTTTCCAAAAGCGGAGTCACCACAGATCCAATCATGATATTGAGGGCCTGCGAGTTAATTAGTACAACTTGCGGGATAAAAGAGGTAGGGCGTTTTGATTGTTAATTTAGATTCACATACCACACGTCCCATCTTGGGTGACGGTAGTTCCGTTGCTGGGAGCACATTTCCCTGAGTAGCAATGTCCTGGTCCACAATAGTCATTGGTTGATCCACCTGAGTACAAAACAAAGCAATCAGCGTCATGAGTATCCGGTAATGAGGATCAGGGGTTGATGACGGTGGCCAGTGTAAAATGGCTGGACTCACAGTATCCACTGATCGAACAGCAGTCTCCAAAACCCGTTTCTTCACAGGTCGCGTAACTGTTATTTGGACCACATAGACCGTTGGTGGATTTTGGGGGCACTTGAACTATAATACGGCAATGGTTCCTTTGATTAACATTTCCTCATATATCCTTGCATACTACTTTGATATTCATTTTGTATCAAGATTGGGTGATTGATTACCAGGTGCAACGCAGTAGGCGTAAGCAATCCACAGGTTCGAACACCTTTCGTCGATCTGGGTATTCAAGGAAAGGAAAACATAGACAGTTATCCCACTAGTGAATTCAGAGTTAGAGATAAGACATGGATGATAGATGGCAAGTCTGACTCACAAATGAAGAGCGATTGTATTGCACTGGTCACCAGCGACAACTTCATAGTATCGACCGCATGATGGAGTTGTTCCTGTGGATGTGGGGGCAGGCGGGATGGCTAAAACATAAAATTGATTATATTAGTGGTCCTCGTCTTTCCAAGGCAAATAATTATGAGGTGAGGCATGCTCTTACCGGTAGTATAATATTCCGAAGCACCTGTCGGCTGGTGAACTGGGGGCTGACTCTCATAGCTACCACCTGGAGGTCTGGGTCAAACCGTAAGACAAGGCCTATATGGGTATTCGCGAAAAAGGAGAAAAGCTGTACGCTACCTTATACACACTCGCTGGTGCCAGCGTAGCAGATCGCATGATCCAGCTAGGTAGGGATTCCAGTTCAAGAATTGGCTCAGAGTAATATTAAATTCCGGGCTGGAGTACTTTTCTAAAAGGCTCGTGCTATTGATCAATGGCGTCAGCGCTAAAAAAAAAAAAAAAAAAATCTGGGTTTGGAAGCAAGACTGAACTCACCATGTAGATCCGAGTGGAACTACACCAATTTGGCATGGCTCTGGAAGGCACAGCGGCTCCGAAAACTCGCAGTAAACGTTTCCGGTTCTATGACGAACGTCTCCGGTAGTTACATTATATTTATCAGTGATGGCCTCACACGACAGAGGCGGATCTGTGGGCTGAATAGTGGGTCCACCGCAAGTAGTCGCTGGCGGGGGGGATCCTGTTGGCATTGTCCGTGTAGCTGTTCCCATAAAGACTTCACTGGTGGATGTAGAGTAGGGCATGCTTGTGGAACAATACGACTGCATATCCTGAAATTGCTCGACAAGGTATGATGTATATCCGCCCTTGAGAAGGAACGGTGAGAGCAATCGTTGGCGGAAAATCTTCAGAAAACAATCGCTGCACAGCTATCCAAACATAAGATAGTTAGCGCGGCCTTGAAGATGATTTTATTAGCCCGCCACATCCGACCTACCAGATCTTTTTCGTAAAGAGAAGTCATGCGCTCATCGCCTGCTTCAATGGCTAACTGATCAAACCCTTCCTCGAAACATTCCGGCCCATCATACTCTGGATCTCCAGTGGAGCAGTAATCTGTAGGATATTTGAGGATATCCGATCCTTCCCACTCCTGAGACTCGATCATGCACCACGAGTCTCTGTAGGTGCATGATGTTAGCCGGGCTTAACACATTTACAGCGTTTATAAAGAGAATAGTGGTCATACCCTGATTTGAGGCAAACCAAATCGAATCCCTCTTTATATGCAAGCGGAGTGGATGATGCAAGCTTGATGATTCCATCTTCGACAATAGGGCGATTGCCACACGCCGCATCCACGGCGGAGGTCCAGGAGGCGAGAGATTGTTGGCATTGGGAAGTGCATAGTGTGGTCACATTGTCTAGTGTCCAGTAGTAGGTATCAGCAACAGCTGCGGCAACTGCAGTCCTGGCGTCGCAATCGACGGTTTGATTTCTAAATAATAGAATTAGATTATCTCAATGGAATCTGGGGAAAACAACAAGACGCCGTACAAGGCGGCGATGCAAGCCGTAGTCGTATGAAATCCATCTGCAAGAGTCTTCAGATCCAAATACCCGTAGATATTTAGCTCTGAAACGGCGAACGGCAAAAGAAAGAGCCCTGAGATGAGGTTTCGGGGAATCATTATATCTTGACTTACGGGCTGATTGGGGGAATGCTCGAGTCTCCTGCGGCAGTTATGATCCTCAATATATCTCTCCTTTCCAAGGTGAGCAACAGGAGAATCCCGGTATACGAGGTCGGCTCATGATCAAATTCATTCCAACACGTACCATAATCATTATCGTGGTAATTTCTGGGATGCCTGCAGTGTGATCCTATTACTAGAGCCTCTACTAACCCGATAGAGTGTGCATCTCCTTTGCACCGGGTACTCGGCACTCCTTTGCATGGTAAATCCTGACCTGTATAGCTCGACGATTCTGGAACACATTCCTATCACCTTCTGAAAACAGGGGCAGTTCTCCGAATCACACTGGAATCACATTGCAATCTCCTCCAGCTGGGTCGAAAGGATACGAAGAGGTCGAGACGCGATGCTGGGTCGAGACGCCAGGTTGGCCTGGGCGAAGGTTTAACTAGCTAGCTAACTTAAGTTGGTTAGATAAAGTTAATTCTTCTACGCCGCTCCCGTAGCCGAACTTTAACTTAGCTGTCCGCCAACCTCATGCTTGCTTCTCCTCGACAGCTGCTATCATCCCCTTCCCTACCCATACTCTGTCCCTTACCATATTCACTTTGAAGACCGCTTGGCGCATATGTTATTTACGTACAATTATATACATATGCCATTTACATATGCATGATCCTACTCAAGCTGCTGGGAACAGGGTCATTAGTTGCTCACTAGCTATGCAATCAGTAGTCATGGCCGAAGGGACCCCTATCATCAGCTGGGAAGCTGCATTTTCGAGCCCGTATCCGGATAGGATGTTTCTCTTACAACTATCACTGACAAGGCTTGACAGTACAGGGGAATTGAGCAACATCCTATATAGGTCTTGTACGGACGTGTCCGAGTTCAATTGACCTTCATCTTTGGGCCAGTTGTTGCGGCCATCAATACCCTCTTTGCAGCAACAAACCCTTATTTCTGAAGGGAGGAAACAAACTTGAGCCCCTCTAAATTCTGACCTGATATGGATTTTCGTCACCGAATAGCATGGGCGAGCCTGTGGCTTGTCACTGCTCTGATCTGGCTTGCTGATGGCAAAGCTCTCAACGAGACATTGTACAAGCCGAGATTTAAGCCTCCGTCGAAGTCAACACCACGATTCGCTAAAGATGCCAATATAAGTGTTGCTGGTCGCCCTGTCCTCTACAACTCCCACAAATTTGCAACTACGGGCGACCTGCCAATCGGAACTTGCGCCCCTGGGACCCCTTGTGTTAACGGAGCTTGTTGCAGCAAGGCAAGACTGTTCTACTCCATCTTTTTAGAGCCACGGCTAATGATTGTGTCGGTATAGCAAGGAGGTTGCGGTTATTCCCCAGAATTTTGTGGAAAAGACAACTGCATTTCGTATGTCAATCCACAGAAAATATTTATTGGTAACTACAACCGGGAGTGAAAGATACTGAACATTGTTAGGAACTGCGATGCGAAGGCAGAATGTGGCCAATATGGGGTAGACGGGAAAAACAAGTGCCCTCTGAATGTCTGCTGTAGCCAGTATGGGTTCTGCGGGTCAACGTCCGGTAAGGATAACTTCACATGGGAATCGCACGATTCTAGTCTTCTTACGGATACAGCAGATCTAACATATTTTTGTAGAGTTCTGCGGTACTGGATGTCAGCCAGGCTATGGAGGGTGTGGGGATGTTCCTCGCCCGTCCTGTGTAGGAGGCGCTTCTGCTGCGTTAAGAAGGATTGCATACTATGAATCTTGGTACACCATTTGCTGCGAATATATACCCAAGCCGATCGTAGCTAATTCTCAGTAGGGCGATAGAAAGACCCTGCCAGGCCTCGAACCCCGAGCAGCTCAAACTCGACGGGATCACGCATTTAAATTTCGGTATGGATCTGACGTCTTACGAAACGATAAAAAAAATTAAAGCAGCTGGCTAATTTAACGCGCAGCTTTCATGTTTTTTCATCCAACCACATTCGAGATAACGCCCATGACAAGCACAACTGCCGAGTTAATTCCTCGAGTTATTGCGCTTAAGAAAAAACACCCGTGAGACTACCGCTTGGCCAATAGCATGATTAATAGTTGACGTAAAATTTGTATAGTGGTATGGAGGTTTGGGCTGCCATCGGAGGCTGGTCATTCAACGTACGTTACTTGGCACGGTTTGTTACTAGGCAAAAGATCTGATGATGACATGGTTCAGGACGAGACCAATTCACCGAATACTCGCACGGCTTTCAGTGATATGGTCAGTACTGCGGCCAATCGAGCGAAGTTCATCTCTGCTCTTCTGAGGTTCATGAAAACGTACGGTTTTGATGGTGCCGATCTTGACTGGGAGGTAAACGGCGTCCAATCATCCCCGACTTATTTAGTAGGAAATATTGACGAAAGCTCTGAATAGTATCCCGGTGCTGAGGACCGTGGAGGCAAAGTTGAAGATACTGCAAACCTGGTTTTACTTCTGAAAGAGATGCGGGCGGCTTTCCAGGGCCAATACGGTAGGTTGGTCTGTTTGCGTGTACCCATTGTGTGCTTGACGACTAACTTCCTGAGTATCTAAAGGCCTAAGTGCTACCCTCCCTGCAAGCTTTTGGTATCTACGCTGGTTTGATGTTAACCAAATGCAGCATTATTTGGATTGGTTTAACGTAATGACGTATGATATCCACGGTGTTTGGGATGCATCAAGCAAGTTCTCAGGGCCATTTGTCTGTTCTCCCACGCGCAATCCCCCTCCTGTCACTACTCTTCAAGCTACAGTGGGCTAGATACTGACAACCATTCAGGTTCGACCACATACAAACCTGACTGAAATTGGAGAAGGGCTAGATCTACTCTGGCGAGCCGGCGTTGAGCCTACCAAGGTTATACTTGGCCTCGGCTGGTACGGCCGTTCATTCACTCTAGAAGACAGTTCCTGTTCTAAACCAGGCTGTCGCTTCACCCAGGGGGGTGCTCCAGGACGGTGCACTAGGAACTCCGGAACTCTTTCCAATGCTGGTACGTATTGCACATACCTTCCATAAGTTTTGGGACAAGTGGCTCACAGTCTTAACACCATAGAAATCGTCGAGATTATTAACGAACACAATCTTACCCCTATATATGATAAGAGTAATTGGGCCTTACCTGTTATTGAGATTGCATTACATGTATGTATACTAACATGTGTTTCCTAGAGGCCGGTGTCAACTGGATAACCTGGAATAATGACCAATGGGTCAGCTATGATGACGAGATAACTTTCGCCCAGAAAATCAACTACGCCAACTCACTCTGCTTAGCAGGGACGATGATCTGGGGTAAGGAAACGTTACCCTCTATTCCGTTGCTATATTTATCCCTATCCACTAGTCAAGACCAGAGACTAAAGAAGACTCTTATTTTTTTACTAGCTATTGACCTTGATGACCTGAATGGCACGACTAACTCCCATACGATTGGAACTGGGCTTGGTAAATTCAACATTCATTTCACTGGAGGAGTGTTCTTTGACGGCGGTGATGATTCCTGGTCCGAAGACACTATTGGTATGTAACCTGTCTTGTTGATAAATCCATTGGGAATTGTCTGCTTATTGATTGATTGGAATTGCAGCCGAAGTACGGAAATCGGCCTATGTTTCGGACAGCTGTTATACCTCATTCTGCGGCGAGAGTTGTGCGGAAGGATATACCGCTTTTACTTACATGCGTGGCCAGGTCGACGGCATCAAATTTAATACGTCATGCGCAGATCGTGATACGGTTCAAAGTCTATGCTGTGTATCAGTTAGTCTCCTTCCACTTTTTGCGATTCATATTACCATTCCGCATAGAGAACTAATTGAAGAATCTATTGTTATAGGGCGGCAATCCGGTAGGCTTTTAATTCCGCCTCTCAACAGAAGCAACTAATAAATCTATAGGGTCGGTGTGAATGGCGTGGTTGGCGTGGCCAGGGACTCAGGTATGGAAACCTTCATATAACTAGCCATTCGTACCTCTTCAAGGGCTTACTATAGGTTATAGCTGCTCTGGGGGTTGTCGGGACGAGCTGGATTCCATTCTAGCCGTAAATTCAAACCACGTTCTTGAAGTGAAGGAATTAGGGATGTAAGTGGCCTTGATTTGTACATATTCCCATGGGTACGGAGTATCATACTAATGCGATATTCTGCCACGCCATTTAGAAAAGAAGAGTACGTTGAAGTAGTCAGCCACGGACTGATGAGTCAATTCCAAACTAGAGGCACAAGAGGCTAATCATAGCAGTCAAACATGTAACGGAGGATATCAAAAGGTATTAGATATACCCCATACTAAATCATTACATACTAATTTTGTATAGTACTGTTGTCGAGGATACATGCCTCCCGAAAACGTTCACGCCAAAGACGTAGCGCTCATTGACGCCAACTCAGTCGTGAATACATACTCGAACCTAAATAAACGAGATAATCAGTCCGCTGCAGCCAAGTGTGCCTCTGTGACAGCAATTATTCTCGCTGGTGGTGCGGTACTGGGCGTCATCACCGGCGGGATTGGTGCAGTAGCCGTCGCCGGTATAAGTTATGCTGTCTGTATTACATCTCAAGCATCTGTCCCTGGCGCTATAGTCAAGGGCGGGTACTCGGGCGCACTGAGGCCTAGGCCTGGGAATAATAAAGTCCAAAAAACGCCCGCGACAAGAAAGAAGGGGTCTGGTCACAAGACGAAAGTCAATTCGCAAGGACAAAGGCTATTTGGAACGTAAGTTGATGCACATCCTCTAATTTGTTCAGGTAAAACTGATAAACTGTGTTTAGACATGCCCTGGTTACATACGCTTCCACGGATAAGGATTGTTCTGTGACATACACCTGCTCCTATGGGGTTGGATACGACGAGGTTAGTACCTTGCCTGCCACCATTCATTCTATTGTATATGGCGATTTTTGGACATTATCGAATCCATTCGAGGCTGACTCGATCCCAAACAGGTATGTGATAATCAACGATGGGGTATTGACAAGATTCTAGGAGGTCACAGAGTTTATCACTATGCAGGTAAGGTACCCTCCGAACCTTCTGCTCTGCTAACAGGATCAGGACTAACTGGGGTATCAATACCCCAGGCATGCGCGTAGACATGCGAAGGCAGGAAAAATGGAGGAGTGATCATCATATAAAGTATAAAGAATGGCCAACCGATCAATCTGACCGAAACTACTGTGAAGTGTATGTATGGAGGGATCGACGGGTCGTGTGGAAATGATGGCTAATCTTTGATAGTGATGAATTCCCCATGGGCTCATTACTCGAGTCCGGGGGCAACGTACCACAAGCGCTCCGTGCCATAGATGGAGATGCCAACGGGTTACAAGGTATGAAGGCTTCTAGAACTATAGTATCTGTTAAGCCGGTGAACGAATGAATAATAACCGGAGCACTTCAACAAACAGGAAATGAGTTCCAGTATTTTATATCAGCAACCTGGGCACCGTGCTACGCGCTTTTAATGTCCGCGCCCCCTATCACCTGGGAATTTGAGGGGCCTTTTCCAGGAGATAACCGACTTGTTGCCACCGGGTTCATCGGAAAGTATGGAGTATGTATCTCCTTATATCTTTTCGCTAGGGATGTCAGACAGTACTCTGGCGCTAATGCGGTTAACAGTTTAACTCAATGGTTCCAGAACATAGATGCTTTGGTGAGCCCCTCGGGTCATTTCTCTTACATGAATAAATTCTAACTCATGCCACAGCTAAATGGGAAGATCATGGGGTAACTAAGACTATCAGGGACCATGGCTTTCGTGTCGACACCGCTGATCCAATGTTCTCGACTCCGTATGACTGGACGTTTCAAAACTATAAACGCGATCCTGGGAGTCTGGATCCAGCCGACATACCTGTTGATGTTAATAGTGCTGCCCATCTCCGCAGGCGTGCGAAGCAATTAACAGCTACCTGTGCGGAAGCAGATTCACCAGAAAGCATTATGGCCAAATGGTGGTACGATAATTACGGCTCTGGCTCATCTGTTTCTGGTTCCCCTCCTGCTCCAACGGACCCAGCAGAGGGGCTTGATGATGCCAGCACCGACAGCTCTGTGGTACGCTCAACCCCGTCTCGAAAAGGGCACTCGATCTCCTTGCCAGCAGCGACCGACCCGCCTCCTCAGGGGCAGGTTGGAAATAGGCACTCTCAAGGCCACTCGCGCAGACATCACAAGCATCGCAAAGGGGACTTCTGATTTAAAGCAACTAAGGGCGAGAGTCGGGATAGTTATCTAACCTAGACGGGTACCAGCTGAAAGTGAAACTACGTAGTAAATGGTTTCTCTACATTGTCGATAAAGTCTTCCATTGGATCAAATCAATCATCGACCTCGATGTGACTTTTAATTACCAAAGATAAATGTATAGTGATCGTCAACAGTTGCTACCACCAAAATAGACCCTAACTGACCAAATACAATTCCTTGATATCTCCCTGCCTGTATTTGGGTAGCTTGCAGCGTTAATAACTTAATGATTGTAGCCCTTCCTCAGTGACTCTCCTCGAGAAGTAATTCGAGGAATTGCACGGAATGTAACACTATAGTAGGGTTATTATAACTAGTAAGGGAAGTTCTGTTATATTATTACACAGTTAACTCGTCACCACTAGTGGGGTCGGGAGTGCGGAGTAAATATCGCGGACTAAATCGCGGAGTAGTGAAAATTATAACCACGTATTCAACCTCCTTTTCAAGTTGTTAATTACAACTTCTCTCTGATAACGAACCATATTGATATATAAGCTATCGACATACCCCTATGCTACTCCGTATTTAGTAGCTCTTTTGGAATGGAGAAGCTCTTCTAGTTAGTGCTAAGGCTGCTTTAAATCGAACTTTGATAACTCACTACCGAGAGCAACCAACAGTAACGCGGGTGATCAGCCAAAAGACGCACGCCATGGCACCCGTACATGTATAGCGGGCGAATATCTATACGCAGTACGGGGTATGCAGCCAATACTCACCCTTCTCTTCTGGCTGTATGCTGATCTCGGAAAAAGCACATATATCAGCACTGATCTGCTATTAATAGGGCCTCCGCTTTGTCCTGTGCAGTTGATCTTACCCGCTCAACCAACATTTAGTTATCTTCGCCAGATGCATAGTGCTCAGGTGTCATACATCAACAAAGGGTAGATCGTCCTGCTGTGTGTCGCAGAGTCTGTTTAAGAAAGCGTTTGGGCCGCCGTGGTGGAGGGCTGGGCTGTTCGTTGTACTTGCTGCCTTCTTCGCTGTCGGTTCTACTACTGTGACTTCCTCCTGACGCGCAGCCGAGATCTTCAATGCTGTGTTCGAGATATTGAGAAAATTCAACGGCCGACCACAGCTATCACAGAAAGAGAAAAGAGGAATCCCTGTGGTGCATTTGATTTGACATCCGTTCTGTGGTTGATAGTATTTTTAATCAACATAACTACGCCGTACTCGCCGTTGAAAAGGGCCGTTGTGTGACAGCAGCGCCTAGAACTCGCAAGCCCCCGTTTCCTAGAAATAATACCCTCGCCTTCGGTGTAATTGGACTGGACAGCACTATAACAGAATTACGATGCATAGCATTCGTTCTACCCTTGTTCTGTACATCCTCCTGCTGGCGAGCTTTGTGCTGTCGCAGGAGGTGCAGCAGCCACTGACAGCAGATGCACCAGCAGCCCCGAGAGCGCCGAAAAGAGTTGCAATAATCGGTAATGTCTCTGTTACATATTCTGCAGGACTCAGTGATCGCCAACGCGGTTTTCAATTTAACTAACTGTCAAATAGGTGCCGGCTCGGGGGGCTCATCTACCGCTTACTATATCCGAACTTACGCCGATTACTATTCCATTCCCGTAAACATTACAATATTCGAACGCGAAGACTATGTTGGCGGAAGGTCCACCACTGTTGACGTATTCGATGACCCATCCCTGCCCATAGAGCTGGGAGCATCCATATTCGTCGAGGCGAATAAAAATCTCATGAAAGCGGCAAAGAACTTTGGCCTTGAGATTCAAGATGCCGGCGTTGCTCGGCCCAAGGAAGCAACAGACAACCTGGGTGTGTGGGATGGAAACAAATTCGTATTCCAACAGAGAGAGGGCAACTATAGATGGTGGAATATAGTGCAACTTCTGTGGAAGTATGGATGGGCCCCAATGCGAACCCAGGACTTGATGAAGTCTACTGTCGGAAAGTTCTTGAAATTGTACAGATATCCATTGTTTCCGTGGAAAAACCTTTCGGAAGCTGCACGAAGTAGTGGTCTGGTTGAGGCAACCTGGGCTACAGGAGCGGAATTTTTGAAGGAAAACCACATATCGGAGGCATTCTCGAGGGAGGTCATCCAAGCAAGTACTCGTGTGAACTATGGTCAAAATCTTCCCCTCATTCATGGACTAGAGACTATGGTCTGCATGGCAGCTCAAGGCGCGGTTTCCATTCAGGGGGGAAATTGGCAGATATTCAGCGGTATGGTAGAAGCATCCCAGGCCGTCTTGAAACTTGAATCCCAAGTTACAAGCTTGAAAAGGGAGGAGGATAACACCTATACCGTCTCTCATAATTCCAAGGCCAACAAAACCGAGGAGGAGGTGTTTGACCAAGTTGTGCTCGCTGCACCACTCCAGTTCTCTGATATCAAGCTCGAACCCCCCGTGGACAACCAACCTGATAACATTCCCTATATGACGCTACACGTCACTCTTTTCTCCTCACCTCATAAGCTATCTCCTAAATATTTCAACCTGCCGTTGAGCAACATGGTACCAGAAACTGTTCTCACTACCCTACCCAAGGGTCTCAACCTGGGACATCGCCGCGACGGAGTTGGTCCTACTGGGTTCTGGAGCATAAGCACTCTTCAAAAGGTGCGACTGCCAAATACAGGGAAGGACGAGGGCAAATATCATTACGTATACAAGGTATTCTCCCCCGAACGCCTAAACGCGATGTTCTTATCTGGTATCCTGGGACTGGAAGGGCCAATAAACGGGACTATTGCCGACTTTCCAGAGGCCGATATCAGCTGGAGTTATGAGAAAGTGTGGCACCCATATCCCGTACTATACCCCCGGGTGACGTTTGAGAGCATCAAACTGTCTCCGGGCCTGTGGTATACCAGTGGAATCGAAAGTCTGATTTCAACGATGGAGACGAGCTCGCTTTCTGGAATGAATGTTGCCGCCCTGATGGTTTCCGAGTGGACGGAAGACTTCAACCCCAAGATGAACATCTTCGAAGGCGAATCCCCGTGAGCCTAGTACTTTGTTATCGTGTAGCCTGAGTGCTCTCATTCTGGATACTGTAGATGGCGTAATTATTGTTAGTTAGTTAGCTAATCCAGTCCCTTCCTTAGCCACCACCACCTTCGGAGCACAGGTTATCGTAGACTTGGCCACCTGGTTCCGTCTAACAGTCGGCCAATAGCTGACTAGTCAGTCAGTTTGTTATTCACTGTCAGAAATACGTCGCCGGTGCTTCTATCGGCATCTACCGGCTGTCTGTCCGATGTCTCACTGTCTGGCGCTGCTCCGCCCTGCAAAACGGCTGACAGCGTCTGGTGTTTTTAAGGTTGTCTCCATCGGACTAGGGGGAGGGAGGTGGATCGCATCTCCAGCGCCCTCGCATCGCCCAACTGTTCCGAGAGCACGTCAGGCTGCCATGGGTCATGTCTCGCCGGTCAGCAAGGGAGATCAGAGGTCACTCTACACCACCGGCCAGCGGACAGGCCGCAGCTCTTATCGCGTCTTCTCCCCAAGAAACAAATCAAAACGCGCAAAAACGCCAAACGCCGTCCTGGCGGCCGGAACATGTGACTGCAGACATGTGACGCTCTGGCGTTGCTGCTTTGGGATAGCTAGAAGCGCATAACGTCAGAGCCGCAACATTTTTCCGCTCGTCAACCTCAACTTCAACCTCAACTTCGTCTTCGTCTTCAACTTCACTTAGCTTTCGAACAACCCAGCACTACAGCTGCTTCTTCAACCAACATAGCTGACTCTGATATATCTAATACATACACCCTCGTATCCCTCTAACCAACTAGTTACAATTCTATTAATTACCGCAAGCATGGAGACCGTCGTACTATGTGGCCGCTGATACCGCGAGACCTTAAGCGCTCCATAGCCTCCTACTTCCCCAGAAGTATCTCGCTGCCCCCTGTCCCTTCGCCAAACACTGTCTATCGCTCCCTTAGTCCCTTTGTATCCTCCTCCTCTGGCAAGATGTCAAGAGCATTCTGGAGACTCTGCGAACTCCTGGCCCACCAGGGCCAGCAGGAGCTGCCTGCTACTTTCCCGCCAGAGACAGAAGAAGAGCTCCAGCGACTATATGACCAAGTGAGCGGCCGCCAGAGAAGCAGAAGTACAGGAGTCAGTGAAAACGAAGTAGGAGCTACGGCAGAAATGGGCAGCAATAGCGGATCAGGCCTTGCCGATGGCAATGCGAACGACGCCTTTGACACTCAAACTCTCAAATCCTCAATATCCAACCTATCCCAAGATAACTCACCCATGTTTTTCGATGACAACTCGGCATCTATCATCAACTTCAAACCAACAGAACCCCTGCGAATAACCTGCCTTACCATAGGCTCTCGCGGTGACGTTCAGCCTTACATCTCACTCTGCAAGGGCTTGCTAGAAGAAGGACACAAACCCCGGATAGCAACCCACAAGGAGTTTGAAGGCTGGATAAGAGAGCATGGTATCGACTTTGCGCCGATCGATGGCGATCCTGCCGAACTCATGCGAATATGCGTTGACAACGGCATGTTTACATATGCTTTCTTAAAAGAAGCATCTGAAAATTTTCGCGGATGGATAGACGACCTCCTTGCCTCCTCCTGGAAGGGTTGTCAAGACTCTGATGTCCTGATAGAATCACCCAGTGCCATGGCCGGAATTCACGTTGCCGAAGCTTTGGGGATACCATACTTCCGTGCCTTCACTATGCCCTGGACAAAAACAGCAGCTTATCCCCATGCCTTTGCTGTCCCAGACCGCAATCTAGGAGGTACTTACAATAAACTAACTTACGTCGTTTTTGATACCGTATTTTGGAAGGCTATCTCTGGACAAATCAACCGATGGAGAAAGAACCAACTCAATCTCAAACCTACCAGTCTTGACAAGATGCAGCCGGATAAAGTGCCTTTTCTATACAACTTTTCCCCTTCGGTCGTACCCCCTCCCACCGACTATTTAGAATGGGTACGGGTGACTGGCTACTGGTTTTTGGATGCAAAACCTGACTGGACACCACCAGAAGACCTTGTTGCCTTTATTAACAAGGCAAGAGCCGACAAGAAGAAGCTGGTCTACATTGGATTCGGCTCCATAGTCGTCTCTGACCCTGCTGCCATGACAAGAACCGTCATCGATTCTGTCCTGAAGACCGGTGTGCGATGCATTCTGTCCAAAGGCTGGTCCGATAGGCACGGCGACCCAAGGAGTTCACAAGTGGAAGTCGAGCTCCCTCCAGATATCTATAAAATCGACTCTGCGCCCCATGACTGGTTATTTGCCCAGGTTGATGCCGTTGCTCATCACGGTGGAGCTGGTACCACCGGAGCTAGTCTTAGAGCGGGCGTACCTACAATTGTGAAACCTTTCTTCGGAGATCAGTTCTTCTTCGGCATCCGTGTGCAGGATTTAGGTGTCGGTATTTGTATGAAGAAGCTAAATTCTGCTACCTTTACTAGAGCTTTGTGGGAAGCAACCAATAGCCAGCGCATGATAATAAAAGCAAAGCAAATCGGCGAACGGATACGTCAGGTACGCTTTATCCCCAATTGCATATTATTTGTGTATCGAAAATTAACTAACTCGTACCACAGGAAGACGGTGTTGGCAAAGCTATCCAGTCGATATACCGTGATCTTGAATACGCCAAAACCCTTACTTATCTGCGCCGTTCTGCCGCCGGCAGCCCGTCCAATGAAGGAATTGAAGAGGAGAACAATGGAGATTTCCTAGACGGAATCGAAGAATCCTGGACTTTTATCGGCGATGATATCTTTACTAAAGCCCAGAATCCCAGTAGCGACCTTTCCACCATGATGGACGGTGCTGCAGCGGGAACTTTACCGCCTCCAGACGATGACGAAGATGACGTTGCTTGTTAATTTCAGGCAACTAACCACCACAGTACACTCTATCCGATGTACGTTTTTTTTTTTTATATAAACGCATATATTATGATTTATGATGTCCTATTGAAAGGTTGGTAGGGTGTGCCAGGGCTTTTTCTTTCCTTTTCTTTCCTTTCTCTCTTTGTTATGTCTCGTTTGACTCCATACTGTTATGCATATGCTTACCTCATGAGCACCACCATATGCCTGCCATTTAAATTGCGTATTGTTCTTTTTCCGCCGTCCTTTTCATGTCTTATTTCACATCTACACCTTCAGCTACATCTTACGCTTAGTTATGCTGCTTTAATATCTCTCACAATGCAGCCTAAGCACCCTTGTACCTGATGCTTCCTTTTTTCTTGATGCTCTGGTAGCATGTTTTAGATTGGGATTTGGCCAACTTGATCTATTGCGGAGTCAACATATTTGCTTTAATACGTCCTTCACTTCTTGCACATTACCCGTTGGCTTTGCACAGAATTTTGATGCATCCGCCATGTTGATATTCCTACTCGTGGATTCTCTGCATTTCCTCTTCCTTTCATTTAGAGGTGCACTAGAGATTTCATTAGAGAATAATTCAATAGTACAATACTGACTTAATCATCTTATCCCTTCTGGCTAAAGCATGCTCTCTCATTTGACATGTTTATATGACTCCCCTTGTACGATGTCTCAGCTATCAAATAATGTGAATACTACCACCAGTCACTAGAAACTAGAGCAATACATGTTTGTATATATCAAACTTCTACCCTTGCATTATATTCCCACGTTATACTAAATGGGTTAACGGCCATTAGTTGACAGGAAAACAAGCATAGAAAGTGGTGCTTATTTTTTATGATACCCATCTAGATCTAACCGTCTGTCCGTATCCGTCCCGTTTCACCTTTTGATTCCTCTTCCTTACCTTCAGCCTTCTCCCTCCGCCTTTGTACCACATCCCAGTTATACACACGGGCCGTTGCGACTTCAAGAGTCTAGAACCAAACAATTAGTTAAGACACCCGTATTTTCCGTTCAAATAAAAGAGGTAAACTGACCGTAACCTGTTCCCTCAAAAACTCCATATCCTCTTCACAGTTCTTAAAGCTCAATTCTGCCGCCTGTAACTTCTCTTCCAGTAGCTGCTCTGCCTCATCGATAGGATATGCAAGCATGACATTTGCTCCAAGCCATAGAAACACCTCGTCTGTGTCGTCGGGTAATAAAGTCGCATGAGCATACAGCGTATCGTTCATGTCGAATGTAGTTTGAATAGGTTCGTTGGTACCAGCCTGGCAGACATTATTAGCTATCAATGTTAAAGAGACCCTGTACCAAACAGAGCCGTTGGACGTAATCGAGTCCGCACCTCTCGCCGGGACTTTAAAAACCGGACTGTCTCCAGTGTTTTCCTTATGTCTGGAATTTTTTGCTGCAGTCCCTGCGCACGTCTCTGTGTGTTGACCTCCATAAACTGATATTTCGACACCATCTCCTGGAATGACCGTAGGGTGGGCTCAACATCCGCCCTGGTAGTCACGTAGTCGGAAACATTGTCGACGAAGGGAGCGGCGGGGATTCCACGGGGATTCGAGCCCGTCGTAGGGAGTGTTCGCTTTCTGTATAATCCCATCTATCAGCTAATATTCTCACGGTCTCTGTTCTATTCAAGTGGTTGTGAAAAGTGGATGTGGGGGAAGACGGTATACTTGTCTGCTTCTCTCTCTGCCATGGCGATGGGCTTCACGGGTCTTTGGCGCGTAGTTTGACGACACTTGGATATATTTGAGTATCAGCGACTCATAATTCAAAGGTACGCGCGTCTGTGGATACGATATGCTATGGTTGAGAGCAGTGGAAGTTGCGGCAGCACTGTGTCCCCGATTAACACTCAATATTCTGGTGGTGGTGGTGGGAAAATCGCCAAAGAGTGACGTCGTTTTTTGGATCCGTCGAAAAACAACATGGCCATGTCAACAGCTTCGCTCGGAGGACTTGCACTGCTATATATATACATATAGCTGGTATTTCGGGTTTTTAAAAAGGTGTATACAGAATATAGATGAGCCACACCTTTGCTTAAGCCATAATGGTGCTATTGACAGCTACACCAGGCATCGTATCGGCGATCAAAGCTCTTCCCACGACAGCACGCGAGGAGCTTTCTTTAGCTGAAACTCCCAGCTTGAACGATCCTATATCCCATGAGCAGCTAATATCAATTGCACGGAGGCTCTCTTCTAATCCATCGAAATTAACAAATACGAATGAAGAAGATGATGTCGCGGAAACGGTTGATTCTCTGACTTGCGAAGGCAGCAAGTATACATTGAACAGCCTGCTCCGTGGAACGAAGCTCTACATTCCTCCTCCACCTCCGAAACCTGCACCAGTGAGTGACTTCCACATAATATTCTATCTGATTTTGTTGTCTAACAGACCTGCTTTAGAGTCCGGAATACCTTGCCCTGAAAGCGAAGCTGTTGGCAGAAGCAGAACAAAACCAATACAATTCCCTCCTCCATCCTCTCGCCCCATCCGAATCGAAACGTCAACCTGCTGCGATATTTGCTTCTCCCTCGAGTCGGATACACAATGGAACTAAACAGTCCGTTCTTATGGAGAATGACGAATCCGATCCTATCACTCCTTCTCTAGTGCTAAACATTCTCGTCTCTATACTATTTACCGGATTTGCGACTTACTGGGGTCTGTCTAATTTCCGAATACCAAAGCTGTCTACCTTACTGCCTTGGTCAAAACATTCTAGCGTCCGAAGCATCGACCCTCACGCCTATTACTATTATCCTCACGCGCCTTCTTCGCAACCATTTCGGGTGTTCGTCTCTCTATTTGTTGGGATATTGGTTGGTGTTGCTGAAGTGGTGGTTTATGCCTCTTACCTCCGAAAAGTAGCAAAGGCAAAGGCAAAAGAGAAGGCTAAGGTTGAGAAGAAGGTGTTTATTGGGCTGGTTGAAGATCCACCTCATGATAAGAACCAGGTCCCAGCCAAAGTATCTACATCTGTTTCGTTTAAGGATGGTGAGAAAGAGGAGATATGGGGTAAAGGTGTCAACGGTGGAGCTCGAAGGAGAGTTCGTGACAAATGGAGGGAGAAAGAGAGCAGGTTTGAACAGGAATGAAGGTAAGTTATTGTCAAATAGAGCGCGAACACTGCACAAATGAATAGAGTGTTATTTAATATTTTAAACTGTTAGACAGAAGGAAGATTTGAAGCACTACATATTGCCTTGTCTTGCCTTGGTGTTAACATGGGTAATAGTTACCATTTGGATTGCATGCATGTATTATTCAGGGACAAATTCGAGGACGACCAGGCCATATAATCTTGGCTTGATCAAACTCGAACACCGCTGCACTTTCCATGGAAGCCCTCAGACCGAGTAAATACCTTCTGGCCTCTCAACCAGGTCTCCCTTACGATACCCTTCATGGTTTTGCCCTGGTACGGGGAACATTTGTTTCTGAACAGCATGGTGCTTGGTTCAACCACCCATTCTGCCTTGTCATCGAAAATGCACACATCGCCATCAAAGCCGACAGCCAAGGAGCCTTTTAGCTTATCGCATGATACCTGTGCAGCAGTATTGCTGCAGCACCATCGAGCGATCTCCTCTAAGAATGGTCTTCCCCCAGGAGTGGAATCTCCCTTGTATCGCCTTTGTATTTCAGTCCATAGGATGGGAAGCCCAAGACCCACCGATGATATACCTCCCCAAGCTTCCATAAAATTACCGGATTTTACTTCCCCTGTGTTCCCAGGGATATGGCTGGGAAGCATCTTCAAATTAGGCGTACAAGGCGAGTGATCAGATACCACTGTTTTTATAACCCCATCTGAGGAATGGCGAAGTAGCTCGTCCCAAAGCTGGTCTTGATTGGCCTTTCCACGGACTGGAGGACAACATTTGAACCTCGTATCACCATCTTGGATATCTTCGGCAGCTAGAGACAGGTAATGGAAGCATGTTTCTGCAGTTATCTTTGCTCCTTTCCCACGAGCCTCACGCAGCATAGGGATTGATTCGACAGCAGATAAGTGTACAATATGCAAAGGCAAGTCTGGCGCAACGTGAGAGAGTGATAGAATCTCCCGTACTGCGGTGGTCTCAAGCTTGGGAGGTCGGGATGACAGGAAAGTCGAATATGATGTTGGGGCCTTGGATAAACTGCATCCTCCATGTCCCTGACCTTCTGAGTTCCCTGGGCTTTCCATCTCAGCGTGGAACATAAGAACAGTTTTCTCGTCTGCTAGTTCCTCCATTGCAGATTTGATATCTCCTGAGGAAACAGCTGGAAACTCCTCCACCTATCGAAAGTTTTAGCGGCTATTTTTCGACCCTTAAGCATAATTCAAGCGATACATACACCGCTGTCAATCAAAAACCCTTTAAACCCTTTTACATTACTTTTTACCAAGGATTTCAATTCAGGAACGTTGTTCGGCACTAGCCCTCCATAGAAGCCATAGTCAACCCAACATTGGCCCTCCGCCGCTTTAACCTTTTCCTCCAGCCATGGAACTGTCGTTGTTGGGGGGATGGAATTCAACGGCATATCAATGACGGTGGTCACACCACCAAAGGCCGCTGCTTGAGTGCCCGTATAGAATCCTTCCCATTCTGTTCGCCCAGGTTCATTTAGATGCACATGGGCATCGACAAGACCCGGCATAAGAACCCATGGAGAATAATCCTTATACGTGATATTGTGACCTTTAAATTCAGATTCAGGTAGCACAGTCTTGGAAATAGATGTGATTTTGCCTGTTGCAGTTGAAATGACAATAGTAGCTGGCGTAAGTATGCCCGAGATTATTGCCCTTGAAGAGGCCATGACCACTACTTCCTCTGCCTCCCCTGGTTTTTGTGATGGATCCTTAGAATCCATAGTGAACTAATCAGAAAAAAAGACAATACTATGCTTTAAAACAAATTATAACTGATTATCTCTAAAACCCCCTGGAACTGCCTTCATATGAGTACATTCTTTCCACTACAGGATGGGCGTTGATTTATAGATGGTGGGAAGATTAAAGCAAATGCACGTGACACATGGCCCGCAGACGGACAGCGGAGCTCGCCGCCCTTAGAAGTGGAGACAAAAAAGATATAGAATAGATAATTAGTATCTAAACATCGGCTGGTAAATCTAGAAATCTGTGTATAGTAAATTTTAATGAGGATTCGCATTTCACAGCTCGTCCTTGTTCATATCCTCTGGTTCTGTCTTTTCGGCTTCTTTCTGGGTATGATCCGACTCAGTGTCTTTCGCGCCGACTGTTCGTGCCAGCTGTGCAATCTCTTCATCATAAACAGTCCATTCAGGCACTTGTCTTCTTGCCCTGTCGAGCTTTGGTTCCTTGGTCATCGGGTTATTGCAGAGGTCAATCGTTTTGGCGGTCTTGAGAGACTCGTCAGAACACCATGTCTCGCACCAAAGCCAGTCCTGGGGAAGACTCTTGATAGGAATGGAATGCTGCATGTGGTTTGGTAGGTCCTGGTCAAGGTTAGATAGACTCTCTGGATCAGCAGATAGAGATTGGTATTGTCCTCTAAGCCTATCACCAGCGGCGATGGCACGGAAGCGGTTTAGGTCAACAACATATAGCGCAGAAATGTGGTACGGTCGACCGCGCAAGAAACGTTTCCAGTATCCTTGGTTCCAGAACCGGAAGCCTTCGATCTCAGTGCGGGAGTCACACATTGGCGTGAAGCCATATGGAGCTCCCTCCAGATCGAGAGAAACGAGATCGTACATGTCAGTCCGAACAATTTGGTCTGCATCCACGAAAATAACCTTATCTAATGACAAGGGGAAAAGCACATCAAGAAAGAGGATTTTGTAACCCCAAATCTCTCTCTGTTTTTCACGCTGTGGGCGAAGCCAATGTGGCCATTTATATGTAACCATCTCATAAGAAAATCCGTACTTTTCAGCCAAGTGAGGGACAAATGTCTTGAATGAAGGTGAAAGGAATTGCTCAATGAACCAGAATTTGACAGAATGTTTCGTATGCTTCGTCACAGATAGCATCATGATGTTCAGCATTCGCTCATACAAATGGCCACTGGCAACTGAGAAAATGTTAATGTCCGCATGTTTCTCCTTTCGTGTCTTTGATACACCAGAAAAAACACCAGATGCGAAATCAAGCCCCTGAGAGAGAAGATTTTTTGCTGAACCTTGTTTCTTAGATCCATCCTCGAGGACGTCATCCGATTCGTGGCCAGGTTTGCGAGACAAACGAGGAAAAAGGGTCTTTCCTTGGAATGACAGTAACGAGACTTCGTTGTTATCGTCACCAGGCTTAGGGCTGTAACCCATGCCACCAACGCTATCGAGATTGAAAATGTTATCGCTCCTGCCTGGTTTCAATGTTATCTGCCAGTGCCCTGGTTGTGCCTTAAACTGGAAATAACCGAGATTTGCCATGATAATGGTATCAGTAAAATGAGGGTCCCTTTCGGTTCCCAGAAGTAGTTGGACACCCCTCGGAGGCTTGTTCCTGGATATATCGCGGGAATGGCCCTCAATCAAGATATGTTCAAGCTCGTAAATGGCATCAACATTGGTGCCTTCTTTTAGAGAGCTCAACTTGATATTATCTAGATCGTGGACTGAGTCTTTAGGAGCCACAAGCCATGACGGGGGAACATCCATGCCGAGGTTCAATAATGCTTCCTGGGGAACCCCATGGAAAGAAGCACCAGGTCGATTCAGTGAGCCATCGTCGTAGAACGATGGTGCAGGTTCAAGGACATGCCTGTAAAACCTTTTCACTGGTAGTTCCTTAATGGCCTCAAGAGGAGTCAAGAATATCTGTAGAGAGACGCCGTGGAGCTGGGACAAAACTTTCAAGATGGGAATCCACCGCTGAGCAACTTCTGTTGCGGGGTCTAATGTCGCAACAATTTTGATCAAAGGAGCTTCGGACTTTGATACGGTAATTGCTGAATGCTTGGTAACCCAGCTATTGAAAATTTCAGTGCGGATCATCGGGGGCCTTTGGAAAGTTCCTTCTGGGATATCCGAAATTGTCGAGAGTGCTACCATGGATGTGAGTCTTGCAAAGGCAAGGTGATCACGGATTTTATCGGTTTCTTCTAGTGACTCGAGGGCCGATACCACAGGAGTAAGACGCTTGGAACGTTCATACTGCAGTACCAATTCTAGATCCTGAGTGTCCAAGACTGTTGTTTGGTTGAGGGGCCCAATCAATCTTCCATTCAAAATTATATGCATGCCATTCCCGTCCGCTCCTAGCTCAGTTATCACTGGCTGGATAGTTGAGTAAAACCTCTGTGCATCGGTTGAAGTCCTCTCGCTCTTCGTTTCCTTGTCAAGTAAAGCGTCGAGAGCATCTATTTCCAGATCACGTCCGTCATCAAGGAGTTTATGCAGTTCAGTGGACAAGCCTTGCCCATTTTCTGGCATAGAAGGCTTGTGCAGTATCAAAACCTCCACCCCTGGGTTTGCTTTATGGAAAGCAACAACATTAGCTAATTGCTTTGCACCATGTTCATCATCTAGATCGATAACAAGTGCCAGTTGGGCCCATTCCTCTATGCCAGAACCACGCTCCCCTGGTATTCGTGGGATGGTCTCAAAAGCTTCCTTATATTTCGAATAAGCATCGTTTATGCTTTTCAGGGTTATGTCACTGGGGTCGTCGGGGATAATAAATGCGTTGAATTTGGGAGATGCTTCTTCCAGGTAAAAGCTGGGAAGCCAAACATCTTCCTTGTACTCCCCTTCATAGATACGTCGCTGCAAGCCTTGCACATCTTTAAACAACCTGTCGATTAGGAAGTGCATCCATCGCTCGTCACGCTCAATGGGGATAGCGTTGGCATATACAGGAGGATTCTCTCCGTCGAGAGCTAATCTCTTGAGATAGCCTCTAGACTTTTGTATCAAGGCATCGAGTTCAGTAGATTTCAGCACTTCTTCAAACAAGATTACTGACTGATCATCTTTCGGCTCCCTGTCTTTGATAGCTGTTTCAAAATCAACTTTGCTGGGCAAATTGAGCTTCTGAGATGAGTATATCTAAGGTAAGTAAGTTAGCACCTCTGCATATGTGGGGATAACATAGCTTGACAAAGACAAACCCCAGTGAAATAACTAAACACAGACTCCAGTCCGTAAGTTTTATTCAAATAATAAGCAATCTTTGCCTGCTCCTTAGAGAGCTCACTAAGCTGGGTTGGAACCAATCCGAATCTAATAGGGACATTGTTCAGAACAAAAGCTTGTATCTCCTCGACAAAGAGAGTGATGTCCTCCTTATTTGCCAGGTCCAAGGGAACAATGACGTTGTGGACATCACGACGGAGTTCATGGAATTGGCCAGGATACGTTGGTTGCAGAAGCTATATTAATTTATAAGCACGCGGTTCTGAAGGAATTTAGAATAGCTGTCAACTTACTGTGATGATATCGTCTGACCAATCTTCATATCGAGAATCCTTTTCCAGATCATTGAGCCAGATGATAACTCCCCCTCCCTCAATATCATCTCGATAGTCGTACCTCTGGCTTGTGTGTACTTTCTGGGCCATTGCGATGGCTGGATTAGACAAAAGCTTGATGGCTTCTTGTACTTGCAACCCAAGTTCATTAAGCGAGTTCATTAGTTTCCGCTCCTGCCTTAGATGGGCTAGAAGGGAAAAAGCATCGATGTTTTGAGGAGACATTTGAACACCGTTGATCCACATGGTGTTTATACCTGGCTGCAATCCATTTTTCCTATTTTCCTCATATTCAGCGAGGAATTCTGAGGTTGCATTAACGCCAGCAATTGTCTTTGAATGCCTAGGGAAATCATCAGATAATTTGATTAGGGTATCGAATGGGTCATCACTGTCCATGACAAAGCTCGCAGCATTCAATCCAAGGGTTGACACTTCAGATGAAGAAAGAGGTTCAAGGTCAGCAGTAGGGCTGTCAGAGAGTCTGTCAACTGTCAATGTTGGCTTTGAGTCAAGGAGAGCCTCCTTAGAGTCGCCTTTTCCTGAAGCGCGATCATCAATCATGATATAATCGGTACGTTTGAGATAAAGTTCTACTCCATAACCACTAACGAAAAGAGGCTTTGCTGGTCTAGAAGCTGCCGTCGATGGCCGGTAACGGACTCTGTAAGACATCTCACCATCTCTGGCTCTTTTGCTGACTGCCTTGTGGAACTCGCTGAATAAAGGCGAGGTTATATCCGCATATAAAACTAGCGATTGCCGGTTTTCCTCATCTTCGGCTTTTGGAACAGCCAACACACGATCGAAAGGAAGCAGTTTCTCAAGTGACCTAGAAGGAACAGCAGTCAGCAGGGTTTCAAACCATCCCACTATTCTTCTCGCTCGCTTTTCAAACAAATCAACGACTCACGCACTCGTCCCTTCCAGCAATTAAAGGCTGCTGTGCATGCTCTAAAGTAGGTGAACAATACTGAGATCCGTCATAATGCGCCCAAACCTGACACACAGCATCCTGCGCTGCCATCAACGAATTCTTAACGGAGGAGTTATAATATTGGTAATGAGCCTGGATTCTCGGCGCAGTGGATCGAATTGACAATGCAAATTTAAATGATGACAGGGTAACGGGATCCGTGATATGGCCATCTTCGCTAAGCACCTGAATGAATTGTTCGTAGAGGTCTTTCTCGGTGGTGGCATCCACAAATCTACCATCGGCAATGCGATCGAGGAGGGGAAAATAGGATGTCGAATTCTCTTCAGCCGCTGTTTCTCTGGTATTCACATGTCAGTAAGGAAATGGCTAATGGTAGTTAGGTGGCTTACAGGAGTTCCACGAGGTAAGGAGCTGAATTGAATGAAGCGCTCAAGGCAACGTTAACAGACGGACTGGCCTGCGATACATTTGGAAGAAGCGCAAGGCCCACTAAACACAGAGCCAATGGCCGTATGGGCCATGAACTTATGGCTGACATTATTACTGAGTCGTTGGAACCTCAGCCTGTGGGCTTTAAGTCGTATGTTGTGGGATAGGCGTAGGCGGCAGAACTGCTGAAGTAGAGCGCCCGGGAGCTTCAGATTCTATATTTCTCCTGCAAATGCATATTCCAGAAAAAACACAGGGTCACCAAGACTATCTGATAGGGCTCACAAGACGAATTGGCAGTGCCTGTCTGGCGTTGGATATTGTATTAGTTGACTATTGCTGATGTTTCCAGCCTTCTGGCCAGATTTCGTGTTTTATACGCTAGTTGTTAGGTCAACCCACGATGACATCAACGTAAACAAGCAGCGAGTTAACTAATCCATAACTAAGACGAATAAATTATGACAAAGATTAGCATTGAATAATTATATAATTAGAATACAGATACGTGTGGCAGCACCTCATAGATGTATTAATTACTAATGAAGAGCCTTTGGCGATTAACGATTAACAGTAACAGTAACACTTTTTTGATCGATCGCTCAGAAGGTAAACAGAGTACTGTCGGTCAGGGTCAAGCGTACATCCAGTAGTAGAAAGGCAAGAAGAGAAAGACACACAGGGCTGACCAAACATCCAGCTCAAGATAAAGGGCAAAAGAGCAGAGGCTAAGAGAGCCAGAGCCTGAACAGATACAAGAATGGAATCCTCCAATAGGGGCCTATTGCCTGCAAACAATTGTTGTTGGTCGGGTATGGAAATTTGAGAATTTGGTTAACCTGTGGGCCAGCGAAGAGGGTATTTTTGATTGTTGGACCGTTGGTCGGTTGAGGAAGTCAGGTCAAATCAATCGCGAGAGATGGTAGGAAATATTTAAAAACACAAGAACCCTGCAATCTCCGAGCGCCGTTTGTGTGAAAGACAAGGAGAATGAAAACAAAAAGCAAGAAGCCGGTCCTCTTTCCTTCATGGCCTGATAAAGAGAATCGTTCTGAGTCGTTGTGGTGGACACTTGGAAGAGAAGAAGACAGAGAGAGAGAGAGAGAGAGAGAGAGAGAGAGAGAGAGAGGAGGATAGGAAACTGGTGCCAGATAGTAGTCTGGTGGCTTGCGAAATTCGGTGGTTGTAGAATATCTCGGCTGTTGAAAGTCTGCCAGATCGAAAGGAAAAAAGAAACGAAAGGAAAGGATCCATTGTTGTCACGGAAAATTATGTATGCAAATGGGGTATCGTTGAAGTTATCCGGAAAGGTGAAAAAGAAAAAGAGGATGAGTGGCGGAGATATGACACGTAGAGAAATTCGTGAAATTCGTTCAAAAGGGCTGAGAGCTGGTGTACGAAGCAGTAGACTCTCTCCTCATATTCACTCAGCTGCTTGTCTGAGCTTGTGTGCATGTTTTGCTTCCCATTGTTTTCTCTGTTGCTTGAACTTGTCTGGGTCAAAAGTAGGCTCATCACTCAAGGATAGACCACGCATGGTTTCCCTTAGGAGGCCCGACGACTTGATCTTCTTGACGGTGTTTGGTCGTTTAGGTTCCTTGGCTGCATCTCTTAGATCGCCGCGAGATTTTAATTTCTTGATTTCCCGAGCGATTTTTTCTAGAGTAGATCCATTTGTACCCTTAAGCTGCGGGCTTTGAGATGGTGGTGTGGAGGGCTTTGTAAGGTTTTTAGAACTGCTGGAGGAGCTTCCACTTGTCGAGGGGCGCTCAGAAGAGGTGAAGCTAATTCCAGAGTCGACTTTTCGTCCTTTGCGCTGTCCTTCAGAGGCTTCTGCAAAGTGTTGGCAACCGGTGACCTCGGAGCATTCGCTAATCATGCTGTTTGCCAAGTCAAGGTACTTATCAATCATGCATCTAGCAACCGGCCAACCAGTCTTATCCTCTGGCCGTTTATCTTGTTCGATGACATGTTTTAGTACCTGCACACCCTTTTTCTCAAAGGAGCAGATATAGTCATAGAACCGCATTCGATGATCTAGCAGCAGCTTTCCGTTGAGATGTGGAGTTGGTGGTCTGGAATCCAGTGGAGGAAACAGAGTGTTCAACAGGGCAATGCAATTGTATCTGTTAAACGGAGTAAGAAGCATCTCGTTCACTAGCGCCTATAACCTGGTTAGCAGTGTGATAATAAAAAAAACAATGATAATGCATATCAGCCAATACATACCCAATATCGGATGCGGAGATATACTTGAGTGTAGAGGGCAATGACGTTTCTCTCGTTTTCCTGGATTTTGTTAAGCCAGGCCAGGACACCGGGGTACCGTCTAGAGAGCTCCTGTCTCTCGCTTTCGGTTCCAGTAAGGCCCAATCTGTCAAAGGCGTTAACAACTTCTCTCTTGCGGCGGTTTTCCAAGTCTCGGAGATAGTCTAGCGCGGTCAAGGCCTGTGGAAAATCTACCTCCTCTAGTACAGGGGGGAAAGACCGTCGAACGAAAGAGGTGATGAAGCTTGGCGGAAGAGAAGCTGGCTGTGATGGCAGCTGAGCTATCTGGGCCATCATCTGGGCCTTAAATCGAGCAGCGGTATCCGACATGGAAGAGTCGCTAGATCCGTGTTTCTCATGACGCGAAGAGGGTGCAGAACCAGTTGGAGATGGAGTTGTGCCGGCCTTCGAAAAAGCAGAGCCATTCAAAGTGGGAGACACGCTGGATAGATCCGTCATTCGGGGTGAAGAGTTGAGCGTGTACATGGTGCGTAGAGGGATCTCGTAGCTGCCGGGATATGCCAGAAGGTGCTCCAGTATCCACGGCAGAGCCGCACCCTCGCTGCCGCTAGGGGCAGAGCTCGAGTTTTGGCTGTTCATGACGTACATACAGCTTGTAGAGAGGTATAATTATTTGAAGTCGGAGGTCCTTTGCCAGTACAGAGCAATAGAGAGCGAGTGGGAGAGTTTGAGAGAGGGAGAGGATGAGAGAGGAAGTAAATAAGGAGCCACGCGAGCCGAGTTAAAAGAGAGCGTGAACCGGGTTGATCTCCCTGCTGCCGTGAAAGAGATGGCTTGTTTCTGGCGTTTGTCAACAGCAGACAGGCGCGTGCTGTCTCTTGTCTGTCTTGTCTGTATGTATGTATGTATGTGGTGCTGTGCGTGTTGACAGGAAGTTGTTTTTCTTTTTTCGGAGATTGGTGGTGGTTATTTGTTTACTTGATTCGCTTGTGCTCGCTCCAAACCAGTCATCCTCTACTCCATCCAACAACAGCAGCAGCAGCGCCGCAACCCACACGAACCAGGAACCAGGAAGACGAAGGCTGACCGAAGCTTGGAAGACGGCGAGGGAAGATGGTCAATAGCAGAGGTATGTGTGAAAAAGAAATGACAAAAAAAGGTCAGCGGACTACCCGATCAAGGCCGATATCAACTGCTAACAAGGAAGACGACGAGATGAATCCGGCTCGAGATATACGAAGAGAATGAAAGCAACCAGAAAGAGAAAAAGGGAAATGAAAAATCAATAGTCAAACCAGCGACTCCTCTAAATGCCCTTCTCTTTTTCTTTTCTTCTTGCTTCCCTGGACATCAATGACGCGGAAAAGCAGAGCGGAGGAGAGGAGAAAAAGAGAAGGAGAGAGAAAACCACGACGGCAGAAGGGAGACGACAGGCAAGATAAAAGGCGAGTAAACTATGAGATCGAGTCGTCACATTCACTGTCCCACCCCCCGAGACATCTAGATCCACTGCTAATTAACAAGCGCTGTAAGATATATATTATTTTTCTTTTACCTGCAGGACGAAAGGGTACGTGGAGACGACGAAACCCCAGGGCGCCACACTTTACTCCGTACTTAACTATATAGATCGGATCGTCCCTTATTATTTTTCGACAACAAACTTAGCTTTCCCAACGGGCTGGCTCGTTAGTCGAAACATCCTGGGGGAACCATCTGCCTTCAAGAACACCGATGATTCTGAGAGCGCACATCATCTTTTGCCTGCGGATGGAGCGAATGAGGAGTATGGAGTAGTTACGAAGGGCTTCCCTCAGAAAAGGGGAGTGAAGACTTTCAACATGCAGGAACTCGCCCTCATCGTCGCCCTCTGTATGTGGGTTGGAGGATGTATCCTCTTTTTTTTTTTTTTTTTTCTTCCTTACAAGTACGTAAGTACTCTCGCCTCGTCTGCACTACTTTATGTAACTACTTTGTAGGACGTGAGACCTGTTGGAAAAGGTTACTTTCCTTTTCCGCTTTATGCAGTCACTATGCATCTATCCCAGTCTCCGTGGCCGGCCCAGTGCGATTTTTGCAGTTGGTCAGTTTTTTTTTCATTTGCATCCTGAGAGTCCCGTCTTTCCCTTTCCGCTCCATTGACCTCCTTACGTGCTTAAATGGTCAACCCTGAACCCTTGGAGGGTGTTATATTAACACCATGCCAACTTCAACCAAATACGTATACGATATCAGATAAAGCTATCCTTGGAAATTTCAGGACTTGGTCTATACTCAGATATATATTTTAACCGTCATTTTTAAACCTCCATCGGCGGTCCCTGGATCCTCGTCCGTCTGAACCGAGCGAAATATCCCATCATTAAAGTTGGGAAAATCCCAATTTTTCGCGATATTATGGGCCTCTTTTTTGCCCTTATGAGCGACTTACCCCTGGAAGTATGCGTACAAAGTAACATCCCTGACCTGCAGGTCAACCGCGTCTCTGCTGCACACAGTTGTCCGCCCGCAACTCGGTACAACAGAGGTTCGTCGGAAGGAAGGATACTTTTTCCTTCCCTTTGATCAAATTAGCCCGATGGGCTGCTGTGGCTTCACTTTGGCCGTGAGGCTACGGGTGCGAAAAGAATACAAACAGCCATTTCGAGAATTACGCCAGAGCCCACAGCACCTGGCAAACAGCGCCTCGTACCCAACCAGTCACCACAGCCAGAAGCTGTCAGTGGGCATATAAGTATGGACTAATGGTAGGCTCGATCCTGTTGTCCGTCTTGGCGTTTGCGTCTTGCGGGTAGTCCGGTATAGACTGCGAGAGAGGAGGGTTCTCATATCAGATGCGTACGGAGTATCCGTGGACTTCAATTATATTCCGTTATGGCCAGTCACATCGGCCAGGGCTTTCCTGTAGCCTGACAGGCAAGGGTCGCCGCCTAGTTGCAGGTCAACAGGCTCCTCCTCCACCCCATAACGAAGGCGATTCTCAAGATACGAACGAGACCGTCGTGATACCTTCTGCTCATTCCCCCCGTTAAGAAAGATGAGCTCTCAGTTTTTTTTTTTTTTTTTTATTTCCTTATTTTTTCTTTTGCCCTCGTCTTATTTTGTTTTGGCCATGGGAACGGGATTGTAAAGCTCCGCGCCCAATAATACGGTACAACGGGTCCCAAGAAAAGAGTCGAGCAGAGAAAAGAAAGGCGGGCGAAAGAGCTGATTGCGAATCATAGCAGCAGAAGGCCAGAAAAGAAGCGTGGGCTCTGAACTTTAGTTGAAGAAGGAAAAAACAAGATATGGCCAAAAAGAAAAAAAAAAAAAAAAAAAAAAAAAAAAAAAAAAAAAACCCCAAAAATGTGCCAGATCAGATTTGTGACAGGCCATCATCGCCATCTCCACAGCCTCCGTGGCGGCTTGATTTAGTGTCGACCAACCGCCTTCAGCACGCTTCTTCAGCCCACCCCTCCCAAGAATGGCAATAATACAGACAACAGGCCGATGTTGAAGGCATATTTATAACATTTCATAGGTCGCTTAGACGGTTATGCAGCATACTGCACCCAGCCATGCTCCTTATATGCTTATATCTACTCCGTTCTGCCAGTTTGAAGAAAGAGGAGAAAGAAAGGGAGTGAAAGACAAGGAGTCCATAGGCGTAACAAACCCTGGTCGAATGGCTTCCACCGTTGTCTCCCTTTCTGCTTCAACTCCTTGACTGGAGTCTAGATTTTTAGCCTCTTTCGCCAACGGTTTCTCACATTGGGACCCATGTCCTCGCCCTCGAGGTGTAAGCGAAAACGACCTTTGGGTTTGAACGCACAGAGCTCGATGTAGTATTTGATCAAACGACTAATCAACATCGGGCAAGCTCAGCGTCTCGGCTTCACGCTAGAACACCTCCACGGCACGCCGTGGAAAGGATAAGACACCAGCCATCCCCGCCTGATCAACCCGAGCGAAGACGATCAGTGACGGCCAACTGGCGAATGAACGGCACGAATGCCCTTATGGAGAGCCTTCAAACGGATCTCATGCTCCGGGCATCAAACGTCAATCGACTGATCGGGAGATCCAAGAGTGGGAATGCCTTTCTCTTTCGAGAAGAGATAGCATCTTCTCCTCCCATTATCACTTTCAATCACCATCCTGGAATACGCAAGCAAGGCAAGGGGGACTCCCAGGAATCATCCACATATCCACATCCACACAGCCATAATCCACACCCACGCAAGCAGGGAATGTGGGCTGGCTGGGCGGAACTGATGTGTGTGCGTGAGTGTGTATTGTTTGTGAGAAAGCGATCTCCCTTAAAAAAAAAGTCCACACGCCCATCCAAGTTCCTGCACCCCGACTTGAAAGTATATAAAAGCTGGCTGCTATTGTCCGACCCCCCATCCCCCCTTCTCTCTCCTATGTGGCGATCACGTTTATGTTCACGTTCTCTGACTGCCTTTTTCAATAGCGTCTTTGACTACTTCTGTCTGTCCCATGGGAGGGTGCTCAGATAACTGGTAAGATGAAATTAGAGAAAAGGCTCTTCCCTGGTCGATTCGTCCTCGCTGGTGAGAAACAAGCGACGAAGAGCCTATCAGTCGAATTGCATAAGATTATACGCGAAGGATGATGACGGCTCCGTTCACGCTTGATCAGCCAGACAGCGTGGACAAGCCGGTATCAAGCTGGCTAGCGAGTTGACGAGCTGAAGCTGCACATCACTGGTAGTGTCATGTCGAGACAAGCCACCTCTTCCAGAGAAATGCAGAGAAGCTCGTCTCACGACCAAAGCCAGGTCTCGTATGGAATTATCGAATCAATGAAATATCCATGTTCAGGGCTGTAACTCGTCCATTTCCCCGTACAGAGTATACATGAAGTACCTCTTGTAGGCCCGTATTTCTATACAGCGGCGTGATGTCAGCGAGCAGTGTCCAGACTCGCTGGTTATTATTAATCGTCAAATCACAAGAAGATTTGCACATGAAGGGTTTATCACGTGACTTTATCCACTTTCGGACTTCCCGTGACTTGTCTTTTTTTCTTCGGCCTTCGCAGTCTTGGAAATCGTGGAAAGCGAAGGAGGAAAAAAACGCTTCCAGGACGAGACGTGATCTTCATCCCGCAGGAGATCCAAAGACACCAGGTACAGTCGTGGCATTGGGATAGCTGCTCTGTACCTACAGATAAGAGGGCGACTGGGAGACCTGCATCGGAAAAGGCGCCCGCTTGTGGAAATGGAGGCTGGACCTCGTAGTTTTGGTAGGTCCAAGGACAGGCCACCGCATCCCAGCGCAGTTCATCCGGCCATTTTACACTCTGGCAATAATACGGGATTGCTCTCGTTTCTTTTTTCCCTGTCCTCTCTCCTCTTCGTCGTTATTCGGCTGACCAAATATCGAGCTACATATGCAGCATATCACTGACATGTCCAAATCTTAGTGACCCTTGATGTGTTCACATCAGAAAGGTTGATATTACCTCGATAGCTTCATATCCTTTTTCCACCCCATCTCTCGACTGGATACGAATAACCGGCTTTTTGGATCCGGAGATGAGGGTGGATCTTTGTCGAATCAATAAAACACTCAATAACACCCGTTTCTCCTGCTGCAAGCCCATATTACACTGCTTTTTTTCTTTTAATTACTATCTCTAGATGTCTAACGCTTTTCATCTCTTGTTCATGGCAGATATGATGGAAGCCCACTTGCAGTGGTGCGGCTGAAGAAGGATGATCCCCTCTCACAGGAACGGAAGATGCAGATTGCCATAGAATTCGGATATAATAATACCGCATTCTTACACGAGCCAGTGTACCTGGAGAAAATTGGCAAGAATGTTCGGAAATTGGAACTATTTGGTGCGACCAAAGCGCATAAGCCCTTGGCCTTTGAGGCCATCCTAGGTGTTGCGTTATACATATTCCAGGAGAACCCTCTTGACTCGACCACACCAGTACCTGCTCCGCGTGGGGGCACAGAAGCAGCGAAATCCGCATCAGCTGCCTTTTTGGAATGCTTTATCCAGTACAACGATCTGGTCTTCCGCGCCGAATATGATCCACTGCGTCAGGTTGGCGTTCTTCTGCTGCCGCACAACGTCCACATCCACGGTCGAGAAACAAGAAAAGATGAGATACTGGCCATACAGCCAAGCCTCTCCAATGTCGAGGATGTGAAGAAGATGAAGGCATCGTACCCAATCTTGTCGATCGCCACGGGAGTGACCTACACATTGGTGGATTTCACCAACAGCCCTAACCTTCTGAACCTTCTCGAAGCCGGTGAACCGCCAACTCCCGAACTCGATACGAGCTGGAAACAACGAGCCGTTGACGAGTCAATTGTTAGTCGCCACTATGGTGCCGTCTATTTTGTTCAGGACGAAGCCGACTTCACAGAGGAGCCCTACATCACCAGTCTTCAGGTACGGGTAATCCAGGATGGTGTTGAACAGACTGCTACTGCTGGCGCATGTTCCACTCTTGCGGCATACTTGGCGCTGCAGAAGGGAGGAAATAACTCAAGCCATGCATTTGCGATGAAGCAAACCACCACAACGGGCCGATCGAGCCAACTATGCCTCCAGATCGGGCTGGATGAGAATGGGACAAGCGTTAAGCGTATCGTTCTCTCTGGACGTTGTACTTTGATCAGTCAAGGAACCTTGATGTAAAACAGAAAAAAAAAATTACATACGGAGTACTTCTTCTGGCTACATACACATAACCCTGCCTTATCCATGTATATGCAGTTTCTCCATCTTATGTACCTGTGCGTCTGCATCTGTGACATCTACTATCCCTTGTTCCTCTCCAGGATCACCACCTTTTCCTCGTTTAGTACTTATAAGCATAGCTATACGGACTCGTTCACTCTAGGGCAATCATGATTTCTGTAAGTTATCGCACATTGATCAACAGATTTGCAAAAAGCAATGCTATACGGACATGTACTCTTACATATCCCGAAGGCAAACCCGCAGCCTGCCGTTCATCATTTACTCCATACCCTGTACAGGAGACAGAACATAGAGAAGGCTGATACACCCAACAAATCCATCCTCCTTGCATTCAGTCTTTGGATACAGAGTACTCCGTACTAACTCTGAAAAATGAATAATACTCAGAATTATACTTATAATTTATTTCATACTAATTTCGCTTGAGAGTCCTAGTGCCGATGCTTAGTTCATACACGGGCAGTTACAATAAGAATCTATATTATTGATTCATTCAACAGGGGTTTCAAGGACGTCATCATTGAATGCTAGGGCTATAGAACCGATATAGAACCATAATACTCCTAGTTCTGGCGGTACTTTGAAACCTAAGGCTCAGGAACGTTGCACTCTAAACTAGTGAGCATCTCATACGGGGTACACCTGCATGTATAGTTCAAATTCGACTGGGGAACAGATTATACTTTAAGCCAAAGCCGATATGCAACTATTCAAGTCTGGGGTCTTCAATCTCTTGGAGTCTCTTGTGTCTTGCTTGGTTGCGCATGCAGCGATCCTGATATTGACACCCACGGTACGCTTTGTCATAGTCCAGTGTTTATTCAATAGCCCCTTACAGTCTGCACGGCGCTTTATTGATCATGATGCGTTGGTAAAAAAACAATGTCAGAACCGCCGCCGATCGACGAAACTTCGTATCCTCCGTCTTTGAGGGCCTAAACACTACAAAAAGTACTATCATCGCCCTCAAACAATGATGAAACATGGCAACTTTCAACTCCTTATTTTCTAAAACTTCTCTGGGGTTCACGTGATTTTATCGATAAGGTAAGCCAAAGCTTTGAGGTAGTGAGAAAAAGTTGAACTTCGCGACGTTTTGCCAGCACCAGCTTCGGCTCATTTTTTCATTATTTGACTTTAACAATACTTACAACGCTTTGAGTTATATCAATCAAACGATCCGTGTTGCAGATCTGATTTACTGCACTTTAATTATACCTCCAGCTCAATATACTGTTGCTGAGGCAATCGGTCAAGGCGTTGGGCGTTGGGTTCATCTAGATCAACATGACATCAACCATCCTCCCTGGGGACATACTTCAATTATCACAGCCCAATGCTCCTAAATTAGGGCCGAACCTCCATCTACTTACATCACAGGCCAAAGCACAAGAGTCGCAGGAGCCGACCTCACAAATAATCGCAGCCTCGCAGGCGGGGCTTCTCTCATCCGACAACAAGCGGAATGCAACAACTTCAATCCTCCCGTTTCCCAGTACACGCTATATACCATGCCAGAATGACCTGATAATTGCCCAGATACACCATTCGAGCCCGGATTTCTTTCACTGCATAATATCTCCTAACTCACCACATGCATTCCTCGGTCAACTCGCCTTTGAAGGAGCAACAAAGAAGACAAGGCCGCAACTTAAGGCTGGCGAGCTAGTTTATGCACGTATTCTATCTGTGGGCGTTGGTGCAGGCGGAGAGGTAGAACTTACTTGCGTCAACCCTGCCACCGGAAAGGCAGAGCCTGATGGCCTAGGGTCCTTGCATGGTGGGATGGTGTTTGATGTTTCTACTCTGTTTGCATCTAGGTTAATGATGACCGGCCCGGAAAGGAAAGATGGCGCTGGACCCGGCGGTGTAATTGTTTTGGAAGAGTTGGGGAGGAAATTTGAAAGTTATGGTGGGTTTGAAATCGCTGTCGGGAGGAATGGGAAAGTTTGGGTTGACAGCTCTGCAGAAGGTGACGTTGGGGTTATAATGGTGGTGGCTATTGGGAGGTGTCTGAGAGAGACGGATGAGAAGAGGCTGGATGTTGTGGAACAGAAGAAACTGGTTTTGCGGGTGTTGAAGGAGATAGGGGTAGGAAAATGAAATGAATGAATTCTACAATCGAGTAGACACCCTTGCCCCCGCGATTGAGTGCTTGCATTACTGCGTAGCTTCGGACTTATTCCACGGACATTCTCTAGACTAACCTCATATTCAAATGATTAAATGTTCTTCTGGGCTTTTTACCCCCCATATCCATCAAGTATAGTAGTATAACACAGTATATAACCCTACTACAGAGTGAGGCTATGCCGAAGCTCAATCATTTTCGCCAGAAAACATCATATTGGTCCTATTCCCGAGACAGTTAAACTGAACCTCGTTGTGTCCAAAAACCATTATAGACATATCCATATTCATAATAAACTCCATCATTCCAATAAACCGTATCCCATCAAGGTGTTGGGCTTGAATATCCACGTAAAGGAATAAGAACATATCCACCTGAATCAACTCCCAAAATTACGAGACGCACCCATGTCGCCTTCCGGATCTCTCATTGCTGCAGCAGCAAATTGGTGTCCAATCCATATTTTTGCACACCAGGCAGTGATCAGGGCATCAATAAATCGATCATCCATATCACACACAATGTGGAACACAGGCCTCACATTAGAACCACCATGTATACAGACGGTCTCAATGGCAACGAGAGATTGGTTTGCGTCTTCCCATTGTAGCGTTTCTTGCTTTTCCGGGCTATGTCTGGGTCTTATGCGAAATATCAGATCGTCCGTCTGTCCGTTTAAACGAAGCCGAAAGAGCTCCCATCCTCTCTTAATGATACCACGAGACATACGCAGACACAAAGCAGCGGAAAGGCAACTCTTTCTTTTCCCTGTTATCTCAACGGAAGAAGAAAATATAGGTTGTGAGAAATCATATATATGTTTTTCTCTTACATTCCCGTGCTGGGCTGTGTTCCTGTTGGGACAAAGACGGGAAATTCCGATTTTCCTGTATCCAGCATCTAGCTCGTGAGTTAGCTCGTACAGAGCCGTTGTTGGAGGGACGACCGGATAGATCAGATTGCCATCTAGGGTTAAAGGTGATAGTTCTGGCCGGCCCAGCGGAGGTGGAGCAGGAGTTTGTGCTGATTCTCCGTACGAAGGGGGCGGAGTGCGAACATTCGACATATTGGTAGATTGCCGTAGATGAGTTATAAGATGATCATATTAAGAAGTCGAGATATTCGTGGAGCTCAAACCATACGGCAGCATCGAGATAGCCTGAGGCTGAGCAAACTAAAATGCTGTGATATTCGCCACACAAGTTGAGACACGCGTTCGTCCGTAATCACGACCGAGGCAAAACGAGGCCGGGTTAGCATATAGAAAGGATTGGTTATATACACATAGATGTAATTTCTGGGTATCTGGTTTTGTTATGGCGGCTGGTGCTCGCGTGTTGCTTTGATATTGAGAAGGCTCAGATCTTGTGACATCATTTCGCCCGGGCAGTTCAGCTCATGCCAAGACAACTACACGTTCAAAATATTGAGTACTTTCTCAGGCCCAACTAATACGATTGATACTCCACGAGCATAGATGATGAGCAGCTTAGCTGCATATAGCCAATGTTATTCAAAGTATCCAACATAAGACTGTTAAGGCCCGATCTGATGCCTTGCTAAATCTGTGGAGTACTTCTCAAAACCGCCTTGCAACGCCTGCTGGGTGTGGCAGAAGTACTTCAGCATTTAAAAGACCGTGGCCTTCAGTTAAATATTAGCTGGCCAGCCAGGTCCACTGACTGATTGTCAAATTGACCTGGCACCGAAATATGCGCGGAGGAATGACCAGGGTGCTATTCGATGCAATATCACCTGTCTCACTGAGCATACAAGTCTCAGTCCATCGTTATCGTGATTTCTACCATGTTCACCCAGCGAGTTCTGGAGTCAGGTAGATCAGATAAATCTCCGTTATCAGGTTTGCTGTTGTTCTTTCCCTGCTTCCTTTCAGCATCCGCCTTGGATGCAACATCTTCTTGGTCGTCAGTTTGTTGGACGTCGCCCGGAAGCTGTTTTTCAGCTTCTATCACTTCATCTCGAACAATATCGTCTACCACCATGACTGTCCCAGTCTTCACCTTGGTGGTCAACCCATCCTTTTTGTCAAACCACTTTCCCACTTCTATGGCCTTGTCAATGGCACGCCCCGTCGCCTTGATAAAGACTGGCTCTTTTCGTAATGCTTCCGAAGCATTTTTAAGCTGTGTAAGCTTGTCCTTGCCGGATTTCCTCTTGTTCCCCAGGGAAATACTCTGTGTAGCACGCTTTTCGGCTTCTCTCAACAATTTTTGGACGCGTTTCGCAATGCTCATAAACGGAGACTTGGTTGAGACATAAACGACTTTGGGTACACTGGCTCCTGCATAAGGGGATGCAGCTGGGGGGTGAGGAATTGGTCGTTTCTCAATTCGCGCATCTGTGCAGGAATAGTTAGATCTTGTCGTGAGAGCTGGAGTAATAACGCAAGGTTGAAAGCCCCTAGCTAGGATACTGTACTTTTAGGGATTTTGAGCAGATCCTTGTTCTTTCTTTCAAAAACAAGCTCTAGCTCGGGTTTCAATTTAGCCATGGTCAGTATCAGGGTGGCATCTCGCAGGCAAACTTATCACCCAGTCATGCTGTGTTGTCGTGGAGCAAAGTCCTTTGCGCAAAGAAAGAGAGAGTTGCCCGTTTAGTTAGTTTGCTATGGCTGATAATGTCATTTTATTGGATTCTTTTTAGATTTTATTATTGGGCTATATTTTTTATAATTGCTTATCATTGGTTACTTAGGTAAATAAGCATAAACCACATAATGTCGTCTATTGGCTTCCGGGACGGGCCAGAATCGTATCAACCAGCCAATAGAATCGGCATATTCTCCCAAAAGGGGTTCGCGACGCGCGCTCTTTCGAGGCTGAAATAAATACTGAAGAAAAAAAATCAAGAGAGATGGAATATCACAAATCATTGAATAATTTTGGCGTATTTTGGACGCAGGTGATTCTGTGATTTTGAGTCTCTATTTCGAACATATTGTATATCCTACTATAAACTCCACGGGCAAGAGGAGGTAACACGAAACAACCATTGGATTAGTAGTGTCGTTTTGATACCCCTTGGAACGAAAATATCATGTCGAATAAGAAGAACGAGGATCAGAATATGAACAGAAGAGACGAGAAATTCAGACCTGCTCCCCAGTACCGGACTCGCAGCGATAGCGGCAGCATGGGGGTGATCTTATCACGGCTTGAGAACAGTCCTGGTGCGGCTGTTCTCGCCTACTGCTTCTCTTCGATTAGTATGACAGTTGTGAACAAGTATGTCGTTTCGGGCTCGTCCTGGAATTTGAACTTCCTTTATCTAGCTATCCAGGTATATTCATTATTCTCATTTGTACTCCAGAAATTTTCTATCAATGTTCTACGCTAACATATATTGACTAGTCCGTGCTCTGCACCGCTGCGATTTTAGTTTTAAAGCAAGCGGGATTTGTCCCTAACCTCGTTGCTTTAGAAAGTACTAAGGTCAAGAAATGTACATATCCATGTTACGGCTAATTGAATCATCATGTGGATTCTTATCATGCTAATATTCTAAACCAGGGCTCCCAGTGTCTGTGTTCTTCGTGAGCATGATCTATACCAGCATCAAGGCTCTTCAATTTCTATCTGTTCCGGTGTATACCATCTTCAAGAATTTGACGATCGTTGTCATTGCGTATGGCGAGGTCTTGTGGTTTGGGGGAAACGTCACTCCACTGATTATGCTGTCCTTCGGTTGTATGGTGCTCAGCTCCATCGTAGCTGCGTGGGCTGATATTCAGGCTGCTGTCAATGGTTTTGGGCATTCAGGAGAGACTGCTGCTGCTATATCTACCTTGAATGCCGGATATGCCTGGATGGGTCTTAATGTTGTCTGCACAGCTTTATACGTCTTGGGCACGCGCAAGTTTATCACCTCACTGAACTTCAAAGACTGGGATAGTAAGTGGCATTCTTCGACCAATTGATCAATCACGAAAACTTGGAACCGCAAACTGACCGGAACTAGCTATGCTTTATAATAACTTAATATCCCTGCCCATTATGGTTATCTGTTCTCTGGTCACCGAAGACTGGTCTTCGGCTAACCTGGCCAAGAACTTCCCTGCTGAATCGCGCAACAATATTCTCATTGGCATGTTATACTCAGGCTTAGGGGCCATCTTCATCTCTTACTCATCTGCCTGGTGCATTCGCAAGACTTCGTCAACAACCTATTCATTCGTTGGGTATTTGAACAAGCTCCCACTTGCCATCAGCGGACTCGTATTTTTCGATACTCCCGTCACGTTCGGTGGTGTCTCTGCCATTCTTCTGGGATTCTTTAGCGGTCTCATCTACGGCTACGGCAAGATGAAGCAGAAGGAGATGACGAGCCAGGTCCTCCCCACCACCCGTCCGCCCATGAGTGCCAGCTCTCAGAGCCAGAAGGATGCGTCTAACTGATAAGCTGGTTCCCAGGATACCTTAGTGTATATCTATATCTTCTTTTCTTTTCTTTTTCTTTCTTTCTTTCTTTCTTTTTTTTTTTTTTCTGGTTTTATGTGGCTTTTTTCGTCGTGATATGGACTCTTGTTGTGATGTTGACATACTTTGGCGACCACCATTTTGGCGATTGATCTAATTATTATATGGGGTTTAGAACGTGAAGTTTTAGAGTAAATAGAAGATGAATTTGAGAACACAAAGTATCTTCCAATGGCATCCTCCATCCTCCATGGCGATAGCAAAGAAATGTCGGTCGTTCTTCTCTCTCCATCTTTCGTCTTACAGGAAGTGTTGGTTATCGATAAGCTTTCGTCAACCGCCAGAAGAAAAAAAAAGCCAAAACTAGGCAAAAGTTTTTTTCCACTTCTTGTGCCGCCAAAAAGTCGCTGACCTGCCAATTTGCCTGCCACGAAAACCCCCGTCTCAACAGTCCAATTCTTCATTGACACTACTGCTCTTCTGGAGGCCGACATAACCTCCTTGTTTATCAGAAGGAAGAAAATATGAGCGATCAAGCTGCTGGAGTCGCCTCGGATGCGACTGAGCGGTGTGCTATCGGTATCTCCTTTGGCAACTCCAACAGTTCCATCGCTTATACCTCGCCTGTAAGTGGCAGACCAGATACCATTGAAGGAAACTGTTCGCAGGTTGTATCTTATTTGTTTCTCTGACTCTTGCGTGTTACTTGGGCAGGATGGAAAAGCAGAAGTTATCGCGAACGAAGATGGAGGTTAGTGGGATTCCCTTCCTTCGATATTGGTATCGGACCAATGGACTAACAGTCGAATTTTTACCCAATTCCAGATCGCCATATCCCTTCTATAATCTCGTATGTTGATGGTGATGAATACCATGGCACACAAGCCAAATCTCAGATTGTCCGACATCCGGCCGACACCATCGCCTACTTCAGAGATTATCTTGGAAAAGAGTAATATCAAGCCTGTCCTGATGCGAGAATAATTGGTTGGGAAGTATTCGGCTAACCGTGATATCCAGGTTCAAATCGATAGATCCTACGCCGTGCCATCAATCAGCTCACCCACAACAGCATGAGTCCACTGTCGCTTTCACCGTTCAAGAAGGCACCGAAGAGGAGAAAAGCACGCTTACTGTGTCTGAAGTTACGATTCGACATCTTAGTCGCCTAAAAAACTCCGCCTCTGAATATATTGGCAAACAAGTCAATGCCGCCGTCATCACTGTCCCCACAAATTTCACCGATACGCAGCGATCCGCATTGATGGAAGCTGCGAAAGGAGCTGGTATAGAGGTTCTCCAGTTCATCCATGAGCCAGTTGCTGCCGTCGTAGCATACGATGCTCGACCTGAGGCTGTTGTCACCGACAAGCTTGTTGTTGTTGCTGATTTGGGTGGCACTCGATCTGACGTTACTGTTATCGCGTCCAGAGGTGGCATGTATACCATCTTAGCTACTGCCCATGATTACGAACTAGGAGGTGCCCAGTTGGACCAGGTCCTCATTGACCACTTCGCTAAGGAGTTCATTAAGAAGCATAAAATAGATCCTAGGGAAGAAGCTCGAAGCTTGGCTAAGCTAAAGCTCGAGGCCGAAGCGACAAAGAAGGCTCTTAGTATTGGTACAAACGCTTCTTTGAGCATCGAAAGTCTTGCTAACGGTATCGACTTTACCTCTAACGTTAACCGTTTAAGATACGAACTTCTCTCCGGAAAGGTCTTTGGAAGCTTCACCGACCTCATCAAGCAGGCAGTCCAGAAAGCCGAGCTTGATCTCCTTGATATTGACGAGGTTTGTATATTCAACTTTGTGTCTAGTTTTCTAAAATATATGCTTACATCGTGTAGGTCATTCTCTGTGGTGGAACATCACATACTCCAAAGATTGCTCGTCTTGTCCAGTCTCTATTCCCTGAGACCACAACTGTCCTTGCACCAGCTACCTCGCCGACCGCCATTCACCCCTCCGATGTGGCTGTCAGGGGTGCCGCCATTCAGGCTTCTCTCATTGAGGAATTTGAAATGGCTGACATCGAGCAATCCACACACCCAATGGTCACTGTTACCGCTCACCTTACCAAGGCCATTGGAGTCCAGCTCGTTTCTTCTGACGAGGCCAATTGTATATTTAGGCCACTTTTAAACACTGAGACTGCCCTCCCAGCCCGTCGATCTGCTCAATACCCTGCTCCAAAGGACGGTGGTGACGTTCTCGTCCGTATTTGCGAAGGAACTCGTGAAATTAAGGTCACAAAGGTTGAGCCTAAGCCCAAAGCCGAGGATGAAGATGAGGACGATGATGATGATGACGATGATGATGATGACGATGACGAGGAAGATGAGGAGGGAGAAGTCCGTGAAATCGCATGGAATGTCTCTAAGCCTATTGCAGAGTTTGCTATACGCGATGTTAAGCCTCAGGGCAAGATTGAAGTTATGGTCAGCGTTAACGAACAGCTTGCTGTCCAGGTAACTGCTCGTGAGATCGGTGGAAAGGGAGGAGTTCGTGGTGCTGTGGAACCTCCCCAGTAGTTGAGAATGGTGCATAAATTTTTTTAAAAAAAATGGGGGAACATACAAAAGCACGTATAAATGGCTACATTAGACGGAGATGGATATATGATGATAATGCGTTGGTCCTTTTCCAATGAGTTTAATAGTTATTACGCTTTGGTTAATTTGTCTTCTGGTATCCGTACTTCTCTGAACTTAACTTCAGTGACCAATTTATCCATGCTATGAAAATCAATTAGGATAATTTCATTCAAAGCAAGTAGAAAAAGATTTGCGTAAGGTGACACTGTGGGTTGCCGTAACTAGTTAGCCCAGCTACCTAGTTAACTAGTCAGCCCCCAAGATATAAATAACTACGCAGAGCTAAAGATGACGTCGGTTTTCTTGAAGCTACAACAAAAAACAGCCGTGCTTTACTGACAATAACACCTCAGCGTCATACAATAGTATAATACTATAATCATGGCTGCCTGGGCATATCCTTCTCTTCCAGCTGAACGGCTGAAAGAAAAAGAGGAGGCATCGTTGGTATGTGTATCGATCCGGCTCTTTCGGGAATAACAGCTAACAAACCACCTAGTCTAATGAGCTACAATGGCTCTTGAACTCCTTACAAGGAACACTGGCCTCGTTACGAGATGGATTACAGGAGTGTTACGCTCTCCTGACACCAAATGATATGGGATCTACACTCGTGCTTTCATCAATGCGATCGGAAAGTGTTAAGGGATTTGTGACGAGAACGGGCTCGAAAATTGTTAAAGGAGTACGTGTCTGTGTGAAGAAATAGGAGACTATAAACTGTGGACAAGAACTGCTAGAAGGCAGTGTTGGGCTCACATGAATACGACACTCCCATGCTAACAATAGGATCTCTAGGATGTTCAACTCCGTCTACACTCCTTGCCTCCCCCACGCGGTTCGCCTTCAACCCGATTATGTCTTTCATCCGACCCAGCAGCTCCTGAACTTGTCCTGAATCAACTTTCGACTGTTCGCCGCCTCATCAACGATAGTCTTGATATCGTTGATATCAGCACATACACAGGGGACTCGAGAGATGCGAGTTTCATATCCGGCCAACTACGGCTCCTGGGCGATAACCTGGCTGAAGCGAGGCAAACTTTGAAAGGTGAAGGTGAAGGGATTAAGCAGCCCTGGTTCGAAGGCAGCGCAGATGGTAACGTATGATCTGCCACCTGGAAATTCAACCAAAAAAGTCTGGTTCAGTGGGAACTATGGGTAATGCTGACCCCATATAGAGCTTCGACCCGCCTCTCCCACCTTACCTCTCGTTTCATCTCTCGATTTCAGAGGCTGCACTCGTGCTATATCTTCGCACTCTTGAACCCGCTTCAACAGAGTCCACCCCAGCAACATCTTTCGCACCTCATCTTTCTCTAGGAGGATTTTCTTTACGAGACCAGCTTTTTGGAGTGAAACAGCCCGCGCATGATGAGACTGGTGATGTATTTCAATGGCGTGGTGAAGAAGTAAGAGTTCAAGAGAAAGTCAGAGTGGAAAGTCAAGACCCTAGTCTTCTATCCGCCATGGCTAAGATCTCTGCTCTAGAACATGAGGTGACAAGATGGAGAGCAGCTCTATCTACCTTGATGGGAGATGAGAGCGACTGATTTCAACCTCCTAATAATGTCTAAGTACTCTAAACTTCGTGCCGCTAGCCTTACGTATTCGGATTTCCGGGTTTCCTTTTATAGATGCTGATATCCTTGATATGCAATTCATTTATCAACCTAAAATTATCGCCGCTCGTTTTCTCTACAGGTTTTGCCGGAGTTGGCAAAGTCGGACGCCGCAGATATGAATTCATCCGGGCCATATCTGTTCTATTTATAGCACATTGACTCTTTAGCCTACCACGATACGAGCCGGATGAAGCATCAGAGCGACGTTGCCTCGGGCGGGAGACGAAGATGAACAAGAAACGAATGCATACCAGTCCGCTTCCCATACAATATCCATCGTTATTTTAAGATTCAATTCAGACCTTTATGGCAAGGTTGCGCTTTGACGAGTGATTGTGTTCTTCTACTAACACTAACAGTGTTCCACCCCTTGATAATTCGAGCTTCACATGTTGCAGTTCTATACGGAGTAGCCCTTGCTCACTTGCAAGCTGCAGATCGGTCAAGCACCCTATAAATGGCCAATCGCATTAGGGGTAAAAATGCACATGGGCATATCTAGGATACTTGGCTTGTGAGGTACGAATTGCAGGAGGCTTAGATATTGACAATCTTTACGACGTTCCATGAGAATTTAAACCGCTCAATACGACCCTAGAAGCAAATATCCCACTATTTTTAAAGGGAGCCGACTGCCATGTTTTCTACTTTGCTCGCTCCAGACCTACAAAGGCCTAGGTAGTAGGCATAATTGAACACCAAGAACAATCTCCCTTGAAATCTGATTATACCTCTGCCTGATCCTCGACTCTCCAGCTCAAGTGTTGATACCCGAGCTCATACGTTACTCATCATGGGGTTCAAACAGTGGTTACTTTCCCTGGCGGTAGTCGCATTTTCAGCTACCGCTACCCAGGCGAGAGTTGATGATCCAGCCGGAAAGGCTGCTCAATATCACAAGGAATATGCGTTGTTTAGAAGCGCAAATATGCCTTCACCCGACAAATTAGCTACCGGAGTTGGTTTCCACTCTTTCCGCATTCCTGCTGTCGTCCGTACCAACACTGGTCGTATCCTCGCATTTGCTGAAGGGCGCCGCCATAACAACAGAGACTACGGCGACATCAACCTTGTCTACAAGCGTACGAAGTCTCCCACCAACAACGGCGAAAACCCAACTGACTGGGAATCCTTGCGTGAGGTCGTCGGGACTGGCCCGCATACCTGGGGCAATCCTACTCCAGTTGTTGATGGCAACACCATCTATCTCTTCTTGTCTATGAACGACGGTGCTTATAGTCAGAATGGAGGCAACACCCTACCAGACGGAACAAAAACCAAAAAGATTGATTCTACTTGGGTTGGCCGTCGTCATCTCTATCTCACTACTAGCACTGATGATGGTGACACCTGGACTAAGCCTGTGGACATGACCAAGACTTTGACACCAGATGGCCAGGCATGGGATGCTGTCGGCCCTGGCAATGGTATCAAATTATCCACTGGTGAACTAGTCATTCCGGCACAAGGCCGCAACATCATTGGGCGTGGACCATCAGGCAACCGTACCTGGTCCATGCAGATTCTCAAAGGCGCTGGATCCGAGGGTACTATCTGCCAAACACCTGATGGAAAGCTCATGCGCAACGACCGTCCAGGTCCTATGGGCCATCGCTCTGTCGCCCGTGGCACTCTTGCTGGCTTAGGTCCTTTTGCTACTGATAACGGTCTTCCTGACCCTGCCTGCCAGGGCTCGATCCTAAGCTACAATAGTGATGAGCCGGCTAGAACTATTTTCATGAACTCTGCCTCCACAGACCGCCGTACAGCTATGCGTGTACGTATCAGTTACGATAAGGATGCAGCCAAATTCAACTTCGGACGTGAATTGAAGGATGCTCCACTAGGAAATGTTGGAAATGAAGGTGGCTACTCCAGTATGACGAAGACGAGTGACTATAAGATTGGTGCCTTGGTTGAGAGTGACTGGTACGAGGATAAAGGTGGAGAAAAGTCGCATCGTTGCATTATCTGGCGCCGTTTCAACTTGTCCTGGATTATCAATGGCCCAAACAACTAGACTTGGGCTGTCAATAGCCCTGAAGAAAGATATCCGATGTAAAGTACAATGTATAGAGCGCGTAAGCCGACTACACACATAATAAATTAAATCAACCTCGTCCTGGTATACACTATACCCACTTCCTTATTTTCTGTCTCTCTTTAATCCCCAGACCTCATTTTCGAGGCTTCGACAAAGTAACTAAGGTTCGGGATCAATTTTAAGCATAACTCAAAATTTAAGCTTCACAAAAAAAGTCAAATCCAAAAGCGGCTCAGAGCTAGTATAGATAAAGCTAGCGTTGTCTTGGCAGCTCCTGAGAAGCTTCGGATTATTCATCTAGAGATTTTTTTTATATCAAGCAAACAGTAATGAAGCCCTTCATCAAGCGCTTCGGCTTCCTGCCTTCCCCGAACGAGAAGGATGATATCTCAGCGGACTACGAGAATTGTGCGTGCGACATGCACACAAGCGCCCCTCCGAAGTTATAGACACGGACTTCGGATACCTTTCTCGTTACGAAACTACCATCACCAAAATGCGAAAGCTATTTTAACGGTATCAAGCCTCAGGAATTCCGGCGTGCTATTAGCCAAATTACCTCGCACCTCAGACATTTTCGTACAATTGCCTGTCAATCATACCAAGCGGTTTAATTCAACATCAACTGACCCTTCGTCCCCTGCTCGAAAAGAAGAATTCTATCAACTCCTCGATAAAATATACGCCAGCCATGAAGAACTGGTCCAGCAAATCGACGAGCTGGAACTCAAAGACTTGCCTGAATCAGCCACAAACGAAGACTTGGATCTTATAAAATCCATCAGTACCATTGTGGGATACCGAACTCCAGAAGCGTTAGAAGCAAAAGTGAGAGCAGTATGGGAAAAGCACGGCGTCTTTGTACCACCCGATGAACTTCACGAGGATGGACTTAAGCTATACAGGCGATTATACGGCGAGCCAATTATTACCAAACTAGAAGAGCCACAGAGAGAGGAAGACCAGATTTTCCGGGAGAACAAGGATGGAGAGTGGGAAGAAGTGGAGATGGCACAAGATCATCACTCGACTGAACCACAAGCTGCTGAAGGTGAATACTTGGTAGGCATCCCTGAGTCTGCTGGCCATGAGGTAGATACCCATACTACAGAAAGGTCCCGCCAGGTAGCAGCATCCCTCGGGGCGGAGCTATTTACTGAACCTCCAACATTCGACAGTGAAGACCCATTTGTTCGATCACACCCATTTGTGGATGAGGGCAAGTTTGGCACAAGTCCAAGTAGCGTCACAGCTCCAGCATCTACTATGACAAGGCCGATCACACAAATGACCGCCTCATTTTCTAATAAACACATTTCTGACACAGCCCATAAAATATTTGGAGGAGACCAACTGCCCGATTCTATTAGGGTCATAAAATCTCAACCAAAGAACCCAATTCCTCTCACAGCATCGCAAAAGCAAATGTCCCCGATTGAAAGCACCTTGTTTATGTCAGTATTATACCCTGGAATCTATGCATCAGTTTTAAGTGCGCTGGTAGAAACGCGAAAAAGACTCGGGACAAAGTGGATTCGCGGTCTTATGTGCAAAGCAGGAGGACCGAGCATTCTTGATGCAAGTGGTGGTGGCGCTGGTGTTTTTGCATGGAGAGAAGTACTGCGATCTGAATGGTCCCTGATGTACCCTGATCATCCAGAAGGAAGCCTGGCAACAGGGAAATCTACCGTTTTAACTGGATCGGATACTCTGCGACATCGTGTTAGTAGCCTCCTGGAAAATACAACGTTCCTTCCACGGCTACCAAACTACCTACGCCTTGCAGGAGAATCATCTCTTGGTCCCCAGAAGCCTGGGAATCGAAAAAACTATGATATCATAGTTGCTCCTCATTCGTTATTACATTTCGAGGAAGACTATCAAAAAAAGGACTACATTCAAAATCTTTGGGCCATGCTAAATCCTAAAGGAGGTATTTTGATACTCCTTGAAAAGGGGCACAAGGAGGGCTTTGCGGCAATTGGAGGCGCTCGGGCGATGATATTAGAACGGCTGATTAAATCTCCCAGGTCTTCAGAGGTTTCCGGCCCCGATCCAGCTCCAGAGACCCAAACTGGGCAAATTGAAAAAAGCAAAGGCATGATAATTGCGCCATGTACTACCCATGCTCGATGTCCGATGTATGTCGAGCCCGGGAAAATGAAACAGCCCAAGCAGTTCTGTCGGTTTGCCCAGCGTTATGTCAGACCACACGTATTGCAGCGTATCCTTGGAAACCCATCCCACAACCACGAGGATGCGGAATTCAGCTACCTTGCCGTCCAACGAGGTGTTGATAGACGGGAAGCCGACGGCTTGGTGCAGGATGAGCATACAACCAACGCAGCTTTTGCCGGCTATGAACATTCAGTTGATATGAACGAAGCAAAAGCCAATGACACCAAAAAGGAGATCATTGATCCGCTCTTGTGGCCCCGAGTCGTGCTACCTCCTATCAAACGAAAAGGCCATGTCTCGATGGATTTATGCACACCAGAAGGGAAAATAGAGCGCTGGACGGTTCCCCGCTCATTCAGCAAACAAGCATACCGAGATGCTCGTAAGTCCTCATGGGGAGATTTGTGGCCTCTAGGAGCGAAGACCCGGATCCATCGTCCCGTCCGAGCCATCAAAATAGAGGAGTCAACTCCCGTCAAGAAGAGAATAGTGAAGCCAGGTGCGGATTCAAGACGGAGACGTGCTGCCCTCGCAGATGAAAGCGAGGAATTTGATTTAGATGAAGAGCAAGGGCAGAAACTTGCCGACAGAGTGAAGTCCTATCACGACCAGCGAATAACTGGGAAGAATAAGAAAGAAAACAAAGTACCGAAGTGGGCAAGGCAGATGGAAGTGAAACGCGACCGCAAGTACGGCAAACAGTTGGGCTGTGAGTAGAAGGCCAAGCGGGAGCTTCTCGGCGGTATATGGTTCTTCAGTTCATCAAAGCACATACGAGCAATTCGGGCGTCTCACGGGTATCTTTGGGGATGGGGAACTCAACTTAATTTTTACGATTGATGGGGTATCTGTATAACATCAGGGTTCTGCGTATTGGACAGACTGTATTACTAGAAATATTATGTATTAAAATGTATATTACTTCTCTCAATCCGTCCTCTGGTGTCAAGTGGCACAGGTAATAACTTTAACTTGACTTAAGCCCCGTATTTCACGGGGCTGGATTCCCGCTGTGCATAATCCCTTCTCCAGCTCTTGCCTTGTCTGTTTACACTCCAAGATAGCGGATGGACAAAGCATCACTACCTCACGACATACTAGGACTGGATATATGGAGCCCGGTACACTTTAGGCAGATATGCCTGTATGTGAACGTCGACAAATTTGCCCTTATCACATCGACGCAGGAAGGGTAGTCTGATCAACCTTGAGAGAAAAGGCGCTGAATGGCCTCCTCCTTAAACGGTATAGGTATATGGGTAATGACGCCAGATTCGAATGTTCAGTACCAAATAGCCCTATTCAGGGAACAGCCATACTCTTCCTTAGTTGACGTTCGCGCTGTTTCGATTGAAGTTCCAGTCGATCAACAGCATACTGCAGGCGCTCCTTCTTTTGCGTCAGCCTGCGTAGTTCAGCGGCTCTACTTCCCGGAACACCGCCAGCCATTGAGGTTCGTTTTCTATCATGGTGCAGGCCACTTCTAAAAGAAGAACGTGGCTCTGGGTATAATCGTCCCTCTTGTAGTTCAGCCTTGGCTTTCAGGGCCTCCTGTCGACGCGCAAGCTTATCGGTATGGTTAGAGGCAAGTGTTATGAGATGCGATATACTGGGTGTAATTTCATCCACAATAGCTTGTTGTGCTTCTTTCAAAGTAGGTTCAGGAAGCAATTCGAAGTGCTGAGCAGACATACGGTTAGCAACAAGTATAATGGAACTTTCGGTCAGAAACTACCATAGACTTACTCGAGTAGACTGGAGTACTTTGCAGAGGCGGGGGAAGTCGTTTACACCTTCATCAAGGATATCGATTGAAGACTCAAGTAACTGCAGAGAGGCCCGGAGAGAAGAAACTGAGGCAGACAGCGCGGATGCCATTGTAAATGCAGAATTTATCCTGTTGAATTGGGTGTTTGAATGCTTATTGTCTCTACCTATTGCGCTGCTTGATACTCGCGATGTTTCCCTCGCCCAAACAGTCACAACAAGCGTCTATCACGTGACACGTCGACAAAAAGATCCGAAACTCCAACTTCAACCTCAATGCATCAATTCTCAAGCCCGAAGACAAGTTATCGCCATCCCACTCGCACAACTCCGGAAAGAACGTCGTTCCGCCTTCACCCTCTTCAGTCAAGATGCCTCTTCTCCCAAAAAAGTTCCCGGCCCTCGTTGGTTCGTACCTCCGCGCTAAGTTCCTAGACGATGTCTTTTCCGGACGTTGCTAACACTTCAGCAGCCAAACCAATTGCTCCATTCTTCGTCGCCGGTATGTTTTAAAATAATTTTGCCAGTTATGCCGACGGAATCTGCACTACCTACTTTGTCCAGCCCTTCAACGTCAACTCCGGCTGCACAACAGGCCGCACGCAGTGCTTTGTTCCCAGTCGGCACCCAGCTAACTAATATATAGCATTGGTCGTTGGATACGGAATCAACTCTCTCCAGAATGCCATGATGAACTGTGAGTCGACCTTGCTCCTTAGAAGTACCGCTGTCAAGACTTTTTTGGCGATGTCTGGATGATATCGTGTCTGCCCGAAGCCCAAGAAAACCGTTCTGGGTACCAAACTTGCGCTATGAACACCAGAACTAATATTACATTTTTACTAGCCGAGGAATTCAAAAACGATCCCCGAAACCCCAACGCTGGCAAGCAGAGCGGAAAACACTAAATAGTGTGAAGGAAGTCTATGAAAAACAACTGTACTGTTATATCGTGGCCGGATAAAATGCGTGCTATCCCCAGCCGACGTTTTTGATAAATCAGAAGTGCCTTTGTACATTGAATATAGAGAGATGCCATAACAGTTCTCAATTGATGTGTTTCCCCGAATCTAAGACTCGAATGGATTGTCATCGTCCTATATGGCTGTTTTACGCAGAAAACCATCAAGCTTGTGTTCGGCCGTCCCTTGAGTACCGCTATGCATTGACCCCTGCTAGTACCAAGGTAACATGCTCTATCAAAATCTATCGTAATGCCAACTCACAATGTAGGGCACGAGAATGGCCCGGGTTTGACAATCCCAAGTCCCCAGAATAAAGTCTTTTTTGGGCCACCATCAATTGTTGTATAAACTGTTTTCATACTTGATAATATCTTCAAATATACAGAATCGCCGTGCATTGCAATACTCTCAAATTTATATGTAGTTGGTTTTTTGAGTGGCCATGTCTTGACGCTAACCCGTTTGGGCAACATACCATTTTCCTCAAAGCCAAGGCAAATTTCAACGTCAAATCTGACATCACCGCCAGCAACGCAGAGAGAACGATTCTATTACCCATATCATCAAACAAGATGTCTCAATTCCGTGCAAAAAAACTGGACCTTTCCGGTTTCATCAATGCCCGCATTATTCGTGATCACACCAAGCGAATGGTTTTCGCTGAGAATGAGCCAGAGAGGTAGGCACCTGCATCCTTTCTATCCCGATGAATTGGAGTCAATTTGCCCCGGTTACGCTTCTAAATATGGGGTTTCTCTTCTCTTTTGACCCTATGCTGACGTCTTTTCTCCTATCTAGACAAGCACTTCGATATATATCTCACAACACTAGTCTTCCTATGCGAGTTCGCGCTCAGGCGCAACTGAAGCTTTCCCAGATGCACGCTTATACCAGACCTTCGCAAATAAAAAACAGATGTATTGGTGGAGGAATAGCGAGGGGTGTATTCAGAGACTTTAAACTGGCAAGAGTGAGCTTATTCCACCGGTACAACTGTTAAAGAGTGATAGGATATCCCTTGCTGACCTGCTTTTTTCCTTCCTTTCAGTATCAATTTAGAATGCAAGCCCTAGCCGGAGATCTCCCTGGTGTCAGGAAGGCCAGTTGGTAAAGCTTCGAAATTACGTATCGTACCTCGATTAGTTCATCCGACGACCTTCCCCTTTCCTTGCCTTTTGTACATGTTTAAAGCAACACTGGAGTTATAAAGGCGGTTTATGGGACATGTATATTACAGAAGATTTATAAATATATTGATTGCCAGGATTTCGTGAAGACATACGGCCAGAACTAAGAGATGCCTGCCGTAAATCGTGGTGGTCTACGATGCTGCCCAAGACCGAGAGTTATCTTAATCATGGATGCCTAAACCCATCGCTAACCCATGTTTTAGAGTGAGATAATTAATTCCGCACGGCATGACAGGGAGGAGTTATCTCTTCCCAGCTGCAAGTGAAGATTTTATGGTGCCTCCTAGCTTCAAACCCTCATCAAATCAGGCGGCTCCAAAGGGGCGTTTTGAGGCTGATTTTCCGGTCACATTTTCCTGGGTATTGAGCTAGTTACGCTCTGTCTGCTATTTATAAACTCCCGGAGCATCTGAAACATCGACCATCTGGTGCCTATCAAGAGCTGAGGTTTCTGGATCTCTGAACCTAGCTCTGCAGATAGCGAGGTATGAGATGCTGATGCTCATGCCAATAGGAGATAAGGTCTCATGTAGCTCCCCAGGTCTTTTATATGGCTGCATCCCAGAAGGCTCAGACGGAAAGCTGCTTTTCATCGAAGCTCTACTCTCACATTCGTTTGCTTTCTTGTCTTCATATTTCGTCAATATTGCATCTTATTGGCCCTCGCTCTGTAATCACTGGGGTGTTGCTGTCACTTGTTCTGGCGAATTCCTTTCACTTGCTGCTGGCTTGCGTTCATATAAAGATACCCTTCTTAGCTCTCCTTTTCTTTCAGCCAAATGTTGGACCTCCAGGGACTCTGTTTCTCTCTCCTTCACATTCCGAGAAAGCTCCATCTCGCTCTACTTCAGCCAGTATCTCGAGCTACCAAGTCGGTTGTCAAGCGAAGCATCATGTTTGTCTTCCAGAGAGAGGACCTGCCCAAGGATCCTGTGTTTCCTGCGAATCTCAAGCAACTCGGGTGAGTCACTGATATATCTCAATATCCCCCTAACACTTCTCCAAGCACCTCTCTTCTCTATGTATTCACACTCCTAGACGCGAAACGAGGCTAATATGTATTACTGCCAGATATTTCATTAATGACAAGGATGAGATACGCATGATCTCGAATCCAGAGGAGAAATTTCTCTATAAAATCAACGCCAATGAGCGTTATAATGAGCTCCAGAAAGAAGCGATGAACAGTGAGTCCTTCATATCACGACCACTCTCCGGTCTCTCCTCACTAGCTGATCCCTACTGATGTGATAATAGCCTGCATTCGAAACATCGTTTTATCCCGCCTACATGATCAAGGGCTAGAGACATTACGGCTGCCTCTCGGGGCTAAAGCAAATGAACAACACGTACCGATTCTGGTCTCCCCCACGTTTAAAACAGACGAACGCATTATCGCTGTCTTTGGCGAGCCAGTTCAGGATCTCGGCATTTGGGCATACCGGATTATTGGCCATGAAACCATCAACTCTGGGTCTGCAGTGGACTTCTCAGCAGCTGTCTTACGTGAAAAAGGCGAATCTCCAACACCAGGCCTCATCCTGACCAACCCTGGGCAATTAGTTTGGCACTGCGCAGGTGAAAAGGCAATCTCATTACCTTCATGGCTGGCACTCCCTAGGAAACACGCCGTTGAGCCGCCTATGAAAATGACCGTTCGAAACAAGATACCCGGGCATGAAACTTGGCAGGATCATGTTACATATGTTTTTGATGAGGTGCTGGGTAAACTTGCTCCAGATGCGAAGATCGATATTATTGGACTTGCAGAGGGCAGTCTTGCTGCCGTTAGGTACCTGGCTGAACATTGTAAGGATCCCTATCTGCATCCTAATCTATAGAAACGGGACATTTAAAACTAACGGCGCATTGGACAGGGTCGACGTGGAAGTCTTGTATATCTTCCATGGCACTTGGTAACCCGTTACATGACATGAACCATCTGCACCCAACTGAATTCGCAGAGTTCATATCGACTCGTTGCCGCGCTTATCTGATCTCTGACAAGGAGTTAGGTCAGCCTGTGGCGGGAAGATACGAGTATAGCTGCAACTGTTATTCGTCTGGAGAGTCGAAAAACGTCGAATGCATCATCCCTCGGGCCTATGAAAGTATGCTGAAATGGCTTGATGATATGCATGACAAACCGGAACTGAAGGAAACCGAGGTGTTTGTTAGTGAGGACTTTGGAAGTGCTGAATCTGGAGAGGAGTTCGGCGATAGTAATGGCAACGGTGCCATAGTAGAGGAGCTCAACTAGACATCACTACGCATATGATGAATTAATAAGGTACTTTTAGCTGGGAGGGAAGGAAGTTAAGCCGCTTAATTACTTTAGTTCCTATGTCCTGGAAGCGAGCGAATTATGAACCATAAACAAGTCTAATACGATGAAAACCGCTATGTATCCCTTTATGCAATTTAACCGCAATGAAAACAAATAAGTAACTAAAACTTATCCCAATTAAATAGGACCTGGCGGCTAAACTTCTTCCTAAGTGGTAGAAAGATCGGGTATACACGCCCAGCTACAGCCTCTCCTCATGAACGGCAAAGGGTAGAAGCTCTGTCCTGGCTTCCTTCCAGGCTCCTGTCCACGGGTCTCAGCTGGTTTGCAATCCCACCATTCAATCCACCTTACTTTATCCATAACGTATGACTTTCCACACACGGAACAGATTTTCTCTCCCGTCTGTCTGACTTCATTCGCAAAGCTGAGAAGCCGAACGATAGGATCTTGATAGCGAGTGTTGCTGACTAAAGGCAGTGATGGCGAGAGCGATGATCCAGGAGGGGCCATAATTTCATCGTCTTTGATAAAACGTGAATAGTAAGGAGAACGAGAACATGCTTTCAATGCCAGATCACGAAGGGATGGGGTATTTGTTGGTATGGTCCGTTGCCTGTCCACAGCACGCCCTTCCATATCAAAGTATTCGGGTGCACTGGTGGCAACGCGAATTGGTTTCCACTTCTCCAGGGCGTCACTTGGTATAGCAGGCGCACTGCTGGTCTCGTGGTCGCGAGTATTTGGGTCAAAAGCAATAATTCCACCTGCTTCGGTGTTGATATGCCATTTGACTACCTCCGATTGATCCAGACGAAGGAACCGATTTGGATACAAGGTGATGTTCCTTAGCACTCCGTGTTCCTGCATTAAGCCCAGAAGTTCCCAGGGCAGATACCGTAGCTTATTCCCACCTACGTTCAACTCTTGAAGCAGAGTAAGCTTCCTAATAGCGCCGGGTATTTCCGTGAGCTTGTTCTGCCGAAGGCTGAGAAACCTGATGTTCACCAAGTCAAACACTTCCTTTGGAACATAGGTGAGTAAGTTACGGGTCAAGTACAGCTGGAGGGATGGTTCCAGGGGACTGAATATTTGAGCTGAAGCCCCATGTTCGAGCACAGTTGGTTGTTTGGTTAACTGTGCTAAAGGAGGAAGGATATGGGGTGGGATTGTGCCCATGTCCAGATATCTAGTCGGTCAAGTTAGTTGAAAAATCAAAAAGAAAAGAAAAAAAATATGGGACGAAACAAAGCTAAGACTTACGAGAGATCAACCCTATCATCTCCCTCATCAAGACAGGTGTTGATAATTTGTCTAGCCTTTGCATGAGCTGTAGACTCGGTACTCCGGTTCCTCTTTCCAGCTGGACTTTTACTGGTGCCTTCACTGGGTCTACCCGCGGTTTCAGGCACCGTAAACCTTCGAGAAGCACTGCCACGAGTTGAACTAGCAGGGCGACCGGTCGACACTCCCATCTCTTCACAAAACACAGAATCATCCGACCCACAGGTGAAGACGGCAGCAGACTCGTCCCCATCATCAGTAGTATCGGTACTGCCCAACCAGACACCACTGTCCACGTTCCTCTTACTCTTGAACCCCATCCTCTTTGTCCGCTTATTCTGTCTGGACTGTAGCTCCTTTCCCAACTTCTGTCCCCACCAGGTCCCTCGATAACGTCTCTTTCGGCCTATTGGACCCTCTGGCAAGCCATCTTCAGCATCTTCTCTGGCCGTGGTATCATAATTCTCCAACGCTGACGATTGGAAATCATCGCTAGAGAAGAGCGGCGGATCACTCGACGGCGTTCCACTGCTCCCTAGAAGCTTGTTCAACGACTTCGACGACGTGGATGAGCCATACGGGAAAGGAGGACGAGTCCTCGACGGCTGAGCAGCCACTCTGATCTTGCGGTTGAGCCGGGGCGGCGATGGGAGCGGCGGGTCAGAGTCCATTGTTTGGGTGATAGGTAGGACAAACCCGTGGTTGACCTTAGTTATGACCAGACTTCTCTCTAGATTGAATGCATGGGAAGCAACCAAAAGATACACGCCCACGACCAAGGCCGACTAGACGCCAGTACGTGTCCAGTGAACACTGGGATACGGACACCCGGGCGGGCGTGAGGAAGTGATATTTCTTATGTATCTTCGTCGCCTCGTCGCGACGACGCGCCTTTTTAAAACGTTCACCACAAAAGGCGCGTTTGGCACGTGATCCGTTGCCCGACCTGCAAAGGACGGTCTCGATTACGATAAGATGGGCGATGGATGGGCGATAAAGGATAGACGGAGTCGGGTAGACAGCAGAAGTGCATATGAGTGGATGAGTAGACGATGGAGGAGATGTTTGCTTATTCCTGTGGGGAGAAGCGAAGACACTGGCCGAGAGTAGCTGACGATCACCAGCATCAGGCATGCATCTTGGTATAACTACCACAGTTACGGAGTAAAGCTGTATTAATTGACAGAATGGGGTGATGTTCAGTTCAAGCGTTTCGCATTAACAACTTATCCTCAGGGATATATGCCTCCTTGGAACCCTTCTGGATCTGTGCCACAGGTTTGGTATCCACAGCCTGTCAACTCGTCTTGGTGGGAGTTTTGGCGAGCTGGCCGTTTGAGGAGAGCATCGATGTCACGGCCATAGTCGGTAGGAGGTCTTCTATCATATATACACCCGTCTATTATCCGAGAGAAGCCGGGTCGTCTTTATCGACCGAGTTGACATCTGGACGGCGATACCTCCCTCTCACCAAGGCTATCGCCATGAAACGATTAGATCAGGCCACCCAGCGCCCCGACTCCGGCTTCACACCCTCGCGGAAACGCCAGTTTCGCCTTTCGGCTGTCGCATACCCTGTTTCTACATCACATGTAGGAGGGAGTGAACGTGCCTTGCATGAGTCCTGCAGCAAGCTATGGCTAGAATCCACCTGTCAAGACGCTTTCGCGCTTAGTCGATTGACTAGCACCATGCATGTATCACGGTAGCTAAATATGCAGCATGGGTCGCTGAACCTGGAGACGACAGACATGCACATACCTTGCTCGGGCCGAAAATGTTTGCTACAGCGGTGAAAGAAGAACAAAGGATCCTACTTTCATTTTTTTTTTTCTCGGTATTTTTTTTTGGTATATGTATATGAATGTGGCAATGTTAAGGTGATGGTAGAAAAAAAGGGTATAAATATCAAGAAGCGTTATCACATGAGATGATGGAGGTAGAGGAGGTAGAAGAAGTTGAAGAAGCAAAGTTGAATGTCAAAATTTTAGTACCAGGACTTATGACAGACAAGCTGGACCAGGTCGAGGCACTGCCCTCCCCTGAAGAAAGTAGATAGATAAAAGATAAAAGGGGGAGAGACGAAGGTCGGTGAGGAGATGGTGTTCGCATATGATTGACTTGAGCCAGAGCCAGTATGCTCACTCACACTAGAAAGAAGTGAAAAATGGTATTGACAGGGGGTATGTAGAAGAATAGAAGGTCGTTGAAGTGTAAGAAAGGAAAAAAGGCCATTCGACTATCCATATAACATAACAAGGGTCTGAAAATCGTCGTAAATAACCTCCCGGGCCTTTGAAAGGGGGTCAAGAGAAGAATAATAAGTGAATAAAGTGAGCTTTGTTGGGGGAAAAGTCCATAAATCGGCCCAGGAGAGGAAGATGACTGCCGAAATATTGCGCGCGACAGAAGGTCGAGTTCATGTCCAGGAGTGATTCGGCTTAGAGAGCAGCGCCAACAAGAAGGGCGACAGAGCCAGCGAGAAGAGCGGAGCCGTAGCTGGCGACCATTGCCGGAGCAGCGTTGAAGGTAGGCTGAGGCGCAGGGTTGCTGCCAGTGGGAGTAGGAACGCTGCCGGTGCCGGTGCCGGTGCCCCAGGTCTTGGTCATCATGGAAGATGGGTAGGGAGCAGTGCTGTTGGCGCTAACCGGAGGCTTCATGCTAGGAGTAGGCGCGGAGACAGAGTGGATGATGGTCATAGTCACTGTCTGAGTGTGAGTGGAAGTAGAGTAGACAACGTCTTCGGCGGCGCAAAAGGGTGCGAAGAGCACAAGGAGCACTGAGAGAAAGCTAATGAAGAAGCGCATTTTGGCGGCGTTTAAGATGTAAGATCGAATTGACAAGATGTCGCTGAAGGTAGAACTGAAGAAGCAGCGGTCTTTATAGATGAGCAGAGCAGACGAAAGGTCGAGATGTCTAAGCTGGCAGTTGGGCGCGTACTGCTACAGTGGCTTGTCGCAAGGAGGGAAATGTCGCAGAGTCGCGAGTAAAGGGCAAAAGTAATGCAAAGAGCGTGGGAGCTGTAAAAGCTGAAGTCGAAGCCGTGGGGAAAAAAGAGCGTAAAGAGCGACTCTGTCCAAATGAATGACTGGCAATGGAAAGAAGAGAAGAAGAAGGAGAAAAAGAGAGGAAGAGAGAAGGGAAAAGGGTGCGCTGGGGGCGAAATAAGTATAAAAGAATAAAGGATCTAAACTTGACCAGGGCGCATCCCGAAAATACGAGCAGCCTCTTCGCTATCCCTCGCATTTTTCACTACTCTTTTCTTTTTCTCTTCCTGCGAGAAAGTTAAATGCAAAGCTACGTGTGAGCCTCTGGAGCCGCCCGACAGCTTTGTCTGCTCCTTTCTCTCATTCCCCTCTCATTGCTTTTTGCTAAGAGAAAGGAGTGATTGGCCGAGCAGCTGTGCCGATCTTGATCTCTGCGTTACTCAGGTCCAACGGCCTTGAAGGTTTGTTAGCCAGGGGACGTCCCAGTGTTGCTGTTACTCATAGTTGCCCTATTGATGAGCCAGTGGGGAGGGCGCAATTTCCTGCCAAAGTGACCCTGAGGTGTTTTTCTTCATTTTGGCGCCTCACACACTTTCTTTTTTTTCGTAAACCCCGTTTTCGTCTCGAGAAGGCGAGTTTCTCTATGTTTCTTGTCATCTTCCTTGCTATCAGTCAGCTTGGGTGTGTTGGCAACGTGGGCGCTGGCATGCTTCGTGGCGTTCGCACAGTTGGCTGCTCACCGCAAGGATGGGCTCTGGGTAGGCTGATACTGTTATTTACCTGTTAGTTACCGGTAAGCAAGGGGGCTTGCTTGGTTTCTTACCGAGTACTCCGTACAGAGTATCATATTTTCCTCTCTGTTATTCCATGCGGCCTTGCTGGCTGGTTAGGTAACGACATATCCTTGATATCCCCGTCCTCCGTCGCACAAGATCCAATACCCCGTCCAGAGAACTCCGCTTTCCGTCCGGAATGTCCCTTCATGTGAAGAGGAGGGGTATTGCTAGACATTTAATATATGGCTTGCTTCAGAGACCTCCTAACTTGCGGGCCGTGATAGATCGTCATTTCCAGGGCATTTCGTCAAGCGAAAGCAAGGCCTGAAGCCCTCATCCCGGCTTACAAGGCTGTCGTGTGTTGGATTTACCGCTTTTGGGTCCCTTATATAAGCGTCAGGCACCAGGCACCGGCACGCGGGCTGACTCATCTTCTTCGGAGTTTTATTCTTCCATTTCCATATCACGGCACAGACCCCCGCCCCTCCATCCCCTTCATCCTACCTTGACTCTACAGAGTGTTCCTACCGAATAACCTACGGTAGATGGTTCTCTATGAGGTCCTCCGTCTGCGTTTTGGTGTTCATCTCGTATATAGGTGTGCAGGATCCATGACAACTCTTTCATCTCTTATCCGAAACATACTAGGTTGAAAGCTGAGCACTGAATAGGAGAGCTATCTGACGGTTTCTATACAAGATATAGACCAGGATAACCTAGAAAAAATATAACTAAAGAATGGAATACAGCCTTTCAACTATCAACAATAGAAATGCGATTCTGCTTCTCATGTTTACCAAAATTAGTTCGAGCAACCCCGTTAATTAGGCTATAAACCCCAATAGGTACTTTCATACGCTTTATTTAGGCCTCAAACAAGGAGAACTCGGGCAGTCTCCTTCTAGGAGGCTATTTTTGTGCCATTCCTCGCCAAATAATGATAACAATAATAATAATCCGGCTGCCTCGACACCACAGACAGGCATACGAACGTTCCCAGGGGTGCGGATGTCATTGTCCCAAATATTTTTGAAATCACCTTTATTGATGGGATTGGTGCTTTCGAGGGTATTGTCTATGATGTTCAATTTGCCAGACCGTTTCCAGGTATTCACAAACCAACCAGCCCACGTAAGATATCAGGGCTGAGAGGTTAGAGGTGTAGTGACCTAGGTTGTATACATACCCAGCTACAAGATCTTCTACATTCGCATTGCCGAAATCATTACTAGCCTCTCAAATTTTATCCAATCCGGGCGTGGAAATAAGGCTTCCCGGAAGACTGAGATGCCATGTAAAAAAGTAGGCTATCATCATTAAAATTTGGTAGAGTATAAACTAGAGTATTTAGGGAAGCCATAATATTTGAAGATATAGTCGAACTCACGTAAACAATTTGGAGCCGTCGGGATTAGGTTCCGGCCTAAAATCAGGCAAGTCGCCTGGAGAGCAGAATACACGCTGAGGTGTAAGACTGGCGCACAGGCAAGGCACCACAGTGATCTCCAGGAATGACTGCAATAGCACGGCAGTTGCCACGAGTATTTGAAGCTGATATGGACTTATTGTGAAATCAACAGCGGTGGTGTTTGAGGGAGAGTATACAGCAGGGATGCCACACTTACGGATCACAATGAGGTCGAGAGTAGAGGATATCACGTACGCCCAAATGTCAACAATGTTGCGTTAGCTCACTGTTTGCCGGCAGTTTGAGCAATGCTGAGGCCATTCTTACAGGCTGAAGTTATTCCAAAAGTACCGTCACTAGTCCTGTTTAGTTTTCATACTTGGAGGGCAGCCTTGGATGCTCAACATGGCTGACGTGATCTTCTCCATAAATGACTTTAACATAGAGTCAGCCACACTCGGGTTTTTCAGGGTTTAGCCAAAATAAACACCAAAGGTAGTATTTTCATGAGCAGTAAATAAATCAGCTTTGTTTCGTTCGGCAGAGCGTTGCAGATGAGTTGTAATATTTTTGGCCTTAGAATATGGGTGATTGCGATCTCTCGTTCCTTGGGAGTTGTTTCTGATGGCGGAACAGGCCTGGTGAGGAAGATAATAGTCCTACTTAGGATAGGATGCGTTACCAAAGCTTGGTATAGGTGTGTAATAGTAGTATGTTCCCCAGATACCGCAAGAACGGATGAACTGTTTTTCGGACACAGCAATACCAGGGAGAACCCATGAGAAGAGGCTGAGATCATGCATTGTGTTGACCAAAGTCGGCGACCACAGTCCATTTTGAGGGTTCATAACTAGCCACATGACATGACTCCGGGAAAGTAGTCGCCACCTTGCGGAGGGGGAAGATCTCGCAAAGGGTAACAGTGGCAAGGGTAGAAGCGAGCAGACCATCAAGGGAAATCTAAGCATAAAGAGAACCATAATAGTCCAAAATAATTTGCATATGAATATACAAATATGATTAGATCTTAAAAGATAGATATATCAAGATATGTATGTCCATCCTTTTATATTCATAGGCCTGGACTGATCCTTTGGTGAGAGGGCCCCGGTAGAATCGCAGAATGATACATTATTTCAGGGTATATCATGACAACTGTGATACCAATAAAGCGCGCGTCCCTTCTTGCTGCATCTGGGTATCCTTCATTCATATTCGGAAACCTGCTTGAGCTCAGGCTAAGCCAGTGATTGGTGCAATATATCTGCAGTATACGCCGGACTGTTGTTTTGCTGAGCAGGGATCGATACTGCCACGCATCCTATCTTATTAGCAGGGCTATATTTGGTAACTAGAAGTGATATGCAGTATAAACCGACTTTCAGATGCAGGGCGCACATTCAACAACGCTGACTTGTCGTTTAAGCAGGAGCTTTGATGCGGCTCGCAGCTGCGGCCTAGAGAGTTTTTAGTTTAGCGAGGGGCGGTCCGACCCGCTTATTTGGGGCTCCTAATTGGCTGGCTATCAAACAAGCAAATCAAACTCAAGGAGCAGCGAAGTTAAAGTAGTAAGGAGAAGTGGGCAGCCATGAGCTGCTCGTACAACCATCACTTGGGAAGAAGAATTTGTCACTGGTGAGGTGGTCCTGAGGCAAAACCTCCACAGCTAAACGCAGACCTAGTGGAAACATAACTTAAGGGTTCCGTACGGCTATGATAATGAAAAAGTATGCAGTTGGCGAGTAGGTCTCGATATCGAGTGGGGAGATCAAGGAGACCTCAATGCCGTTAATCACTCCTTTAGCAAATGGGTAGAATAGGACGACGGCCCACCTCGAAATTGAGCACCCCTGCCACAAGGGGCACAGCGGAAGAGAATAAGAAAATGAATCCGGGTAGCAGCATGGTAGAATTAGAACCAACTCTGTCAGTCTTGAAGTCGGGATAGACGTATGCAATAATCTGGCCGGTTGGTCCAGGGACTATCAGCTGGCCATTCTATATAAAATCTGTCAAATAATGAAATTCGGAGAAAAGGTTTTGCCAAACTAGTTAAGAAACCAAGAGGCGCTTACCAAGGGTGATTGCCAAGGGTGTGCAGTGACGAGCTAGAGTAGAACATGGTTTACAAATAAGCAAGTAATGAAGGCAAATGATCTAGCAATACAGACCATTAATGCATATAAACACATGATACAGACAGGAACATAAAACAGGAGAGCAGTCGCTGGTGAATCTGAACACTGCAAGGAAAAGTGTTGTTGGTAATTACTGTAACCAAAAGAAATCAGCCTTACAGGCTTGCTTGTCACTATAGATAGTTCAGTGAGCTCCAGTTCACAACACAGTACTCCGTCTTTTAATGAATTATTTTCTATTTATTTGCCCCGGTGTGTAGGAAACTCGGCATATTTGATATCACTGCCCATTCACTCTATCTGCAAGGATGTTCACATCTCCCGCTAACTCCCATCATAGTAGAAACCCGATATCAAGGCATGAATTTTCCTGACTCCCTTCACCATAACCACGCTCATGGCATGAGCTAGTGAACGGAGGACAGTGAGATTGCCTATATAAAGCATGGAATTTTTTCGCTGCTGGAAGAAGCTGATGGTTTCGCAACTTAATTTTCTTCCTGTTCAAAAATTTGTTTATCACCAGCTTCATTTTCGCAACAACTATGATGGTTAACATTCAGTTGATACTTGGAGTCATTATCCTCCTCGGTACGAGGAAGGCTGCCACAGCTGCCCTACCTCCCCACCCTTGCGCTTTCGCTGCAACAGCGGCAAATGGTGACACCTGTCAGTCCTTAGCTGCCGAACGAGGAATTGGTATGGACCAATTTTTGAAGCGGAATCCAGGCGTCAACTGCAATGCTCTAGTTGCCGGGAAGACCTACTGTTTATCTGCAGACGATTCTGCGCCTGGCCCGACTGCGAGCCTGAACCCATCTCCCAAAGTTCCAACAACAACTTTGAGAGCAGTTCAGACTATGAGTCCAAAGGCATCGACGGGTACTCCTGCAATAACTCTTGTCTCTCGCTCTGGACCAATTAGATTTATGACTGGAATGGCCCCAGATTGCCTATTCTATCACCCGGTGGCTCCAGGTGATACCTGCCAGAGCATCGTTGATAAGTATAAGTCCTTCACCCTCGACCAGTTCTACGCCTGGAATCCTGCCACTGGTAGGAACTGCGAGTCTCTATGGCTGGGATACTATACCTGTGTTGGTGTCAAGGGCGGACCAAACTCTCCTTCGCAGCAACCTCCCTCGCAGCAACCTCCTTCGCAGCAGCCTCCTTCGCAGCAACCTCCCTCGCAGCAACCTCCCTCGCAGCAACCTCCCTCGCAGCAGCCTCCCTCGCAGCAGCCTCCCTCGCAGCAGCCTCCCTCGCAGCAGTCTAATACGTCCCAACAAACCCAACCAAATGTTAACTCCAAGTGTAGGTTCTATATCTTTGGTCTGGGAACCTTAAATTATATGGCTTTTTACTAACATCTGTGCCTTCAAGGTAACAAGTGGTATCAAGTGGTTCCCGGGGACTACTGTCAGAAAATCGCTGATAAATTCAATATTTCCCTTCAGACCTTGTAAGTTGAATAAACTTTTGTCTCTGAAAGGTATAATTCTGACATCAAGGGAATAGCTACGCTTGGAATCCTTCTGTGGGCAGTACCTGTGCCAGCCTCTGGGCAGGGTATAATGTGTGTGTTGGATCTGCCTAAGTTGAGTGGTTCTTTGGAGAGGCGGTGGTTAGTGGAGGTAGTTAGTTTGAGCATCCAATAAAGTTTGATCTTTTTTCGGGTAAACAGAGTAGCCAACATATGTTATAGCGGTATCAAAAGCCCGGCCGTGCGGATATAGTCGCCTGCCAGCTAGAGCAGCCATGTGGCGTAAAGGTCAGATCTCTGGAATGGCCCGCTTTTCTTCATCTCCATTGGTGGGTATTACTAGCTCCTTGATGGCCTGCGATTTCCAATCAGGATAACACATCGATTCCAGTAAAGTTCTGGAGCTTGCGCACAGAATAATTATATCGAGAGTGTTAAAGAAACCAAGGGACACTTTACAAGGGTGATTTCCATGAGTGTGGAATCATAAGCGGAAATAGCATATGGTTCACGAAAGAGCAAGCAGAGAGAAAGATAATTGAAGAGGACAAGGTATTCATTTGTGCATATGTATGCATGATTCAGGCAAGGATCAAATTCAAAGGAAATTAAAAAAGTGTAACGGAGGTATCGTCTATGTATATTACCTGTTCCGGGGCCGCCGGAAGGTAATTTGACTTTCCAACAAATGGTATTGTGACGAGCCCATCGTATGCCGTATTGTTGGTTAGTTATGCACCTGAGTTTCTAGGGGGGTATGGTGGCTAGAAAAATCTAGCAGCGATGTATCATCTGCCTGGGAAGTGTGTGGGTTAGCAGTTCATATCTTTGTTTGTTCTAGTTACTGTCTTGCCCATACCAATCACTGCGGCATTGACTAATTTCCAGCTACGCGATTATCTAGTTAATCATCAATAGGAAGGTCTTGATCATTCAGCGGAGTAAATCAAAGTGTTGCAGTTCTCCGGTTGCCAGGAAGAACTGATTACTGTAGATCCGATCTTAGTAGTTCGGGTAAGATTATTGCTGACAATAGGCCCGAAGGCCTGGACCAGCCCATAAGTGTGAATATAATTTTTCCATATCAAAGCACTCGGCCATTGGAGCTCCTGGATCGTATGGTTTCTACCTAACAGCGATATCTTTTTCGGTGACGTATGCAAAGCTAGTCTCCGAGGCCTAGCTAGGTGTAGTCAAAGGGATCTCTCCTTGACTGATTTGGTATTGTCCTTGAGATATTTCAAGGTTGTCAGCTGATAGCTTCTAGAGCGCATGATGTTCGTATTAAGCTAACCACAATAAATGCTGGCATTTGGGCTGGGTATTATGCTGGAAACGTTCAAGCTGAGATATTCTACAGAAGGTAGCTGGTGTCGAGAAGCGAAGGGAGATAGTGGCAGTTGATGCTGCGGATAGCTGAGCATAAATCGACCAAACTACCAAAAATCGACCTTAATTTGACTTCACGCGTAACTTGGTTAGCTGATGATTGATATCCTGATCAAATTCCGTGGGTCACGGTCTGAGAATGGTAAATGATCGCCTTTGAAGGTTAGAGTATCAGTATACGAACTGTAAGTCACACTTGTGATGGCTTTCTGCTGACCTGCTTACATATCTCTGGTCTTTGCTTTGCCTGCCAGTGGCATGAATTCACCTCAAGGCTCCATGACCGGATGATCCATTCAACTAGAGATTATCTCGAAGATAATCACAAGCAGCACATAAACTGGTATCCTAGCTTGAACTGCAACTCAAGTGGCCTGTATGAAGTCTGCTACCAAATGCCAAGAGACAAACCATCAGCCATGAAACAAAGCCATAGCCCATACAAATTGGTATCCAAGAGAGAGAGACGGAAGACAAGACGCCGTTTCATTAAATGTCATATATCGCTATTCAACCCTCTCCATGCTGTTGTACAGATTTCGCTCCAAGTGAGATGGAACGGTGTGATCAAAACAAGATAATACACAGTTTCAGTGCGTCTTAGTCTCTCCGGGCCTGTTGGCGGTGCTGGAACTGGCCGGGGATAAGCATCGGCCGTCTATGGGCGACAGACCACATCTGGTAGGCGCTCGGGTGGCCTTCTGTCCTTATAACACTGCCAATCGACATAAAAAAGCTGTTTGCTGTTAGTCTCCACCGGTATGTTTCGATATCTATGCCATTGGGCAAGACACTGCTTACCCAAATGTAGCTCCCGAGCCAGCCATGTATTTGCCTAGCGTGCGCATTATACCGTTTGGACCGGCGCCGTACTGGAAGATCGAGACGGTTCCTGGTGCTGTCAGTTACTGGGCTTGGAGCAGAAAGAGGGTCATGGAATAGCTTTACCAATGATGAAGCCCATGATCAGGCCAACAGCTGTAGCCAGTTAGCTTGCGCGAAGGGTCAGCGGAAGCTGTCTAGGTAGACTTACATCCGCCCATCATAGCACCCATTTTCACTGCACCAACTGTGTTAGCTTCACTCTTTTCTTCGCTCTCTCCTTGAGACCTGGGAGGAATGCGTACTCTTGTCAAATGTTGATGGCGCCTTCATCTGGCCACCACCCGACGGCATAACTGGAGGCATCTTGACTTGTCTGTCTGTAGCTTTGTCTGCTTCGTCTTCGCCTCACTTGACCCTTTCCTCTCTGCTCACTTCACAGCTTCCGTCGTCCTTTACTGCGCAGCTGTTTGTCTCTTCCTTCACCTTTCGCAACGTCTGGTCTTCCCTTATCTCTGCCTGACTAAGCAGCCTCTCTCTCATTGGCTCTAGTCTCATCATGTGACTTCCCTTCTCGGTCAATCAAGAAAATCCAAAAAATCCTCGAAAACTTGAAGCAAAAAAGCGAAGAAAGCGAAGAAGCAAAGAGAAAAAGAGACGCAAGAGAGCGCGAAAAGGACACCAAGACAGGGTGTTTTTGCAGGGCTAGTCGGCACTGACAGTGAAGGGTGGCGTTGGGTGCTTCTTCTCTCGCTCTCTGCCCGGTCTACGAACGCCGTCTCCTGCTTTTACGGGGGGGTCTGGCGGCCGGTTTTGTGCACAGTTGCTTGCTTCATCCTCCTCCCCATATAACCTGCTACTCTACTGCAAAGAAGACACAAGCCGCCTCCAAAAGAGGACACGCGACTCACTATAGATCTTGCCCCCTTGCCTATAGACTGCCCGTTGCGTCTGGTATGTGATGTCCCGAGCCGGCACTCGCGTGGTCTAATTATAAAGATAAGGTTGGATCTGCCAGCAGCAGTGTTATTCACCGTCTGTATTTCTCACGATAGTCACCGTCACCGCATGCGGCCGTCTCCGGCAATCAGCATCACCCCGTATGCTGCTATTCTCGATATAGCCCTACAGCACGCAGCCTAGTCGAGACTGGTTGATCCAGACCGTACATATCTTCTTCCCCTTTCCCTCTCCCACGGCTGGCAGAGACACCATCTCGCCCTCCCTCGCCCTCTCTCGCTCTCTCTATCTCAAGGAAGGAGGCCCGAACCCCCAGAAATAGACACGCCCTCTCCATGACTGCTGTTGCGTCGCCACCCAGTGTGCAATCCGCGCCTCGTCTAGGATGGTACCCGACTGGTGACGGTGGACAAGGTTCCCTTTCCTCAATGAGTGCAGACGAGGTCTCGCGAATGTTGATGCCACGCAAAAGCGTTCAACGGTCAAATTCCTCTTCTTCCCTCTCCTCGAACTCCTCAACCTCCTCAACCTCGACGGTTACCTCCCAGCTACCGATACAGGCTCAGAGTAATGGTGTTTCTGTTCCAGCCCAGGGATCCAGTGCAGAGTCTTCTTCCAACGCAACCACCAGAAAGAAACCGTCACGGTACACCTGGTCCAGCTCAAAGGCAGATCCGGTCTCGGGCGTGACCAACACTCGGCCTCAGACGGTGTCTGTTCCTCCATCGGGGGTCTCTGCCTCCTCGGCCATGTCTGCTCTTCATCAGACACCTCCCATGGTCCCCCTGCAGCACATCATGCCACCACAGCAGAATGGAATACGTCCCGGGAGTAGGCAACCCCATGAACCAGCCGTCGTGCTCTCTCTACTCCCTATAAACGGTACATTTGAACGGAAACAGATCAACGTGCCTTACTTCCCAGAGGTACTGCGTATTGGACGTCAAACGAATGCCAAAACACTTCCTACTCCCGCTAATGGATACTTTGATTCAAAAGTTCTCTCAAGACAGCATGCTGAGGTCTGGTCTGACCGAGCTGGAAAGATTTGGATTAGAGACGTAAAGTCATCGAATGGAACCTTTGTCAACGGTCAAAGGTTATCCCCCGAGAACAGAGACTCTGAACCCCATGAACTGCGAGAGCACGACGTCTTGGAACTCGGTATTGACATTATCAGTGAAGATCAAAAGTCAATCGTCCATCACAAGGTTTCAGCAAAGGTCGAACATGCAGGCATCCATGGACCTAATATGAACATCTTAGACTTGAATTTCGGTGACATAGATCCCACAACGGGTGGTGGACTCCTCCCACACCATCTGAGTCAGCCTCTGTCTCATATGCGCGGCCGGGCTGGAAGTGCATCCTCGACTGCAAGTGCAGCAAGTGTACGCTCCGGACAAAGTCTGCCTGGGAACCATATAAACCTTCTCCACCAGCAGAGGCAGATGAACTATTGGTCTTCTCCAATTTCAATTGAACAGGTTGTGAAAAAGCTTACGGTATGTCTTTGCCCTTTTATCATACGCTATCACACGTTAATACTAACTTTCTGCTTCACAGTGTGAGATGAAACAGGCAAAGCAACTGAATCATGACCTTGGCCAAACCTCTGGTTTCCTCAGCACTATATCAAACCCAGAGACCTCCAACAAAGAGCGGGCCAGTCTTCTTAACAATATTGCCGAGAGCCCCGTTGGGACAAAACCACCTGGTCGGCCCAAGCTAAACAAGACCGATTCCATGTCGAGATTCTCCGACCCTCCCGCACCACCCCCACAACAACCTCTTCCCGAGAAGCCTGACGCTCCACCGCGGACATTTTCTACTGACTCGCTACCTAAAATGTCGTTAAGAAGAAATGATACCGAGAAGGCCAAAGCCGCAACTGATATTACCCCGGCCCAGTCGAGCCAGATTCTATCTTTAATTGAAGCCCTGACCACCACCAAGAAAGAATTAGACCTGCAGGCTAGCAAAGTCAAGGAGCTTGAGAATATGCTGCGTCGTGAGCAGAGTGCTCGTGAAAGTGCTGAGGAACGTGCTCGAAAATTAGAGAGCCAGCCACCCAGCCAGGCTTTGCTTCCCAACGGCACTCATCCTGGACCAGACGAGCAAGTGGACATGGACTTGGGCGTGGCCGAAGAAGAATGCAAAGCTCTGGACGATTCCACCACCACAACAGAATCTCCAGACGGAAAAGACTTCAAGCCGATCACCAACGCCGAGAGTGAGGAAGTGTCTTCCCCTATAGTACCAGAGCCCTCGTCCGACGAACTGAAGCGCCGCATCGACACGCTGCTGGCTGAGATGGAAGCCGCGAAGAAGCAAATGAACCAGTACAGGGAATCTGCTGAGCGGGCGGAAAAGGAGGCTGCCGAGAGTCGCCAGACCCTAGCAGAAATGATTGAGAAGATCCGACAGGAGAAGGCTCAAGAGAGCGCCGCTCCTGCTGCTGCCTCTCCCTCCAAGGGCTCGCTGCGGTCTAGAGGTGTCTTGGAAGCCGAGGTTGAGACTGCCACCGCCGCTCCTCCGGGTGAGGAATCAGCATCCGGCTCATCCACCACCAACATCGACAAGGTCACCGAGAATTGTCGCTCCATCGACCCGGAGAAAATAAGGGAACTCGAATCTGCGGCAGCGGCTTTCGCAAAGCAGCAGCGGCAGGACTCAGTGCTGCTTGAGCGGTCTGCACCTTATGCCTCTATGCTTGGTGTTGTTTTGATCGGAGTCGGGATAATGGCGTACCTAAATGGTTGGCATAAAGTCGAACGATAACCGATTCGTTATGTTGCTTGCTTTCGAATGATCATGATACCCTTCCATTTGTCACATCTCATGTTATCGATATATTCTACGACTTAAACTCTTTGTTTTATTCATTTCGAACTCCAGCGACCACAGCTTGTTGAGTCGAGCATTGCAAAAGACTATCTGGCCCATCCGTGGACTCGGCATCCTCCCCCTGACCGACCCGATAGACGAATGGATCGCTTTAATCATCTCTCCCCCGCCCTCTTATCCTATTTATTCTCTCTTCGTTTCTTTTTTTTTTTCTTCTACCTACCTGCCAGATGTTTTGCGCGCTCGATTCTCCTTTGTGTCTCTTAATTTAGCTCCTACCCCTGTACCTCTAAACTGACTTACTTACCACTGGTTGATGCCAAGTGCTCCTGGATCAAACGCCAACGGTGTATCCGTTTAACCAGACGCATTAACGACCTTTCTTCCCACTTTTCTCGATATCCCGGGACCCTGCCTGCCACCAGGCTGGCAACTATTTTTTTGTTTACTATCAACGAATTTTCTTGCCTTTACTCCAACCTCAACATCACCCCCTTTTTCCTCCTGTACCTCTCTACTAACCCAACTACATTCCTTCCTTTCATCCAGTGTTCCATTTCCTTTTGATGCCTTTTCCTCTTTTGCTTACTTGCTTCTTTTTTCTTGTTTAATGCCTTTTCTTCTCATTTTTTTTTTGCTTTTGCTTTTGCTTTATTACCATGGGCATTTTTGCTGGAAACCCATCATTGAGCCTGTTTTTTTAATTTTTCTACTTTTTAACTTTATTCTCCCCGAAATGCCTTTATTTTGGACCCTCTATTGCCCCTGAAGTTTGGTCATGGCTTGGGGGGAGGGGGAGGGCCCTAACTAGAAGGCTATTCCGTTGCCGTGTAATTATTGATACATGTCCAAGCGTCTCCTGTGAATATTACATTATTACACCTGTACTCATTCCATAACGAATCTCCTTTTTTTATCCTTTTAAATTTTGAGCAAACAGACATCTCCCTCGATCATGCTCAAGCGAGATAGCTCCCTGTTTCCCTGGGCGTACGGGAGCCGACAGAACTAGAACTACCCTTTGTATTTGAGTACCAGACGCATCAGACACAGTACCAGTAGCGATGTCGCACAGCCTTGCATAATAATAATAATATAATGATGATAATAATAATAATATAATGATGATAATAATAATAATATAATGATGATAATAATAATAATATAATAAAATGATGGGTAAGAGATACTTCCGTCCGTCCGTCTCCTCATATCCCTGACAGCTGAAAATGCCCGAACATGTAAGTAAGTGTATTAGCAGAGTGGATACCTTAGCTGGCCCTTCCAAGGCTGCTGCCAGGGGCATAATGCACTACTTGTTGCTGCTCTGAGTTCTGGGCCAGGCCGTCTTTTCCCAGATAGGAGAGAGAGCGAACCTGCAAACCCATCGATGTGCCAGAGCATAAGGTAAATCCAACTTAGAACTGCCGTATATCCGTACTCCGTATTCTTCAATTGTATTAGGTAAAAAGTTCCCCTCTAGCCTCCCGCATCGTCGCTAATAGGAGCCAAAGGAGAAGCAAACTCGAATGCCTAGCTGTCGGCGTATAAAACTAGCCAGCGAGTTAACGCTGTTGTTGACGTTGAGAGAAACGCCAACTCAACCGCCTGATGAGACCTGTAACCTTGTTAGCGATGGCACATAAAAGAATAAAACAAAATATATGATCCTTGCCACCTTATGAAATATGTAATCTCTGTTGATTCGCAAGACGTCAATGTTTCAGCCCTTCCGTGACCAGCCGGGAGCACCAGCAGCCCCTTCGTCGAGTGCGGATTTTCACCGTGGTGCCGAATACCACGTTTGTCAATCACATCATCACTTCATCCCTGGTAGATTAGCAGGCGCAGCTAACTATATTATTAGAGACCGTTGCAAGACCGTTTGTTCTCCTTTCCAGCGGGGTTTCCCGCACACAGGGGGGGACGGTAAAGAGATCCATGGCCGGGCGAAAATCATAAGTCATGCCAACACCCTGTGATAACACTTCAATAATATATTCAAAAAAGAAGACCTATCTATATTGGCAAGATAGGCCAATCCGACCAGTCTCGCTAAAGCCCAGAAGTTAAAAAAGGCATGCTAAAAGTAAATTCCAACTACTGAAGCAAAAGGGCTGGGGAAGCTAGGGCTGATGGGCCATCATCAGCTGGATACGGGCAGCGAGAACCACGACGAAGACGACACGATTATCGCTGGGGATATCTTGTCATCTGGGCGAATTGCATACAAGAGTGGAGATGGCGTATGGGGAAGGAAAATATGAGAGAAGCAATAATAATAGGTTATTCGTTTGCTGCTGCTCGGAATTCGACATCGGCTAAGACTTTTTTCGTTGGCCGTGGATTTTCGTGGTACTGATCAACGAAGCGGCGTAGCTGTCAAAAAAACGCAATTGCCGAGTAACTAGTTCATGCAGCGAGGCAGTTAGGCATCTATTTCCCCGTTCCCCTTGCTCCCGTTCTCTGTTCTGGAAAAAGGATGTATCGCGTTATCGATGCCATGTACCGACCTCGGCATGCCTGGCTGGCACTGGGACGTTGATGCCCAGCCAGCCGTCCTCCCTGGCCTTTCAAATCCAGGCCACGGTTTTGCACACGTTCAATTGCCTGGTCCCAGCCGGCCACGGAGGAAAATCTCCCTCTGCCTGTGGATGCTGAAACCCGTTTGACCCTAAAAGAGACAACCAGCCCTAGGGAGTGAGAGTCGAAGGAACCAGGGGAAACACACATCGATCCCGTAAAAAACCCCACAAACTCCGCCAAGTCGGAAGGGAAAACACCAGAAGAAATGGAGATTGACACGGATGTGCCATATCGATGACTGGCTGTCTTAAATTCAGCGGTGATAGACGAGCTCGCTGACATCCGAATTGGCTGCAGACTGGACTGCTGTTGTGTATCCTCCCTGACCCTTTTTTCACCAGCCAGGCAGGGAGAAGCAAAAGAAAAGAAAAAGTAAACGTCAAAGAAGCTTCCGGGCTCGTTGATCCATTACCCTCCCCTTGGCATCAAAAAGGGCCTTTTTTTCTTCTTCTTCTTCTTCTTCTTCTTCCTTTTTTCTTTTTCTTTTTCTTTTCTTTTCTTTTCTTTTGTTTTTTTTCCTTCTTTTTGCTTCTTCTGAGGCAGTTATCCTTGTCGATTGGACGGTTTCCGAGTAGCTGAATGATATATATAAATGTGTCTCCTCCACGGCCCTGGCGCAAAGGGGAGGGAGGGGGGAAAAGAGGATGGAGAGAGAGAGAGCAGTCGGGTCTATCAACAGTTCTGGTCCATCCGGCCCTGCCTGGCATTTCGAATCGGTTTTAACTAGCTTTGTTGTTGTTCTCTGAAAGCTGTTGTTCTGTTTGGTAATTCGTTTAGCTGTAATTGCATATTCATTGCCGTTGCATTTCTCTCCCTTATTATCTCTCTTGCTTCATGGTACCCATGGGACCGCCGCGCAATATCCTCGTCCTGGGCGGCGGCATAGCAGGCATAGCAGCCGCCCTTGCGCTTTCCAGGGAGCTCTCGCAAAAGGTACCGGACCTTAAGATCACCATCTTCGAGCTTCACAATGTGCCATCGACGTCTGGGGGTGCCATCAACCTGAACCCGGCCGCCCAGCGCCATCTCGACCACCTGGGCGTGCTGGAGGAGCTCGACAAGATGGGAGCCGACGGGGGCGTCGAGGTCAAGGCGGTCGAGCTGTTTTCCATCCATTCCGGCCGGCGACTGGGCCGGGTTGACTTTGCCGGCAAGGACGGCAAAGGATACGGCGGGTATAAGGCGCGGCGCGTGATGCGGATATCGCTTCACCTGGCGATGCTGGCGGCGGCCGAGAAGACCTGCAACATCGAGGTCAAGTTCGGCAAGAAAGTGATAGACGGCATCGAGTCTGGCGAGACGGTGACGATTTTCTTCGAGGACGGCTCGAGTGCGGTTGGCGATCTGGCGCTGGGCTGTGACGGCGTGCACTCGCCCACGCGGATGCGGCTGGTCGATCCGTCGACGCTGTCCGAGTACACGGGCGTCTGCTTCATCCAGACGACCATCAAGGCGGACCGCATCACCGCGCCCATCCACTTCGAGACCACGGCGATGAACAGGGCGCGGCAGGGCGGCCTGCTGACGACCTACAGCCACAGCACTAAGGAGGATATCTTCGTGGCCGCGCTGGCAGAGGTCGACGCGGCCGAGATATCAGGCGACTCCGGCCCTCGCAGCCGCAATCCCAACAGACAGCACCGGCGGACGACCTCAGAGCGGCTGCGAGACGAGATCTGCGGCCGCTTCGGCGACTGCGCGATACCCTGCGTGCGGGAGATCATCGAGAAGTCGACCAACTGGGCGCTGTACCCGGTCTATCATCTGCCGCCGGACAGGAAGTGGCATACAGAACGGACTCTGCTGCTTGGAGACGCTGCTCATGCTGTATGTTGTTTTGCATCTCTTAACAGTCATACAGATACGTGGAGTCTTGGGCCGGCTTTGCTGACTTGGATATCTTTTCTTTCTTTTCTTTTAGATGCCTCCGAGAGACGAATCTGCGGCGTATGCCCTGGACGATGCCATCCTCTTCTCCCGCATACTCTCGCTGTACTACCACCAACCCGTCAAGGACTCCTTCGACATATATGAATCCATGCGCAGGAGCTCCATCACCAAAGCATACAACTCGTCCAACGCTACCTGGATGGGCAGCAAGAGCGCTAACAGCGGGCGATGGGCCAGCCGTATCGAGGCCTGCCTCACTCCGTGGCAGATCTACAGGGACAAGAAGGCGAGAATTGGTGCTTGGGAATTCGATGCCAGCACAGTACCCATCCCTCCGCCACCATAGCCAAGTCTTCTTTTTAAGTCTATCGAGCCCGTTTTTACTTGACCGCAAATGATGACCTTAACGAAATATTCAATAAAATATCTGCCATGAACTAATCTACACACACAAGGAGGGTGTATTTTTTTTCTTTTGGCCAACTATATGATGTTATTGATATCCCATATTGTCATTTCCTTTTGTTGTCTCCTTCGCATTTACCGGCGTTTATACGGTGTTGACATCCACCCCCTTTTTCTTTACACTCTTCTCAATGCCTCCTTCTCTCTCCTGCTGGAATGTCAAGAAAACACTCCCCTTGCCTTGCACTGTTCCAGCTGTTTATTTTGATACCCGAGGAGTCGTCCTTGCTATATCGATGACTCCCGCTTTCCTTCTTCTTAACCCCTTTTTCTGGGATGTTTGTTTATTACTTTCTCTTCTGTCATATCTATATCATATCTTGCCTCCGCACCATGTCTGCTGTTCTGTTATTGTCCTCTCAATCAATCAATCCGTACAGCATACGATAGAGTCCATCGGTTAATTTAAAAAAAAAAAAAAATATACCATATTCATTTACTCCACGTCATTACTCTATCTCCCCCTTTGCTTCGTATCCTGATCTCAAAATGGGACAGCTGAAACAGCTTGCAGGCATCCTGGCGCTGGCCTCTCCCGCCTTTGCAGCGTTCAGTGTCTATGCACTACATGATCTGGATGCACTCAAAGCATCGCTTGGTGTGACCTCGGAGTGTCTTTCGGCTCTGTACTATACCCACCCCCCTTAAATCCTTGCTGAATTGCTGCATTGCTTATTTATGATATAGAAACTACACAGTCGAGTGCGATGGTCCCAGTGCTGTAAGAGCCACCAAAAATTCAGACAATGACCGTACGTTCGTGCTTTTGCTTTGCATCCGTGTCAGCATATACTGACTCTATTGCCTGTAGTAGCCTGGTCTATGGATGACCTGACGACTCTATGTACCGATGGCTGCTCAAAGTCCCTGTCCACCTGGCTCGATGCAGTTGAGCAGAAGTGTGAAGGCGAAGAAGTGACCATCAACGGCCTCGTTGTTGATCCAAAGGCGTTTCCTATGAAATATATATCGGGTTACGACTTGGCCTGTCTGCGAGATAGGTACGGTTCTGCTGTCCCTTACAGCCGCGAATGATATGCTAACCGAAGATTAGCAACGACAATTGGTGTTTCTACGAAGCACAGGACTGGGACAGTGGTGTATTTACAAGGTGATCATGCCTTCTATTAATCAATCATTTCTCTATGCTGACCGGTTTCTAGCTGGGACAAGAAGCAGACGGATGCTTGCAGCGGTGAAAATCCTCCAGCTGATTGTGATAAAAAGGGCTCTGGGGAGGATGTGGACACCCTCTACGTGACCAATTCGTACGATAAAGAACTGGTATTCTTCGCCTTGCTCTATATCAATTCCCTCTTCGTGTGCTGACCTGCATATCTAGTACTGCAGCGAATGCTTTATGCTTCTCTGGAGGCAGCGAATCGAGTCCCCCGTTTTCCCCCAGGGCAATCTTCTGGACCATTTCACCAAGCAGTTCAGCAAGCTAGAAGCTGCCTGTTCGACGAAGCTGCCCCTGATAACGCCGGCCCCAACAGTGGTATTGGGGGCTAAAGACACCCTACCGCCAGCCACAGGCTACCATACCGATGGACCAACCGTGTTTAGATATGCTTCGCCCCCAGCACCAACACCTACTGCTGAAGAGCCATTTGCTAAACGTACTGCTGCTCCCAGGGCCATAAAGACATTCTACACTCCCGGTAAGTTCCCTGTGCTCTCCTTAAATAGTGAAATGTCCAAGGCTTGCTAACTTTTGTTAAGCAACTCCAGACCGGACACCGCAGTTAGGTGCAATGGCGCCTTGTGGTAAATACTACAACGTAGTTGAGGGTGACACCGTATGTATTGCCTATCCTTATCTCTTTGAGCTACTTTCTGACAAAATTATGCTCCACAGTGTGCCTCCATATCCAGAGAATTGTAAGGGCTTTAGCACCTCTTATCAACCGTAAGAAGTAACCATTAACCCCTGAATAGTGAGGTGACTATGGATGAATTGTTGACATACAATCCTGAGGTACGCTCCATACGTTTAGATAGGCTATTTACCAATCTTGATCTGACCCGTAATACCACCTGCTAACTGGCAATGCATGTAGCTTCATCCTAACTGCGAGAATCTGTGGGCCAACTTCGCTATATGTGTAGCCCCTGTCTCCCCAAGCCCGATGACAGTAGATGGCAGCTGTGGAGAGAACAATGCCGGTGCGACTTGCGATGGATCGCCATTTGGATCGTAAGTTGTGGAGCCCAACCTTTAGGATAAGCTATATTTCTAGTCAGACCACTAATGCAGCAACTTTATCGGAAATAGATGTGTAAGATCATCCCATTAGTTAAAGCGTGAGTTTTGACGGAGTCCTCTTTTACTAAACCATCTCACGCGACAGTGCAACGATGAGGGACGATGTGTGCCTTGTGGACCCGAAGCCACCGCCGCCCCCGACGCCCAAGGTCAAACGGTTCATGACGAAGAGCCGCCAGAAGAGCCGCATATTGAACAGCCACCCAAAGACACCCCGGCGGGTGATGACGATGATCGCAAGAAAGCAAAACTCCCACTGCCTAGCGGCAAATACCCTCTCCCATCGAACTCCACTATGATCAGCAAGGATGGGTCTTGCAACGAGTATATCAGTTGTGTCGGCTCGCCATTTGGAGTCTGCTGCAGCACTAGCGGATGGTGTGGCTATGGGAAGCCATGGTGCGGTACGTTGCACTTCGCACAAAAAGAGTTTTACTGCATCTACTAATTTTTACTTTCTTATGTATATTACAGGTGTTGGAAATTGCGTTTCAGGTCACTGTGACACTGAGGGCGAGGCATCCGGAAAGTCTCAGTGATGTCGACAAAGTCCCTTGACGGCTACTTCGTTGCCCTTTAGGCAATATGTTGAAAAGAACGCCTTACATTGACGGGAAAGACGCTTGGGTATATCAGTTATCAACTATTTCTTTGCGTTGGAGTATGAGGACTTGCGTTTGAGTGGGAGCTTGGGTGTAGCTTATTATTACATTGCATTTATACATTTGGAACTGTTGCTTTTCCGTTCCCGGGACTTAGGTCTGTTACCGTTGGTGTACTTTAGCTATGGCATTGTGTTTCCGCTTTGGCGGTTATTCCATTCACACAGATAGCAGGATAATAAAGATGATGACAATCATGACAAAATACTGAAGCCAATCAGGCCCGGGTGAAGTTGCTATGCAGCTTTTGGAAAACAACAGATGTTATCCCCAGTAGACCTCTCATATATTTTCCGGCTATTCCTCGATATATATGGACTTAGTATCACATAGATTTCATCTCAGTGGCCCCACGGAGGCTGGGGTTGGTTGCAAAGGTCTTCTCCAGTCTCGCGGCCCATAGAGCAGCTCCAACCGTGTTCGTATACGTGAAAAAGAGAGATGTAAAGGGTACCATCTCTAGCACAAAGGCAGCAGCACCAAAGCTATTATATTGTGAGCAAGGATACCTTTTTAAGGGGGGGTAGTTGGATGCTGCGTTACTCACCTGGCGTAAGCACCTCTATTCCTCTCAAGCCACTGGTCCCGTTCCATCGTACCCCACCCCTTTAGATAAAAGTATCTAGCATGTAACATAGGTCCAATCCTAGTCCCCTGGGCACCGATATACATCAAAGTCCCAACAACCGGTATGAAATTCAGAGGCAAATACAGCAGCGATCTAAACATATTTGACAAGCTCATCGCGTTCATCAGCGAACCGCCACCTTTCTTAATAAAATGCCCCAGACGAGCCATTGGATCAGAAGCAGGTTTCAGTTTACGGTCCTTGGACACCAATTGTGTGTTGCCGCATGAAAGTAGTGTTCCATCAAATAGATTAAGCAAGGTATCTTGGTCGAACACGTAGCCTGATTTCGCGAGGTAGGATATTATAGTTGAACTCTCACTGAGGACTAGCAGAGCTGCTGAGAATGGTGCTATGAGAGGGCCCGATGTTAGAGCCAAAATGGCTGCTTGGGGTATATATGTGAAGAAGAACATGGCTCCGGTCACGGCGAGGGTCAGTGATAATGTTGGTGCGAGCTTTGACAGCATAGGCTTGTACAGTGACGGGTGCGATAGAAAGTAGGCAATGCCCTGCATTTATTTCAAGTGGTTAACTGTGTTAGTTTGCTTTTCTTCATATGGGAAGAGATTGTATGGTATTATCTACCTGGAACGGGTAGATGTATGCGCCAGACCGCAAGCCATCTTTAGCCAGCGCCAGGAAATTGCGCAGTTCCTCTTGGGCCATACGCTTTATTCGCTCCATGATGCTGCGATATATAGTGATTAGCCTGCAATCTGACGCTTGATGGTGTAGATGGTGCAGTTATAGCATGTTGTTACGGAGTACAAAGTTGCTTGTTTCTTCCAAGTTTGGGGTTCGAACTTGGCTATGACGACAAAAATGGTCACGTGGCACTTCTTATTATATAAGCAAGGTCTGATGCCGGATGGAAATCCCAGGCCAAATCAAGAGAACGAGGAGCGCGATGGCTCTCGCAGGAAGAACAGAGTAAACATTCATATACTAGTAGTTATCAGGGGGTAGGTATTGGCATGTACCAAAGGCCGTCTTTGCTTTGGTTACCATGATGCCTTTTCACTTCCACCTCTTCGTTAGGATTGCCCTGTCAAGGGAAAGCAGTCCTGCTGTTTATATTTCAGTTTCAATTTGCTCTCAAAACGCCCAAAGTTCTCGTTGGCCTCCAAGAATTCATAAAAACCAATCGATGCAAGAAGGCGTAGAAGTAGGCTAAGTTGAAAAGGGGAAATCGCAATGGGATGGCGAAAGTGAAATCGTAGGACAGAAAAACAATTCAATGATAGCTCGATGGGGTATAAGTGGAGGCATATGATATACAAAGGAAAACGAAAAAATTAGGAATTGAGGTGAGAAGAAAGCTATTGTATCCTAAAAGACGAGGATGAGCCAGGGGGGAGAGGTGGGTCAGATCAGCGGTTCCGTTGAGTTCGGGTGTGTCGAACTTGGTGCCACATTGAATCGCCGCTTAAGGCAGATAGGCTCAAGGATGTAAGCCCTCTCCAGGTGGACCGGTGAGAAGCGTTGAGGGCGTCTCCAAGCAAGGCCCCTCGTTCCAACTCAGAGTCGGCGTTTTCATGCTCGGGGATAGGGATGGCGGATGAAGGGAATCCACTGTGATCTTCAACAGCCCTTGCTTGATCAAAACTGGGTGAAGGGTCCAGGCTGCTGGAAACATAGTCGTTAGAGCCTTGGTTTCCGAACGATCGAACAACATCGCCTTTACATATTGGACACGTGCGTCGCCGTGTTGTCAACCACGGTGTTCTAAAGGGCTTTGTTAGTTGGGTTCTCAACGAATATCGCATAACATGGAGTTTCTTTTTTTCGGAGAGAAAAGGGAGCACTTACATGCACTCAGCGTGGAACTCGTGCCCACAAGGTAAGCTCATTACCTTGCTTTGTCCGTCAACATACTCTTCAAGACACACAACACATTCCACTTGTCGGCCAGTGTATTTCCGTCGCCACAGTGTCGATCCGGCACTGGACTTCTCAGCACCAGCTGAAAAGTCTGTCATGTTGGGCAAAGAACTTGACGCTGCAGCACCTGCGTTGGTGGAGAAATGAGCTCGAGGGTCCGATCGTGTAAGGAGAGGAGATGAAGGAGACGCAGAGTCCGGCACTGCTGTACGAGGCGGTGTGCTTGAATTAGAGCTACTGGTGATTGTATGGTAGGTTCGAACGGGAAGTTGATCAACAATGGCCTTGGGTGCTCTCCATCGTCGCCGGCGGATCCTAGAGCGAAGTAGGAGGAGTGCATAAACCACAGTGAGCGTTATTAGGGGGCTGACGACCAAAACCAAAAGAGTATCAAAGAATGGACTCGTAGACATGCTAGTCGGGGCTAAGGTAACCCATAAGCCTTCATGTTTCTCTGGCTCCTTGTCTCCATGATGACCATGGTTGTTATGTGAGCCTCGACCGTTTTGGAAATCTTTGTGTCCGTTTGCGAATGCTGTGTTCTTGTCATCACTCGGTTCCCCCCAGCCAAAGAGGCGCGTCCACCAGTGTCCTTCCTTTCTATTATTTCCGGACCCTGATCTTAAATGTGATGACTGCTTATCAGAGCCATTCGGGCCACCTTTGCCCTCGGTAGATTTGTCTGGATGGACATACTCTCCACTGCCAGGGGTGATGCTCCCACCCTTAAAGCCTTTTGTATCGGAGCCCGAACCGTCCTTGCTGTTTGAATTACCACTCCGACTAGTTGGTTGCGGCTTGCTGACCGGCGTTGGTGTGGGTTTAACGATAAGGTCGGGATCACGCCAGTCCTGAACTCCGATAAGAAAGTCATCTTCACGATTCTGATGGGGATCCGGTTTGGCCTGTACAGGCGCCGTTCCTTTCTCTTTGTCCTGACGGTTTGAGTCCTGTCCTGACTTATATGGCGTCTCAGAATCCGGCTTTCGGCTTTGTGAAATCCAGTCGATGTTCCCACTGCTTGGCGGTCGCCTACTGTCTTCATGCACCGATTTGTCGTTCCAAAAGTTGAAAAGAGACGAAAAGAATCCTCTATCGGGTTTTGGTGTATCCTTAGGCTTGGATTGCGTGAATTTTGTAGACTTCGAGGAGGGGGTAACAATATTAGTTTTTCCAGCATTACCGCTTACCTTTAGATTCTGTTTACCACGATTGGGCGCTTTTGATTTGTTCCCTGGAGAGCTGGGCCCTTTGCCTTTATCGGCGGGTATAAGTGAGGACAGTAGATGTGCAGTGGTGTGGGAGGTGAAAACGGCTGGAATAGTCACATTTGATGTATCGCCATGCGCATACATTGTAACAAGGCCTCCACCGCTTTCATTGTCGCCAACTATAAGGGCTATTCCTCCTCTCCGCTGGACCCATTTTGTCTTCTCCAAAAGCCACAACCACCACGGCTTAGTAGAACAACTTTCCCCGAAATCTCTGCAGTCTCCTGTAACGACTGAATGTCGGCATGGGTTGGTTGCTTGGTTTTTGCCTTAGCATCATTAAGGCTGGCTGATAGGGAATCTCCCAAGGAGTGATGAAGATGGTCATCGGTTCCGTCATTTTTCGTTGGCGAGCCACTATTCTTGCGGTCGTCTTCGGGTAAAACGGTGCTGGCTCCTTTCTGTATATTTATGGTTCGGTCGTCACTGACTCCGATGCCTGGTTTGACCTGTGAGGTTGCTTTATCCGTACCAAGACGCCCTCCGGACCCGGACTGCGCAGTCCTGTCGCCTTCTTGCCACCCGGGAACATCAGAGCATCCCAGTTCCCCTTCAGCTTTTGTCATTATCCCTCCCTTTTTACTAACATCATCTCCAAAGCCGCTCCCGATCCACAACTGCCCATCGAGGCCGGACGATGGCAGGGGAGGCCCAAACGCAGCAGGACGAGCCAGGAAGAAAGTCGAGTTATCATCCGTCAAACTTATAAGCGCGGAAGGCGGGAATAGTGATGAGGGTGCATGGAAGAAGAGGTCTCGTATGCGGCCGGCTTTGCTGCTGTAGGTTCGTCGATATTCCGATGTGGCGGCATTTTCTGGACTTGCAGACTGCCGGACAAGGGTGGTAAAGAAGAGAGGGATAAACACCAGACAGACAAGGAGTAGGATGAGCTGTGGAGGTCGCATTATTCCAGACTCCTTACAGACGCCCTTATAAAGGAGTACTGTCGCTTCGTAATAGTAGTAATGGTGGTGGTGGTGGTGAGTGGTGGTGCGGGTGACCCTTTGTGGTCTGATAACTAAGGGGCAGGCAGCTCAAAAAAACAAGAGGATGAGAACCTGGCTTCACCTCGAGGCCAAGCTGGCCACTCCTGAAATGGCGAAACAGCCCACGTCAATAATATCAGGCTTCTCGACAGTTCGTCGTGACGTCGAAAAAGATGGCGGGCCATGAGAGAGCAAAGAAAGCAGACGAAGTCGAGAATAAGAAATGCAGCAAAAGTGCATCGAAGCAAATCGTCATGAGAGCCTTGGCAATCACATGACAAACGTTAAGCTTTATCGCTTTCCAGTTTCTTTTTCTGTGTTTGAACTAACGAGCAGAGAGCAAGGCGTCGATGAGATGCGGGCGACGACGCAATTGAGAGGCCATGGTTCTCTTACGCATGCAGGCCAGGACGAAATACATTTAGGCAGCCAGCAACGGCAGCGGCACCTTGTTGAACGATAACACAAACCGGGGCGGTGAAGTATGGGCGCTTATACTGTGATATTGCATACATAACTACTCCGTACATTCGGTTTGGCTAAATCCCCTTTACCATACCACTCCGTGCTACCCGGGGAGACTAACGATGCTTGTCTAATACAGAGTAACGGGTAACAAGCTACGGCATGACTGTCAGCAGATGACCACGGCTGGTGGGGGCCTCCGTGCGAAACTGGTCTGACTCACTGTTGTCAGTTAGTCCAGCTGCAGGCTACGTATCAGGCCAGTTGAACCAGAGCCCAAGCCCCATAGCAGGGAAAAATAGCCAGGTCGAGGAGCGTCGTAGTTGTTGGCGAAACTGAGCAGTGAAAGTCGAACTTTACAAGGGCCACTGTGCGAATTATGGCAGAGACGAGCCGCAAAAACAAATATTTCGTAAAGGGTGATTGGTGCGTCCTCTTTTGCCTCGAGCTAGATCATGCAGAAATCAGATTCGACCCCTGTTAAGTTTCCGGAGGCTGCCCTTCGCTTTGCTCTTTTTTGAAGCGGAGTTGTGCCTCTCCCGGTTAATATCCCGTGACCCTGGTAATACGCATGTTTGATGACACAATCGTGGCGTGGAAGAGGCGGAAACACGAATGAAAGCTACCAGCCACAATAAAACTCAACTCAGGACAAGAAGGTCAGCTTCCAAATGGCCCTAATAAGGCAACAACGACAATACTGGTGATTACTGTGCGAGAACAGGTCCCTAATCCATCAAATCTCGCATATGTGGTGGTACTACTCCGTACCTCCTGTATACACAGCAAGCTGAGAGAGGGCTTTAATTAGCTTCCAATTCACCATCGTCAGCAGCTTCGTCACACTCGAGGCGCAGTGAAAAGGGTGAGTGGAAAATTTGTCAAATCTTCCAACTCGCTTAAATAGTTAGCGTTCAGGCTCAGCTACCGGTTAAACTGGGGTTTAGCACTCTGTTGACCATCTTCGGCTTTGTTTGTCTCCCCGTAATGCCTCTTTAGACTGTCGCTCGGGACAGTAACGTGAATGGGATATCAGCTCTTAACTCTCAAGGTTTGCACTATCACGGGTGGTACGTATACCTCTGGACAGCGAAAGGGCTGTTTCCTGAGGCCTCAGATTTATTGATCCTCATTTCGTACGGACTACTCGGTAAATTTCAGCTTTTTGGTCTTCATGGAACGCGTCAATTCTTGCCCAGTAGGCTGCTACGCCTGACCTTCAAAGTTTACATTCAATTCCCGGGCTAAGGACCAAACAGTGATTTTACAAGAACAGAAATTGATTGCCGTTACTGCTGTTAAGTGTGGGTTTCTTTCGCGAGACCCGCGATGCTAACACGGTTTTGCCTTCTAGCCTCTGCTACCATTGGGATGCTGTCGACGCCAGGGTAGATATCATAACCTATTTGCCTCCAATGAACTTTTAGCGATTCCAAGATCAGGGGAGATGGGCGAGCAACTTTATCCACCCAGGAATAACCCCAATGCCATTACCTATGGGACAAGTAGCAGGGTAGGCAATAATGTAATAAAGGTAATTTACGGGAGTGAATTAAGCTTCCAAAAGAGACAGAAATCTCTCTCATTAAGGATTATAGCACGCGAATATCTCAAAGTGGGCGTCTTACTCCGATATAAACATAGATCTTCATCTGCGATCCATTCCAAGGCGGTCAACTATCCCGGAAGGTGACTGGCCTATAATATCCCACGGGATGATCTCTTTACTAATTTATTGAACTAAAGTAACCACAATAATAAGCCCTTGGTACCTAGTAATAAAAATTTATGTCTTGAAGAAGCTAGGTAGTCATTTGTCTGTCGGAGCTTATCAGCTCGGGATCTCCATCACGTGACCGTTGTGTGGGTTAAATCTCAGCTTTATTTTAACCTCGCATCGTAGCTTTTGACAGAGGGGAAAAATGATACTTATCTGAAGTTGAGAGGAGAAGAATCTATCATCAGACGAAAAGAGCAGTGTTCAATCAATCCCTATAAGGCTGGTGCTATTATAGTCTGGGTTTGACTTCTGACTCCTATGGGGCTAGAAGGAAAAGATTAAAAATAAAGATACCAGGAGACTCCTGAACCATAGTTTGCCCTGTATCGAAAACTACCATATACTATATAGTAGTGTGTTTACCACATACGATACGCTCTCTTTAGAATACCCTTTCTTAAGGCCGGATTATGGCAAGCGCTTTCTATATATCTACAGCTTCTGATAGCTGCTATAGCTGATGGCTGCTATTGACATGCCATCAAGATGGGATGGCAGTCTATACCCTTCAATACCCCATACTGTATACACATATATTATCTATGTATTTCCTATCTTTCTTTCATCTGCCAGCTGCTTCTTTACTGCTTTTCGGTCTCATCTTCTTCTTATCTTCATCTTCCCCAGTCACGTGACTGGGATGTCCTTCTTTCTATTTTGGGAAGAGAGAAGAAGAAGATGGCCCGTGCACTTATGTCCTCTTCTTGTTTTTTCATCTGCTTCACTTTCTCCTTCTTCCCCTATACCATCTGTCAACTTCACTCTTTGACTAGATACCTAGATATCTCTCTGATATTCACGCTGGGGCCTTCTATCAGACTGCTGATGGCTATAAAAGAAGACACCGTGAGTATTGCCGAGTGTTCCCCTTTACTATTCTTGATAATTTGGGTTGGAGTCAGGCTTGCTTTAGGATGTAGGCAGAGTTAGGCACAAGAAGGGACGAATAATCATGCTGATACTAATACTAAATCTATGTGTCTAGGCTAGCCGTGATAAAAAGAGAGACAGATATTACCCCAAACTTTGACTCACTTTTGCCGGCAATTACCGGCACTAAGGCGAAAGAGACAGAAGGGCAGACATGAATCCATATAGACTTGGCCAGTCTTCAGGGGATAGGGAACCTGAGAGCACAAACACGATCCCTTTCCCTCCTTTTCCATATGATATGCCGGAGGAGGCAGAGGCCCTTAATTTAATACCAACACAACTGCAAGGGCCCCCACCTCAGTATACTGGATCCCATGGCAGATTGACTGGGTATCCTGGGGAAGCTTCTAAGTATGCTTCTGTCATTAGGGATAAACTGGGCTCTGATCCTTTGGTTACCCATACTCACACTCACCATTATTCTTACATCGAGAATAATTTCAGACCCCAGCCACCAATTACTTATGATGCAGCTTCACGCCTTATGCTTGCTAACCCTGCTACTAATAACTCTTATGTTCATTCCCAACCCACAGGGCAAGCAGAGAGCGTTGCTGCTGGTGCAGCTACATCACCTCAAGGCGTCTCTCACTACCACCAACAAGAACGCGGTCGGCCATTCTACCGAGGTGCGCCATCTTTCCGTCTTCGTTCCCAAGGGCGAGAACGGAGTCAGCCAGCATACCAACATTCAAGTCGTATCAGCCGCGAGCTTCGAGAGACTGGCCATCTACCGTCCACGCGCCCCAACTCACTTGCAACATTAGCTGCTCTTACGACCAAGCCAAACCTTACAACCACATTACTGCAATCAACCCAACGCTGACAGCTCATCCGCTGCAGAATATGACTGCAATGGAAACAGGGGTGCATCATGGACACGCGGCGGAACTTCCTGTTCACTTCAATCCTCATCACCACAGCCCTCATCGTGCTCGTCACGTTGGACAACATAGCTTTTCAGTCGATCCAGGCTCTTCACATTACACACCTCCAGCATTTGCTCCTCCGCTTATGCCACGTTCAATTCCGCAGGTTAATCTCGCGAAGCACGCAAAACATGCAACTTTATCAGCTCCTGTGACTTCGGTGGCCACTCCTACCTCCAAGACGAGACCTACAACCCCAACGGGGCAGTTCATCCCAGGGCCTGATAACATCAGTCCTTCGAAACAGGAGGAAAAATTCCACGTTCAAAAGACAATGCTGGAACGCTTGGGAGATACATCAATCGCCGACCCACTTGACATCGACTTTTCGAGACTCACCGTTAACCAAGCCGATCATTACCTTGACCTTATTGGCGCTCCCTCTAGGCCAAAGCCAGAGGCAGCTCCTGTTCGGGATGTGATTACCGGAGAGGGAGGGTTGGTAGCACCACCTAAGCTAGCTCCTCAAAGTTTGGCTCCGGAGAAGTCTATGACGGCATCTTTAAGTCCCCACGACCATCAACTTCCACAACGTACTTCGCCCAACCCATCCTCTCAACATTATTCCAACGATCTTGAGAGGGGAGCCGCCTTAGCAGCACGATATAATATTCGAGGTTTAGCTATTACACGGCTTGCACATTTTCGCCAGGAGCGTGAAGCCGCTATGGCTCAAGAAAGGGAAGAGTCTCCACAAATCGCGGCTGGGTCTCGGGCTCCATCGCCTGCTTCTACCAAAGTTATTCCATCGGCTACTCCATGTCCAAGTGAAGCAAAGAATAACGCTGCCATGCAGCAACCAGGTGTCCGCCGGAATTTCCCACCTCCCGGCTTAACTCGTCCTCGTTTTACCAATTACGCTGGGGATCCTGTGGGGATTTACCGCCCCGTTCCATGGACTGTGGATACACCTGAAGAAGCTGAAAGGAAAGCCAAGAAAGCGGAGACTGCTACTACCTCGGAATCTGGCAAGCCACCTCCTGTTCTACCACCTGCGAACACCCTACAACAAAGTCCTATCGGTAGCAAACGCCGCTCTATGGTACTAGCTAAAGAACGAAATTCCCGTGTCAGTGAAACTCTCAAATGGTATCGTGCAGACTACCGTTTGAACGAAGACCTCCGCGAACGTTTGGATACTATAATGAAGGAAACCTTGCAAACCCACGATAATGGACAGGGACCTCTTGCGGTCCCTAAAGAGCTCTATGAGTCAGCTGAGCAAAACACGGTTTTGCTTGCCCAGGCTATCGTTAATCTCCAATCTTACCTTGAAGGAAACCCCAAAGAGCAGTCCAGAAACTTCGCTCAATATGGACCGGTCCCCGATGAATGCTGCGAACCCTCCAAGGACGGAAACTTCAGCCTTTTTGATATCCAGCCGGGCCCGTTTAGAGGGTCAGAGACGAGGAACTAAGGATAAGCATACCCATGGGACTGGTCATGAATTTCCCCTTCTTTTCTTCTTTTTTCTTTCTTCCGCGCAGTACCTGAAATGTGATAAAAAAAAAAGTCCAAGATGGCAACATGACAACTTGCCGGATATCTGGTTTCTCACTCCAATATGCATGCATATGCTGCCCTTGGAATGGGAGAGGATTGAAACCGGTCTTTAAAGTCTGCACTCGTAAGGAAGCATCTAATTTAGAAAAAAAATCAGTAGTTAAATTACTGCTTGAGATGATAAATTCATCTTCCGTTTGAAATAAATACATGTTTAAAATGGATTCGACGAATACAGCGAGTATATATCCTTAAGCAGTGGCCTGATATCACGAATTCATATTTAGGGGTAAAGGTAAGATAGAAAAAAAGAAGTAATATGACTATAGGAAAGAGCGCAGAGATAAGAAGGGCGTTAAACCCATTATCCTGAAAAAACGTTCCAACTCCTGGCCTCTTTCCACTAAGAGAATTCATGCTCGTGAGCCATTCATCATATTAAGGAAAAGCAAAGGGAGAAAACCAAGAAAGGGCAAGTTGTAAAGGTCAGGTTGGGAAAACCGCAGAAGGCGTAGAAAGGTTCAAAATGATAGGTTGAAACTAGAGGTTGCATATCCAGAGAATAGAATGAAAAGCCTATTGACGGTTTAAAGTGGTTGTAGAAAAATAAAATGGATATGTGTGAAGGTCCTATTTATTGGTGGGCGGAAGAATGAGAAGGTCCCATTAGCATGATACCAGGTTGATGTGGTTGTCATTTAGAGTCGAGCAAGCCAGGAGCATTTTATGAGGGTGGAATACAGTGCTGACGACTGGAGAGGATCGGGTATGGTGCAAAAAGCTGCTGTGAGGTTCGAAGGTAGATAGATGAGTGCTGTCAACATTAAATGTCTTGACTTCACGGCGATTGGTTCCGCTAACGAGAAACACGTTAGTTTAGCTCCAAAGAGATCGAGGAGATAGTAAAACAGGGGCAGATATACATAGTGAAAACTGGGGCGTGTTCATGGACACCTAAGGTACGCAGGGTATCTTTTGTTGCCTGCGTTGATTCGATTGAGCGATCCATTCTTAGATCCCAGAGTCGGACTTCACCATTGCGGCTACCAGAGACTAGTTCTCTGACCCCGCCTCGTTGCATGTGTACGTTGGTAATCCACTGTTTGTGTTCTCTCCAGACCTTAACCATTGCGGTGGTTGGTTTCAGGCGCTGGTCGAAAACACGTACTGCACCATCGCCAAATCCTGCAACGAAGATGTTGCCCGCTACTTGGTCGGAGGTCAAGGACGTGATGCATGATCCGGAGCGAGCAGATATATCCTGGGTTTGACTGTTAGTTATAACAAGGACAAGGGGTTGGAGGGTGGAATCTTACTGTTGTGCAAACTTCAGTGGCCGCATTCCATACTCGGATAACCTTCACATCTCCCGCTACTAGCGCTTTGCCTTGACCTTGTTGCCACTCAAGGACGAGTCCAGCATTTTTATTACTGGGTATCAACTCAGGCAGGGCACGGAACGCTGTGAGAACCTTGACATTTTTACTCGATTCGTAGCTGCGGAATAATTTTAATACGCCGTCAGAGGAGCCTGTCATTAAAAGAGCCTGGTCATCTTCGTTAATGAAACGGACTTCATTAATTTTTGACCCTAGAGGGTTGCCATTCGAGAATCGATTGAGATATGTATTTGATTGCCAATCCCATATGCTACATCGGTTAGCAATTATGAATGATGCATAGGGAAACAGTAAACAAGCTTACCATATTGTGTCCCTATCGTCAGCTACTGCAAGATGATCCTCGAATTGGTGGAAACACATCTTCATTGGCTGAGTGGAGTTGTTTATGAGCGAAACTGAGTTATCCCAGCGAGAACTACCAGCTCTAGTCTTCATTGGCTGCGTTTCAACAATGATTCTTTCATTCCTGCCTCGTCGCCAGAGGCGTTCATTATAGTCTGAACTGCCGGGCTCATCCGGTTCATTAGGCTTCATTTGGGGCTCTCGGAAATACTGTGATGAAGACGTTAGTTAGTAGTTTCTAAAATGACCTAGGTGATTCATAGTACTGCATACCTCTGTTGACCAATCTAAGAACTGACTAACCAATGGAATAACAGGTTCTTCTTTCACATCTCTAAGTTTAAATCCCCTAGATGATGGGGTAGGCGCTTGTTGGTATGATCTAGCAGAGGCACGCTGGTCATTGACCTCTGGAGGCCTCGTCCACTCAGCAGGTGCGCGACCCCTAGGCGTAACCGTAACACGGCCCTTCGGCACTTGGGGTTTAGCAAACGTAGTGGAGTTGGGGGAGCCTGGAGGCTGAGGGCTATTTGATGAGGAGCCAAAGGCCATATTTTTAAGGGATGCTGCGACACTAGCTGTCCTCCTTAAGCTTAGGGAGAGATATCCTTCTGGCTTGGGTGCTTGTTGGCTCGGAGGGGTCTTGGGCCTAGCGTTATCAATAGACTCCTGCTGTTGTGTTTTCTTTGATTGAGCACGGGTATATAATTCAAGAATGTCCTCCCTTGCTTTCCTAGCCAAAGCACCGAGCGGTGATTCTAGAAGAGTTTTGTGGACATAGTCAACGATTATGCCGCCGTCCTGCGCGACGTCTGGGTGGGGATCGACAGATAAGATAAGAACCAGCTTCCAAATTGAACCGATCACAGTACCGTGAGAAACACCATTCTCAGATGGTTGAGGAGGGGACATCAGGGGGGATCCAGTCGGCTGAGTTGTTAAAACCTGCTTTTCCTCCAGTAGCTGCTCATATGCTGCAACTATGAATTTGTTTTGATATCTCTTGACAAAAGTTGATACGAAAACCAGAAATTCCTTTCGCACAAGAACGCTACCATCAGATCCCATCGGGAGTACTGCCATAGCAAGATACTCTTCGATTTGGGCTACTTGATCAGTAAGGTCAGGAATTCCTATGAAGCTGGTGAGAGCATGGAGCATTGCTGCTCTAACTTCTGGAACAGGATCGGCTGCAAGTTCGCAGAGCTTTTGTGGCGCAGAGGCACGAATACCCATCCATTTTGCCTCTGGGAAGTCATTCCACAACATACTGAGGCATAAACATGACCATTGTCGTAGTAAGGGGTTTTCAGTATCCAAAAAGTGAGTCAAACATGCCTCAATTAGTTCCGGGGACAAACAAACATGTTGTCCTTGGGGGTACTGCTTGCAGAAGATAGCAACAATAAATGCACACATGGCTCTGTGATCGCTGACATTCGCAACGGGTATGGGAGAATTGGGGTGGAGTATGGTGATAAAGTAGTGGATACCATTGTCTTTGAGGAGATCATTCTGTACTGTATGATCAACTGCCATTATCCTAGCCCAGATGAAGACCATAACAGGCTTAAGCTCCTGGGCAGCACTTTGGAGTAGCTTGACAACATAAGGGAATATACCTATGCTAAGAGCGAGGTGAACAGCCCAAGGGCCGAGATCAAGGAACCCACTCAAGAGAATCAACGCCCGTAACCGGTGAGCTTGACTGAGCAAAACCTGCAGGACAATAGGGAGTTGATCCGGCGGGTTTTTTTCTGTAGGCCCAGAAGAGAGGTACACCTCAAACGCCGTAAGTTGCTCGGCGAAGAATGGGGAATGCTGATATTCGTAGTGTCTAGTGCCTTCTTCTTGTTCAATGAGAGCTGGAAGCTGAGCCAGGACCATTTCAACAGCCAAATCCCAGCTTTGCCACAACGGGTGAGTATGGGTAATGGGCAGTTTCGGTGAAGAAATTGGATGGCATTCGTGAGTTCTCATGATACGTTCGCTGAGCAGGAAATTCCGGAACAAAGCAGCAACCATGAGGTCTTGTCGGAAGAGCTTCTTGAATAAGGGGCGAGGAAGGGTATTCCAAGCAATGGTATCTGTAATTGCCGTGAATATCCAATTAAGCTCGCCCAACGGACTTCTTCTATCCTGTAGGCGTCCCGGAACCCTGAATTCATCCACAGAAAGACTTGTTTGCAGTGGATTTTGAAGCACAAAATACCTCAGGGCTATCTCGATAGGGGTGGTAAGACAACAGGTGAATAGATCTGCGGGGAGGTCAGGGTTTGTTGGCAAGGTTTCGTTTTTCTCACAAGCAGCAAGGAGAATGCAATCGCCGTAATTTTGAAGGGATGCAATAGGATCTCTCTTGCGAGCTTCCGCATTTTCCTTTTCATGCTTTTCGAGAAAGGCATGGAAGTTCTGAACAATGTTACCCGCATGAGAAACATCGAATACAAACAAGCTGGGACCAGCAAGCCAAGTCTGCAGGTCGTAAAGGGAGACAGGGATATATTGAGTGTAGTTTTTGTTGAACACCCAGATTTCGCCAGAAGGTGTGGGCAGCGGAACTCCGTGACCGTTGTAATGAAAGAGAACCCTTTCATCCTTTGCATTCCGTCGGAGAGAAATACAGAATTTCTTCGTTTCCTCCACAGAGGGGTCCAAGTACTGCTTGTATCGTGTGCGCAGACTGAGTGTTTCGTACTGCTCTTGTAACTTCTTTCCAATCTGTTCCATAACCTTGTTCTGCGCTCCGGTCGTGGAAGTTGGATCTACCCAGCATTCGAGTTTCGCTGAGGGGTTTGTTTTGACTACATCTGGTGGATCTACTCCGATGTTGAGGCAGATAGCAAGTGCAGCGGAGACAGTCTTCAGCCTATCTCTCATGCGCCAATCCTGGCTTCTCCAGACATCGTCCGGTTGTTTCGGGATACCATTGGTATCGTGCCGTTTTTCAGTAAAGTACATGTAAAAGTTCTGCAGAGTAATCATTGTCAGCACAAGGAATTACAACAAAACAAAGACCCAAGACCGGGAGTCAACTTACGGAGTTCAAGATCTTCAAGTATTCACTGGAGGTGTACTCCTCCTGCCAGCCATGGCGGAGCTGAACATCCTCTTCCTCACCTCCTAAAGCCCTGACATCAGGACCAAGGTCATGCCAATGTTCACTTTTTGCCCGAATAAGAGCAGGCTTCCGTCTGTTGCCGTTGATATTAGGCCTCGAGCGCGGCCTCGACTCGTTCGCAGAGGAATGTGAGTCTTGTCCAGCGTCATCAATTGACCTCGAACTACTAGGGAACTGGACGGCGCCACTGGTGGCTGATCTATGGTGACCTCCGCTGCTAGACGAAGACGGTTGAATGCCCAGATTGGAAGCTTGCGGGTCGGCGGTAGCTTCGAAAGACACTCGGACCGTCTTGCTCTGGCCTGAGCCAGGAGTTCTCTCTACCTCCTGCGTCATACTGTAGTGCGGGTGAGAAGGCGCATTTCTGCTCATATCAAATTCGGCTGTTTGGTGGTGGGAAAGAGTATTGTATCTAGAGGCGCACCCGTTAGTATTGCGTCAGAGTATGAGCCTTCAAATGACAGCCGATGCCTTTTGTGTTTTTCAGACAGGCAAACAAAGGGTTTATGACACCAAAGCCATAGAGCTGTGCTACTGAGATGCCCAACCAGCTAATATGGGAGGGGGAACTTACTTGGAGTGAAGCGCCCAAGACCTGCCTGTTGACGTTGTAGCGTCTAGTGGAGAAGTGTGCAAATCGAAGCTCTCCAGAGCATGTCAGAGAGAAGAATCACAGCATCCACCGCTCCTAACTCATTTCAGGCCTTGGTATCGAAGCAGCCCGCTGCATGTCTCGCTCTCCTCGACGGCTTCTTGTCTTTTCTTTCTTGTTCAAATATCAAGAGATTCACTTGAAGGTCGACAAAGGCCGAAGCCGCTTTGGGAAAGTTCCTATGGATCATTAATAATCCGTACTTAGCACGTGAGTATGCTTAGTAAGGTGTCATACGCAGTCGTTGAGGCTGAAAGAAGCCGGCAAAGAAGATAAAACAGTTGATAGACGACAGGGAGGACCGCGAGGACGGCGTTGGCGGCAGATTCATATGTTAGGATGGAGGCAGATGGCGTCGGTGCAGCTAACCAAACATGCGCTCTTTGATATAGAGGTAGAGTCCTATTTGCTAGCTCGCCGTTGTAGCTTTTGGATAGCATTCCTCTGTAGTAACAACCAGTAAGGGACCTTACTTAGTTCAATTAATACATGAATAGTCCTCTCTATCGTACCAATTTGGTAGGATATCAAGTCTTCAACCCTTGAGCACTCCACTTCCTCGTATGTCAACAGGGGAACACCTCGAGCTTCGTTTTATTCCGTGCCAATCGCCTGGCTCGTAGCCTCGCAAAAACCACGCGGACAAGGGCCTTGAGCTTTGCGAAGGAACAGTCGGCCAGCATCGTTTTACCTTAAATATACGAAGACTCTTTCCCGTACGATGTCTTGCTGTGAAAATTCGCCATCACCGTCTTCCAACGAGACCAAACAGTCTACATCTCCAAGCCAGAAAGAAGGTTCTCAGCCTCAGGGAGTTCTAGCCAGCTTGTCTCCAGTATTCTTTGCCCTGCTTCACAGTTCTTGCTGCTGGCTTCCTGTGAGTTCTCTAAACGGTATATCTAGTTGTTCTACCAAGCTAACCGTTGCCTTCTACTCTGCAGATTCTCCTTGACTTCCTATCAATTGGGACTGCGTCGGTGAGCATCTTCGAGCGTTTACGGCCTGCCTTCCTGCTCTTCACTCTTCTCACGCTGGGGTGGAGCGTGTACCGTAACGGATTTGACAGTCGAAATCTTCGTCGAATAGCCGTGTCTGGCGTATTCTTGCTGTGGCCACATATATCTACCTTGCTTAAGAAACCCAAATATCACGCCGAGGGACACAAGAGCTGCCATTGAGGGAGAGACCTACACAAAAGACCAAAATACCTACTGATACCCTCGCAAACATGTCATTTTGCGTGGTACTGCCTACTAGGCTGCTCTGGACCGGTCAGCTTCCTAGGGGTACTTCATTATCCCACAAATTCCGCTATGCTATCCCTGCTTCACTCACGAAGATACGGTCTGCACACCATTGCGCAAATTCCCAAAAGTCTGACGAACCCATACTGTCCCTGGGATTCTGGAGTTCAAAGCCGACTTGGAAGCGGGCTGGTGTCAACACGTTCCGATGCCTGATCGGCTGCAGCTTAGGTGACTTTTCTGCCATGTGGTTCCTGCAGTCATGCTATCCTGGCATCGGAACCGGTCTCATCATGGGAATAGCAAGTACGTCATAACCCTGCTCGTTCTTTTTGTATGCACATGCCCAGCTAACATACCATGCAGTGGCCTCGGGACTGACATCGTCCATGCTCCTGGAGACTGTGCTACTGCGATTGGGCCGCGACCAGCTGTCATGGAAAGCTGCAGCCAAAACGGCAGCGGGCATGAGCCTTGTGTCGATGCTCGGGATGGAGACCGTGCAGAACCTGGTGGACTACCACTTGACCAGTGGCGTGGTTGCGTTTGACGACCCATCTTTCTGGCTGGCTGCAGCTGCATCTGCCGGCGCCGGGTTCCTCGCACCCCTCCCCTACAATTACACTCGACTGCGGAAGTACGGGAAGGCGTGTCATTGACCAGCCTTTTTCCTCACTGCCCTCGATGCGGCTGGAGTTGCTATATAGGAGCCCCGTTATTGCTCTGATAAGCTTTGCATCAGGCATCTCTTGTTTCTCCTGCTCTGCCCAGCGGGCTGTAACTCTGCCTGTAGCTCCAACCCCCGGTCCTCTACTTCTTGGACACCTCCCCCCGTGTACATAGCATCTATCATCTAGCGATCTAGTTACGTAGCGCTGCCTTCCCTCCCTCCCTAACCCTTATCCTACTCTCCCGTCCCTCCCGCCCGGCCGGCACCTTTATACCGGATCAACCTTTCTGCGCTTAATCAGATCGCGGCCCCTGACTAAGCGCCGCCGACTAACCCGATTCGTCGACCCCCTGACGAGCTTCCTCGCCGTCTTTTTCTGGCAGCGAAAAAAAGGCGAGCAGAGAAAACGACAGCGAGGCCGAACTTCACTTCTTCAATCTCCTTCACGCCCGCATCCTCGTCTTCCTGCCGCTGCGCCAGGTCCTCACGGTTACGGGCGTTGCGAAAGAGCCTCTCGCCCGCCGCCGCCGCCCTCTCCCTGCCCGCGGGCTCCCTCGCTCCCTCGCCCTGTCGTCAGCGTCAGCTCCCAATGCTTATTTCGTCTAGTACTACGATTCTGCAGCCGATCGCGCGCGCTCGATGAATGTTTGGGTCAGGAACACCCACAAGACCGACCGCTTAGCCACTCCTTCACTCGCACACTGCCGGCATCGACGTCTATACAACCTGTCCGATCGCTTCTCCGAATTCATTCTAGTTCCCTCTAGTTTCGTTGTAATTCGGCTTTGGTTGCCTTGCCGCTCGCCCTGGCTAGTGAACAGGCCTCAGGACGACATCCTCGATTTGATCCAAACGGCGATTTCCTGCCCGTCAGGGGCCCTTTAACGCATTTAACGACCGCCTTCGTTTCATTGTTGCCGTGGATGTCTATACCTTGCGTTCTCGATATTTGAACAAAAATTATCCTTCTTTTGTTTTTTTTTCTTTTCTTTTCTATCCCTGTTCGAAACCGGCTATCTGGGACGACGGACGACCCTTTGCCTGTTTCTTTCTTCTCTTTCTCTCCCTCCCTCCCTTCCTCTCTCCCTCTCTCCCCCTTCGAACCGTAGTCTCTCTGCTAGAGAGAGGCTTGACGCTCGTTTAGACTCGATCGTTGAAGATGTCATTTTTTTTCAAGTCGTCGAAAAAGAACCAGCACCAAAATCAAAGCCAGGCCCAGAGCCATGCTCTGAACCATAACCAGCCTGTTTCCTCTGGGGCTGCGACGAGGAACATCCATACATCTGAAGGGACGGGCTCGGTCCCAGCGTCCGGCCTGTCCAGTTCGCTAAATGGTATCCGAGAGATAGAGAAAGATGTTGAGCCAGTTCAGCAGTTTGGGCCAAGTACCGGCCCCATACCCGCTCCTGGTCAAGTAAAGTCTTCATCAGCCGGCCCGATTCAACCGCCCAATGTACGCAGAGATCGGGCGGATTCAGAGCCAAAGGTTCGTTTGCCAGCCTTGCTTAATTAATGACTTCATTTTTTTTTTTTTTTTTTTTTTTTTTTTTTTTTTTTTTTTTTTTTTTGTGCTTGATCGAGGGTCTAACGCTTATTTTTGTAGGCACTACGCAGCCAGCCTGTTAATGGTATACAGGCGCCCTCTGCTCCTAATCATGCTCTCTACCCTTGGTCGCAACGACGCATGAACTTCCCTTCGCCGCAACTCACGCCTTTCCCTCGATATGGAGCCGCTATCAACGCCATTGCCTCTGCTGAGGGCGATATATACTTGATGGGTGGTCTGGTTGACGGTTCAACTGTTAAGGGTGATCTATGGATGATAGAAAACAGTGGGAACAATTCCACCTGCTTTCCCATCTCACCTGTCACCGAAGGGCCAGGCCCCCGAGTTGGACATGCTAGTTTACTGGTTGGAAATGCTTTGATTGTTTACGGAGGTGATACGAAGATCCATGATAATGATACCCTTGATGATACCTTGTATTTCCTCAACACTTGTGAGTATAATCAGGCTGCTCCATCATTCTGTGGACCGTAAGTTTTGGAATGCTAATTGATGCTTTTACAGCTTCTCGACAATGGTCTTGCGCCGCCTCCCCTGGCCCTCGTCCGCCTGGAAGATATGGACATTCATTGAATCTGCTTGGGTCAAAGATCTATGTCTTTGGCGGTCAGGTTGAGGGTTTCTTCTTTAACGATTTACTTGCTTTCGATCTCAATGCCATGAACAATCCCGGGAATAAGTGGGAGTTCCTTCTTAGAAACAGCCATGACGATGGTCCTCCTGTTGGACAGGTTCCTCCTGCGCGAACTAACCACACAATGGTTACTTTCAATGACAAACTTTATCTGTATGCCATCCTCTTTTGTTCTGCATATTCAAATATCCGCCATGCTAACGAGAACAATAGATTCGGAGGTACTAATGGAGTCCAATGGTTCAACGATGTCTGGGCCTATGATCCCAGAGGAAACTCCTGGACGCAAATTGACTATGTTGGGTTCACTCCAACCCCGAGAGAAGGCCATGCCGCTACCCTAGTCGGTGACGTGATGTACGTTTTTGGCGGACGAACAGAGGAAGGTGTTGATCTTGGAGACTTAATTGCATTTCGCATCTCGATCCGACGATGGTATTCTTTCCACAACATGGGCCCTGCACCCTCCCCTCGATCAGGCCACAGCATGACCACCCTTGGAAAAAACATTATAGTTCTTGCTGGAGAGCCAAGTTCCGCTCCTCGGGACCCGATGGAACTTGGTCTCGTCTATGTTTTGGATACTACTAAAATTCGATACCCTAATGACCAACCTACCTCCCCTACTGGAGAGCGGCCACCGCCTCGAAGAGTTGCACAGAATGAAAGGGCTGGCGGTCAATCCGGGCGTACATCTCGTGAGGCTCAACATGTTATTCCTGATGCTCAGCGTCGGGGACCGCCTGGCCCAGCTAGGGACCCCAATGGAAGCCCAGCCGGTGGCTCCAGGTTACCAAGAGCCTCGATTGCTCAGACGCCTGCCGGACCACCTCCATCAGGCCAAGCGCCACATCCAAGAGTTAATGCCATTTCCCCCCAGGCTAAAAAACAGCAACAGCAACATCCCCACCAGCAGCAATCACAACTGCAAACCCAGCAACATCCACATCAGCAAGCGCAGCAGCAAACGCAGCAACATCAACAACAACCGTCATCCGGAAAGCCTGATAGAAGTATTTCTTCTCCCTCAGATCACTCTCGGCCATCTGAGAAAGATCGACAGCACAGCCGAGATACATCTGTTCATGGTAGTAATAGAGGAACACGGGAATCGAGCCCAATGACTGCTGCTACTCGCCAACAGCACTCATCATCACGGCTTTCTGCACGCGCAATGGAGGCCGGAGAAGCGGCTCCCATGGTAACTCCTGCAAGACAACGATCTCTTAGACAACAAAGACAGCAAAACTCGATAGACAGCGTTGACGATTCAATACTCGCATCCGAAAACAGGGCATACAGGAATTCCAGGAGTCTCGCCGACGAACCTCGTTCACCACGTCTTACTGCCCACCAGGAAGCTTTGATAAAGGAGTTGGAGACCATGAAAACGAAGAATGCTTGGTACGTATCTGAGCTTGCGTTAGCTCGCAAGGCAGGATACACTCCATCATCCACTCCTGGCACTTTTGAAGAACCATCAGTAGACTCCTTCAACGAAGGAGATCGCCCCCTAGTGGAGATGTTGCTTGCCATGAAGACCGAACTTGCCAAGATGCAAGCCAACGTTGATCGTCAAGCTAGCATTGCTTCTAAACGGGTTGCAGAAGTCGAACACCAGCGAGATATAGCTTTGAATGAAGCAGCATATGCTCGTGCTAGGCTTGCTGCTCATGGTGGAGGCGGAGGCAGCCAGGGTGGCACTCCTATGTCAGAGATGAGCAATCGTGATCTTGACGAAAGCAATTCCCAGCGCACCACTGAAATCACTCGGCGTCTAGCTCTTTCTCTAACGGTGCAGAATGAGTTGAAGGCGAAGGTTGAATCATTGTCTTTAGAACTTCAGGAGGAGAAACGAGCGAAGGAGCTGGCCGAGGAACTCCATGAGATGACGAACAAGAGGCTTACTGAGTTAGAGCTCCAGAATAATCCTCTCGAGCTGGAGAGTATGCGAGTAGAACTACATCAGATCCAGTCTTCGTACCGGGAGGAGGCCGCTGCACGCTCGGAAGCTGAAGCTGCATTGAAAATGCTTCAAGTTGACTATGCTGAACTTGTTGAAAAACATGAAGATATTTCCAGCCGTATGGAAAATCACGGATTGAATGTTGTATATCTTCGAGACGCGGTGCAGGCATCTGTTGCCAAAGCAGAACTTATGGAGCGAAATCTCGAAGAAGAACGCCAGCATCGTGACACGGTGGAGAGGAAATTGCTCCAGTTGAGAGCAGAATATGAAGAACGCACCAACGAACTGGAAAACACTGCTAGACGACTTAAGGAAGTTGAAGAACTTGCTGATACCCATGCTAAGGAGGCTGAGAGCCACAAGATTGCTCTTCTTTCTGGATTCGACCGTGTAGCCAGTAGAGGCTCTGACAAGGGCAGCTCACTGGCAGATCAACGGATTGCTGTACTTCAGTCCCAGGTTGAGCGCGCCAATGAGCTAGTGAAGACAAGCCAGCTGGCTGCGGACTCTGCTGCTGAGAAGTTACGTCGTGCTGAAGAGCGGATTGCTGGTCTAGAAGCCTACCAGGAACAGAGCAGCAGGGAAGGACTACAGCTTCGAAGACAGCTCCAGGCCGCACTGAAGGAGAACCAGACGCTCAGCATTGAGAACCGCGATGTGAAGGCTCAGCTTGAGAATCAGCAGCGTGACACTAATGCGCTAGCCATCCAGCACGGAGCTCTCAAAGACCTGCTTGGTGAGCGTGGCGTGAACATGTCTGATAGCAGACGGTCCCCTCTACTGGATTCACCAGGCTCACGCTATGGAACACCTGAACAAAACCGGCTACGCGAGCTCGAACAGCAGTTACAATCCAGCTTGAAGGCCCACGAGGAGACCAAGTCTAGCTTCGAGTACCGAGAGCAAGAAGTGGGCCGTGCTTATAATGAGAAGCTCGAGCAGCTTGAGAATGACTACCAATCCGCCGTCCACTACGTAAAGGGAACCGAAAAGATGCTGAAACGCATGAAAGAAGAGCTGGCGAAATATAAGTCTCAGACGGCCAAACTGCAGGCTGAGCTAGCCGAAGTGTCCAACAACCCGGAAGCTGGGGCTTCACGGGAGGCACCAGCACCTGCTGAGTGGGAAGCTGAGCGCGATACCCTGCACCAGTCCATCTCTGACCTTCAATCATCCACAGCAGCATCCATATCGTCCCTCGAGAACAAACTATTGGCCGTCCAAGCTGAACTCGCTTCCGTACAGAAGAAGTATGACGAATCTCGCAACGAGCAAGAAGCCCTACAGGCCGAACTCTCAAGCACCACGGAGAAGGGCATGCGCGATCTCGAGCAGCTCAAGAAGGAGAACCTCCTCCTTGAATCTCGCGCAATGGACGCCGAGAAGAAAGTCTCAATGCTTCTGGACCAGGTTGAATCCTCCGTGACCAACTACCGCCGTCAATCCCAACAGGTAGCCAACAGCGTGAACTCAAACGGGGCCAACTTGAGCCGTAATGCCAGCAACGCTTCCAGCGCTGCAAACGCCAACCACGCCAACCGGTCGCGAGCGGGCAGCAACGTCTCGCAGGACGATACGCTCTTGAACCACCGCGGCTCGCTGGCGTTGGACTCTCTGGCGAACGAGCTTGATGCGCTTCGCAGCCACTGGGAGACGGCAAACCGCAGCTACAGAATCAGCACGCAGTTCGACTTTGATCAGACGCCTACGAAAGAGACATATGGCGAGGGACTGAGCGACAGTCTCGCCAACTGGCGCCGTCGTCTGGACGAGGAGGAAGCTCGCGCCGATGAACCAAGCTCCAGCCAACAACAGCAGTCTTCTTCAGCCATCCCGACGTCCCAAGCCGCGCAACCCATCGCCGCTGGTAGCATACTATGAGCCAAAATAATGACATGACCTTTGATCTTCCTCGGGTCTATCCATACATATTATTTTTGTGTATTAATATAGCCACTAGCCTTTGATCCGGCATCCATCTTAGCGGTTATCTTCACTCACATATCCCCCTACTTCCTCCTCGCCTTTTCTCACTTTCCTCTTTCTTGTTCCTTCTTTCCATGCCCTTCTTTCTATCCTTTTTTCTCCCAATCTATGTCCATGTACTCCCGATCTCATCTTTATTATTCTTGTTATCCCCGCTTCATCTCTTTGCCTTATCTCCTTTCTTCTCTTCACTATTCCCTCGTCTGCCTTCTTGCCCTCCTTACTTTTCTCCCCTTCTTCTCACTCCATTCGCAGGCTCGGCTGGACTCAACGAGGCTCACTGTATCAAATCAACGTCTTTATCTTCGTTCCTGCTTTTACAGTTTATTTGATTGTCTGTTTCTGCTTTTCCTTCTTTTTTTCTTCTAACACTTCTTGTTCCTATCGTTGTCGTCTTTCACATAATGCTGTTTACGCCCCCGTCTATCCCGCTTGACTCTATTATCATGCCACTTGTTTGTCCTCGTCTTCTAATTCCCCTTCGGTGGACTGGGTTTTTTTTCGTTTCTTTTTCTTTCTTTCTTTCTTTCTTTTTTCTTTTTACTTTATTTCCTTGTTTATGATATGAAATGTCCTTTGCCATAAAATAATCTTTCTCTCTCCCTGGATAATTAGGCGGGCAGGATCGATGTAAAGCGGCAAAGGTATCAAATGGCAGCTCCCTTTGTTTATCTCAGTTTCGCTTCTTTTCTAATCCCTTTCTACCATCATCTACGTCTACATTATATCTATTTGATGCTGTTTAATCTTATTATTACTTACACTTGAAAAAACAAAGGAAAAAAGTAACTTGTTGATATGCCTTGGTCGTGGTCTGTCCTTATGATACGGTGGTCGCTTGTCATGTCTGGTTGGCCGACGCCCTGTTTCGGCATAATAATTAATTTATCGGAAGATCATGTTGAAGAGAATGCCATCATCACATAGACCAGCAGTTGTAGCTAGATATGATGACCTAACAGCGAGATTCAATAACTAGTCGATCAGACAGGGCAAGGATGTATTTTCTCGAGGGCTGTGCTAGCTACGCCAGTTTTCTCCCCTTGTACTCCGTCCCCTCAACCAAATATAAGTAGGTTTCCCCGGTCAGCTCTGCTCCGTACCACCATTCAGAGCAAACTAACTGCAGACGTATGTAGCTATCATGCATATAACATATTCAAGACGAACCAGTTGAAACACCTGGCATGTCGGCCGATGGTCCGATCCGCTCGGAGAAGGCCAAGTGAGTGAGTTAGTAGTTGGGCGGCGAATGCAGGGGGCGGTGAAAGCGAACGACTCCGGCCTGACAGTGGCACGTTATCTCATGTATAGTTATGTATACTTAAGGGATAACTGCGGGCAGCCCTGACAGGGTCAGAAGTCAAACCTAGTGAAGATGAAAGGGAAAAGTGACTTGTCTTTTGCTTTGTCCTGGTTGTATCTATGGGTGGTTCTCCTCCCCCCAAGCTGAATGGCGAGGGCTGGTCTAGAAGGTTGAATCGACGCTAGGCGCGGAGTAAAGTATCGAAGTATCAAAGTAACCTGCAAGCGGCAAAAGGAAGAGACGGAGCGAAGAAGAAACGACCCCTGTTGGGCTCCCTCGTCTCCGCAGCTTATCACTGGCGCAGAAGCCGTCGGGTGCAGCCGTGGAGAAGGCGAGGGAAAAGGGGGTAGAGTAGACTTGCTGCTGGCGAGCGATGAGACAAGACATGGGCGATCAGGCTGGAGGGAACTAAGGTCAGTTAGCTAGTGAGGAACAGCTGACTCGCCACAGAGTGACCGCCAGAGGGACACCACGGTGAATACAGCCGCCAAAGGGGGGAGTAGCAGTGACATTGGCATTGATAGCTGGTTGATATAATAATAGAAAGTGACGGTAGCGATAGAGAAGAAGCAAAGAAGAAGCGGAAGTTCTGCTTGCTGGTGACTTCGCCCAGCCACGTGACCCAAGGGCGTCTTTTCTGCCTTTTTTCTGCTTCACCGACTTCCGCCGACTTTCTTCTTCTTCTGCTCGACATCAACAACCAACAACGACGACCTCTCGCTGCGTGCTGGCTCAAGGGACGCCCCTTGACCTCCATCAGACCCAGGACAGCTCCAGGTCCTCCTCCTCCCTCCCGCAGGGGCAGACAGGTATGTTGGATTTCTCTTGCTTCTTGGCGGTCACGCTGGTGCTGCTGCTGCTGCCCTTCAGTTAGCCGCCGCCCCCCAAAAAAAAGGATAAAAAAAAGCCAGCCTCACCACTTCAACCTCACCTTTCAACCACCCAACTCCCGCCACTTCATCACACATTAAACACCCATCCACCCTCACCTTTCAGGCCTCGACGGGGCCTCTCCCTCCTTCTGCCTTGCTCTTCTTCCTCTTGTTCTCCTCTCGCGTCTGTTCTGCTTGTTTATATCGAAGAGAGAGCCTGGGAGAGCAAAAACCTTCCACCTTGCTAACCTGCCTCTTTTACTGCTACCAGCTACCACATCTCGGCCCGTTGCATAACCTAAACCGTTTTTTTTACACTACCTGCCTTGCCTGCAGGGAAGACAGACTGAATACAAATACAAAACCGACTATTAAAAACGCCTCATCCGTCGAGCAGTGTTTCACACACGCACACATACATTCAGAACCCTTCTCTCTCCATCAAAAGCAGTCTTCTGATTACTGCTTCTAGTGTCCCTCACGATGACGACCATGGTTAGTCTATATAGGTTCTTGGAGAGGAAATATGGCTCGATCTAACGATAGATAGGATCTCCGTGTTGGAAACAAGTATCGTATTGGTCGAAAGATCGGAAGTGGCAGTTTCGGTGATATCTACCTTGGTGCGTCCAGTCTTTCCTACAACACACGTACACACTGATATGTCTAACGATATGTGCAGGAACAAATATCATCTCTGGCGAGGAGATCGCCATCAAGCTTGAGTCTGTCAAGGCCAAGCACCCACAACTCGAATATGAAGCCCGCGTCTACAAGTCTCTTGCCGGTGGAGTTGGCATTCCATTTGTTCGCTGGTTCGGCACTGAATGTGACTACAATGCCATGGTCATCGACCTCCTTGGTCCTAGCTTGGAAGATCTATTTAACTTCTGCAACCGCAAGTTCTCTCTAAAGACCGTTCTCTTGCTCGCTGACCAGCTCATCTCGCGTATCGAGTACATCCACGCAAAGTCCTTCATCCACCGTGATATCAAACCAGACAACTTCCTTATGGGCATTGGAAAGCGTGGTAACCAAGTCAACGTCATCGATTTTGGTCTGGCCAAGAAGTACCGTGATCCAAAGACTCACTTCCACATCCCTTACCGTGAGAACAAGAACTTGACTGGTACTGCCCGTTATGCCAGTATCAACACCCACTTGGGTGTCGAACAATCCCGCCGTGACGACATGGAATCCCTCGGATACGTCATGCTCTACTTCTGCCGTGGATCTTTGCCATGGCAGGGACTCAAGGCCGCTACCAAGAAGCAAAAGTACGACCGTATCATGGAAAAGAAGATGACCACTCCAACCGAGGTTCTCTGCCGTGGATTCCCCAACGAGTTTGCCGTCTACCTGAACTACACCCGTTCTCTTCGTTTTGACGACAAGCCAGACTACTCCTACCTCCGCAAGATCTTCCGAGATCTCTTTGTCCGCGAGTCGTTCCAATACGACTACGTATTTGACTGGACCGTCTACAAGTACCAGAAGAACGCCCAGGCTATTGCTCAGGCCACTGGAAACGCTGGTAACGGCCAGGAAGAGGATGAACGCCCCCGCCGCATTGCCAACGCTAACGTTGCTTCTGGAAACCCGGCAATCCAAAACAAGCCCACCGTTATGGCCCCTCGCCGCAAGGTGATGGACCGTGGAGCTTACGAAAACCCAGATGCGAACCGTGCAATTGGCGGAAGCGATAGGATGTGAGTATCTGCAACCGTTGGTTCCGAGTAAGGAACACACCCTCCCCTTTCTGCCAGTGAGCTCGTGCTTTGAAGTGGTCCGTTTGACGAAGACGCTTGGGCTGGCCTGCACGGAGAGGGACAATCCCTTTTCCTTCTTGTGTTTTCCATCGAAAATCTGACTAATGTTATAGTTTTCGGCGCTAGGCTTCGTTCCGCTTCTAAAGGTGGTGCTAACCTTATGGGTATCGGTGGTTATCATTCATCCCCTTACCACCGTTCATTGAAGCGGGATGATGGTAACAACGGCACTCAGTGGTAATCATACAATGAGCAACACAGTTTTTTCTTCTTTTAATGATTTGAGTGGGATATTCTTTCCGCAAGAGGGGGGCGTGTTGGGAAGAATAACTTTTTCCACACGTACTGCACCCCCCAATGTCCTCTCACGTCTATCATTTTCATATCCTGAACTTTGGGAAAAGATCATTCTTATCTACCCTATCGTTCAGATCTGTCTGTTCTACAACTCTCCTCCCTTGTCATGACTGTTTATGCTCCGATCACATCGATTTCCTCTCTTATCTTGTCTGCTTTCTGGCCTGCATCTCGAATCCACCATTTCAACTGACCGGCACCGACATCGACACCGGCACTTTTTTTACTATCCTTTCTTCTCTCGTGGATTCTTAATACCAAGATGGGACCTCGAGATGCAACCAAGCAGTCGACTATTTTTCGTGCTCAAGCAGAACTACGTCATCTTTATCATCAAGGGAGCAGAGCTTTTTCAGACAGAGATTTTTTTTGGCAGGATATCGTCTTTCAACAGTTTCATTGGGCATGGCTGTTGACGATCCTGTCTCTCCATAATGACCGAGGATTGAATGGATTGAATCATCAGATACGGAACCGGGTTTACTCTTTTTTTACACTTCAACAAAGAAAAAAATCAGCAACAACACATACCAGGGCAGCAGCTTCAGTTAATCAACATCAACCTCGTCAGGGCGCCGTATTGTGTTATTATCCGGCTTCTTTTCATCCTCGATTATCCAGGCATTTCTTATCTGTTTTCCTTTTTTTTTTTTTTTTTTCATCCCAGCATCCCCCCTTTTCCCCATGCTTACGTTTTTTCATCATCAAATTGACGTTTTCTTAGCTTGTTCATGTCATGCTTTCATTTCCTAATTTTCTTTTGTTATACTCTGGTCTATTCTAATCAAGGGGAGGCGAGGACAGGGGATGGGCAGTGGAGAAGACTGCACGTTGAGAGTTGAGAGGAGCATCGGGTAGGGGTATGGCCGAGGAGCAGCAAGAAGGGCACCGATATACACAACGTTCGACATCCATTATTTTTAACATTGGTCAAAATACTACATGCAGCCTCCGCCTTCTTCGGGGTTGGCTCTTATGTGTGTGTCTATCGGTACCCTTCGAACACAACTCCACCTTCCCCTCTCTCAACAACAAATTGGTACACGACGACGGAATATGGCTAGGGTCGCTTCCGGGGTGGTATTATTATTTTGTTTCTTGTTTCCCTACATCACTGGTTTTCAATGCATGCTTTTACTTTCTTGTTTCTTTCCGTTGTTTTGCACCCGACCAATCTCCCCTTAGCAGCACAGCATTATTCTTTTTGAGAGGCGAGAATTTTTTTTTAAGGTCATTTCACATTCAATTCGGAAAGGCAGCTTGAGCAGTGGTGGGCGATGGATCGGATTTGATTTGGCAAAGGAGAGCACGCGTGAGGATGAATTGCTTTGCACAACCGGGGACGAGGGGAGCAAAGAAGCTGAACTGACCTGCCCGATTGGAGACGATCCTTCTTTTTTTAACTCTGTTTCCATTTTGTCCCTTTCTTTCATGTCTGTCCTTTACCTACACTACTTTATTTCCATTAACTAATTAAGTCAAACTAAATCACCTAACTTGCCCATTTTAGCAAATCTAAACATCTTACGCTCGCTACCATATTCAACCCAAGTCGATCTAAGTATAGAGTCTTCCGTTGTAGCTCGTTCGCCAGCTAACCAACCAGTCAGTTAGTTACTTCAAAGCCGAGGCATCGCTAACAAGGTAGCTAGTTACGTTAGACAAAACGACCAAGACCAGCCAGAACAAGGCATGAAACAAACACCGTGACAAACCCAGCGGGAACCGGGAGTTCTCCATCTTTATCTTATTACTCTTCCATATTCACGGGTGATGCAGGCCAGTTACCTGATCACTAGCGGACCCTCGCTTCGAAAGCAGTAGTGTGCTCCGTCACCCGCTGTGGATGCACGGCCGGCTGGGTGCTCATCCTCCTGCTGCCCCATAACCATATCTCGACTTCGCCACTGCGAGAAGATTTCGATGATGAAGCCGATGATGAAGCCGGTGGGTGAATCGGACGGACGAGTTCATGCGAGTAAGTAAGGACCCGAGAGAATTTAGGTACGGCTATGCATGCACCTTGCTGTAAGCTATTTATGTACCCTTTATCCCTCCGCCCGGGAAGCGTTCCGTCAACCGCTATTATTTAGTTAGTTGCATTGCAACATCAATGTTAATAATGTTGATGTTTAAACACCATAGCTAGCTAGCTAGTTAGTTGATGCTGGCGGGTGTTTTACTTAACTACTTCCCGATGTACACGAGCGGAAGAATACGAAAGGGCCCCCCGAGTTAAATTGTTTGATGGACGAACTGCGCTACATTGGAGTACCACATTAGCCGAACCGAACCTTCAGAGAAATAATGGATAGAAGCAGGAAAAGAGGCCCAGAAGGCCACCGGTTATTTAAGCAGGCGACGGGTAGCAAGGTAGGTTAGTAGGGAAGAGCAGGCAACGAGGTAGCCCGGCTGCCTGGCTGGCCAGTTGGCGTTCGTAGAATGCCGTATCTCACTTGCCATTTAGTTTAGTTGGTTGCCCTTCTCGGCAGCCATTTGGATAGGCAACTATAGCTAAAACAGTTAGGGTAGTTAGCTTGTTCGCTGGGGTCATGGGCATGTATGATTTTTTTTTTTTTTTTTTTTTTTTTTTTTTTTTTTTTTTTTTTTTTTTTTTTTCTGGATATCCAATTTCCCGACAGGGTATGGCCTTGGACGGGTAGGAGGAGAGAGATGAAGCATCCCTGCCAGGAACTCAAGGGAGTATAAAATAACCTCTCAGGCCAGCAACTAGTTAGACTTGCAGTACCTTAGCTAGGTGACTGCTTCGTTAACACTACCGCATTATTTTGCCGCCTGGAGAAGAGGGAAAGTGACTAGAGGCTTGGTTTGGGGATTTGTTGCAGTTGGATTGAACAGACTCGTAATCAAGCGCTGGTCAAGGAAGAATCTATCAAGGAAGAGAGGAAATTGAGCAAGGAGAAAAGGGTGGCCAGGGCTGGAGGCGCTTCTGTCATAGCGGGTGGTCGTCGAAACGGGCGCCCTTGGCGGGACACAAGGGTGTCGTTATATGTGGCGGCTGCAGCAGATGTACATAACTAGCAGAAGTCACAGGAGGAGGTCTAGCTGAGCAAGTAGCAGGTAGCAGGTAGCAGGTTGGACGTATCCAGAGGCTTTTTAGGTTACTCCGTTGTATACTTGCACTCCATCAAGCATCTACACTAGGCACTTAAGGTAGATAGATGCCAAAGGGGGGTGGGCCATGGATCGTGGGATGCGACGGGATGGAGCCGTTAAATCCGCAGCCAGGGGTGAGGTGGTAAGTGAACCACCTGCTTCGTTCGCATGGTCTTTTGGATGTGGTGCAGCAGTTCTGCACGCAGTTTGACGCAAGGCCTGGCCCGGCCAGGCTTTTCTTCCCTGGGCTGAAGAAACAACAAGGTGAGAAGAAGGATGGTTGGTTGGTAGGAGACTAGTTAGGCAGGCAGATGGGGGTGGATGGCCTGGGTTTGATACGTTTGGGCTTGGTTTGAATGTTTCTTTTTTAAACTGGCCGCATCATTCGCTCGCTGGCTGTTCGTCCGATAGCCCTCGCTCTTATATTATTGTTCGAGTATTGCGTCTTTCGTCTTCTTTCCGGCTTTGCTTTTTCCTCAACTTGGCTCGCCGTTGACCAGGACGGGGCAATGGAGAAGGGGGGTCTGCGACGGGGCCGTTAGCTGGTGGCCGCTCGACGGCTTGGTGTCTGGTGGCCGCTGAGGGAGGGAGGACCGGGCTGATGAACCAGGGATGTGCCATGCCTCTTGGTTGTGAGCTGGCTTAGGGCAGCGAGCCAACTGGACAGGAAGAAGGGACAAGACCAGACAGGCCCATGGGAAGGTTGACTCTATCGGGGACTATCTCGCACTAGCTATGGATTGTCGTCACCATAAGCGGCAAAGGTGGCTTGCCCGGACACGAGATTTCAGATTCCATCTCCCTCTTCCTCCTGACGGTTCGTAACGAGGTGGAAGCTGGGAAGAAAAAGCAAGCCCTTGGTCGAGGAGTCTCCAGGTGACTGACTGACTGACTGACTGTTAGACAGACAAAGAAGAACGAGGCCAGAGTGATATAAGACGAAGAGGAGGCCGAAGGAAAAAGAAAGGAAAAGAGGGACCCGATATCAAAATCCAAACGATCATCCTCAGCATCATCCTTGACTTTCTGGCTCTCGTTCTCTCTCGTCTCTTCGCACATTATCCTTCTCTTCATCTCTCTTCTCTCTTGATCCCTGTTGTTAACTTCCTGTTCCCCACACCCTTTTTTTTTTTTTTTTTGAAGTCCACATTAGACCGAGAGCCTTGCATATCAGAACGCAAGTCTGTTATATATATTTATATATATTCAAACGCCCCGGGTGTTCGAAGCTGCTGCACCTTGCCTCTTTTCCCTTGCTGAGCTGCTGCTTGCTTTGTTGTCTTTGAAATAGTGTCTTTCTTTCTTTCGTCTCTCCGGCTGGAGTTGTAGCTCTCGTCGTCCATCATGGAATACCCGTACTTCTCGTCTGCTCCCCAGCAGGCGTATCCATATTACGGCCAGCAGCCGCCTCAAGACCCTTCACAGGACCAGTTTGGATCGTTGGTGCCAGGACCTGTATGCTTCCATTTTTTTTATTTTTTTCTTGTCCTTTTGTTCGCCGTCTGTGGTTTTTATATCGCAGCTTTCAAGGTTGTTCTTGTTCTGTGCAATGGGTAGTTACTGATATGCACAACTAGGATCAGCAACAGCAGCAATTCGGCCCTTCTTTCCAGCAATTCGAGCAATATCAGTTCAGCCATCCTCCTCTTCAGGGCCAGATTAACGGTATACCCTCGGCGCATTATCCGAGGCAGTCCGTTGAAGCAGTAACGAGCGGTCCATCGATACCCACCGCTCTGGGAAGAGAGATCAAGCAGGACTCCATCGATTCGAATGCCTTTCTACAGCCCATCCCCAATGAGAATGGGGAGGACGGCCAGCAAGATCGTGATCCCCGTAGCAGCAGTGAAGAAAAGGACAGCAATATGACTCCTGCCCAGAGTCGCCGGAAAGCCCAGAATCGAGCTGCGTATGTTCAGCCCGCCCACGATATAATATGTGTGAAACAGGTGAAGAGACGTTCGATATATACTCACATGATGACCAAATTATAGCCAGCGAGCCTTCCGTGAACGCAAAGAGAGACGAGTCCGCGACCTCGAGCAAGAATTGACAGAGTACAAGCAGAACTTCTCCAATCTGCTCGAAGACAACGAAGTACTCAAACGACAAATGGCGAAGGTAGCCACTGAAAACGAGATCCTCCGCGCAACTTCAAAAGTAGCCCACTGCCATTCTCCTGCCCATGAGCCCGAGCCCACGACTACGGGACCCATGATATATTCTCCCAAGGACTACAGCAGCACTGCCAGCACCGTCAGTGGAGGCAGCGGACTGTCCTCTGAACGTGAGAAGCACAGCAAACCAATCCACCCGATAAGAGTCTGTGAAATTACCGGCGAGAGACTGCTAGATGCGTCCGCTACCTGGGACTTGATAGTTAGCCACTTGTCGGATTCGGGCGCCAAACTGGACGTGCAGGACATATACGATCGGTTAAAAGGGCGTGCTCAGTGTGACGGCACAGGCCCAGTCATCGGAGAGTCACAGGTTATCAAAGCAATACAAGATAGTATTGCTGCTGGCAACGACGAGCTGATCTAGAGACCATTCTCTGATTCTGCTTCTTGTTCTTTTTTTCTTGTTTGATGGTGGGTTGGATTTAACGGGTGTTGCGGGACATGGGCATATCATAACAACATCGTCGTCGTCGTCTTCTTCTTCTTCTTCCTCTTCTTCTTAGATATCCCTTTTTATATCTTCTCCATTTGCTCTATTCTTCCACTTCCGGCTATTTTGACTCTTATGGTTGGCAAAATATGTTCTATCTCAGCCTATGCGCGTACTGATATCTACTTCGTTTGGCCCAAGGACGTCTCCTGGCCTGCTCTACTCCTCTGTCCGTTTTAATTGCCCCTTTGGCCATGCCAGTGCCCTCCCATCCGCCATGACATTCGGGCCTTCATCTTCTCTCCAGGGTTCTCCGCAGGACCCCTGGCTGAAGCCCAAATACCCTGTATCCTGGCTAGATGGCCGTAGTCACAGTCTGCCGCTCAGCCACAACATCGACAATGCGCAAGGACGTCCTCGGGATGCACTTACATACAACTGGGGACTATCAACGGTTGATTTCCAATAGTTGAAACATGGATGAGATGCGATGCTAGCTTTCCATGTGATCCGATCGAATGCACGCTATGACCTTGGAGACAAGGAACAGGTATGTAGTTGACAGTTATATCACGGTCAGGAATCATAATCGTCATTTGCCCCCGGAGCCATCACCCATGCTTGCACATTGGTGCAGGGAAGATTGGCCCTTTCAACCGTAAACTATCGATTTGAGAGACCGCACCCTTGCCCAGGCTCCATTTGAATCTTCTTTTACCTAACCAGAATCGTATATAATACACATACTCACAAAAGGCCAAGAGAGGGTAAGGGGAGGAGCATATTGCAAAAAAGCAGAAACATAGAGTCTCTTTCAATATCAATCCCAGTCGTCGTAATCATCCTCATCTTTCTCTGCCGGCTTCGGTGTACTAGATGCATTCTTCAACCGGCTATCATGTTCGTCCAACGCACCCAACTCAACAAGCACTTTTTCCACATCCTCGGCTCGAGTCCGTGTTCCGTTCAGTTCTCGTAGTGTGATGATCTGCTTCTTGATGTCCCCGTCCTTGTAGACGAGTATGGTAGGTGTGTTTCTTTCGGGGTACCCCTCAATGCACAGGTCAGCGCGCATCTCGCAGAATTTAATATCCCCGTACTTGGCGGCTAGTTGCCTCCATATATCGGTGAGTATCTGGGATTCTATATTGTTTCCCAGCGAGGAGGTAAGGTGCACTAGCACAAAGTATTTTGAAGATGCTTCGGTCACATCTTTGGCGTAGTCGGGTTTTTGAAGCGGGTAGACTTGGTTGTGGATGCTCGTCTGTTGTATTCGAGACAATTCCTGAAACCGCTTTTTCCTGCCAGCACATTCAGTAGGTGGACTATTTTTCCTATCTTTATAGGTATAATTTCTTTCCGTAGTTACCGGTATTGCTCTAGGAATTCCTCATCTTCTTCATCCTCCAGGGCATCGAGTTCGTCCAAAGTCTTGTTCTCTAACCGGTTCTCGTGCTCAAGCTGACGGGCCTTCTCGATTGCTTCTTCTATAATTGGAGTAGGAGATGGAGGCTTTTCTGGTATAATTCCATGTTTCCGAAGAATGTCGTTCCTGGCCTGATGTTAGTATTTCTGGATGGCGGATGCGGGACAGTCCCTGATCTAGAAAAAGCATAAGACTCTACCATTCTGTGTCAGCATTTGGGTCATCGATGGGTACATTCACGGGCATATCCATTTTGAAATCGTGTCAGATAAAAAAGACCAGATATATATATAGACACAAAATGCTCTTCTGGGAGGTGTTCTCTTCGCGATCCTTTTGATGCCTGAATTTGCGGCTTATCGCGAGCCACGCTAAGTGACATCAGAACGCTAGTGCCTGCTACCGCATGTGGAGTGTTTGTCTTGTTTGTCTCAGTTAACCTCCCCCCAATATCAAGCCTCCTTTCTCTCCCTGGCATATAAATATATAAATTTAAATAAAACTAGACATAGACATAATGGTTCTTACAGACGAAGAAGAGGATTTCACACTAATTTCATGTTTATCAGTAGCCGTAGGTGTGTATTGACATGTTCAACTCCCTATGGAAGCCAATCCTCCCCTCAATGTTATTCATCTTCGCTAAGAATTTGATAGAGCCTGTCCCAGGGTAATTGAGCTTTTACGGCCGCCAAATTCCGCAAGCTTCTCTACAATTCATTCGTATCAGTTTAGCAGAAAATCTATAAACAGGCGATTTTTGCCTCCTTTCGCCAGATCCATATCACGTGACTGGATGAATATCACGGGGCACCAATATAATGGTTGACATTGAGGGACATACTTCCTATATGACATAAGCAAAGCTGCTCCTGCCAAGGATCTAAGCGGTAACTATGAAGTTGAATCTAATGAGGTCACGCAAAAGATGAGTCAGCAAGCTCACATCAACGCCGCGAATCAACCAGGAAAGGGAAATTGTTAGTGCTGTGGACACCTGGTCTCGAGTATATCGTCTGTCCACGAAGACGCCCGTCGACCGCTCGCTCGACTTCCTCACACTCTTCGATCCCTATACCGTCGCCATGAGCTATATGAAGAAGGACGAGGACGCAGATCAAATGATGATGAAGTTGGACAGGACATCCGTTTTCCAGGATGGTGCGTCCGCCCTACCTTTGGCCCATGTTACCCTTTTTGGGGGGCGGATATAAAAGACGTCCCCCCAGTCTCCCTGTTGTATTGGCAGCGATTCAGCTAATCTCTCTTTTTTTTAAACAGCCCGATTATTCAATTCGTCCCCTATATCACCGCGAAGATGCCGGACTCTATTAACGAAGCTCGCTGTTCTCATGTTCACCGGCGAAAGATTCCCCACGGATGAAGCTACGACACTCTTCTTTGGAATCTCGAAGCTCTTCCAGAACAAAGACCCATCTCTACGACAGATGGTGTATTTGATGTTGAAGGAGCTCTCCAATACCGCACAGGACGTCATCATGTCAACTTCTATAATTATGAAAGACACTTCTGTGGGCAGTGATGTCCTATACCGAGCGAACGCTATCAGGGCCCTGTGTCGTATAATAGATGTACGCTCTCTATTCATATGCAGAAGAAAACGACCTTTGCTTATATTTGGTGTGATATACTTACCTCTTTTCCTTTATTTTAGGCCACCACTGTCCAAGGTATCGAGCGACTCATTAAGACGGCCATCGTGGATAAGACGCCCTCGGTTTCCTCCGCCGCTTTGGTTTCCGCATACCATCTTCTTCCAATTGCAAAAGATATCGTCCGGAGATGGCAGAGCGAAACCCAGGAAGCTGCTTCCTCCGGAAAGCAGTCTGGAGGCCTTCTCAGCTTTACATCGTCAACACAGCGCCATACAATGTCCCAGACCAGCTATATGACACAATACCATGCCATTGGTCTCCTCTGTCAGATGAGAGCTCACGACAGAATGGCAATGGTCAAGATGGTACAGCAGTACGGTTCCGGTGTCGTTAAGAGTCCCCCCGCAATCGTTCTCCTGGTGAGACTCGCCGCGAAATTAGCCGACGAGGATCAAAGTCTACGCAAACCCATGATGCAGATGCTGGAAAGCTGGCTTCGAGGAAAACATGAAATGGTTATTTTCGAAGCGGCCAAGGCAATTAGTGAGATGAAGGACGTAACCGATGCAGAGGCTGCCCAGGCTGTCAATGTCTTGCAACTTTATTTGTCCTCTCCCCGAACCACCAGCAAATTCGCTGCCATCCGTCTATTGCATACTTTCGCATCCTTTAAGCCACATGTCGTCAACGCCTGCAACCAAGATATCGAATCCTTGATCTCCAATTCCAACAGATCTATTGCCACATTCGCCATCACTACCCTTCTTAAGACCGGAAATGAAGCTAGTGTTGACCGCCTTATGAGCCAGATCTCTGGTTTCATGTCCGATATCACGGATGAATTCAAGATCACTATTGTGGAGGCAATCCGGACATTGTGTCTCAAATTCCCAAGCAAGCAAGCTGGAATGCTCTCTTTCATCAGTGGTATCCTTAGGGATGAGGGTGGCTATGAATTCAAGAAGAGCGTTGTTGAGAGCATGTTTGATCTTATCAAGTTCGTCCCAGGAAGTAAAGAAGAAGGTAAGACGTTTTCTATATGTTTCTCTTGTATGCCCATCTCGCTAACAGTTTATACAGCACTTTCCCATCTCTGCGAATTCATTGAAGACTGTGAGTTCACGAAATTGGCGGTTAGGATATTACATCTCCTCGGTGTCGAAGGCCCAAAGACACCCAACCCCACCAAATATATCCGGTATATCTATAACCGGGTTGTCCTTGAAAATTCAACTGTCCGGGCCGCCGCAGTTACTGCTCTAGCTAAGTTCGGCGTTGGTCAGAAAGACCCTGAACTACGACGAAGTGTTATCGTGCTCCTTAAGAGATGTTTGGATGATACCGATGATGAAGTTCGTGATCGTGCTGCCCTTAACCTCAGACTCATCGATGATAGTGAAATTGCTGAGCGATTTATTGCCAATGGTACGATGCCCAGTGCTATTCGAGAGGTTCAATACTGACTTACGCCCATAGATACCATGTACTCTTTATCTACATTTGAACACCAGCTTGTCATGTATGTCACTGCAACTGACAAAGAGACCTTCGCAACCGCATTTGATTTGTCAAAGATCCCGGTCGTATCCCAAGAACAAGCCCTAGCCGAAGAGAGAACCAAAAAACTTACTTCGGCTACACCAACTCTCAAAGCGCCAACTGCTGGCCCTTCGAAAGCAAAGCAAAATGGGGCCGCAGATGGAGCAGCTGCAGCTCAAGCAACGACTCAGAAATTTGCCGAGGAGCTTGCACAAATCCCAGAACTCAAGGAATATGGAACTCTTCTCAAATCCTCATCACCTGTCGAGCTTACCGAGCGGGAGACCGAATACGTTGTCACAGCCATCAAACATATCTTCAAAGACCATATTGTTGTACAGTATGACATTAAAAATACCCTTCCTGATACTGTACTTGAAGACGTGTCCGTTGTTGCAACTCCTTCAGAAGGAGATGAGTCACTTGAGGAGGACTTTATTGTCCCTGCTCCAAAATTGGTACCAAACGAGCCAGGCCTAGTATATGTTGCGTTCAAGAAGGCCGGCGGTGAACATGACTACCCCATCACATCATTCACAAACGTCTTGAAGTTCACTAGCAAGGAAATTGACCCCACTACTGGCGAGCCTGAAGAAACCGGCTATGAAGATGAATATCAAGTGGAGGATCTTGAGCTTACGGGCAGTGACTATGTTGTTCCAGCCTTTTCGGGCAACTTTGATCATCTATGGGAGCAGACTGGTGCCAATGGCGAGGAAGCTAGCGAAACCCTACAGCTATCCAACATGAAGGGTATATCAGGTAAGATTAAGTTGTTTTTTTATTCCATAACTATCGTACACTCTATTTGATTACTAATTTATGTTCAATCATAGATGCCACCGAGCAACTCATTGCTACACTATCCTTGCAGCCCTTGGAAGGCACGGATGTCGTTCTTAATAACTCCACACATTCACTCAAGTTATATGGAGAGACTGTATCTGGAGGCAAAGTCACCGGCCTGGTACGGTTGGCGTACTCCGCAAAGTCTGGCGTCACCACCAAGATAACGATCCGAGCGGAGGAGGAGGGTGTTGCTGCCGCAATCATAACTTCAGTTGCATAAAGCCAGCGGCCCTCCTCTTTTATATCCTTGTCTCATTCACGTTGGTGTTTAGATGGGTAATGACCTGTTTGGAATTTCCTTTCTCTCTTCCTGTTATCAAAAAGATGACCTAAGCGGTTTTCGATTCTTGTCGTTTATAATATGATCCATTACTCCATCAATAACGTTCTCCTTGTCTTTGAGTTCCAACAAATATATCTCTTCCTAGCCTTTTCTATTCGTTTCTCATTTCTTGTTGGGGTGGGATGTGTCGTTGGCTGCGTGTAGATGTTGCATTTTGATCGAAACTTAACGATTAAATCCTTCACCTCAAAGCTCAATTCCAGAGGGGATATCTCCGCAATTCTGCAATAAAGACGGCTAAAAATAGTAGACACCGGTCTGGATTCTACCATTTTCAAGCTTCTCTTTATCGTAATGTCCTGAGTTCCTGGCGTTCTCCATCAGAACCTTGTCCATCTCGAGTTCAAACCACTCAGACACATAGTCGATGCAAGATGCAGCGATGCCTAATAAGCGAACCCGTGGAAACGCAACTGCGCAAACCGTCTTAAGATCCCTTACCAACTCAACACGCAGCTTGTGTTCGAGTGGTAGAGGACTTATTTCCAGTATTTCCAGAGGAGCCAGCTCGGGAGACATGGTAATAATCCTCCTATAGAAACCGGGATCGCACCCGCAGCCTTGCAGGCTTAAAAACTTGAGCTTTTCCATCTGGAAACAAAGAGGAGCGATGATAGATACTTCGTCGGTTGGGCGACTGCTCAATATCCTAACGCGCTGAAGTCTTTGGCGGGCGCTGTCGGTGGATAGTGTTTGGAGGATAGTGTTGAATGGGTAATGGTTGGATTCTATGATGGTCACAGCGGTAACTGTTTCCGGCCATATGAAGTTTCCCAGGATAATGGAGTCATGTACCCTCCATAGCTGTAGCCGTTTCAATTTAGGCGGCCATTGATATAGGGGAGGAGACCTTTCACTATGAGGGTCATTTACTTTCGGCAATCCCTTGTGGGACATCTCTGGTGGGAACCGTAAGGTCTCCAGACGCTTTAAATTGCGTACAGCATGTGGTATACTCAGAAAGGGGATTATCGTCATTAAAACAGATAGATCAACTATCCTCAGGTTTAAGCATTTGCTCATGGGAGTTAAACTTATAGTCCTACTTCGATGATAAGTAGACGCACTTTGAAGATGTCCTATATTGAATGAGGAAATGTAGGAAAGATTATCATCTCTTTACACCAAGAGCATGGGGTCTTAAACGATTCATCCAAAACTAAGGATGAATGGCTGCGTTTACCGAGAGGTATAAAAATAAAGGATTACTCACGAAAAGGTAGACGCAGGCGCAACGAAGACCTCGAGCTCTTCTTTACAGGCTCGTAGCAGCCTTGCAGTGACACTCTTGCTACCGCTATGTGCAAGACCTCCTAAATCAAGATGCTTAACAAAGTTGCCCAGGGGTTCTTGTATGTTATGCCTGGCTTTGCCACGGACATCTAGTGTTCCAGCAAAGGAGTCGTAGTTTCTCGCAGAGATGACTGGTTTTGAGTAGAGAAACGGAATGGCGGCGGAATACCATTGCTGACAGACCAAGCAGCATGAAAACAGCGTCGACTGCCAGTTTTCATTCACCGTATCCTCGTCCGAGGCGAAGGAGAGGATGCTGATGACGATTTCAGTTGGGAGGAACGCCCCCTTGGTCTGGGGAGCCTTAGCCATCATAGCAAATATGGCTTCATGGGGCGTTCTATTAATATTTGGCCATGTTTGGTGCAAGGTTATGGCGGGAGTCCAGAGACAGCGGTCAACGAAAACCTCATTGCTTTTGCATTTTATCGATCTTCTTTTGCTTCTCAAAGTATTTTATCCCTTCGAAAAAGCAAAGTCGCTAACTGCAAGTCGATCTTGACGTTTTGAAACTTTGTCGGGCCGAGGCTTAGGTCACGTGGATAGACCCTGTCGCGCGGGAAGTGTTATTATTTCTGAAATGCTTAACCTCCAGCTTGCACAGAGACGAAGCTCGGCAGTTACGACGACGGGACAAGTGGTGTATCACGCTCAGGGGTGTTAGGTCGTGGGTGTGCACCGGTGATTGATGGGGAGAATAGAGATATAATTCACGTTCTTATGTGAAAATCACGATGCGGTTAAGACGGATTCCTTTCCCCGTGGGCTTTTCTGGGGTTCCCCGGCCTCACCTGGTCACTCGTTCACTTGCAGCCTCATACAGTCAACGGGGTTTCAAGACATCTACAACCGCTCCTTTGGAAGTTCCCAACTTTGCATTTGCTTTTGAGTGAGATTTATTCCAATTTAGACGTCACTTCTGAGCCCAAGGCCTAATACAAGCTGTCAGTATAGATGGTGTCCTACTTCGAGCCTCCAGACCCCTCCCTGGCGCTTCACAGTCTCTATCTCTTCTACAAAAACAACGAATACCTTTCATATTGCTCACAAACGGAGGTGGCATGTCAGAACAGGAAAGAATCGCTCAGTTGAGTGATGGACTAGAGATACCGCTGGACCCAGAATTGATCATTCAAAGTCACACACCATACACACAGCTCGTGAGAGGAAAACATGATCAGGAACCGCTGGAAAATAAGACTGTTTTAGTGGTCGGTGGAGACGGTGATAAGTGCCGGGATGTTGCCAAACAGTATGGTTATCACCATGCAAACCCCTCCGGATTCACCTCTTGCTAACATTGCATAGGTATGGGTTCAAGTCCATGCTAACCCCTGGTGACATATTTATGGCCCATCCATCCATTTGGCCATTCTCTTCGGCCTTTTCAAATTATTATGAAGGGATCACGAAACCTCTCACCAACTCAATAGATCCGATTGATCCTTCCAAGGGCCTTAAGATCGATGCAATCCTCGTTTTCAATGACCCACGAGACTGGGCGCTTGATATCCAGATCATTATCGATCTTTTACTCTCACGAGACGGTATTGTCGGGACAATATCGGACAAGAACAATAGGGATGATCTTCCCAATCGTGGTTATCAGCAAGACGGCCAACCGGCCCTATATTTCTCCAATCCTGACCTACTCTGGGCAGCTGGTTACCATCAACCCCGTCTCGGCCAGGGAGGCTTTTGTGCAGCCCTTGAAGGTGTTTGGTCCGCAATGACGGGCGGGTCTGAGTCCGGTGTGGCACTGCTGAAGACTACGATTGGGAAACCACATAAGTTGACTTACGATTTTGCCGAGCAAAGGTTAATAGAACTAAGGAATAAGCGGTTTCAAACGGATGTTCCAGCACCCTTAGAGACGATCTATATGATTGGTGACAATCCAGAATCTGATATCAGGGGCGCCCATTCATACATCAGCTCTACTGATGTGAATTGGGTCCCCGTGCTGGTAAAGAGTGGAGTTTACACAGGTGGAACGCCTGCCTGGACTCCCAAGACCATAGTTGATGGGGTTGGAGAAGCTGTCAGTTGGTCTCTAGCTCAGTCGAATTGGAAGAAACATCTCTCGGATATATAAGGACAGGAACCTTCTGTTTTGATTGATACAAATAGAACATAGATTTTAGGGAAACAGAGATATTCATTACAATATAGGATGTTTGCTTACTATCATAAAGTTGTGAAGATGCTGCACGGCGTTTTCCTGAGTAGTGCCGAAGCTGAATAAGCGACAATTCGGGGCTTATCCATGCGCCCAACCAATCACAACTATTAAATACATAAAATACAGGGCTCTCTGTACTGAAATAAGCTTCAAGGGTGGGATGACTCATCACGTGCCTTTTTTCTATCTCGCGGGGGTGAAAGTGACGATGGAATATTTTGCGATTTGAACACGGTTATCGCTCCAGCTTCCTGTTAGCATTCTTGCATTCGGTCATCTGCTAGAGGATAAGTCCATTCGGATATCCGTCTATATTTAATCAATTCCCGACACACCACAGTTGAGCGATGGATAAGCCTACCGAATCTACTCTACCCCTCCACACCCAGGAGGAGGGAGATAACCAACCCGACGCTGAGAAGCCTGCAGCGCAGGCAGAGGGAGAAGCAGCAGGACCCAGCAAGAATGCATTAAAGAAGGCTGCAAAGGAGAAGGCAAAGGCGGAAAAGGCAGCTCAACGAGCAGCCCAACAGCAAGCAGCCGCACAAGCCAGCCAGGCCGAGGACACGGCGAAGCATCTATACGGGAAGATGCCGAATTCCGCGGAGGTTGAGGACGTCATGAACCTCATGAAGCTGTCAGATGAACATTATGAGAAGGAAATCACTGTTATTGCGCGTGTGGACAATGCTCGCGTGCAGAGTGCCAAACTAGCATTTCTCATGCTCAGGCAGCAAGGAAAAAAGATTCAGGCTGTGATAGCGCTCAAGGAGCCATTGTCCAAACAGATGATCAAGTGGACCGGTCAATTGAATGTCAACTCCATCGTTCAGGTGTCTGGTGTGGTCAAGAAGCCTGAAATTCCCGTTCATTCCGCTTCGCTGCCAAATATGGAACTTCACATCACCAAAATATACATGATATCGGAAGCAATCCCAATGCTTCCCATGCAAGTCAAGGATGCTGAAAGACCTCCGCCAGAGTCCACTGAAGAAGGACTAGTTGACACTGATGGGACTCCTATCGTCACTTTGAAAACCCGTCTTGACAACCGAATTCTCGATCTCCAAACCGAAACAAGCCAGGCTATAATGGCCATTTCTAGCGGTGTTGCACAGTTGTTTTCGGAGTATATGTTGAAGAGTGGGTCAAGATGGATTTTCACATCTAAGATCACCGGAGCAGCCACCGAGGGAGGCAGTGGTGTTTTTGAGATTTCTTACTTCAAGCGCAAGGCGTATCTCTCTCAGAGTCCTCAGTTGGGGAAGCAGATGTGTATTGCTGGTGATATGATGAGTGTGTTCGAGATAGGACCCGTCTTCCGAGCTGAAGACAGTAACACTCATCGTCATTTGACTGAGGTAAGGCAGAACTTGCTCAGCTAGATTATTCTTCCCTCCCAAACTAACAGCAAATCTTAGTTCATTGGTCTCGATTTTGAAAGGACATTCCAAAAACATTATCACGAAGTTTTGGATTTCGCTGAAAATCTCCTTGTTTTCATCTTGTCCGAGCTCAAGGTCCGGTTCAAGGACGAGATTGCTGTTGTCCAAAAGTCTTACCCCAAGGCCGGAGAGTTCAAGCTTCCAAAGGATGGAAAAGCCCTTAGACTTAAGTATATGGAGGCTTTGGGTTTCCTGAAGGAAGCGGGCGTGGATGTCTCTGAACAGGAGCGGTTCGAGAATGATTTCACCACAGCCATGGAGAAGCAACTCGGAAGAATCATCCGTGAAAAGTACGATACCGACTTCTACGTCGTAGACAAATTCCCAAGTGCTGTCCGTCCTTTCTACACCAAGTCCTGCCCTGACGATCCCACCTTCTCGAACTCTTATGACTTTTTCATGCGAGGAGAGGAAATCATGTCAGGAGCTCAGCGAATCAATGACGCGAAGGAATTGGAAGAAGCCATGGTGGCAAGAGGAGTTGAGCCCAATCAAGAAGGATTTGAGGACTATATCAACGCCTTCCGACAGGGCTGTGCTCCCCACGCTGGCGGTGGATTGGGATTGAATCGTATTGTCCAATTTTTCCTAGGTCTGCCTAACATTCGTTTGGCAACCTTGTTCCCCAGAGATCCCCAGAGATTGCGACCTTAGACGTAGCATAGATTTGGCTACTGTGCTCATGGGTATACTGTTTATCAATATTATGAAGAATGACATAGAAAAAAGTCAAAAATATGTTGATACTGTAGCTTATTATAAGATTTATGCGGCTCTTACTGGCGTCCGAAGCGTTTTAACTAACTAGTCGAGTCTTTTTAGCTAGCTTTTCCAGTACCAAAACATCTTTTCGTTTGCGCGCCTCTCCGTCTACCACCAACCGACATAAACTCACCATGAATTAAACAAGGACAATGGTGAGTTGGACAAAACCAAGTTACTACCCGAGACATGGCTGAGAAACGCAAACTGTCTCCTTCAGATGGCTCGCCGTCTACAAAACGAATACGGCCAGCTATCACCATAGAAGACAACACTAGCGAGGACGAGTCACCTTCAAGGCCGCAATACCAGCAGCCACGGAGTGACCCTGTGTTCGGCCAAAGGCACGCATTTCCGGGTTTAGACGATGTCTCACAGGATGGAGAGCTCTTCTATGGCCCGGCAGATGATGGCATTGAGTATCTGCGGATGGTCAGGTTAGTGACTCTTTTTCCATATCAAGAGCTTCATTTCCATTAATTCCGTCCAAAGCTCTGTATACCTTTCTTATATTCCCTTTCATGCCTAGCGAAGGTGAGAATACGGGCTCTTTTGGCTGGCGGCTTTCAGCTAACCTCTTTTTCCTGTTATTCTAGATCTGAAGCCAGGAACCTTCCTGTGTTCTTCGTTGCAAAGGGGAAACTTGATCCCCAGATAAAGAAGGACAGTCGCCATCCGACAAGTGCAGACGCATCCTCTATCGGAACGCCTCAGGAAACGGAGCAAACATGGATATATTCGGATGGCGTCTGTGCAGCTGTATCAAATACAGTCCCGGAAAATCAGCTCGAAGCCGGTAATTCAGAACCCGAAGACCCTCAGGAACAATACTATAATCTCCTCCGACATCGATTTCTTCTCCTACGCTCTACCCTAAAATGCGTTCCTCCAGCCAAACTCATCGCCGCTCTTGATAACTCACACCCTATATCTTTGCCAGCGGATAACCCTCGGGCTAGAACAGAATGGACGACACTTGTCAAAACTGTGGAGCCTCAAATGGTGCAGCTAGCTTGTATGGATCTTGACAGCGTTTTACGGGTTTTACGAATTGTGACGAGGTCTCTGTCTGAGGCTGCTAAAAGCCCAAGTTGCTCGTGGACCACGAGAATAGCTGCATGGGCATGGGGACTTCTTGGACGATGTAGAGACGTGGGTGAAATGAGCAGTGAAGAAGTTGGTGAGCTGAGAGACCTGGGAAAGCGAGCGGGAAAGATATTAAGTAAAATCCGTGAGAAGGAATCCCAGGCTATGCTCTCGAGTGGAGTAGAGGGTAATAGTATAGCTGACAGGCAGAACTCGGACTGGGATGATGGAGATGAAGCAGAAGATATGCAAGAAGAGACTGGAGAAGACAACACTGTCCAAGAACCAAAGGATGGTTCCTTCAGAGACGAGACCAAGGATATGTCTGCTGGCGCTGAGGATGAATCTGAGGCTCTAGAGCTTGCTAAGAAAAGGCTACAAGGAATGCTTTCCGGTAGCTATGCAGAGGTTCCTGAGTCGGAACAAGCTGCTCCTTCAACTGCCAACGATTTGGATAGCAACAAGGGACATCAGTTGCTCAAAAGCGAGTGGAAATACAACGCCCGCGCAATGCTTGATATGATATTGACCATTGTTGGAGAGTTCTATGGCCAGAGGGACCTCCTTGAGTTACGTGATATCTGGGATGAGGTCGAGGGTTGATAATAGAGCTTAGTATTCACCCCGGGGCTGAACTATCTATATCCTATCCAGCCTTACCTTTTGTTATGATAATAGGCGGCAATAGCTAGCATCTCGTCTGACACACAGGCTTATAAACATGTAGACGTTGCCATAGAGAATACTTCAGAAATAGGCGTGTGATCGTATCACTCCCTTCCTGCTCTTTGCTTTCCCTTCCAGATCTTCTTGGTATAGATGGATCTATAAAATCACTCACCGTGTCACGTGCACTTGTTTTGGACGTCATAAGTTCGTTTGAGCCGAGAGACCCAACAACTCACAACTGCATAGACAGTGTGCTGTCCAGAGCTTAATACTGTATTATCTAGCGCTCAAGACGAGCTTGGATTGAGTGTTGACTGCAATACCCAGCTTTTTCGCATAATATAGGCAGATTTACCATGGCTTCGAGCCCTGAAATCTCCATTCCTTCCACGAGCATTTCCTCTACAGCGAAACCTTACACTATATACAACATTTCAATCCGTTTACCTCTCCGATCACAGACAGTCGAAAAGCGATACTCTGACTTTCTCAAGCTTCATGAGTCACTTATCAGCCAGGTCGAGAAACCCCCACCAGCACCGTTGCCTAAAAAATCCTGGTTTTCAGGCACCACATCGAACGCGACGTTTCGGGAGGAACGCCGCAAGGGTTTAGAAGAATACATACGGGCTATCAACGGTTCTGAAGACTCTCGGTGGCGCAACTCTACAGTCTGGCGGTCATTTTTGAATCTGCCTCCCAATAATGCGTCCGCACGAGCTTCCAACTTACACTTGGCCATCGCTGGGCCTGGGGCAGCAGGAGCACCGATTACTGACCCCACGACCTGGCTAGACTGCCATCGAGATGTTAAGACACATTTACATGATGCAAGGCTACACTTGACTCGACGCGATCAATCTTCAACTCCCCAGAAACAACATGAATGCTCCGCATCCGCCAAGGGCAGCCTTGTGAGAACTGGTACTTTACTGGGGGCCTTGGAAGAAGGGTTGAAGAATATATCCGGGAATTCTGCCTGGAGCGGCTCAAAACTTGGAGAAGGAGAAATTCGCCGACGTAAAGACCTGCTTACCAGCGCTAGAAAAGAAAAAGATGCGCTAGAGGACCTACTAAACTCTATGGCTGCCAAGAACAAACTGGACTCAGCTGTGGCTTCCATTCCAGATAAACAGGCCCTTTTGGGTATAGATGCAGCTACAGGGAGTAGAAAATCTGCAGTTAAGGGTGGACGGATCCTGGGGAAAGAGACTAACCGCACGCGGGAGCTGGATAACGAAGGTGTCCTACAACTGCAAAAACAAATCATAGGTGAACAGGATACTGGTGTTGAAGAAATAAGGAAGATAATTGCACGACAAAAGGAACTTGGAATTGCCATCAATAATGAACTTGAGCTCCAGCTTGAGCTTCTGAACGTTGTTGATGAAGACGCTGGAAAGTTAGTATTGCCCTTGGTCAACTTGCTTTTTCCTGGTACTGCACATTCCTTGATACTAACAGGCTTCTATTTAGGCTCAAGAGTAAAATCGATATTGCACAGAAGAGAGCGAAGAAAATATCTTAATCAGCTTCCTCTGGTTAATTTTCAGTTACTTTAGTTATGTGTTTTTTATTATAATACCCTACTTCCAGGCTGTTCCTATTGAGCATTGGGATTCGTTATATTTGAAGCAAGCGTTTCGTTGTGATATAGAATGAAGCTAGTTGACTTTAGTTGACTTTGCCAAATGCCTGCCCATCTACATAGAGCCTACATACCCACCAGCAGCTAGATATACAGTATCTTTCTGCTATTTTGACTTTGATGACAAGAACTATTTGAGAGCATACGTTAGTTTGTAATAGGAAATATGCGGGTGGGATTGGATGTATGCACACCTCCTTCGCTTCTTGTTCTGTAACCTTCGATATCTCTACCAGCTTGTCATCGATGAGTCCAATCCTTTTCTTCCGAATAAGCCACCAAAGCTCTCTCCTATCTTCGCCTAATTCATCATCCAGCAACTTCCGTTTTAATTCGCGAACGAAATCGTTATATAAATCTGGTTCTTCGAAGGAAATCAGTTCATCTCTCATGGTTCCTATGTATTCAACGACTCTATCATAGTTGGCATCGCCCAGGCTGTGCTTGATTTGGTTCTCAATAATCGCGCACATCTGTTTCACAGCCTCCTTGACGGTATTGATATCATCCGTGTTCGCAAGTGCTTGTTTGAATTCGGGTATTGCATTCTCTGGGGAAATTCTTTGGCGCTTTTCGCCTTGTAGAAGGGCATCCACGTCCAGTCCAGAGAGTGGCTTATCGGTGATCCTATTTCTCTTGCGGCCTTTCACCTTTGGTGGAACTATGATGGCTGTTAGCAGGAAGACATAGTGAGAAGGGGGTGGGATTAGATCCCCTCATCCTACTCTTGGGATGTTGGGGGTTTAACTTGCCTTTCTTAACGTCAGATGTTTTGATTAATTGCTCCAATGCTGACTTGCTTTGTTCCATCAACTCGTCAGGTTGACGGGACTGTTTCTGGAGAACTTTCGGGATTGGTGGAAGTGGCTTAGTAGGATGGATAGCACGCCACCGAATAGCCTGGTCAACCCTGTGTAAAAGCGGGGAATAACAATCCTGAAGAGCAAACGACTCAACTTGACCACTGCTCAGATTTTAGTAATTGCCTTTCTCTCAGGGGTCCATTGATTCGGTGTTTCCTTACCCTTCTTCTCCAAGCTGGACAAGCTCCATGTTTTCCACATATTTTTCCATAGCCGCTAAAAGATTTTCGTTTGGCAGGTTTCGATGCTCCTTGACAACTTTTCCAGACATGGTAGTTACCCTATCCAGGGGTGGGAAACGATAACAGCGGACATCTTCTGCAAACGGCAACTGGACCTCAAGCAAACACTCATAGTCCGGGTCAATTGAAGGAGCTAACAGAACTAAGGTAGGAGATTTGCCATCTTTAGTAACTAGCCGCCCCACGGCATAGCTTTCGACTTCGTGAAGAGCATGTATAATGGAGGAAAGAGCGATGATAGCTTTGTTATTGGTCCTCTGGGCGATAATAACATTAGAATTCGACATGTTCATGTATCGGTCGTACTGTTGGAACATAGTCAGTCAAAGGCACTTATTATATTATCAAGGTAGATCTGGGGATAGAACAGACATGTTCAATTGGGATGAATCCAACTATCTCTAAGGCAGCCTTTGTTTCAAGCTTCGTTATATTTTCGTCTGATTCAGTGATATGCACCGCCGTCCGGCCATACTCGTATCCCTTTGCAAGGGCATCACGCTCCACGTCTCTCTTGCCGCCTACTACTCCACTATCAGCGACTTGATAAGATCGCGCATTTCTGACACTTGTTAGTTCGTTTGAGGTGCTCTTTCTAGTGTCAGTTCTCGCGTTCTTCAAATTTGCTGAAGAATCTCCAGTTTCCTGAATTTCCGGGGGTGCACCGGATAGTACGAATGAACTAGCAGGTGGTGGTCGGGCCGCATACGTTCGAAAGTACCTTTCCACCTGGATTGTTAGTGCAGAGTCATACTTGTCCGGGTCCCCGAGTTTGAAATCTCCTTTGAAACTGGGTATACCTCGCACAACCTTAACACGTGGGGTATCAAGCTCGGATATCGCTTGTTCCAAGGTACCATAGACACCATCACAGACATCACATAGTCCTTGAAGTGAAGACTCATTCTCGACCTGGAAGCATCAGTAGGGAAGAAGGATAAGGTATTGTGAGAAAATTACCTTAGCTGCATCCTTGTCTTCTTCTTTAACGCCGAATTCAAGGTCATCAAAGTCCACCCCGCTAGATAAGATTAGATATAAAATGCAGCTGAATTAATAGTGGGATTTGCGTACAGAATAACAAGTTCAATGCCTTCTTCTCTTATCTTTTCTGCAATAGTATCCATGCCATCGAGGTCCATAGGCCCCTTTCCGTTGGTAACAAGGACAATTTGTCTCTTGTATCTAAGTTTCTTGCAATATTTGGCTATCATGTCAATTGCCAATATAATCGAAGAAATTGCTGAAACGTCGTTCGAGTTAGCAAATCTTATGTGACAGGAAAGGGATGGACATGTATCTCATACCATCGCCGTTATCTGTATTGCTGGGTTTTATCAAGCTTTGAAGCTCCCTAAGATCAGGCATGCGTGCTCTATGAAAATTATTAGACCCATCTAACCCTCTAGGCTTAACGAAGACGTACTGGCCAATTTCCTTGAAAATTGAAATATTTTTGTATGAATTATCTTTGGATTTGGTCCACATGTCACTCGAGGTACCTTTTTGAGTTAGAGCTCGGCCAGAACGAAGGAAGCGAAGTACTCTACCATCTGTTCTCAGGCCGACAACACCAATTGTTGCCGTTTTTCTACCCGTAGCGATCTGCATATAGGCATTTAGCATTTATCTGGGGAGAGACGCGTTGTCAATTCCCATACCGTAGTGGTAATCCTGTCCCAAACATAAAGCATTGCCCAGTCAAGATCTGAGTATACTCTCCCATTGTTCATCTCCCCCATGGACCTCCCGACGTCCACAATGTAAACAGTGGCTTCCTTGTCCGCCATATTAATGAAATCGGGTCAAACAGCCACAATATCTAACAGCTCAGGACTCCTGTCCTTTTCAAAGCTGGCGGTGTTAGACAAGTTCAACAAGTTCATACAACAGGCTCCTTCGACGTTAACAACGGCTTAGTAAGCTAGGCAGACGCGTAGGACAAACGCGCCAAGCATCAATCAAGTACCAGACAAACACGAAATCACGTGAAATATCTTTCCTTGGCTAAACGTCATAGTTTCTGCAATCGCCAACTTTCCGAGACCAGCTACAAACAACAACTCTTCATTTCAATTCTGTCAGTGCTAAGAAACCCAAGATTAGGCAGAGGAATAGAGACTAATACAATGCCTGAACGATCTTCTATGCTGGCTCCGGCCCATATTCTGAGGTGTGCATGGCGATAATCCATACTTCCAATATCTAGTGGATCTAGACTGATCTGAAGTGCAGCTATGGCTCCTTGCTAGGATTTCAGTCCTACCAGGTAGGAACTCTCCGTCCATTATATATGCTGTTGTGCTAACCCAAGCTGTAGACGTTTGTTAGTGGCATAATTGCGTTTAGAACGCTTCCCAGACCGCAGTTCTCGACTCTCCAGTCGTCTATTTTCCCGGTTTATTTTGGTTTGCAGACTGCAGTGCCACTCGTGCTTGCTTTGACCTACCCGGGTGAAAAAGTCGCTGGACGCTTCGGAACTTCGGGTCTTTCGGGAGTATTTTCTGAGAGCAACCGATGGAACACCCTTGTTCCCATTATGACCACATTTTTGAGCGGGATCACCAACTTGCTGGTTATCCAGCCAGCAACCGCAAAAGTAATGCGCCAAAGAAAAGAGCAAGGTTGGTATCCGGTTATAAACTCTTCTCTTTAATGACCTAAAATAGCTGCTAAATGGTTGATTAGAGTCCATCGACGGAAAGAAATACACAGACGCTGGCCCCCACTCGAAGGAGATGATGAAACTAAACAAATCATTTGGGAAGCTTCACCAACTCTCTGCTGTGGTTAACCTGGCAGCACTAGCTGCCACAATCTATTACGGTGTAGTTCTTGCCGAGCGCGTCAACTAGAACCTTAAGGAGGGCATCACTACTTCCGTTTTATACGCTCCGACTTGCTATGCCTAGCTTGTTACTTCTTATATGATTTCATGTACTACTAAAACATCCGGCATTGCATGGTATGTAGCTGGATCTTACACCAAAAAAGGATATTCTGGATTTCTTTATGAGTTAGTTTGCTGCATACACCTATTCAAAATTTGGGGATATCTATTCGTAGTGATAACTCATATCTTCCAAGTACTAAGACCTAAAAGTAGGAGGCACGGATTTTTTTCTCTCATAGTTGTAAGTATATAGTTAAATGAGCTGCTTTGGGCCATAGGCGAAGGATACGTGTTTGTTTTGTTACTAAGTTAGGTAACTAAGCATTTAGTCAGTCCTCCGTACGTACTAAGCTTGATTGGTTGGTTAGTTAATCAGTAACTAGCTAAAAGTTTCGAATCTTTGCTATAAAAGTTTCAGTCTTTCTCAGTATCAACAATTAATATATGCAAACAAGTACAAGCAATTCATTATCCAGCGTTGTCCTTAGTACTTTATTATCATTTCATTAACCAGAATAACCCTGAATGGCACTGCTTCTTGGCAACACCAATTTCCAACCCCACAGACAAAGGCGAAATGGATCTTGTGAACAACCTCAATGCAGAATCCTAGATATAAAAGCTGAAAATTATTGCTGTGCTTGCGGAGACATTTCAATCATCTTACAATGGCTTGCTTGGCTTTGATATCCTTGATGATCCATCATTGTTTGCCGAACAAAGGCCGAAAGTTATGTCCTCTGCGGGCCTTAGGACCCCTAGATCAATTAGTTGGGATTCATTCCTGTCCTTCACTGGATTTTCTTTAATACCCTGGAATGCTTTTCTGCTCACGAAGGTATTCATTCCTGCATGGAAGCAGGCGGAATACAAAAGACATCGTTAATGCATAATATACTTTTGATTGCCTTCATGGCTCATTAAATTATCTATTTTCCTCTTTTTTATTAGTGGAAGCTTTATACCATCTCTTCTTTAAGCTGTGTGATAACACTCTCCTTGCTCAGAGGGAATCTAATGAACTTCTTGTACTGTTGGGGATCTCCAGTGGTATAAGTTCCCCTGGCCTTCCTCACTTTACTTTTCCTCTACTAATACAGGCCACTCAAATACACATTCTCCTACAGCAAAACTATCGATTCTAATCAGCTTAAAAATAGATTAGTACCTGTAGGTTTTCAGGCCTACACATAGCCACGAAAATATTATACTTCCATAGATCGTCGACTTGCGGTTCAACAGAGGCCGGGCCTCAGTGATGGAGCCTACTATCGTCTTTGGGTTATTTACCCTGTTCACTATATACGGCCTTTGGTATCCCATCCCGTTAACAACGATTAACCCACATTTTCCATTGCCTGCTAGAATTGCTGGAACTATTCAGTTAACAGCGACGACAAATTCCGCAGTCTCTATGTTTCGAAATGTCATGTGGCCAGATTCGAATCCACGCCCCCCCTCAAATGAATCTCTGCTGAACAACATCACCCCTTCAATCAACGACCAGCTGCAAGAGTTTTTTGATAAATGGGACTACAAACTCGAGAAACACATCACAGAAAATGCAGAACGTCCGATTTCTACAGTCACATCATATTCTACTCCGACACCCACGCTGCAAGCTATGGTGACGAATATCATAGAGCCACAGTCATACCCAGCTTCTCTGGATTATAACAGTTGGGTTGGGTACACATTCTATCAGTTCGCAGAGAAAGAAGTGACGCGCAATCCTAATATGTATACCTTGGCTGCTATTTTCATACTGGTAAACTATTGGCTTGTGCGATCTGCGCGACAGCCTGAAGTCCGTGAGGAGCTCGAAGCAGCGAAGGAGGTGCCTATCGATAAGATAAAGGAATTGCGTGATGAACTTATTGCTCACAATGCTCGATTACATTTGGTCGAAGTCAAGGTCGAGGGTCTTGCTTTGGCTGATGATCAGCGCCGGTTTTCGAGGACTGCTTCTAGGCAGATTCCACAGGTGGGCGAGTCTAAGCAGGCCTCAGCGAAAGCCCAGACATTACCAGGCACATTACCAGCCAGCCAGCCAGGAAAGCCTGAATTTGATTCTCTTCAGGAGCAACTAACTGAAATGAGACAAGATCTTGTTTCTTTGAAAAGCAACTCGGAAACACGCGCAGAACAACTTTCGGAAAACATTGCTTCTGTTATGAGCACAATCAAAGAGTTACAAAAGGAATCCGAGTCTACTTCGCGGACTAGAATAGTGAACGACGCGGCCTTAGTCAAAAAGGGCGTATTCGAAGACCTTAAATCAGAACTGACGCCACTTAGTGACCGGATATCTGACATTGAGGCCTACACTTCTTCATCACGAGGGGAATTGGGAAGATTTACTAGCCAGATATCGCAAATCATGGACAGTATAAACTTGCTAAGAAGGGAATTCGAAAAGGTCAAGCGCAAACTTCCGGCTGATTTAGCGTCAATAAAGACCGAAATGTCTAGAGAACACAAGTTAGAGTTTGATGCTGTTGAAAAGCAGATAATCGAACTGAGGCGAGCAGCTTGTTTATCAAGAGATGAACTGGATGATCACCTTTCACAGCGGGTATCTTCGATAATGGGCATAATCAACGAAGCGAAAGAAGATTCCGCAAGTGATGCTCCTATCGACCCCATCAAAAAGGAAATGGCTAGCCTTAAGTCTTCCTTGAAGGCCGTTGAGCATGCAGTGAAAGAAATAGGAGACGAAACAAAGAGCCAAGATGTACACCATCTACGAGTTTCTCTAGAGGCTTTACAGGCAGAAAGTGCCAGGTCGTTGCAAGAATTATCCAACCGGTTGGATATTGTGATGCAAGACATGCAAGTGGAATCATGGAGAGTTAAACACCAGCAGTTTGACCAATGGATTGCCATGGTTGAAAGTAAGCTTCAGGGTTTGGAACATAGTACGCTAACTGAAAGCAATCTACTCCCTGTTCTATCACAAGTGGAGACGTTGAATACCAAAGTTGATCTGAATGATTCTTTGCTCAAAAGGGTTGAAGATGAATGTGCCACGAAGTTCGAGCAGAAGACTCTTCATGCAGATGTTAAACATCTCGAAGGACGAGTGAATCAGTTAGAATCTATTCCTCAGAAAGATCCGCCAAGTACCATAAAGGAGGAGCATACTATTAAACTGAGGGATTTGAGCAAAAGTTGTGTGGATCTCAGGTCAGAAATCGGTGAAATCAAAGATACCCTCACTACATTAATATCAGATGAGGTTCCCAAATATCGCTCGAAAACCTTCGATAAGCTTACCGAATCTGTTCGACTAAGTACATCCCAAATTGAAAGAGATATAGAGGCTCGTTATGCTCGTAAGGAGGATGTACTCAAGTGTTTAACTGCTCTTCAACTAGATGGAAAAAGGCCTATTGACCTGCAGCGCTTGAAGAAGGATCTTTCTGAGATTGAAAATTACGCATACGCCACTCAAAATAACTTGAATCTAGCAGTCGAAAGAATAACCGACAATGAGCAGCATATTGAAACTTTACGTGAGGGTAACGCTACCAACTACAAAGATATTCGCCGGTGTCTAGACAAGCTAGGGATATCTGGGACCATCGTGCCTCTCAGTGCGCCTATTAACCCGAAACCAGTCCCCGGAGAATCGAAGCCACCTGTCCACATTGACTTGTCTGTGGGGAAAAAGTCTATCTCACAGGTCTCGTCCAATTCACAAGATCGAGGTGATAAAAACATTAGTCGGTTTGACCCAAGGTACAAGGGTGACGACAAGCCTGTTGGTTCTGATATCGAGTCTAACCTGTCCAAACGTTCTGAATCCTTGAAAAAAATAAATCAAGACAAGAAGAATATTAGTCGGTATGACCCAAGATACCAGGGCAGTGACAAGTTCAGAAAATCTTATCCCGATCCAGGGTCTTCAGAAGCACCCAAAGCAAAAGGAAAGCCGAATCCCAAAGCGGACTCATTCGAGGAGCGCCCAAAGAGTAGTAGGGACAGGAGTCCAGCGTCAAGAGCCAGCGTTGCCCAGTCAGAGTCTGCAGGAAAGGAAAAGACTGAAGTCAAAATGACGATAGCAAAAGAGAGGCCTGAAGAGGGTGAAGACGCTATAAAATCTCTGGTCGAAATCACATCGCGCCAGGAGCAGCCATCAGAGAGAGAGGAAAAAGATGTAGACTGCATGTCTGTCTCAGACGATAATGGCGACGATGCTCCTGATCCTTCTTCTGAACCAGTTTCCAGCAAATCCCCGGAGGTTGCAGCTACAACCGAGTCTGAAGATAAAATGGAAATGTGATTCTATCTGTATATGGAATAGGAGAACAAGTTCCGAATCAACAACACCAATTTCTCTTCTCCCTTCCAGTGACAGTCGTATGATAGTTATATCACTGCCTACTTCTTCATTAGCAGGTAGATGCTAGACACCACCTTATGTCCCGTAACCTCTACAGTAGTCAGTTATACGTGCATTCTATGCACAGCAGTTAACTCCAGTGGCTTTTCTCTTCATGTAAACTAGGCTTGCGTAGCCTATTTTTGAAGGGCTCTGAAGTGCATAGAAATATGATGGAATGTTAACTAGTTTTCAGAATCAAACACATACTTCCTACATGCCACCTTAAGCAATTCAATGCGCCGTTGCGTGTGGGTGAATACTTCGCTGTACATATCAACATTCTGTCTCACTACCTCCGCTTTCGTCTTGGTCCCAGAACATATATCTCCCATTCGCAGTTCCATTTCTTTTCGAAGGAATGGCTTCGTGAGGCTAGGACAATCAGGCAAGCCAGCAACCACATTGTCATATCCTTCAACAAGAGCAACCCCAAGCTTCGTAGGGATAAATTCATCTACCCTTCCACCAGATCCTCTGCCACCACCGCGAGGCCGAGTTGCAACATACTCTCTCGCCTTGATTTTTGATATATGCTCAGCCATAGTAGCGTCGGTACCAATTCCATTCGCATCCATGAGCCCAATGAGTTCTGGCTCGGTAAGATATCCGGGGGCAACCGTTTTCCCTTCTGTAATATTCGCTTCTTTTGGCTCAAAGGATTCATTCAGAGCAAAATTCGGTAGCGGTTGGCTGCTCTCCCATTTGTCATACACATAGACATCTAGATAGTTTCGTTCTAAGACGACAAGGCCCCGAGTATGAAACTCTTCATCCCCATATTGGATTTCAATGTCGGTCGACTCGCCTTTCGCATCCTCAGAGCAGCAGGCTAAAAATCTCCGGGTTACGAACTCATATACTTTTTTCTCATTGGCACTGAGCACTGTTGGAGAAACATAGGCCACTGGGTGAATTGGTGGATGAGCTTTATCATTGTTTCGACCCCGACGAGGTTGTTTGAAACCACCACCTATAAGCCTGTAATTAAAAATTTCGCAACAGAGCGCGAGAGGTTAGTGTGGAACTCCGCTAGAATGGTGTTTGTGGAGAAGACTGACCCTCTTGCGTATTCGCCCCATGCTTCACTTGGGTATTGTTTCTCGACAAGTTTTTTCAAGTCAATCTCGTTATCAAACTGGTCGGTTTCGGTACGAGGATAACTAATAAACCCCTTTGTATAGAGGGTTTCGGCGGCCTTATACATCATGAGGAAAACGAATTAGAAAAGGTTCAGTTCAAACTCCTCGCATGTTGTAGCGCAAACCTTCATAATTGCTTGACTATCAATTCTCAAGTATTTACTTCCCATCATTTGGAGGTCAACGGTAGTTAAAGGAAGTGGTCTCCATTTGCTGGTCGGTTTTTTGTTAACTTTAGTAACAGTGGCTGTTTTGGCTGCCAGGCATCGCTCAAAGAGGACTACCACTGCGGCTCGGTCAAAAAGATGCCCACGTTGCCAATTGAAGTTCACTGTAATACCATCACGGGTATGTGAAACTTTGATGGACCAAAAGGCCTCTGGTTTGAAATTCTTAACTCTCATATACCTATCCACAACGAATCCCAGAGTTGGAAACTGACATGACCCTGAACAAGTAGACCGATTAGCAAATTATGCATGCCGAGTACAAAAAAGCAATGAATAAATAAATTACCGTAGCTGATTATCTTTTCAGCCAATGCACCTCCCAGTGTCTGAAGCTGAAGCGTTTGAAGTCTCGTGAAAGCTGCTCCGATGCGCAGATCTAGCTCAATTCTAGCAGCCACAGCATCCACTTGGCGTTCATCAAGCCCAATTGGCCTCCGAGCAGCTTCTAACACATGCCTATATATAAAATTATATGTTAAATACTGATTAATTTTATTCTGGAAGGCATCCATACGTTCGTTCGGTATTGCTGAATCTTGCCCTTTTGATTTCAATGCTTGGGTTACCAAGCACAGCCTGGTCTCGGACTTCAGAGCCTATGTGCTCTCCTTCTCTATCACAGTCAGTCCATATAAAGAGAGCTCTGGAATCTCTGGCTTGTCTCTTGATATTCCGAGCTATGCCGACTTTTTCCTAATAAAAGTACATTAGTTTGGTACTATCCCTTTGAACAGATGGACATTTAGGACACTCAGACTTTATCAACTGCAATTATAACATTCGCGGCAAAGAGTTGAGAGGGGTTGCAAGAATTCCAGTTTCTATATCTAGGTTCAAAGTCCGAAGCTGTTAAATGTCCTAGGACACTGGTCATAACAACGGAGCAGCTACCCCACGGGGGCCCGAATGTGAAATCAAATTCGTAGTTTTTGACATATTGATTGCCTTCAATTCCAGACTTGTAGAAAACAATATTAGTTTGCCCTCTGGTTTAAGGGGACGGTATTCATACAGTCCTTATGCGTCCACCAGATAGATGCTGGGCTACTAACTTAGCGATTGCAGGTTTCTCTGCAACGCATAGAATTTTGGAGACCATAAACGCGTCCGAATACCGGCGTCGTTTGTCAGTTCATCGTGCACTAGATTTCAATTCCCAACTCTGGCTATCCTCTCCCCGTAAAAGCCGCGCGTTTGAAGGCGAAGTGTCGCCTGACGTTGAAGGCGCGCTAAACAAGGTTCAATTTATGTGCACGGTCCACAACCCGAAATCTCCCCTTTTAGTCGAAACGACGATCAATTCTACGTGTTAACAACAAACGGAAGGAAAAACGAGAGAAAGCTTGACGCTGCACAGGTTTTGTGCCAAATATTTGCCATGGCGTTACCGACTCTTCAATCTGTGGCTGATTGCGCTGATTTCACGCAGGCTGCTCTCCCTTTCCTTCACCAGCTTTCCTCTTTGCCTACGAGAGTGGTGGAGGCTGGTCTCAACGTCGATACACTGCGAGAAGTTTACCTATCAACAAACCCGCTTGTTATAGCATTTGGGTTCTCTCTATTTCTTGTCCTGGCTTTTGTACTTATCTCTGAAATCAACCGAAACTATTCTCAAGTTGATCGATTGTGGAGCATTTTACCCTCCATTTACAATGGACATTTCGCCCTTTGGTGCCGGCTGAAAGGCCTTGCCACAACTGAAATCAACACCATCTTTATTATTACATTGATATGGAGTGTAAGTGCAAGGAATTTATTATTCTACTCGCGTTAACTCCCTTGATTTACCCGGCTCAATGAACTAACTCCTCGCGCGACAGGGCCGCCTTACTTTTAACTATTGGAGAAAAGGAGGCTATTCCATCGGTTCTGAAGACTATCGCTGGGATGCCGTTCGAAAAATGGTGAACAGTCCTGCCTTATTTTTCCTATTCAATGTCCTCTTCATCAGTCTCACTCAATCGGTCCTCCTATTCCTCATTACCGTACCTACTTATATATTTGTCCTTATCGGTACCCTTCGCGATGCGCCCAGTTTCGGGCTGCCTGATCTTATATTTTCTCGGTTCCTCCTGTTTCTTATATTAATCGAACACTTCGCCGATCAGCAACAGTGGAAATTCCAGCAGGCCAAGAAACAATACCAGAAGACCGCCCGCGTTCCAGCAGAGTATAAGGATATTTTTACGAGTGATGACTTGGACCGCGGGTTTGTAGTATCCGGCCTTTGGGCGTGGTGCAGACACCCGAATTTTGTTGCTGAGCAAGCAATTTGGGTTACACTGTACCTATGGTCCGCTTACCGAGCGGAATCATACTTCAACTGGAGCGGAGTGGGTGCTTTTTGCCTTCTCCTACTATTCCAAAGCAGCACCAATCTAACTGAAAGCATCACGGCGAGCAAATATCCTGATTACAAGCAGTATCAAGCTCGAGTAGGGAAATTCATCCCACGCTTCAGTGTCGAGCCTTGAAGTGCGGCATCAAGAATAAGCGAATGTTCCATGTTTATTATATGTAAAGTTCTTTCACTGTTAACAATTTTGGGGAATTTTGTTCCCCTCTCCGTTATGTTACTCAGTGGGATGAGAACTGCCTACCTCAATGATAATATTAATTAAATATAAACCCCTAGAGTTCAAGTCAATTATGTCACAAAGATCAAGCCTTGCTACATTGCTAAAATCATTTGTCTTTACTAATTTACAACAGGGTGTGGTTGTCTGGGAGATGAGAGGGAGATGGGGAGAGATGAGAGTAAATGAAAACAAAACAGCCATCGCTTCGCCAGATAGAAGGGTGTACAACATAATGGCCGCATATGGATTTCCCATTTTGATATGCTTTCCGAACGAACACTTCTACTAACACCTCAAACATCAATGATATATAGGAGATAGAAAAATGGCAAAGATTTAAAACATTACACCCAAACAAAGGAAAACAAAGGATTACAAATAGAATGGATGCGAAGGGTGAAGGGTGGGGTGAGCTAGATAGTACATGTATACGGAAGGGAGCGGGCGAGGAAGGTATTCCAATCAAGAAGATAGATCAGGGGTATTTAAGCAGGCGGTGATGAAGGTTTGTTGTCCTTAGTTTCCGCATCGTCGGCCTTAGGCGAACCAGTCAGAGTCTCAGCTGGTGGCGGTGGTTGTATCTTCCCACCAGTTCCATCAAAGTACTTAGCAAACTCTCCGGATTCAGGGTAAGGTCGCTTGCCAAGCAATCGGATCATATCATCGCGACTAAGTACTTCTTTGGAGAGAAGCTCTTCAGCAACTAAACCAACTTCGGCTTTCTTCTCAGTTAAGAGGTCACGGCATTGCTTGTATGCCTCATCAACAAGACGCCGAACCTCCATGTCAATATTCCGGGCGGTCTCTTCCGAGAAAGGTTTGTGGAGCTGCTGCTGGTCCTCTTCGAAATACACTGTTCCAATCTTGGGGGACATTCCAAATTTGGTAACCATGGCAGTGGCCAAGCGAGTAACTTTGTTGAAGTCATCGCTAGCTCCGCTCGTCACAGTGTCGAAGTGTAGCTCCTCACTAACACGTCCACCAAGCGTCATGGCCATGCGGTCCATGAGTTGGTGTACATTCATAAGATAAGTATCACCCTGTGCTGGGAGGTACTGAGCGTAACCTAGAGCTCCCTGACCGCGAGGAATGATCGAAACCTTTAGGAGCGGGTCTGCGTATTTGAAGTACCAACCACATATAGCGTGGCCAGCTTCATGGTAAGCAACAGTGCGCTTCTCTTCTGGTGATAACACAAGCGACTTTTTCTCCAAGCCCCCAACAACTCTCTCAATTGCTTGCTCGAAATGTGACATAACGACATGATCTGCATGCATGCGGGCAGCTATAATTGTTTGTTAGATTTAATTCGAGCATCGTAAAGAAATAGAAGAGTACTTGCAACATACCAACTAATGCCGCTTCGTTGACACAATTTGCGATATCAGCACCAGAGAATCCAGGAGTTAATGCGGCTAGTCGTCCTTTTAGGTATTCGATGTCCTCCTTTGTGACGATCTTCTTCAAGTGAACGCCGAAAATCTGCTTTCGTCCATCCATTGTAGGCTTATCGATAGCAATATGTCGGTCAAATCGCCCAGGACGCATCAATGCCTTGTCCAACACATCAGGTCTATTTGTGCCAGCTAGGACGACAACCTGCTCAGAAGTGTTGAATCCATCCATTTCAGTGAGTATTTGATTGAGAGTGCTTTCACGTTCATCATTCCCACCACCAAAGTTGGATTTCGATCTTGACTTTCCGATGGCATCAATTTCGTCAATGAAGATGATACATGGGGTGTTTTTTCGAGCAGTAGCAAATAGGTCGCGAACACGGGAAGGGCCAACGCCAACGAACATCTCCACGAATTCAGAGCCGCTGACGCTGTAGAAGGGAACAGCGGACTCGCCGGCAGTCGCCTTTGCTAGTAGAGTTTTACCGGTACCTGGCGGCCCAGAAAGAATAGCTCCTCGAGGTATTTTCGCACCTAGCCTCTGGAACTGTTCCGGCCTCTTGAGGAAGCTGACGAACTCCATGATTTCTACTTTGGCTTCATCCATACCAGCGACATCTGCGAATTTTGTCTTTACATCAGTCTCATGGTTGAATTTCCTGGCTCGGCTCTTTCCAATGCCAAATATTCCACTCTGGCCACCGCCTCCTGCACCACCGGCCCTTCTTGATAACCAAAAGAATGAACCGATGAGGAGTAGAGTGGGTCCAAAGGATAACAAAGTAGCTAGCCATGGAACTTCATCGGCATATGCGACTGGAATCCGCTCTGAGCTAGGGATGTTTAGTTCTCGGTGAGCGTCATCCAGGCGTCTCTCAAAGGCTTCGACAGAACCTATTGTGAAGTAGTAGTGGAAGCTCATGTTGGTGGCTGGCGACTCGGGATATAACTTAGCAACCGCATCTCGGTCCAACTCAACTCTTACTTTGCTGCGGTTGACGACAGTGAGTTTCTCAACCAAGCCTTTGTCGAAAAAGGTATTCCTAAATTCCTGCCATGTAATATCTCGTGACGATTCGCCAGGGAAAATACTTCGGTAGACATAGTAAGAGATGAAAGCAGCAATCAAGAAATTTCCGGCGTCGAACTTAAAGTCCATTATCCTAAACTGGGGCCCCTTTGGCTGGTCCTTATCATCATTGCGTTGCCGTTTCTTATCGGATTTTGACTCCTCTTTCGATCCCTCCCTGCTTTCCTCTTTGCGGCCTTCATTGGACTCTTCCTTGGGTTTCTCCTCTGTTGGAGCTTTGTTGTCTTTTCTCTGCTCCTCCGACGAGTTTTTAGAGTGCTCATCGGCAACACTAGAAGCTAACTTCACAGAGTGTTTATTCAGAACCCGCACAAGCTTCGCCGCGTTTGACAGGCTGATATGTTTTGACTCTCTCACTTCTTCCAGAGCATTTTTGACCTCTTCTGGCAAGCCCTCACGCTTGATGACTTCCGCAGCCGTGTCAATAAGCTTCGCCTGCGATTTAGGTAGGTTCACCTTAAGCTGGTCAACGATCTTATCGAACTCCTCTCGCTGTTCCGCATTGAGTGCATAATTCGGCTGGGAGCTTTCGCTTGCTTGACTTCCACTGGATTGACTCTGCGAAGATTGCTTCGCCTGTTTCCCAATATCCTTTTCTCCGTTCTTTTTATCCTTGGGATGTTCCGGGCCACCCGTGCTATTCGTTGCATATGGCCGTGAGCGGTTTGCAACAATGAAGGCCGATAGCCTGGATTGGGGGAGGGAGACAGAAAAAGGTGTGCGCGAGAAAGCCGAATATCCTGCAGCTCTTCTAGAGTACTGAGCGAGGCCGCCGGGGCGCCGTAGGAGTGTGGCCATAGCCAGAGCAGAGCACGAGGGAGGCAGGCAATCTATCAAATCAGTTACGGTTCTAGAAACCAGCTCCCAAAGAACAAAGCCACAATCCACAAAGCAACTCTTAGAGACGACTAAAGAGCTGCCTCTCGCTAAACAGAGGGGAAATAGAGAGCGAGGTTGATGTAAGAGCGAGATGAAGTCGAGATGATTGCCAAATCGGTTGAGCTTCGCAAGTTGTTCCTGTTCCGAATTTTTCGCCAGCTGCTGACTCATCACTGATCAGGGTTCGGGCGATGATTTGGGCCGTTCGGACTTAAGCGGGTTTTACCAGGCTGACATAGTTGATGATATAAAATAAAGATAGGAAACATAACACAGCTGGGAGCGAGAAGAAGGTGAAGATGAGATGAGAATTCATTTGTTAGCTAGTATCTACGATTATGTATTCACTACGTACTCCCGCATTAATATTCCTATCCACCCATGCTCGAATATACCAGGCATCAAAATATCACCAGGGGAAATTCCTCGAAGGGATGCACATGAGGCCGGCCTTCCAGAAGCCAATGATCCCTTAAAAGACAACAGCAATCAAACCGAAAAGAAAATAACTCCTTCATGGCCCATACACCTACGCTAGCGGGAGACAATAAACCGCTCCATATAGAAAATTCAAGCCCATAGCATTGTGTTGAGTGAGCTCCCCGGGTAGGTGGGACAACTTTTATTACTCTGTAGCCCCATTAGCAAATGGAAAGCCATTCGACATGTCCGCCCAGTCCCATTCAAGGGTCATTGGCATCTGCCATAAATCTTGTGGGACAAAAGGCTGCTGGAAGGAGGAGACATCCAGGGGCATTGACTCATTAGGAAGCTGTTGGTCGACGCTGAACATTCCAGGGTTGACGTTTAACCCAGGGCCACCAATGATATCGTTTAGCTCCTGGTTAAATCTTGCGGTATTCTTCAATTGTGCGGCTGAAATATCCTCATTTATCACTGTATCAAATGCGTTCTGTGACGATGTCTGAGGTGATGGGAATGTACTTGAGGATGCGCTTGATATGTTATTATTAATGTGTGCCGGGAATGGTGAAGTAAATGGCTGATGTTGGGCGTTTGATACTGTGGGATTCTCTGTCATCTGTGTCTGAGGACGCTGGGTATCCTTATCGTTGACATGCGGCGTTATGTTAGACTCCTTCTGTTGTTGTTGTTGTTGTTGTTGTTGTTGTTGTTGTTGTTGCTGCTGCTGCTGCTGCTGCTGCTCTTGTTGCTGCTGCTGTTGTACATCACTTGTCTTTCTTTTACGCCTTGATTGACATTCTTTCTCGGCTCGATCTAAAGCCACCTTCGCTATTCTTTCGAATTCGCTGCAGACGCTAAGCATACGTTTGACACTACCATTTGATTCATCAGTAGCGAGCATTGAGAGGAAGTTAACCACAAGGTTCATTAATTTAACGTCCGATCGAGCTCTTGCATCAAGCGGATTTTGTAAGATATTGGCAAAAAGTGTTACCAAGGATGATATAGGGAAATAGAGGATCAACCTACAATATTAGTTTCCTGTATCTTAGCGGAAGGTATTTTTAGATATATTACTCACCATACACAAGCAAAATCGCCCTGCGGAATGTACTTAATCAGGTTAATCGAAGCTCGAGCAGCTGAGACACAGAGTATAGCAGACGAAAACACCCGAGGGTTCAATGGTCGAGCATTTAGTCCTTGTATGGCGTAGTTTGAAAGACGACTTGTCCAATACCCGTGATGAACGGACATTCGATGTATAGTCGTCAGGCAATTGTAGTATGCGAAATGAAGAACAACGATGGGCAAGATCAGAGGCCTGTGAGTGGTTTTTATTTCGTGTTCCGGCCTGAAATCTATAGGAATGCTATTCTTCCATTCCTCAAGTTCATGATCCAACTCGCCAATAGTGTTGAGAAGCTCACCGTCGGACTGTCGAGATGCTTTGGTCGAATACAATTGTCTATAAACCCTGCTCTCAATAGTTGCGAATATGCACATGAGACGGAACAGGTTGATTTTCCCTTTGTTATCCGAAAGAGGAACATTGCCGATGTTATCAGGGGGATCTTCACTGGGCAGCTCTACATTCATATCGTCATCATCTTGTACAGGAGGACGACCGGATCGGAGACAGATGCTTTTAACAATGTTAGTAATTGTAAAAACTTTCATGAATCTTAACATTATCGTATGCTTACTCTTTATCTAGGATATAGGCGATCCAGAAGACACGCTTCCGTTGTTCAAGCTCCACGGGGTTTAGACCAAAGCCTGAACAGCGCTTATGTAGACCTATACTGTGAGAGAGACGGATTCCGGCTGCAACAAGGAAGAAGGAAGGTTGAGGATTTGGTGTTCCTTGAAGAAATAATGCCTATAGGATCCCATAAGTGTCAATTAAAGGCATGAAAAAAAAAAAAAAAAAGAAAGAAAGAAAGTGTAAATTCTTACCATTCCAAGCAAAGCCTGTACACTTAGGAGGTCTGTATTTCTCATGGTAAGCTCTGTAAGCACGCCCATGGCATTTTTCAGGTAAAGCCACGCCTTTTTGTCTTCTTCCTGTGGAGCAAGGTTGCTCATTACCCGTAACCTATGGGCGATTGCCAAAGCAACGTTGATGCTAGCCCACCATCCAGAGCCTTCGTAGGGATCTCTTGAATATTGCTTCTCAACTAGATGCATAAAAGTAGGCTCGTGGAAAAGAGGGAATATACAATTGAAATTTTCAAAATAATCCCTGAAGAGAGATAGCGCCTCTTCCTTAGGTGGTAAAGGTTTGAAAACCCGACGGGCAAATATGTCGCTGAATATTTCTGGTTTCCAGTAAATCCATTTGTTATCATCCACACATGCAGATGAGATCATATGTTGGAAAGAGGAATCGCCCGTTTTCTCATTTACCCACTGGATGCCCTTGGGTGAGAATATTGAGAACCCGGAGGAGGATCCTGTGATGCAAGATTAATAGCTGCCCACAAGGAAAATCGGCCTTGAGTAAAAATACCTATATATCGTGTTTCTCCACAGTTATTTGTAACTAAGGAGCACATCATATCTGAGAGGGAATCAACCTCTGCCTCTGACTCTTTTTGGGAATCCGGGGAGCCTGCAGCTGATGAAGCTCTCGGACTAGCATTCAAGTCACCACGGGGAGTAGAATTCGAAGGCGACACCGACGAGCTCATAAAAGCATTGTAAGTAGGAGGTATGGTCGATGCCTTGGGAGGTTGCGGCTGTTGCTGTTGCTGTTGCTGTGAGGTCGGTGACGCTGCTCTGTCTGCCAATCTTTTCTCCAGTACTCCTAGATCGGTCTTTCTAGCATCAGTCTCGGACAAAAGACCAGACAGCCGAAGTAATGATTCCATACGGCCTAGTCGGTTCTCGAGGCCTTCAATGTACTTTGCCCTAATTCATGAGTCACTCTAGATTAGACAATAGCTCCAGTCGAAAATGCTAATATGTTTAAGGAATTCGTACCCTTTGGGGGGATTTCGTTTCTTTTCCACTTGCGTAAAAATGCACTCGGACTTGTAGTTTATGCAATGCGAACATTTTGGCATTTTCCCATCACACTTTATCTTCTTCTTCCTGCACATATCGCACGCCTATAGGTAGACAGTATAGGTATTAACTCGAAAATCCCGTAATCCAGAGTGATAGGGCAGTCTACATACTCTAGCAATCCTCCTCCTTTTTGCATCGTTATTATCTTCCGCGAAAGCTGTTCCAGGGTGTGATGATGTAAGGGGAGAACCATCCGAGTTGGAGGCCCCAAACGCTTGCGGCATTTGATTGGCATTTGAGCCGCGGTTATCGAATGTGGTGGCATCCATATCTCCTCCTGTCATGTCCATTACAGCTTAGGAGCTTTTTTTGCGGGGAGCCCAGGCCGCAACGTTTTCGAAGTAGAGGCACCGCCGTTCGTGGTGTTCGGAAGCTGTGCCCAAGGCTGCACGAGCTATCCGGCCGAGCCTATCAAACACCAGGGGTTGGATCAGGAGTCAAGATACCGAATAAATTGGTCCGATGCACCCAAAAGCTGTGGTATAAGAAAGCTGCGACTTCGTCTCTCTGAATGCTTGTGGCGGATAACGGGCTAGGAAAATGTCTGCCTGCTTATTAATAAGGATACGCTGCACAGGAGAGGGAAAAGTACATCAGGTAATTGGCAATAATAATGCATTGTATGTCGTAGCATATCACTTGCGCGCACCGCGACTTACTCCCTGGTTTTGTTGCTGGAAGATGGCTGCTCATCCTCCTCTCCGCGAGTCTTGACTGATGCCTTGCAGCTTTCAGCGGCGGCGATAGCAGCCTCGAGGCGTCGATAAGGCACGTGAATATGACTAAGCCACTTAAGTAACTGAGGTCCTCCTGTTAAACTACGAGGGTCAACTTCTTCCACCATCCATTAACATTATTCGTATCAAACTAGAACCAACTCGTTATACGGTTCGTTCTGGCTGCCATCATACGAAATGAAAAAAGTGTGAATGAGAATCGCCGAGTCAGAGCAACGCAAAGGAGAGCCCTTCGCGCTTCCGGGGTCTTCGGCCTGCGCCTCACCCCCCTGTAACTAACTACAGGGTTTACAGCATTCCGTCTATATAGACATTGAGGCAACTTGATGGCCCCGATTTTTTTAATTGGTCCACACGGACGGACAAACGGTTGAACCTCCTCCGGCAGTTCGAGGGGGATTGCTGCAGCGGAGAGGCGGGATGTTCTAACTCCGACTTCCTCAGCCGTCTCGCCATGCCGCTACGGAGTACGTTTCTGGTCAACTGTGCGAGGGGATATTTCATGTTACAAACTAGCCGGCAGCCTAGTTCAAGCTATTTCAAGGTTGAAGCACCACGCCGGTCCGCTTGATATTATGTGAAGCCGCGTCATAACAACCCTGGCGTCACTCGGAATCCTTCCAGCGCCAATAACGCACCCAAAACGAGACAGATGCTCCTTGCATCATGCGACTCGCTATTTTTTCGCCCATCGATAACAAACTAGCTCGACTTCAGGGGGTTAGATATAAGCTTAACTAGCTTAGCGAATGTTTTAATGTCTGCTGGCTTCCCCAGAGGGGCATGGCTTGGTGTCATACTCTCTTTCTACTGGCCAGGAAATGCTCTTTAGCTATTGGCTCAGATTTTCCCCCGAGCTAATTATCCGATTTCTATTGGTTAAGATATAGTTAATTTTTTAAATGTATTGCGGCCTACTTGGCCATCCAAAGGTTGAGGAAATAGTTATACGAATTGATTAATAAGCCGTCTGCCTTTCTGCGCAAGTCTCAATTATAGAAAGATTGTAAATATCCCCGGGTTTCTGCTAGGGGAGATGCTGCCAAAGAGCTACCTTCTTGACAAGTATAAAGACTACCCGGTTCATATTTCCTGCCAGCGCACGAAAAATCAGCTAGTAATTACTGATTAACCGATGGTTGCGAAGTATTCTCAAATCAGGTTATGGCAGTTACTTACCTCGGTCTATAGTAAGGCAACATTGCTAGCAGAATCTTTCCCCTAGAGGACTAACTACGCAGATCACCTTTGACCTTGCCCCCGTTTGTCTTTGTCCGTTGAATGAATATGACCAATTCAACAGCGGCACCTCTGACAAGCCTCAGGTTCTTATTGACATCCAACCACGACCAGACTGTGACCGGCCTGTTTCAATGACAGCTGTTGGAAAAAGCGAGGTGCTCAACCTGAGCCTGGGTCCCAGAACCTGGGTTCCTTCTCTCTACTATGTTCAAGAATCTGGCCACAACCATGCGAAGTAGCCCGTTGACACGCCACTCCTGGTAACAGTCATAAACCGCAGTCGACTAGAACTCGAGCCAACTAGCTGTAGAGTCCTGTGATATTCGGTATAAGTTATTTCAAACCTTATGGTTGTAACGTGGGTAACCCACCGAGGAATATATTGTCAGGAAGTTCAGAGGATACTGTGGCATCAAGCTAATGTTCTCCCCAATATTCACTTGGGTGCTAGCGTCAGAAGGAGCCTTGTATGAGATCTGCAGAGATGAAAGATCCCTCTAAATCCCGGAACTTATATTAACCTAAACACTCCATGATTGGCTTCCAATAGCACTGTAGTGCGGCTATATAAGCACATTCAGTCAAGAAGGAGCCTTTCGGGCAGCTTTGATAGTTATCCTGTGGCTACATCCAAAATTTTGCCTACTACTTCCAATAAAACCAATATTGGAATCGAGTAGGAGATTTCTCAGGCTACATCCACCTATTTTTGATGGCCGGTGGCCGAGTCTCCACAAAACCTAGAGAAAGATCAATTTTATTAACTAATCAACTAGTTATACATAACTAACTAACTAGTAACGTCAAACATATCCAAAGCCATTGTTAAGATACAGTTTACACCTGAACTTCCACTTAACCGGAAGACTTCCAATACATTTCACTTCACTTTAACTAGTTAATGATTATGTTAAAGGGAGGAGACACGGGAATGATTTACTGAATGAAAATATGATTAGTTGAGGTAATATAAACGGATATCGTATTTAAACCCAACCTGTTGGGATCTGCACAAAGTTATATCTCGCGTTATAGGTCATTAGAAGATGTTCAATTCCCCGCTAACTAACCAACTAACTAACTAGTTCGAATTCTTGAAGGTAGTTCAATTAGCTAAGCCTATTAGCTAACCATGACCAGCAGACTTTTTATTGCCATATCAAATGCATGGAAGCTAGTGGACTCTCATTTTTGGCCGAACAGCAGAGTCGGGAGTCGGCATATATTTGATTTGCTTTTTAACTACTCCACGGATATTTAGTTGGCCAAATTGCAACGAGAGAAAAAGTCATAAACAGCTTGGAAATAACAGCAGGGTTAACCGAGTATACATGTTTGTGTGCTAACAATATATAGGTGTTGATAAAGCATGCAGTATATCAAGCAGATCTGGGACTTCAGTTTAATATCTCAACCCAGCCTGAGAGCTCCAGGTGTTAATTTAAAAGCCAAAGCCTGGTTACTCATCGAGGTTATCCTTGAGCTGCTGGAACATGGCGATATTCACGGCAGGCGCTTCTTCCTTGGTAATATCCGGGTTGACCTCGATATCAGCGGTAGCCCATACTCTATGGGAGTTTTTCTGAGCTGCTTCTCTGAGAGTTTTATCGGTTGCATTGAATTGAGCTGGAGTTTGATACGGCGAAGAGTCTTTCCATCCTTCTTGAGCTCCTCTCCCCAGTCCAACCTCACTCCTAACCTCCTGTCATCGATTTGATTTCTAGGGGGGGTTGCCCGAGACCCTGCCTCTCCGACTCCTTTTGCTAACTTCCACGCTTGTGATGGTTTTTCGATTAAAAAGTTCTCCATCCGAGATAGGGCTTTCAAGATTTTTCCCCGGACCATGATGATGACTGGATAAACTAGTTAGTTGACTAACTAGTGGGGTTCCGGTGGAAGTTAATCAGTTAGTTAACTCGTTGGTGTTTGGAATAGAAACCGTCGATTGTCGTGAAGTATCCGAAGCTATAGATTTAATCAGCACTATAATCATTGGGAAGGTGGTATAAACTGAATGCAAACTCACTTAACAAAGGCCCTTATTCAGATGATGACTTGTGGTTTAAATTGTGATATTTTTTGAGGGAAAAATCGACCATCAGCCCGCCTTGATATGGCACTCCGGCAGTGCGGAGCTAAGGCATGTCTACTTACAGGGAGGGTGACCATCCAGTGAAATGAGAAGCACCGGGGTTAGTTAACTGTTCCTAGCTGGTTATGCACACCCCTGCAAGATGTCAAGAGTATGGCTGCATTTGAGAGAAGCCAATAGCCTCGTATATTACATGTTGGGGCCGGAGTTTGCTTGACAGATGATTTGAGCTCATTTGCTGCCTTGAGAATCTGGGTGCTCTAATGCAAGGCGACTTGCATAAATGTAAGAGTGTTACTGCGAGGCTATGATTCGGGGCAGAGTACACGGAGAGTGTGCGGTTGATTACCCAATAACTAGCAGGTGTACTGGCTACATTTGGTCCTCTAGGGTAAACGGATTATCATCTATTTGCTTTTCTGAAATTGTCACGATAGGCGTTATCAGAGATATATTTTAATCTACCTCCTCCGTACCTCCTCTGTACCAGGTCATCTATAACTAATAGCTACCTCTGTAGGAAAGCTGCAGAGTAACTAAGTAGTTACCCCGATAGTTAGAACTTTTAGATTGAACCCTCGATACCACACTTAGTTAACTAAGAAGCACTTCCGATTAGAATTTCTGAACAGGGCTAACCCCTGCTACCCTTTTTTCTAACGCTCCATGAAGCAAAAATCATGCAGCAGCGAAATGGGAGTCGTTTGTATCAGGCGCTAACTATTTGGTTAGCTAGTAAATTGATACCCCATATCTTGGTAGGAATCTTACTAGTTAATCGGTCATCAAGGCATACACATAATTCATGCTAGATACTCCGTAGTCGAAAATAATAATGCAACAGCCTTGACAATTTCATAGCCTGATTTATTATTATTTTTTTTCGGTGGATATTGGAATTATCGGAACCCTGGTAATTGTGGATGTTGCTTAGCAACTAGTGGACCCAAGCAACAACCTGAGAGGTAACCATGCTAGCCTATGTAAGTTAGTTACTTATGTACGGAGTAGTAAGCTAGTTAACTTTGGTCAATTTGTTCCTTATGCTTCTCAAATGACACTGGGAGAAAAATAACAGTTACGCGGTAACTAACTAATTAATTATTGGAATCTTCGGCGCTTTGCGAATACATTATTCTGTTTGCGTTCGATTTTGCTTGTCTTCATTTCTTTAGATACCATGTTCTCAAAAAACCCAGGCCATCGAACCCGCTTCAGTCGGTTCTTCACCAAGGCCATACGGAAAATGGCTACTCAGAAGGGTGGGTAATCTCCAAACCTACATTTTAACATGAACAGAGCAAACTATGTTAAACTAGATTGGAACTCGACTGAGAGCTTTTTCAATTATACCCGAGGGCGTTTTGTTGTCAACGAGGCAGAGGAGATGCGGCAGAGACATGTGCGCTTTGATATGAATGAACTGGCTCGGTTGGCTGCAAATACCGTTGGTGCAAAGGAGGTTGTCAATATCAAAAAATGCGCAGATGGCCTTTTCAACAAAGCCTTCGTTTTCACCTTCGAGGATGGAAAACAAGTAGTTGGGAAGGTTCCCAACCCGATTGCCATTACTCCCCATCTCACAACTGCTAGTGAAGTTGCAACTATGGAGTTTGTATGCCTACCAATCCAATGACGTGATATCATCAAGTTGAAACCTTATGCTGACCTCTCTGTCTTTATTCATGTTTAAGTAGATGAGAACTGTGCTTAAGACCCCCACTCCACAAGTCCATGCATGGAGCTCCAGAGTTGATGATAGCAAAAATTCTGTGGGAGCTGAATTCATCATCATGGAGAAGATTTCAGGCATTCCATTGGGAAAAGTCTGGGAGCGTCTCTCAGGAAGCGACAAGATGAAGGTTCTAATCAACATCTTCGAATATCAGAATGAATGGGCGTCTGTTGCATTCTCAAGATTCGGAAGTCTATACTACTCAGGAGATGTAGACACCCTGCCTGCGGACTATCTTTATATCGACAAGAATGGGAATCAAGTCAATAACCCTAGATTCGTCGTAGGACCAGCTTCACACAACGAATGGTTTATACACGGACGGGATTCCATTAGCTGTGATAGAGGGTCCTGTAAGCATTCATGCCTGTTTCCCCCTTAATATTTGGTGTATTTACTAATTTCATCTAGGGAATACAGTGGTTGACTATAGGAAGGCAATCGCCCATCGAGAGATCACGGCTTCTCGGTCATTACCATTCCCGAGACAGACCTTGTTGATTTACGGCCCCCGTCCACTCTACTTACCAACTGTTGAGAAAAAAGTTGCAGCTTTGAAGTGCTCTTTGCAGTCTTTGGAGACTTTTCTCCCTGAGGATCCAGCTCTTCTCCGGGGCCATCTCTGGCACACTGATTTCCACCATGAAAACATATATGTGAACCCAGAGAAACCTACTGAAATAACTGGAATTATTGACTGGCAATCAACCCCGATAACGCCACTATTCGACCAGCCCTTAGACCTTCCATTTGTGAACTATGATGGCCCAGATATCGGTGAAAATCTCGAAATACCTGTGTTGCCTGACGATTTCCAATCAATGCAGGAGGATGAAAAAAAGAAAGTCCACAAGAATTACATGGATAAGTCTGCTGTGGTTGCATGGCGTCTTCTTCTGAAGCACAAGAACCCGGCGTATTACAGAGCTGTCTTGTTTAAGCATACCCCTATCGGATTGACTCTAGAGCTGTCTCGTCAAGTCTTTACCATCGGAGAGTCCTCTCTTCGCACTATATACGCAGAAATGGGAGAAGACTGGCAGGAGTATGCGCCCAAAGGGTCGGACATGAACCCTGTCCCATGCCCTTTCAACTTTTCACAGGCCGAGATAACAGAGATTGATGAGGATGAAGAGGCCACAGCCAGTAGCACAAGGATCGCAACTCAGATTCAAGAGCACCTGGGACCATTATACCCTCACAAAGGTGTTATTGAACATGAAAACTACGAGGAAGTAAAGAAAATTCTAGGAGAGATTAAGCAGGAGGTCATTGAACATCTGTTCGAATCCACAGATGATATCCAGACATTTGATAGTCAGTGGCCATACAAAGATTAGGTGTCCGTCAATTCGACAAGCAGCTTAGTTGTTATTGGCTATAGAAATACCCAAATTTAGGCTAGACGATGTTACCTGATTCAAAGTGAGGAGGTATTCCACTCATTGACTGTATTGTGCTATATTATGTCGGGTTATATATCAAGAGTAGATAGATTGGCAGGCAAATATTTACAGTTGATTCAAGACTTTGCATCGGAATGCCAGAATGTCTCCTGTTACATTGATTCCAAGCTGTCGCTTCAAAGCTCGGGAGGCAGTTACTGACAGCAAACTCGATACTAATAAATTAGCAGTAAATTCCTAGTATTTTTTCATTTTCTTTTTCTTATCATTTATTAACTCTTTCACGTTTCCCCATCCTGGGACAAAAAAGCCAAGTCATAAAGGCTTTAACTAAAATTTATACAACATCGATTTTCTAGAGTGTATTCTCCAGGCGGCGTTCCTTTCGGAGAGCGCGCAGTTTAGCCCTAGCCTCCTCCAGGGGTACGAGACTGCCCTTGGTCTGTGAACTAGGGTCATCACGGTTACGAATGTTAACTGAGCGAGACTCCTTCTCTTGAGCGCCCACAACTAAAGATTTTGTTAGTACAAATGTTCCCTCCATGTAGAACATAGGATACGAGAGTGTAAAAGCTTACCAAAAATGAAATTATACTGTGCCAGTTGACCATTTCGAATCTTCTTTTGCATAGTGTGGCCGCTAAGGTCAATGTCGACATTCAACTTATCGCCTCGAAGAATCTCCTGAAGTTCTTCGACATAGTCGTTGGCACTGGCCATGACAGGGACAATCAAAATCTGTCGGGGGCTAAGCCAGAACGGCCATTTTCCACCAAAATGCTCTATCAAAATTCCAAAGAAACGCTCAAAGCTTCCAATGATAGCTCTATGGATCACAACGGGTCTAGCTCTGCCTGGGCCTGGGGTAGAGGAATCTGAGGGCTGGGCTTGAGCTGGATTCGAGTCGCCCTCCGCTGGTTTAGCTTCGGCCTTGGACGTAGCTGGAGCAGCAGATTTAGGAACAGTCTCTCCAGTCATGTACTCGAGTTTGAAATTAAGAGGTAGCTGGTAGTCGAGTTGAATGGTTGCACACTGATGTTCTCGCTTCAGAGCATCGGAAATGGTGATATCAATCTTTGGTCCGTAAAAGGCACCATCACCTTCGTCAATTTCCCAGTCTGCACCCTTGAACTTTGTGAGAGCTTCTCGCAATTGAGCTTCGGCAAAGTCCCAGGTCTCGAGCTTTCCGAGGTATTTCTCAGGTCGGGTAGAGAGCTTCAGTTTGAAACTGAAGCCAAACAAGCCATATATGGCGCGGAGGAAATCGAAGAGTCCCTCGATCTCTTCCATGATCTAGTAGAGGGGAAAAGAAGAAATTAGTGATTTCTCCCTAACTGGTCTACGGACAAGTGCAGCCGTCATACATACCTGGTTGTCGGTGCAGAAAATATGAGTGTCATCCTGTTGGAACTTTCTGACTCGAGTCAATCCGTGCAGAGCACCAGATGCTTCGTTTCTATGAAGCACGCCAAAATCTGCCATTCGTAATGGTAGTTCTCGGTAACTTCGCTCTCTATGGCCAAACATGATGCAATGACCAGGGCAGTTCATTGGCTTCAGGGCCCAATCACGTTTTTCAACGTCAAGTTTGAACATGTCATCTTTGTAATGAGCCCAATGGCCTGATTGGCGCCATATACCGACATCATACATGTTGGGAGACTGAACTTCCTGGTATCCTCGTTTCCGATACTCGGTACGGAGTAGTTTTTGTAGGGCATTGAAAATCTTAGTTCCGTTGGGAAGCAGAAAGGGACATCCAGGGGAAACTTCATCGAAGAAGAAGAGTTCTTGCTCCTTGCCTATTTTAAGGTGGTTTCGCTTCTCTGCTTCTTCCAGGAATTTAAGATGCTCTTGTAGCAGTTTCTTGTCTGGGAAAGCTACACCACGTATCCGCTGCAGGGCATCGTTGGTCTGATCACCCAGGAAATAGGCAGAGGAGTTCTGTCTGATGTTAGGAATGGGCCAAAAGTGGCGTTCAATGACATAGAAACGCTCACCTGAGTGATCTTCATGGCCTTAATTTTGCCCGTGTTCTGGATATGGGGTCCTCGGCACAAGTCCACGAGAGTTCCGCATCGATAGACAGTGCTGCTTTCTCCTTCAATAAGATTGTCGATATAGTGCAGCTTATACTTGCTATAGCCAAACATTTTCTTCAGATTCTCCTTTGAAACCTCCAATCTGTCGAAGGATTGTTTTTCTTTGAAGATCTTTGCGGTTTTAGCATCCAATAATGGATAGTCTGCTTGGGTGACAACGCCACTATAAAGAAGATATCATTAACCTCAGCTTCAAGTTGATTTGGTAGGCCAATTGCAATTGTTGGTAAAAGGGGGAGGGGCCATTGCATACCCTTCGGGAATTGCCATATCATAGAAGAAACCCTGAGCAGTGGGAGGACCGTGTGACAGGAGGCATCCATATTGGCATTCACAAGCTTCACCGAGAGCGTGGGCACTGGAATGCCAGAACACTTCTCTACCCTCCACTGAGTCAAAGGGAAGATAACGAATGCGACAATCCCTCTCAAGCGGGCGATCCAAGTCCCAGAGCTCCTTTCCGTCAAGCTTAGCAATAACCACGCTCGAGCTGAGCTCCTTGGGTATATCCTTCAGAAACGAGCCTGGAGTAGAGTGCCATGCCTGCGCAATAACCGTGGATGGTGCACCATCCCCCACTTCCAGCGTCACGGTGATGTCGAACCGAGGCTTGTTCTTGAGTTCCTCCACTTTCTGCTTGTATAGCTGGTCGAACAGCTCATTTCGCTGTATAATGAAATCTGGCAGCGGCCTCTCAGCGGCTGCAAATTTGCCCTTTGGCTTGTCTGCTTTCTGCGGGGCATCCTTCGAGGGGTTGCCAGCGTCCATGGCTGCTGTGCGGTCGGGGAGGGCGGTGTCTTTGGTCGAAGCGCCTGCTGGAGCGCCAGTCTCACTCATACTGCCTCTGTTAGCCCGCGCCGGTCAATCTTTTCGAGTCCTGCTCCTGGTCTCGTGCTGTCTTCTCCTTGATATCGTCAAGCAACTAAACTGTGACTCTTGGAATATAGTGTATAGATAGGGGAGTTAGGGTGCCTCACGTGACACTGAGTCGACTAATTTTAGCCGAGACTTTTTTTCGTTTCTTTTGACAAGCAGATATAAAAAAAAGTCTTCAAGATATCGGACGGCCGATCAGCTCCAACGGCACCAGCGGACGTTTGTTAAGAAGAGAGAAAAGGGAATTGCGCAATGTCGTTTCGCGGGGCACCCAGAGGCCGTGGCACAGGCGCCAACCGTGGAGGGTTCGGAGCTCGCGGTGGTGAGTTGTGCGCTCCATCAATATTACATGCGTAACCAGTTCAATTTAGCTGACAGCAATTACCTTCTTGTGTCTAAGGCCGTGGAGGAATGCAACAGTCGTTTGGGCCACCGGCTACCGTACTAGAGATGGGGACCTTCATGCACTCTTGCGAAGGAGAGATGGTCTGCGAATCGATCAACCCCAAGATTCCATATTTCAACGCCCCGATATATCTGGAGAACAAGGTACAATCGCAGCACTGTTTCCACGCTGGAAAAAGGGATGCTAATTGGAGATCCGATATAGACACCAGTTGGAAAAGTTGATGAAGTCCTAGGCCCGATCAACCAAGTATACTTTACCATAAAGCCTCAGGAGGGAATCGTCCCTACATCTTTCAAGGCCGGTGACAAGTTCTACATCGGAGGAGACAAACTATTACCATTGGAGAAGTATGCGCCTGCGTTCTATCTGATGGCTGTTGATATAATGCAAGCTCACACCTTACCTAGGTTCCTCCCCAAGCCCAAACCACCGCCAGGTGCACCAAAGCCAAAGAAGATCGGAGGCGCAGGCCGTGGAGGCGCTGCGCGTGGTGGTAGAGGAGGATTCTCCCGCGGCGGACGGGGCGGCGCTCCCCGGGGTCGTGGTGGTTTCTCCAGAGGCGGCGCGCGAGGTGGACGAGGTGGAAGCGGTGGATTCTCCCGCGGAGGTGCTAGAGGAGGCTCACGAGGCGGATTCCGTGGACGAGGCTAGAGAGAATCGCATCAGCCGATTTCCCGCTTTTCCTCGCTGGCGTTTAGGAGCATTCTGGATGGGAGTTTGATTCATTCTTTATCATTTAACGATCTCTCTGCTATTTTGGCCTAAAAAAAAGAGCTGTCGGTTCCCGTTCCAATGTACTAATTGTAACATAGAGCCAATTTGCATTCCTCACAGTGTCTTCTTCTACACCTCTTCCTATATACAGTCACAAAAAGAGTGGTGAATATGCTGTCCGGCATGTCGAATCAACTGTGACCAACGGTTTTGCTGCAAGCCAAGGTCAAGCTTTTTTTTTTCTTAGTGCAGGGTAAACTCGCAATATATGACGTCCTTCCATCCAGCCCACATCAACATCATTTCGAACCAAGGACAAACAACTCCCATTCCACCCACCTCGCACTCTCTCCTGCGCAATAGCAGCTATTATTACCCTTCTAGACGTCCCGGGACGTTGAATTCGTTTATATCGGTAATCTAGCTATACAATTCGGCCTCCTGCGACCCAACAATCAGCCATGTCGCGACGAAGCCCTGCAGCGGGCGGCAACGGGCCCGAGAGCTCTGAAACCCCCAAGGATGCCGGTATGGGCCTCGCTATACAAGATACATGCGTTGGAGTGACAGTCTGACTGATATGTTTCCTTTTGCTAGGCCAGGATAAGCAGAAGATACTCCTCTCTGCAGACACAGGCCACTTCAGCTTGATCAGGTGCGCAAACAGCTGGAATATTACTGATGATGACTGCTCTCCCCCCCTTCTAACTCGGCGGTTTGATACTTCTAGGGCCTTGCATCTTGCCGATTTTATTACGGAATTAAATGGTATGTGGTCGCCTCAGTTCTGATACAAGTTGGGCGGGCCCATTGCTGACTGACGGCTTCTTAGGATTTTGCGGAGGCAAGTTTTCGGCAACGATCATCGATCTCGATCACCTAGAGAGTGCCGAAAAAGCCTATAACTATATCTGAAGCTGACCAGAAAATCTCCAGTGATGTCGATATTTTCGTCGTTGAGATACTGCCTGGGTGAATCCCACCAGCATGGAAACATCTGGATGGCCCTTGGTTTCATCCCGTTCGGCCTCTTCTTCGACTTCATGGATGGGAAGGTTGCCAGATGGCGGAAGAAGTCGTCGCTGATGGGCCAGGAACTGGACTCTCTAGCGGATCTGGTACGCATTTCGACAGATACTGAACTTATTTTAAAACCCCTCAGCCAGCCGTGCGCAGAAATTTGTTGATACCTCTAACACTTGACTAGGTCTCGTTTGGCGTTTCTCCTGCAGTGGCAGCATTTTCAATTGGAATCAGATCGCCGGTTGACCACATCCTACTCACGCTCTTTGTTCTCTGCGGTCTCACTAGACTCGCTCGATTTAACGTCACTGTCGCAACACTCCCCAAGGATAAGACAGGGAAGTCAAAATACTTTGAAGGAACCCCCATTCCAACAACGCTAGTGCTTGTGGGAATAATGGCGTATTGGCTGTCTCAGGGTTGGATTTTGGAAGATCTTCCACTCGGTGTAATGCTCCCAGGCACTGCGCTCGAATTTCACCCTGTTGTTGGCATGTTTCTTGTTAGCGGGTGCCTGATGGTAAGCAGATCTATACATATCCCAAAGATATGATAGACTCTACCTGTCGTTTAGTACCTTTTTTGGTTTTGTTAGTATCATTCGCTTTTGTTGTTAAAGAAAAAGAAAGAGAAAGAACTGTTTAGCAATCTGACGAATTTTGATGCACACTTTGGGTGCCCTTTGACCTCGCCGTGACATTGTTTAGTTTTATGAGCAAGCCAGTTAAGTTTCCGGTTTCCAGTCAGTCAGTGTTGGCAAACATGACGCGGTTCTATGGTCTTGATAATCAGATACACCAGTGTCGAAATCCGGATGATAAAGGACTCCATTGGTTAAAACTTCGTGTCCTTTTTCAGTCCTTTTTGTATTCTTTTTTGTGTTTGGTAACAGTTCCCGACTCCGACCTATGTTTAGCCAGAGCCTCGTTTGACAGCAATCCTTCGGCTACTAGCACGAAGAGCCACGGACTTCGGGGCCATACGGAATATTCGCATATCCGCTGTGACAAAATAGCAAAAATAGTCAAAAATATCAACTCTCAGATACAAAGAAGGACAAAACGGACGTATCACCTCAATGTGATGGGCCACAATAACATCCAGGATGGCCCTCGATCTATTCCACGAAATCAGCGATCCAGGGGAGATTAAAGGAGCGCTCTCTGCACGCACAGCGATCTAAACTCTTCAGCCTCGACGACAGGCTGGAGATATGGTTGGGAGCAGGTGCGAGCTAGTATCGGAACACGGGCTTTTGCAGGATGAGCTTTGTTCTAGATCATTCTTGGTAGAATGACTGAGACATATGTTGCCGTATTCCAAAAGCCTCAAAATTATTCTCCGCTGTCTCAGCTGGCTTTTTGACAGCTCAAGCTGTGACCGGAGGTGCGCGGTTTTGAGGATCTTGGGCATCTTCTTTGCGAATTATTGATGCCCTTGCCCAAATGTTTGCCCGCACTCCAGGCTTGCCACGTATCTTGAGCCGTAATCCAGCCATCCACCCATTTCACTGTCATCAACCCGCGCCCTGCATCCGTTACAGGAAAACATGATGCATCAGGCCAAATGTTCCAATTATGGAAATCGAGCACGCCAGCCACAGGGCATAAAAGATGTACTCTGTATGATGCACGCCGATATGCCAGTTGATGACTTAATCGGCCCCCAGTAACGGAGTAACTGCTAGGAGACGAATCATTTCTGGCGCTTGAAAGCGACTACCCCTGCTTAGTCCTGAGTTAAGGGCAAATCACACGATAGCAGGGATCCACGAAGTCTTAGTGTCTTACTTGATGCGCAAGCAAAATAGATTACAGATTTACTATTGACAGGGGAAGTTGGTAGCCACCGGGACCGGCTAGCGCCAAGTCAGCCATAAAATACAGCGCAACAGAGCAAGAAGAATGTCAACAGAAGCAGAAGACAATAGAACAAACATACGTTTGGGGGTGGAGAGGTAACCGCCCGCCCCCAGTGGCGAGAAGCTCCGACACCAGAAAAAAATAAAGAAAGGGGAGACAACGGAAGCAGCGGCCTGGGGATCGTGTTACACTTCCGCTCGTGCTTACGAGACTTGCATGTTATCTTACAGCAGACATGCACGCAAAGAAGACGAGAATGGTTGCTCGCAGGGGTACGCTTTAACCGCAGTTGGACCGACTGGAGGAATCTCCAAGGGTATATGACGGCGAAGAGCAATAACTACTGTTCACTCACCACTGTGCCGTGGATGAAAGACAGTGTAAAAAAAAAAAAAAAAAAGAAAAGAAAAGGACGATCAAATGATGTCCACCATCACTCCGTCATTTTGCATACAACTTTCAAGGCCGATGCTTTCTGCCAGCACAGCGAGCCTTTTCCTTTTGAGATGACATGATACTTTCCCCATACTCCATACTGGGCCTGCGAATATACGGCGAAGGCGACCACCTGGCTGCACCGCCACGGATGGCATATCCCGCCCCTGAAGCACACTAGATGTTACAAGTACCAGTTCCGGGCCAGGATGCAGCAAGCAGCGGGTGTTCCTGGGCCCAGAAACCAATTTCGGGGTCAGAGCGTATTCCCTATGTACCACTAGGACAACTATCGCCTGCGCTTTAACGACCGGCAAAGTTCGCAGGCGCTTCTGATTGGGTTGCACCGCATACCGAGCCTGCATGTGAATGGTGACACCCCTTTTTTCTAGCAGCCCAAGCAGGTACGGCCGCCGTATATGTATATCGAACGGTTCCAGTTCTCCATAAATTACCTGGATATGCATGGTCATAAACGGCAGGGATACGGCAAGTTCTCGCCCAGACACGCACTTCGTCCCTTGCCCAGAGCGAGGCTTCTCCTCTCCTTTCCATCGCTCGTACAACTCCGTCCCTTCTGCCTCCATCTCGCATTCTTCGACAGTCCTTTTTTTTTTCTTTCCCTCCACACTCTTTTTTCCTTAGGCTAGGTTCATCTCGTCGAGCGGCTGCTGATGAGATCGTCTGCTCCAACCACAGTCCTTCAGAGTCCTTGAATGCTAGGGCTCTCTCCTCCCGGTTACTCCGTCAATTTCACACTCTCTTAAACGTCAAGTCAATCAATTTTTTTCGATTGCGTGGTTTTTTTGAGGTTCGTCCATCTCATCAACTTCCCCTTCTCACCCACCCCCTCTCCCTCAACCCGACGTACCAGCAACCCATATGAAGCCATCTTCCGAATGAAAGCCCGATAACTTCGGCCATACTAACACTGTGTATCGCAGGCGTCCTCGTAGGTGGTGCATACAGATACACACATCTTGACGTACGAATTATTTCATCGGTGCCGACCTGTCACTGGGCGTACGGACCGGTATCCTCAGGAGGACGCTGGAAAGGAGATGTTTTCAAGTCGAATATAAAACATCAACTCATTGATATCCACCCAGGGCATTCCGGCCAACCATTCTCTGATATCGACCGTCCCAGACTCGGCGTCTCGCTTGACATCCATTTCTTTATATACAAGTCGACCCTCCCCTTCATCCACAGGGGTAAAAAAAATTATTATTATTTTTTTTTTTTTTATCAAGAATCAACCTGTAAATATGAAGATATATACGCCCAAGGCCGTCATGGCGGTGGCCTTCCTACTGAGTTCGAGCCTGTCATGCGTTGAAGCGAAACTCGATGAAAGCCTCAAGGGATGCTACAAAGGTTCCGGAAGTTTGAAGGACATGGGGCCCACCAAATACCAGAGCACAGGAGCTTGTCGAGACTTATGCACCCAATCTCAGAACGCAGTATTTGCGCTTCATGACACTGACCGATGCTCTTGCGGTGATAAATATCCTCCAGAGAGCCTGAAGGCCGCATCTACAGATAAAACCTGCGTTCTCGTCAACTGCCCTGGCTTTGACAAAGATAAATGTTCGTCCATCCTGCTTCTACCTTTCCTTTATATTTTCTGGTTTATGGTGCGGACAAATGACTAAATTGATGGCATTCTAGGTGGTGGAAAGAACAGCTTTGCAGTCTACCTGACCGGTCTAGTCGATGACCCGGCAACAGAGGGCGGCGCAGACGACGGCGATGCCACGAAGACATCGTCGACTCCTCAGCCAACAAGCAGCGAGGGAGGAGGACACACGATCATCATCACTCCTAGCAGCAAGCCTGCCCCGTCAGGCCCCAACAAGGCTGGAATCGCCGCCGGTGTAGTCGTCGGCGTCGTGGCCATCGGCGCCATCATCGGGGGTGTCATCTTCTTCCTCAAATACAGAAAGCGACAAAAGGTAGTTGATGAGTACCGTCGCAACCAGACAATCAACAACTTCGTCGCTGGAGGGAAACCGTCGTACAGCCAGAGCTCGGCGGATTCACGACTAGACCCAAGCATGACATCTCAGCGCCGCCAGAGCAACGGCAGCATTGCTGACGACCAGGACTTCTCACGGCGGGTTTTGAAGGTACATACTATCATCCGTCTTTCCCCCACCTGCTTACGGTTCCCCTTGGGCTAATAGTTGCATCATCTCCAGGTCACCAACCCGGATGGAAATTACTAAATATACCCACGTCGATATACGTTCATCAAGGCCGCCTCCTACTGCCTCTGCCTTTCCTTCTCCTTTTTGTCTGGGGGGAGCGCTCCCCATTCTAATTGATCGCGACTTGTCGATACTCCTGATTAAACCCGATTATTAACGCCCGTGTATATTTCCGTTCCCTCGCCGTCGCTTACACTTGTACCTCAGCCCCCGTTCCCCGACCTGTATTTTCAGCTTTGACCTTACGACCCAAAACTAACCTCCACCTTGTGATTCCTTCTCGGCGTTATACCACGTTCGCACAGTCTTTTCGGAAAGGAGGGGAGTTTTGTGGACGTATACTCCTTTTTTTCATCTCCTTTTTCTTGTCTGTACACCCTCACTCTCACTCCTTCCCTACCGCAGACGAGTACGGGATAAGCAAAGCAGACGTCTGGGGGTGAATTTGAAGTCTTCCAAATGAAATGACCAGTCAAAGTGTCGTCCTTCCAAGCTCCTCTATTTTCCTTATGCCCATTTTTTCTGTTCTCCTTCCTGCTCCTCTGTTGGACGTGTGCTATGATCCATATCTCTCGTGGCCTGCCATATTCCCGAACTCTTGTTATATCTCTCTTATATCTCTTTACCTACATATCTTCTATCTCCTTTCCCCCCCTCCCCCTCCGTCTTCCTATATACCTTCTACTATGTATGCATCTGGGCGTTACTGTGTATTATTCCTCACCGGCTTCCTATATACATCTCTTATTTTTACTAAGTTGACGTCTTGGACGACTGGCTCTCTCTTACCCCCGTTTTATACCGTACATATATATACATACTATTATTACTATATGGTCTATCTGTCTGCCTTCTATGATTATCTGTCTACTCGTCCTGCTCATGTTTATCCCTGGTATTAAATTAATACGTCCCAGCTGCCCCTCGACGTCCATTGGGCCATTTTCGCCCTTGCCGTCGATCAGAGCATGGAGATCACACCCGTAGCGCTTCACATGTCCACTTTTCCTCCCATTCATCTTGCTCCGTTGGAGTCATTTGACAGTTGTCTCGGCATCTGGATACAAGAGCAAGAAAAGAAGACAGGCGAAGTCAAGAGAAGACAAAGGGGTGGGAAAAAAAAGCAAAGGCTCGTCGTGTATATCGCTAACTGGCCGATACGTATCATATTCCGGGCGCTCACCTCCTCTGCCGCAGGGCACCCTCTCTCTCTCCCGTTGCCTAACGCCGCCCATCGCTCGTGTGTATCAGATTAAGCTCTGGTAATCCCCATTCTATTTACTCGGCAGATGCTTGAGGTTAGTAAAAAGAAGGGAGGAATTCAGCTCCGATACTCAATATACGAAAGGCGAGAAATGCAAGAGGTGGAGGGGTGTGTTGAAAGGCCAATATCAAACTTGTTTATTGTTGAGATCCAGGGGCAGCCGCTCAAATAGTCAAACCCTCTGGGAGGACAAACGGGCTGTGAGCCAGGGGTCGACGGAGCACTCGCCGGCCCTGTCGTATGGGTGCAAACAAAGTAGTCGAGGCCTTGTGCCGTCATACCTTGCCTGCAGTCGATTGTTCTGCAGTGGAATGGGTGCTTATGCGCTGGCCGTGTCACAGTCCCTCACTTTGTGCATGTAGACACGGCACTCATTACTCTGACCTCAATAATGGGGCCTCAAGCTTGTATCCTGTACTACCCCAGCTTCTGGGGTAAGCTACTGATGATACTGGGGCGAGTCTCATGGACGAAAGGAACTGTAACTGAGGTAACTAACTAACGAGGCTTTTTTTTTTTTTTTTTTTTTTAAAAAAAAAAAAAAAAAAACTATCTGAGATTGATATCTATGGGAACGAGCAATGCTAGTTTTGGGTAGCTAGTTAGCTACTTGTTAACAGGTGTAAAAAAAGGATATAAAACAAAAATGCTACATATTATCGTAATACTTCCAAAAGACGCCCATGCAACTAGCAACGACCAAATCTAACATCTTTAGACCCTCGTCTTCAATGATTAGTTTGCCCAGCTTAGCGCTGTTGCCGCGTAGACCTCCGCCAGCCCGTTCGCGCGCAAGACTTAGATCTAACTCTCCGACCCAGGGGGAGCTCTTGGTTGGGCTGCTATTTTGGTCACTCGAGCTGGACGGCCGGGGCAGTAAGGTTGGCAGGTTGAACCGTATTTCAGCTACTGTTGTAGTTGTGGCTGAGGATGGCGATGTCCCTGCAGCTCCTGGGATGGTATGCTTGCACTTTAAAGTCCTTCCGTTGGCAGCAGTGACAAAGTTACAGTAACCGTTCCAAATGGACAGAAACTGGTAATGTCCGTTAGACTTTTGAGGGTACTTGTTGGCCTTGGGGGAGGAGAGATTGAACATCTCGCCGTGAGATGAGGGCTGGTGTCTATGGTGAGACGACAACTGCGGTGGCTGCCAGAGCTTAAGGAGACGGGTGAACTTGACAGGGCCTGCCCCGCGGCCTGTATCTGACATATCCTCTACCTCTCGGGACATATTCGATGACATGCTTTGCTGTGGGGGCCGTGCAGTGTCCGAGCGGCGCGCAGCGGCAGGAAGCTTGATGCCTAGACTCTCAAATGACATTCGAGACGTATCAACTGCGAATTTCTGATAGCCAGGCGTGGTGATTTCAACTTTGATAGAGCCGTCTTGTCTCCCTTCAGAAGGGGAGCTGCCTATGTTATCGATTGTGCCGACGTTCCACTGGCTGCTGTGGGTTGGATCACGTCGTATGAGTGTCAAGTGGAAAGGGGGTGCAGGAGCAGCCTCTCGTGGCCGCTCGTAGCTTTTCCTCGGCCTCAGGGGCAGCGGTGGTTTAGGACCTTCGTCCTCTGGTATGTGTAAGAGACCTCGTTGGCTCTGGGGGCGTGGTGTGGGTTCAGGCTGGAATAACGGCCTCCTGCCGCCATCCCAGCTGGCTCGCACTGTTGTTCCAGAAGTCTGGTCATGCCGACTCTGCAACTGCGGCGACCCTATAGCGGATATTGATGCGGTTACCTGGGCACTCCACCGCCGTGTGTCTTCATCAACAGGCTGAACGGGGAGTGGTCGAGGTGGGAGAATCGGTGGTTGCGGCTCCCACAGAGGCTGGCCGGGCGACCCTGACACGCCGATAGGAGAATGCTCATGCACAGGAGTTACACTCCCTAGAGCTAGATCCTCCTGCTCCCTTTCGCATCTTATATTTGCATTTTGCTCTGGATCTTGGGTTATAAGTTGGGGTCGGGTTGGTAGGGGAGGGGCCGCTTCCTGTTGGGCATTGGCCGCCGTGGATACGCCAGGCACCGGTTTTCTGCGAGTCCGATTCAGGATCGCGAGTTTGCTTGTTTGCGGTATTGGATTCATAGTCTGCTGTTGCTGCTGATGTTGTTGCTGGGTATGCCGTTCTTTTGCTATAGATTCTAGGATTTCTTCGTCCCGCGGCCCTGCCACATGTATGAAGTATAAGGACGCATTTAGAGATTCGGGAGAGAGACTGGACTTTGTCGGCGGTTTCAGCGGCGAGAGAAAGATATCTACGTAAATATTTCGTGTCAGTATCAAGGGTCTCTGAGCTGGCTGCCCGGTGGTTTCGTCCGATCTCACCTTTGCTGCCGGGCACGCGAACAATGTACAGAACGAGCGGCTCCAGCGGCTTCTGCGTTGGATTCCTGGGATACGCCGGCGGGTTCGAGGCGAGGCTGACGATAGACCCCAGCGAACGAGCCTCGACGGGAGCGCCGTCCATCGGTCGTTTGCAGACAGCGCTTGGATGGTGGATGGAATGTCCAGCTGGAGGGGAGTTTGCGATAAGATAGTTATAGCGGAGTTTGTAGGCTTTAACTAGCTGGGTTGGCTGTGGCTGAGGGCGCCTGCAGCCCAACGCGGTCCCAAGGAGCGACGAGAAAGGACAGAATGAGAAGAAGAAGAAGAAGAAGAAGATGATGATGATGATGATGAAGATGGCGACAGGCAGCTATTTATTGCTTTTTCGCGTCTACGTCCAGACTCAGCCGCGAGTTTGCTATTCACCAACGCCATACCAAGATACCAAGCTGACTACTGGATAGTTACAGCTGAAGCCCGAAGACGAGGACGAAGGCGAAGAGCCAATGGCTGAATTCAGCTTGACGAGGCCTGATTTACCTTGGACAAGAGCCCGAGTGTAAATAATAGAGAGAGAGAGAGAGAGAGAGAGAGAGAGAGAGAGAGCAGGAAAGAGAGTCGAGTTTGATATCAAGATGTTGCGATTTCGGTATAAATAGCACGAAAGCCACAGTGGATATATGCACGCTGTCAGAAGTGGTTATGCTGATGCCTGGACTGCGCCTCACGATGATGAAGTAAAGATGCATGCACGCATGTATGTAGACTATTTCATGTGTGACTATTTGATCACAGGGCCTGCGCGAGGTGAAAGATCAGGTTATCAATCAGGCCTGTCTGCTGGGTGCTCGAGTAAGACAGGCTGTGGATAGCTGGATTAAATGACAAGAACGAGATATATCTGTGCCTGTGCTATGGCTGTGAGTATGGACAATAGGAGATAGGAGAGGGCAGGGAGAGTGCAAGGAGAGGGTCTGGAACAGTAAGAAGAAGCTCAAGCAGAACCAAGTGAAGCAAGCAAATGATAGACATATAGTATGACAAGAGCCGGTTGATCAGTCGGAAAACGATTATTACGCCTTCAGCTCCAAAAACTCCCCCAAAAGAAAGACGACGGATGATTCAGACAGAGGATGAAAACAAAACAGAAAAAGAAAAATATGGCCTGGTGTATCCGTTCTCCTCCGCCTGTCGTGACTCCCGATTGTATAATGGTACTTGGTTTAAGAGGGTGATGAAGAAATGAAAGAAAATTGTAAACTCCGCGGGTCCAGACGGCACTTTTTATACTGCAGTCTCTGACCGTTCGTTCTCGGCAATGATAGGGACGGGGAGGCCACGGTTAGGGCTTTGGAGGATTAACTGTTCATGTCTTCGTGCCCTGAGATAGTCGCTGATAGCACGGATAAGGATGAACCAGCCAACAACCATGAGGATATAGGAGAGCCAGTCGCTGGTGGTGAGGCCATGAAATGATGACCCTGATTCGCTGGAGCCATCGACGGCACTAGGGTTGAAGTCGTGGCTGTTTGGGTCTGGTGGGTTGACGTATCCGTCACCTCCGGTGTCCGAGTCGGGAGGGCTGTAGCCGTCTGTGTTTCTCATGTAGAAGCCGTACTGTACCATGGTAAGACCGAGGCCGGCTCTGCTTCCATTCTTGGCTGCGTGAGTGGTGTGTAGGAGGTAGGTGAGAAGGAAGCCGACGAGCTGAAACGAGGTCGAGATCATGCCGTTCCAGGCAAACGAAAAGACGGAGCCGACGGGGAGGCCTTCAACGTAAACCTCGTCCGACGACATGCCAGGAGCCACGATGGTGGTCTCCCAGTACGGAGGAGCAGCATCTGCCGCCGCTTGTTCATATGTCTACAACTCATCGTCAGTCATACATCAACATAATCTCTTCTAACGCCTTCAATAATAAAAGTTTTTGGTCAGGGGCTTACTGGTGGTAGATCGTCGAGTTTCTCGCCTCCTCGCTCTGGCTTGGCTGACAGATTCGCAAACACTCCATCGTTGGTGCCTCGGATTACTCGAGATGCTGAGGCGTTGGGTCGTCCTGCTGCTGGTTGAGCACTGTTGCTCCCTGCTGGCGCTTCTGACGGGTCGATGTCTGGCGTCGTGTTGGCAGGGCTCCCCCTCATCAACCGCTGTCTGTCATCGGCCCCTTCTTCGTCATCAGTGTGTCCGTCATCATCCCCAAAGGCATCGGCCAGTGTTCGATCTGCGTCTGAGTGTAGAGGGTCCTGGGATAGCACGCGGCGAGATGCTGGGGATGGTGTCCGCGAATGAAAGGAGGGTGGAGGGGATGACGGGATAGGCTGCTGCTGTGTGGCTTGAGAAGATACAGCGTCGTCTTCGCTGCGAGTATTTACCTACAAGGCAAACGCGCCGTGGTCAGTATGGGTTTCCAAACCGCCGTGACAGGACCCCCAAGAGGCTTGGTTGGTGCCGTGGTTTTTGCGGGTGCCTTGGGGGACTTACGGGTTCATATCGATGTGAAGTCATAGTGTCCCTTCGTCCACGGCCGCCCCCGAGCAGCAGACTGGAGCGAAGACTGGTATTCGAGGGTTCTCTCTGGGAAAACCCACTGCGCGGTGACACGTTCTCTATCAGCAAACAAAACGTAGCAGAAGAAGCAAGCGAGCAAAGCCGGTGCTTTTCTTCGTCTCTTCTTCGTCGTCTTCGTCTTCTTATCTTCTGCTGCTTCAGCTTCTTTTGCGGTCGAAAAAGGGCGAAACAAGCCACAGTCACGTGGAAGGTCACGGGACAACTTTATTCCGCGGTTTTGGCTTTTGCGGTCAAAATGGAAGTAATTTGGATGGACGACGACGACGAAGAAGAAGGCGTTGATACAGGCCAGATAACAGGGAGTGAAGGCTGTCAATACCCAGGGTTAGCCTGAGACAGGGCAGGAGAACATGTCGTCCAAGGTATGAGGTGATCCAATTGGCCTGGATGTGCAGTGAAGAAACAGTATACTAACAAGTTCAAATAGCTCCCTCCAAACACAGTCGGGCAGATCCAACGCCTCATACTCAGATGGCCCAAGGATCCCATTCGACCAGAGTCCGTTTCGGTCCAGAGATACCTCCAGTCACGGCTTGAGCCTCCGCGCCCTCAGTCCTCCGATTTTTCTCTCACGTCCTACATCACATCCTTTTTCTCGCGATCCAAACCACAATCACAGGGTGATGCGTCACTACAGCCTCCTCTACTATCACAGGAAAATATAAAAGTGCTACAGTCGTTTTTGGATAATAAATATCAGAAAGGATATCCCCTTCGGAAGAACGTGCGGTACCCCGCCAGTATGCCACAGCACTACGACCGGCTGATAAAGGAATTTGACGAAGCTGCGAATCGATCGGCATTTGCACGATTGGGTAGAAGGATCGGGGGGTCAGTAAGGCTGAAGTAGACGGTCAGGAAGGAAGGCAGCCATGGATCATTTATAGAAATACTTCAAGAGTCGGACCTGGAGTAAGGGATGTTAATGTGTAAGATACATCGGAGCACGAAAAACTATGTCTTGAAAGACACCTCAATTTAATAGAATATTAATTGATGAATATATCAAAAATTTATGTATATATATATCAAAATAGATTCCCCCGGAAAAGATTCGTCAAGTACATCCCATATGCCCAGCAAACAACACAAAAGAAATAGGAAATACAAGAAAAAGAATCATGGTATATACAGAAGAAACTCAGCGCTTTCTTCGCTTACAACATTGGCTTAACGTCATCGGCTATCTTGAAGGGAGCTTCTGTTTTGGAGCGGACCTCCTCAACGGTAACACCATCAGCCAACTCGATCAGAGTAAGGCCGTTGGCAAAGTCAACATCAAAGACGCAGAGTTCGGTGATGATTCGGCTGACACAAGCTCGGCCAGTGAGTGGGAACTCGCACTGCTTGAGAATCTTGGGGTTGCCCTTCTTATCGGTATGTTCCATGGTGACGACGACTTTAGTAGCAGTAGGGTTGGAGACGAGATCCATGGCTCCTCCAAAGCCCTTGACCTTACCTGGAAGCATCCCTATTTGAAGTGTTAGATACATACACATTGGGCAAAATCAGAAAAAAAAAAGGAGGGGAAGAGGCAGAAAGAATACACTTACAGTTGGCCAAATCTCCCTTAGCGCTGACCTGCATGGCACCAAGGATAGTCAAGTCAATGCGTCCGGCTCGGATCATTCCAAAGGACTCTTCGCTTCCGAAGATGGAGGCGCCAGGGAGAAGAGTGACGGTCTCCTTGCCCGCGTTGATCAGGTCAGCATCCTGCTGGCCCTCCTTGGGGTAAGGTCCAAGACCCAGGATACCGTTCTCAGACTGAAGCTGGACTTCAACTGATGGGTCAACGAAGCTGGGAGCAAGCATGGGCATACCGATACCCAAGTTTGCGTACATTCCGTTCTTGAATTCCTTAGCCGCGCGGCGTACGATGCGCTCTCGCTTGCTGGCGGTTTCGCCCTTGCCAAGTGCAGCGGTATCCTCATTCTCCTTAGCAAAGGTGAGTCTCTCGATTTGCTTCTCGGCTTTGCTCTGGATGACACGCTTGACGTAGATTCCGGGAAGGTGGACAGCGGCTGGGTCAATCTCGCCGACCTCAACGATGTTCTCCGCCTCAACAATAGTGATCTTTGCGTTACGGCCCATGGCACCGTTGAAGTTGGCGGCAGAGTATCGGAACTGGCAGTTTCCAAGCTTGTCTGCCTTCCAGGCCTTGACCAGGGCGTAATCTCCCTTGATGGACTCTTCCATAACATAGCTCTTGCCATCGAAAACCTTGACGTCTCTTGGGGTTCCGTAGGTTGCAACAGAACCATCTGGGTTGTTCTTCACAGCCAAGTCACCTGTCTGCACGACAGTGCCAAAAGCAGCTGGGGTGTAGAAGGCGGGGATACCAGCACCACCAGAACGGCAACGCTCAGCAAGGGTACCCTGAGGAGTGAGCTCCAGCTCAATCTCTCCAGAAAGGTACTTTTGCTCAAGAGACTTGTTTTCTCCAACATAACTGGCAATCATCTTCTTGATCTGTCCGCTGGCAATCAAAAGACCAAGCCCCGCACCGTCGATACCGGCATTGTTGCTGACAGCAGTCAAGCCAGTGATAGAAGGAGTAGAGTGAATCTCATTGATCAGGGTGCCAGGAATACCGCAAAGACCGAATCCACCAGCCAGCACTGTCGAGTTGGACTTCATGTCCTTGATCGCCTCTTTGGCAGAGGGGTAGACCTTGTTGATCTCGAATCGAGCAACGGTGCTCGAAAAGGCACGAACGAGGAAGTGTTGGCTCTGCAGATAAGCCATATTTAGTTAGCTAAATATGCCTTCATCATGAACCCTTAAATTGAAGGGATTCCCATACCGATGCTGGGTTGGCAGCGAACCTCCCCGCCGTGCGGAGGCAGGTCTTTGCAGCGTAGAAAGGCATTGTCGCTCAAGTTTAATGCGGAAAAAACAGCAAAATCTACCCAGGTGCCGGCCCCTCTCTAATGTTCTTCCTTGTCTCTGCTGCCGTCTGACTGCTGCCGTTGATGGTGGTTGGTGGTTGGAGGTGATGGTGTCTTGCTCGCGTGAAGCTCGGGGAATATGTACTGCCTCCTCAGTATGCGCTTGGCGAGGGGCGGGAATTTCCGTGTATTTCTTTTCGAGTATCGGCCGTGCGGGCCGAAGACTTAACCGCAGCGCATGCAAACGCCGAAGACAGGGATACAGCAGGACAAATTGCCCTTCACGTAATACTAGCCACGCAGACAATGAAAACTACGCACTTCTGCCCTTCCTTCAGGCCGTTCGGCTCTCTTACTTCTTCCTTTCTCTGCTTTTGCGTCTTTCTTTGCGTCTCCTCGAAGTCGCTTCTTCACGCCCTTTTTCGTGCCTCGGCAAAATCGGTATTTTGCTTGGTCAGAAAGTCCGCATCTAACCACAGTCACGTGTTGCGGATGTTCAAACTGCCGCTTATTGCCGCTCTTGATTAAGCCTTCCTGATACGGTAATATCAACAGCTTCTCGCCTGCATTCATTATAGACTCACAACAGATAAAAGATGTGCTTGCCACTACATCGATGGAAACAAATATTATTAGATTATTAGCCTGGCTCTTCCATGATACAGGTGGGAGGCTCAAGGTGAAAGTCCACGACCACTATAATCACGCCTGATGCTGCCCGGACCGGGGACTGTTGCGGCGAAAAGTGGGATACCAAAACATTGCGTTTGCATGGCACCATCGCAACGGTCTCGGATTCGCGCATCATGTCAACATACACTTCGTGCAACTGTTTTATGTGAAGTCGGCCACTGGATATTCTTGAAGAAAGATAACCCTGCAAACGAAACAGGCACACTACCAAGCGAAAACTACTAGAATTAAGAGAAGCCAGAAAAATTTTTATTGTTCGTTGCGATCCAAATTAATATAGCCTTCTCCCCCGTCAACCAAACTATGGCTGAGGATGGAACAGGAACCAGGATGCTTAAATAACAAAACGGGCAGAGTGCAGATATTTTTGTCGTAAAGCTGCAACCTTTTCGCAATTAGCTAGCGCTTTACAGAATCCCTACTTCCGGTGTGGGTTTATAGTTATATGGATGAGCGACAGTGTGCGACGGTGGTGATGTGGTGATGCCAGGCAGGGCTACCCGCCTTCTCGATCCGGATGTTTTGTAAGTTCAAATCTAGAAAATTTTTACATTGTCTAGTGGTTTACAACTGCTGATACTCCGTAGTTTTGATGAAGATACTGTTATCCAAGTATATCAACTTCAAAGGAGTTGAGAAGCGATAAAGTTAGAGTTAAGCTATTTTTAGTGCGGCTCAACAATTAAAGTTCACGTGTCGTCCAACTCCATATACATTTTAGGTAGTTCGATAGGGAACAAATTCCCCTCGAAACCTTTATCGTACTAACTTCTACTTACTTTCATACAGTATGCCACCTAAGCAGATAAATGATGGGTTTGATGCCCAATCATATCCGCATTCATTATCTATTTTTCAGTACAATAGTGACATAAGATGCGGGCCGGCCTGTTACATGTTGTAACCATGTGCCGGGCACGCCGTATGAAAGATTTGAAATTCCATCATATCAATATATCAGATTACTTGCTTTTTGTTCCTTGGAATTAATTTATATTTATGTCAATTCTAACTCATTGAATCTCACTTCACCGGCTGTTACGTCGGCGACACTATGAATTCTAGCTTGTATTTCATTGTTACTTGAACAACACCTCACAAGACACATGTGCTACCATTATCCTATCCTGTGTATTCCCAGAATTAAGACACAAATGGTAGTTGATAAGTCGAGGTACCGCATTTTCCTGTCCCATTTGAAACATCTTAGTACTTAATTCTGCTACATCTAATCTTCGCCCCTTCTCTCGAGGCAAAATGCCCATAACTGAGCAAGACACCAAACCATGCCATCGTCCGGACCAAACTGCCTGTGTTAAAAAGAGCGGTGATACCACCCCGCCATTGGTGGTGAATGATAATTTAGAAGCGGCAAATAATAACGAGGCGAAAGGCGGTTTCAAAGCATGGATCTATGTCCTTGCTTCGTTTTTCTTGTTTATGAACGCATGGTGAATAACAGTCCGGATAAAACAACTTATGTCTTATCAGAACTGACGAATGAACAAACCAGGGGCCTAACGCAGACCTTCGGGGCGTTCAACCAGTACTACGTCAGCAGCTTGCTTTCCACCAACTCTCCCAGCTCCATCTCTTGGATTGGTAGCTTCCAGGTGTCCCTGGTCATTGTCCTTGGTGTTTTCACTGGTCCTCTATTCGATGCAGGGTATTTGCGCCAGATGCTCACACTCGGCTGTACTCTTGTCGTTCTTGGAATGAGCATGCTATCGCTGGCTACTGCATATTGGCAGGTATTTCTTGCTCAGGGCATATGTGTTGGTCTCGGCTCTGGCCTGCTCTATGTACCGGCCCTGGCATTTGTTTCGACACTGTTCCCAGGCTCGGTTCGTCCCTGGGCAATTGGCTGCGTGAACGCCGGTGGAGGCATGGGTGGTATCGTCTATACGTTCATGCTGCGTGACCTGCAACCTCACATCGGTTTTGGCTGGGCTGTCCGTGCGATTGCTCTGGTCACTCTCGTGTTATCAGTCGTGGCTCTAGCAATTCTCCTCCCTTATCGCTCAAAGGCTCCCAAACCCCAACAACGACGAGCCATATTTGATCTGAAAGCACTTCGTGAGCCCAGTTTCTTACTGTTCTCAATCGCCATGTTTTTCAACTACCTTGCTTTCTACATTACGCCCTTTTATATACCGATGTATGCGACAGAGGCCTTGCATCAATCCCGCAGCTTTGCATTCGCGTGCCTGGTGTACATGAGTATTACATCCATCATCGGACGTACCCTGCCCATGTTAGCTGCGGGCCGCTTTGGTTCTCTGCAGGTATATACTGCCGCAACACTAGGAACTATAGTTGCTCTGTTTTCCTGGACGGCTGTTCACAATGTCGCGGGTTTTTTGGGCTTCGCTTTGATGTATGGCATAGTCTCGGGCGTGCAGGTTGCAGCCCCAAGCGCAGCAATGTCACATCCCGTACTATCCCCAACAATAAACGTAATCGGTACACGCATGGGCATGGGGTGGATGTTTGCTGGCGTTGGCGTTCTCGTTGGTTCACCCATCGCGGGTGCCTTAGTCAACGTGACTCCTGGTCGGGTAGACTTTAAACCAGCACAGAGCTTTGCAGGGGCCGTTGCCGCTGGCGCACTGCTGTGTTTGATATTCCCCCTCATTGCAGTTATCAAGCACGATAAGAAGACTGCTTGACGTTTTGTATTGATAACCGAGAAACCCCCTATTCTGCGATTCTTGATGGTCAGCTACAAAAAATTATATATAGGGGCGAAATTAAAATGCAAGGTCAGGGATTCGCTGTTATCCTCTCTGCGGGAATGACGGCTCTTATTCCCTTCCTAAGCTAAGGAGTTATATACACCAAAGCCACCACCCGGTAAGGAACAGCTGACACTGTGAAGGAATGCAAGTCTAACGTTCGCTGGGAATGTCTGATAAGCGCTTTTACAGGAGACAAAGGGATATCCATATCAAGAAGAATACGAAGGCAAGGAGAAAGTAAAATGGTGCTAAGAGATTTCTCTATGGTATCGGAGGGGCAATAGAGTTATAGTATGGGCGTCGAATAGTCATAATAATGGATTCGGTATGGAGTGGGGGAGTAGGGTATACGATTTCAAGTCGTGAAAATAGTATTATGGTTAGTTCTTTGATGCAACAGTCGGGTCTTCCTCACTTTCGGCGCCCTTTCGTTTTAATCGTTTGCGGTCGGGAGATGGTGATAGTTTCTTCGCCATCGCAGCTGGGCCCGTCGAAATGACTTTCTCGTCTACCATGCGTGTTCAGGCCGGTCAGCATGGTTACTTTCCCAGGTTCCCCGGATAGGGATACTGCCTTCGGTCCCTTGACGGAAGCTCTGTTGGCTGTCTGGGTGTGAGCTGTCCCTACCTGGGGCTGATTTTTGCGCCTCGTCATAGCTCGGAGGTAAGTCGGTCATTTCTACATCCGATCTGTCACCTGCACGTTCTCGGCCCGGTTTTGATTTTGAACTATCTGCCGTCAAGGTTGTCCGTGCCGGACGCTCCTCAACGTGCCGGCACACAGGTTTGGCCAGGCGTTTCTTTAACCCGTCGTTTAGATAAACAAGGAAGTAAGGGGTTGGCGGGTTCTTAACGTTGCGATCACTAAAGATTTCTGCCGTGCTGTGGACCTCGGTTACCTCGGAATCGTTATACTTTCGCCATATCTTCTTTTCAAAGTCAAAAATGTAAATGTAGTAGTGGCCGAATTCCACGGATCCATGATGAATAAATACCGCATAGAGATGGTAGGGGAGAGACTTCATATCAGTGAACTGATTATCTATCAAATGGGTGAGTTGTTCCATCCGAGAATCAATGCCTACATGCTAAGTTAGTACTATAGTGGAAAGCGACAAAGCAACTGGACTTCCACTTACGAATGAGCTCCTTTCTTGTCATTACTTCCAAATTCGAAAGATGTGTTAATACCCCTTCATCGATGTCTAGGGCATCGTCTCCCATTTCAGGATCGTCCTTCATCAACATCAAGTCTTGGACTTTGTCATGAGCATCTTGAAAAAGGTCGGGAAGGGATTCCTAATGAAGAAAAGTTAGTCAACGGTTGTTTTTTGTCATTATAGAGGGAGATAATACATTGTTACTTAATAGCTCCTCCCGCCGAACTTTTAACCCATTAAGCTCGTCGTTCCATGCCCACTTTTCTCGGCGTCGTTTATATAGACCCATATTATCATGTTCAGGGACGTCCATGTATCGGTCCATGTATATCGTTTCCTTTAGCTCTAAATGGTGAGTGGATTTGAAAGATGATTTCTTAACCTGATCGAACTGAACACGCTGCACTTGAATTTGTAGTACTGGTGGGATCTTGCTGATGGCTCCATACTGTTCTGCTTCCGCACCATCAACATGTACTTTTTGTCTATCAAAAGCACCGTCAATGGCAGAATAGATGTCTCTCGAGCCAGTGGCGACATCGACTTTGATGTCTGACCAGAACTCGTTTTTAGAACGTATACCATTCATTGCAGTGATGTAAGATTTGGTCTGTCCATAGAACAGACTTGTATCAAAGAGTTAGTAAGTTCATCAACTTAAAGCACTGAGAGGTATCACTTACTCCATGATCAAATCGATCTGATTCCCGTCTGCATCGATCTTGGTTGGCTTAATTGCGCACTGAGCCTGGAAGAGCACGTTGTTGATAACTTCCGTGACATCCTGCTGCGCACCCAACTCAACTTCTTCTCGAATTAGCTGCTCGTTATCAACCCGGGGAGTAGGCCGTGGGGGAACCGGTGGTGGTCTGTTAGGGGCTACAATAGCCTCCGACACCGGGTGTTCAGGTGTAATACTAGTTTCGCTGGAGGACGAGGTGACTTCTTTTGTTTCAACAGTTGGTACCACAGTTTGGTCTGAAGCGTTGCCAGACTCTAGCTCATTGGGAGCTCTTGTAGAAGGGGAGACGCCAGCGTCTTCTTTAGCCGACTCCTCCTTTTCTGGAGAGCTGCTACTCGGTGTAGACTTCTCTTCAGGGATTGGAGCTGGAGGACCAACAGGCCCCATGATGGGCATTCCATTAATCTCCCCTAACTCTGACGTCTTGTGAGTTGATAGAGATTTACGCCGAAACGCAGCTTCACTTGAGGAACTGAGCAACGTCAACCTAGCAAGCTCTTGGGTCGGTGTTACGAACCTCTTAGGGCTGCCCTTCTTAATAGGCTTTCCTTCCGACGTCACATCCTAGAGTATCTGTCTCTAGACCTTGTTCTGCGTATAAGTGTCATCAAGGCCAAGAGGAACCAACATTTCTGTGAGCGTTGGATCTCTAAAAGAGATACTTTTCGCGATCCAACCTTTTTATTCCGAATCACCTCCTCATCAAGTTCAGTCTTATACCGGTCAAGATCCAGTACCATATTCCGGAAAGGCTGGATGGTAAAGTAGAATTGAAGCAAACTGTTCAGGTAACAGGTGTTACCAATATTTCGAAGTCCGACTGGCCAGTCTAACAGCGCGCGGTTCGCTGGGGCGCTATCATCAACCAGCATGCTACGGATAACCGCGCTGCCACTCTCCTCGGCAATAACAGCGAGTGCTTGTCGATATGTATCGATCTGTTCGGGAGCTTCCGAGCAACATACTGAGTATGCAGCTATTATAGCAGCATCATCTACAGATCTATCGGGGATCTGTAGCAAGCGGAATGCATCCCCAATATCCATCTGGGCGGAGGCGGCTTCGCCTGTCTTGAGAAAATGTTGTAGGGCTTCAGACTTTCGGCTGTCTGCGATAAGTCGAACAGCTCGTTTAGCTACCTCTTTGCTGTCAGGACTATCGCTAATCTAATTTTTTGTATGATGGTTAGTAGCAGAGTGTTTATAATAAGATACATTTCTAGAAGACATACCTTTGCAGTATACATCGAAATCACGAAATCATCAGGGGTATCAGCATGGACTCCCAGGAATACCTCAGCTTGCTCCGCGGTCGTCACTCCTGGGCATGCATTAGCTTTATGCAAAGGGAAAAGATTAACAAGAATGAAAGGGAGACACGCACTCTCCTCTGCAGCGGCCTTTATCTTTTCGCTCTTGCGGTAGTCGCCTATTCTCCAGAGATGTTTTCGTGGCTCCATATCATTTGGAGTGTCTTCAAGCCGAGCATAGAACGAGCCGATGATGGAATCATCGCTTAGAGCAAAGTCTCGGTAATAGTCAAGGTTGAAATATGAGTAAGAATCAGGCACATCATCGTCGGCATACTTGCCGTTCGTTGTTTCTAACTCAACAAAATCATTTATTGTCTTGCCATCGACAGGGCCCCTCCAGTGTCCAATTGACCGTAAGCATCTGAGATAGTAGCTATTTCGTGATGGTATAATTCTGTTTTGCTGGCGATAGGCTTCAATGATCAGTTCATTAGACATGTCACTGACAGCTCCTAGATGTTCATAGAAGCTATACACTGGTTAGAGCAGGAAAATTCATTATACTAAAAAAGGCAACATACGGAGCTTTTAATTGAGAGTTATTGGGGAAAGCGCGTGTTTTGGGATCTGTAAAATGGGCGTAAGTCGACGTTAGATAAATAGGGATGGTGTGTTATACTGACAGTCTGTGGTACCGAGCAGCTGGTTAAACTGGCTTATAGAAGGCGTGAAAGCTATATTTGCTCCTTGGCCCTCTGTCTCATGTTGTGGCCGCTGGCTTATAAGCACCAGAAGCTCGAATGAGATATTGTCCAAGAAGATATTTAACGGGTCAGTGTATGGCTTTAGCGCTTTTGTATTGGGTCGCGGTGGTTCCCAGCGATCGTTCTGCAAGGAAAAAACAGTCAGATATCATGCATTAAAGAGAAGAAGAAGAGAAGTACGGAGGCGAGTCATGGAATGCCATACCACCAACTTAAAGCCTAGGTATTCAAATAGTTGCTTGCAGGATTCTCCACCGGTGCCAAAGCAGACCGTGAACTTCTTGTTCATGATATTAATTGATCTATTGCGCTGCTCATCATGCAAAGCATTGTCGATGTATGTCTTGAGATGCGTGAGGACGACCAACGGTGTTGGTCTGCCTATCCCTTCCAAGCGCTCTGGTTCCAAGGCTAGGGCGTCGTCTACTCGTTTCTTCAGGATGTCTTCGTCCGTCAACAAGCTCACCCATTCCGGCATGATAAGGGGTGTCCAAAGCTTCAGGTGAACTGTGGCAGAGCATTGGGTCTGTGTGCAGTTGTAGATGTATACCTCTAGAGCTTGTCCCGGCGATTTGGCGACGGTCTTGAGCCTATCCGCCGATTCCTTGGGAAAGTAGCAAAAGTGGTGCACAGCACCTGGTCGACAGGCCAGCTGTGTCTTGAAGACCACTGCAAGCTCGAGATGAAGTCGACACTTCTGACATACCGACGAGACCTGGTATCTGGCGCCTGCAACACGCTGGCTGTCGTTGACCGGAAGCACTGACTGCTGAGGCTTTGTGATGAAGCGGTGGACACAAGCGTTCGAGTCGGAGTAGTCCGGGTATGTAGACTTATCGTAGAAGATAGGTGGCACGTCTTTCAGGATATTGAACTGCGGCCGAGTCGGGCTCGCTGGGTCATGGTGCAGGACATGCTGTATGAGCAGAGGAGCGGTTTTGCCTAGATTGCGCAGCAAACGGGGGAGGGCATTCAGGTCAGCGTCCGGGACTCTACTAAGGCAGAAGATGCTGCGAACATACCCAGCTTGGCCGGTAGAGACATATAGGCGTTTCTTCCAGCTCTCACAAGCTGGCGGTGTGCCTGGCGTAGCTCGATATTGGGGGGGGGGGGGGGGGGGGTTTGTTCAGCCCGGTGTTTACCTATCTAGGAACCGTAGCAGACGAGCTTCTCAAGCACAAATTGGGGCGGCTGTAGGTTGTTTCTTTCGGTCAGCGAGGGGATCGACAGGCTCCGGGCAGTCTGTTAAAGCACGAACGAGGGCGGCAGCAGTGCTGGTCGGGCGTGAAGGGAGCTTGCTGGCCTGGCGGGTAAATGAACCGGGCTTGACTGACTGGGCGCGGGGAGGTACAGCAGCGGCAGCGGTGCGAGCAGCAAGCAAGCAGCAACGAGTGACGGTCGGGCAGGGCAGGACAAGCAGCGGCTCAGGGCATCGCCGTCGTCGTCAGTCAGTCATCAAGAGAGTGAACAGAGGCACAATTCCATGAGCGAGCCGGCGTCGTTTCATTCTTCCTCGTCTCTGTCGTTCTTCATCCTCGTCAGTCCGCGCCAAGCCTCGTCCCAAAAGGGCAGAAAAACCAGCAACGCCGGCGACAGCGAAAAAGCGACGAAACATCAAACGACGTCGAAAACTCGCCCGCAACCGCCAGACTCGCCCGCAAACGTCTCGCTCGTCCAGCAACGATGGCCGGCCAGCAGGAGGCTCCCATGTATCATCCCCAGGATGCGCTCAAGCGCGCCATCAACACGACCATGGTCACCGGCGGCGTCGGTCTCTTCACCTCCGCCGTCCAGAATACCCTCCAGAAGCAGAACGTCGGCCCTTGGGGCATCTTCACCAGGTCCGGCAGCACGATCTTCTTGTTCGGTACGTTGATTCTACTGATGTGCTGCCATTGGATGACGAATTGATGCAAACTACGGCCGGTAAAGAGTGATGCTAATGTGTTTGTGTGTGCGAGTGTAGCTGCCATGGGAGGATCCTACGAATTTGTCAAGACTGCCTCTGCCAACCTGCGGACAAAGGAAGACCATTGGAACTCGGTCTATGGAGGATTTGCCGCTGGTTCTCTGGTAGGATTCAGAGGTGAGTCCTTTTTGCCATCGTCTCTAGAACTTGCAGGGAGCATTGTGTTTTAATGTGTGTCTCCCTCTAGCTCGAACATTCCCGGCCATGATCGGATATGGAGTTGCACTGGCTACACTTCTGGGTGTTTTTGAATACAGTGGAGGAAGCATAGCGGGCAGGATTGCCGACCCTAACGTCGATGAGTACGACCGAAGGACCGCCCTCAGGAAGAACTTCCGAAGTCCTGGCGAGGAGACAATTGCAGAACTGGGTGAGCGAAGAGGTATGTCAGGCCCGTGCCTTGCGGCTATTCTGCAGCTGTACCTGTCTATATCTCTGCAATTGATGATAGCTAACCGTCCACAGGAATCGAGGCACCCGGATTCGCAGAGAGACGACGAGAGCGGATAAAACAGAACTACGGGATCGATGTCCCCGTCAGCCAAGCATCTGCCTCCCCGACTACTCCTCTTTCGTAGGATTAGAAGCACACAGCCCTACACCGTTACATGTCCATATGTAGTATATTTCCGAGTCTAACCCAGTCGGCTCTCTCTTTTTCTTATGTTTTTCCGCTCTTACAATTATCATCTAGACAGGAAATGTCAAGTCAAATCAGCGTTTACTACAGTGCCATCACACCCTCCGCCTGCCCACCGGCCTCTCCACCGGTCTACCAGCTTGTCGCTCTCTCCCAAGGTCTCTCTATCCAATGAACAGCATCCAACATCCCTGCCCTTCGCACCCGACTTTTATATCACATGACTGTACAGCCACGATCTGAGTCTTCCAAGAACAAGAAAAGAAAGACAAAAGAGACGAAGTGATGACGTTGAAGGGTGGCTGTTCAGGCAAGGAACAAGGACGAAGTGTTCGTCGACACTGCTTGCTGCAAAGTAATGACGCCGGATATTGTTCAGCCTCCCCAACCTTGCAAGAACCGAGATCAACGGGCGGCTGCGGTCTAGCTGGTAGATCTCGCCTGTGGCTGCTTGTAGCTGTTGGCTGTAACTAGAAAATCAGGCCAGCAGCAGCAGCAGCGTCAACCGTTGTATCGTAAGGGGGGTCACCTTCGTAGCTACCACTGCATGTTTACCGTCTATCCATCTATCTACAATTCTATCTACGCCTTCATCGCCTTCCACCAGCTATCCGCCTCTCTCAGGCACTTCTTCTCGGAGTAAACAAAAAAAGGAGGCCGCCCACCAGCTGCAAACGACGTCATCGCCTTCGGCTCTCTTCCACTTCTCCTTTCTCTCCTTTTTTATTTTATTTTTTTTTTTTTTGCCTCTTCCTCCTCCGCCATTCTTCGCACTCCCTGAGAATCAGAAACAAACCACCAGAATAACAGAGAGACAGAGAACAGAGAAACAGAGGAGAAACGCAGCTCACAGCTCCCTGCACCGTCGTCGTCTGCCAGAGTCTCGTCTCAAGCTTGCCACTGGCCTCGACCGCCTGCGTTGTTGCCCCTTGGACTCGCGGGGGTCAAGGATCGCTAAATAACGGCCAAAAAAAAAAAAAAAAAAAAGAGTCGCCGGATAACTTCTCTACTATATACGAAGATATACCGAGACATACACAGGGATACATAGCGGTGCACAGCGGACCGCAAGCTGAAGTGACCTGCGGGCTCTCTCGCCGGCCAGAGACATCGCCGTCGCCGATGGCAAACAGACCCGGCAGCGCACCTCACGACACCGCCAGCTACACCATGGCCAGCTCCATGGCCAACTTCGACCATACGCAGCTGAACACCGAGTACAACTCCATGCCCGGCTCACGCCCTGCTTCGTACATTGCGAACTCGTCAATTGGGCCGTCAGACTTCCACGTCCGCAGCAACATCCCAGACGCGTCCCCTCCCAGCCAACAGCAGCAGCAGCAGCAACAGCAGGCGTCTGCTCCCCATCAGTCTCGGTTCCAGGAAGTGCTCTCGGTCAGCAGGCGAGGTTCCATGATGGACAGCGGTTCCGTCAGAGAAGGTCCGCGTACGGACTCTCCGGCTTCGACAGCAAATACAAACCCTATCTCGCTCCCGTCTCGGAGCTCAACGCTAAAGAAAAAACCGTCGCTTAGCAAGAAGGCGAGTTTGCGGCGGGGAGGCAGCCGCAAGAGCAGCCGGGCCGGCAGCGTGCGTAGCATGAACCTGGGCGAGAAAGAGAAGTATGGAGTTGCGCAGGACGAGGCCAACAGCGCATTCTTCGTCCCTATCCCAACGAGCGGGAACCCGACTGAAGTCCTCGCTGCTCGGTTTCAAGGTCAGTCTGCCTCGAAAGGTAGTACAGAACACACAGAATCTAACATGATATATAGCCTGGAGAAAGGTTTTAAAGGACCTGGTCGCATTCTTCCGCGATGTTCAGCGCTCATGTGAAACGCGCGCGAAGAGTCTCATCTCCGCTTCAAACGCTATAAATAATATAGCCATGCCACCGATGTTTTTAATCTCCGGCGGCATATCGGATGCGACGGAAATATTAAAGGACTATCATAAACAGGCATTGCATGAATCTAATAAGGCTAGGGAGATGGAGACCGAGATTATCATGCAGCTCAACGGACTACGGGCTGATCTGGGCCAAAAGATCAAGGAAATCAAGAACCTGTCCGGTGACTTCAAGAATACCGTTGATAAAGAAGTTGAGGTTACTCGAAAGGCCGTCAAGCATCTACATGAGGCACTTGGTTTGGTAGACAGTGATGCTGCTGCTACTTCAGGCAAGGGTGATCCGTTTCTTCTCCGGATGAGCGTTGACAGGCAGCTGGAAAGACAGATTGAAGAGGAGAATTATCTACATCGAGTAAGTTACAAAATTCCATACTCGGGAATTTCTACTGCCGTACTGACAGAAAAACCTCCAGGCGTATCTAAACCTTGAAAGGTCTGGTCGAGAACTTGAATCAATCGTGGTTGGTGAAATACAGAAGTCATACAATGTATACGCCAGCATCCTGAAGCGAGATGCCGATTCCGCTTATCATGCGGTTGAAAGGCTGAAGGAAGGACCTATTTCCATCCCCAAGGACCATGAATGGCGTTATTTCATTGACCAAACTGACCAGATGGTCGATCCTGACCTGGATTTAAGAGATCTGGCAAATATAACGTACCCTGGAAAGGATCACCCTGCTGCCGCAGAGGTCCGCGCTGGCATGCTGGAGAGGAAGAGCAAGTACTTGCGAAGCTATACTCCTGGGTGGTAAGTACTATGAAACTTGGTGTCGACTGTTTATATATACTAACGATATTTCAAAAAAGGTATGTGCTATCACCGACTCATTTACATGAGTTCAAATCGGCAGATCGAATTGCATCCCAGAACCCTGTGATGTCTCTGTATCTTCCCGAGCAGAAGTTGGGATCCCACTCCACTCCTGAATCTTCATCCCACAAGTTCATGCTCAAGGGCCGTCAGACGGGATCGATGCACCGCGGACATGCTTGGGTGTTTCGTGCTGAATCCCATGAAACAATGCTAGCCTGGTATGACGATATCAAGGCCCTGACTGAAAAGACTGGCGCTGCAAGAGATGCATTTGTTCGAAGACATGCTCGCTCTTACAGTGGTGCCAGCTATCGAACCGCCTCTATTAGTAGTGACGGGGTTATGGATGAAGATGAAGCCGATAAGACTCCCTACTCGGCAGACCATTTGATGCAAAGGCAACCTTCCCCTACAAGCGAGACAACCACTGCCACCGGCTCCCAATGGCGACGTCAGAGAAGTGTTGGTCGGTTCCCAAGCGATGTGCAGATTAACCAGCATCTAAACGCACCTCTCTCACCCTCCAGCTCTGAAAATCGCGACGTCAGCAATACTGTGCCGATCTCAAACGCAGTCAACCACAACAGTATCAACAATGAGCAGAGACAGAGCCAGCATTTCAACCAAGGTATAAATGATCTTCCGAGCCGGGCATCCATGGACAGCGAATCCAGGTCCAGCAGACCAATATTCGACAGACGTCGCTCGCAAGTCAAATATGAAGACTGGGCGCAACCACACCATCACCCCCGACCAATCACAATATCCTCCCAAGGTGGAGATTCTAGCCGCCTTGTACAACAAACTCCTTCTCCACTCTCGGAATCTCCCTTGCGCTACAGTCAGGGACCGCCGCTCGGGGACCTCACGGACCATGATCATCACCAGCCCGCACCGACATCCCATCCGCACACAGCAAACCACGAAATTAAACCAGACGGCGTGAACGGAGCCGCACATCACCACCTAGACGGTGATGGAAGAGATATTGAACCCATCGTCACCGACGGAGTAACCAACAACAGATCATCGCTTTACCCGACTTCGCCCCTTGACCAACCCTTGAGTCGAACATCCATCGACCTGAAAGTTCCCGGCCAGTTTCCTCAAAGATCCTGATCCTGCCTTTCTATTACATTTATCTATACCTCTTCTGCTGCTTTTGCTCTTGTTGTTTCTGTTGCTATCTTTTGACCCTTTGTGCTGTTCTGCATCTCATTGCTCAGCGATATACCTACTTTCGTTTGCATCTACATATACACACATATATACTCTGGCTGCCACTGGCTGTCGAGAGGAAGAAACCTGAAAAAATGGTCTCATTTCCTCTCTTTTGACATACTGCATGTACAACACTTGCATGGTTGACTTCATATAACTGCATTTTTACCTCCTGGAAACTCAATTTCTGCCCAATATTCTATCCTCTTACCTCCTCCCTAGAGGGAGGTGTTTCAGTAGTATCAACACGTAGGCAAAATAACTGCGAACGTGATGACTTTATGGATGATAAGGAAATGGATTTTTTTTTCTTGGTAGGTATAATAGGATAGTACAAGTTGGTTAACACAGAAAAAAGAGGGCAGATTCAAAGGAAAACACATCATTAGATCAGGGTCTGGAAGCTCGAGACACATCTGGCAGAGAAAGAAAGGAGATAAGGGTAGAATGAATCAAAAGACGTAAAAGAATGCAGATGACCTTATTGTTAGCTGTTATCATCCAAAAGAAAAGTCAACCACCCCGTCACCGGCGCCAGATTCTCAGTGCAGTGTTAAATCGCGAGGATACTTTCAAGAACTAGGAGGGCTGTAACTGAAACCTTCGTCCCCTTCTTTAAACTTCCCCACCACTAGCTCACTTGCTTCAGATCCGTTATCGTCTGCATCCACATATTGTTACATGATCTGGTCCTGGGTAATAGGAGCAGCTTCACCAGAGCCGTTGAGGTCGGTGGTTGCTTGACCTGGGACCGGGCCTTGGCTCTGTCCTGGATTGACATACTTGACAAAGGACAGGCCAAGAGGACGACCACCGTATTGATAGCCGGTGAACTTGCCTAGTTACTGCGTTAATATATTGCAATGCAGACCGCGACACAAAAGATAATCTTACTAATTGCAGTTTCAGCATTGTCTGCGGTGTCGAATTGGACGACACCAGTACCACGGGAGCGGCCGTTGGGCTCATACTGAATTTCGGCGCGCTCAACTTTTCCGATGGTAGAGAATAGTTCCACAAGGTCTTCATTACAGGTTGACCATGGAAGCTAAATTGAAGGTTAGATTAAAAGAGATCGGATACAGAGTGGGGGAGTTCCAGCTTACGTTGCGGACATATATCGAGACACCTCTTTCTCCACCATAGGTGGCATAATCGGTAAATGGGTTAGCAGGGATGGATGCAGCGGCGGTACCATCGTGTGCACTTCCAGGTCCAGAGAAGCCTTGCGCCGCCAAATCCTCTCTACCAACCTGCCCCCCCGTACCTCCAAACCCTCACGGGCCCAAAGCGCCGCCTCGACCACGAAT